CGTTGAATTCAAATTAATTTATTTTATACAAAATTACAAGGATTATTCATTAAAAAATGAAAATGATAGAATTGTTTTTGACAGCTTGACTCAATTAAAATAAGATACACACAAATTTAAATTTATTTAAAAAATTGGAAGAAAAATTTGAATTTTTTAACAAGTAAATTTAGGAATTTTGTAACCTTATAAATTCAAAATTATTGCTCGTCCTTGTAATAATTTTCAGCTCTTAATCATCATTCTTGGAAAATTAAAAAAATTATAAAAAAAAACATCAGTTTATATTTAAAAAAAAAAAAAAAAAACATAATTTGAGGTTTAAAGTAGTCGACCCACGGTACGTAAAAAGCGAGCGCAAATTTCGTTTTACTTTACAGCATAATTAATTAAGTGTGCGGTTTGCGTGGAGGGAGAATTAAAAGCTTTTGAATAAGATTTTTGGCCTGGCCGCAGATAAAATCCCGGCGCGCATTATTTAATTTTATTCAAGCTGAAAAATGCGCGCCGGAACCGAAACGCGCGCGGCCAAGACGCGTGTGACGTTAATTTGTATTTTAAACGCTCGAAACAAAAGTGAGAGAGAGAGAGAGAGAGGGTTAAACTGATTGTACGGCAGTAAATCGTGTGGGCGTTCACCGTGAATTTTCGCACCGAGAAAAAGGCAAAAAATTGAATGTGCGGCGTTTGGACAAAATTATAAATAACAATTGCAATCTAATGTTTAAATAGATTTAATGTTAAATGAATTTTGCACAGGGTGGCATTCGATGTGGTCGGAATACCGGAAGTTGCAGGAAACAAACCGTTTCCTGCGCACAGTAAAAATGCATGAAATAATCGCGCGCACTCGTTTTTTCATTTGCATTGTTGCTGCTCTTCAACGAGAGAGAAACAGAGGCCGTGAACAATTTATACAAAAAAAAAAAAAAAATTTATTGACCGCCGTATATATATTTTTTGTATGGCGATGTGAATATATAAAAAACAAACTCGATTATCTGTGAATTAATTCGACGCAAAGCGAGACTAATTCTTGCCTTTGTGTGTGCTTTTTTGTTGTGCGTTCTTTTCATGATGGCGATGCCATTAATCCTCTCTCCCGGCCGCGCTCTTCTTTTAATACGTGTATCTGTATTATTTAATTTTTTAATAAGGTCTACACGCCGCCGGCTGCGAATAACCTCGTTTTGTACTTTGGCCAGGAATTTTAATTAACTTTTGCAATTGCGGCCAATTCGAGTCCTAAACAGTTGCTTTTATTCTTAATACGAAATGAATTAAAAAAAAAAAAAAAACGCCTCCAAGGGTGTTAAACTGCCTTTTACGCTAATGAGAGAGAGAGAAAGAAAACTTTTAGTTCGCCGGAGCGTGAAATTTTAAGCCACTCATCAATTTGCAAACCGCGCCGCGGAATTATCTCGATTCCTCAACCGGAAATATATCTAACTAAAACTAATTGCAATTTGCCATAATTACACTGCAACAGAATCATTATAATATAAAAGGTTTCTTATTAATTGGACCGCTTTTTACTCTCCACACTTTTTCAGGGGAAATAATTCAAATGCCACTTTTGAGAGAGACAGAGATATTGGTGAAAAAATTAACATTATAAATTACTAATTAAGAAGCAAGTTATCGTTTTAATATTTGCAAAAACTTATAATATATATATATTGGGTTGATATGTAATGACATATATATAAAATTAGTTTTGATTAATTTTGCAGGCGGTTATTAAATTTTGAACTAAAAATATGCCTCGGAAAAGCACATATTTATCATCATTTAACCTGAATTATCTCAAGAGAATGGAAAGAAAAACCATTTTGCAAATTACAGAACCGACGTAAAATTTCACGATCTACATTTCTTTCTCTGCCAAAAAAAATATCAAACGAGGCTATCATCGCCAAAATTTGACCTCTATAATAACATTGCCAAAAGTGACATTTCACTTAAGCCTACGACTTTGATGTCAACAGCAAATTTGTTCAGCGCAAAAAGTTACACCACGAACAGTTTAGATCTTTGTTTTAACTTGAAAATGTTCCACGCAGTTATGAAAAATCCAAAAAGTCTCTCTTGGGGCAATTTTCAAAACCTCAAAATTTTGGGTAACGCCCATTTTTAGAGGTCTCAAAATTAGTTAGGAGGCCTAGACACTCTAATTAAAGATTGGGTAATTTTTGCCAATGTCACTAAAAATCTCACTCTCAGAAAATGCCCATTTTTCTAGTTATTAAAATTGATTTGCAATCTGAATGTTGAAACGAGTTTGTAACTATTTAATTTAATTGGACTGAAATTGAGTGTATTCAAAATTTGTAAATAATAAAGCACCGTATATACATAATTATTAAATAATTGCAAACCTAGTGTGAAAATTGTCATCATAATATCAATAAGTAAAAAAACGTTCTCCCCTAGCTTTTTTGCTTTAATGAACTCGTAAATATGCAAGTGAGAAGTGCATTAATTTTATAACGAATTGAAACGAGATACGCGCGTTGGCACCACCTGTGCATACCTAATAGTTCACTTCACTCTCTCTGAAAAGCGGCGATGCGTGCAGCAGTCAAAATAAGAGCTAGGGGGTCTGAACGCAGGGGGAGCGAAACTCGCATAGTTGGACGAGCGAGGTGAGAGAAGCCAATTGATGAATTAATTCGTCAAAATTCGCTGCGTTTATAATCTGAAATTTCGGTTTTATGCGGAGTAAAAGCAGAGTGAGCGACATTATCATAAATGCAAGATCATGTTTTGCCGGCGGAAGTGCAAATTGCCCTGCGCGCGCCGCACAAAATGCTAAACCCATTATCAGCGAAACTTCAAAACGAGTCGCAAATTGCAGCGAATAAAATGAAAAATTTTCAATTGCCATAACTTTTGTTGAACGCGCGGCGGCGGTTTTGATTTTACATCGAGATTGCGTTTTAATTTCAAAACGTTTTCGTTAAATGCACGTTGTTCAAGGCTGCGGCAGACCGTGAAAAACCTGCTGGCTTCGTAAACGAATATTCAAATTTCGCATGCTTCGATAAACTGCATTTTTAATATAGACGCTGAAAAGTTAATTTGTAAATAGAAAAATTAAATTATTAAAATATATTTTATTAATTTAGCTAGAGTCACAATTTTATAAAATTTCAGTGTCACAACTTGACTTTTTAGAACAAGTTATGACACGTTCATAAAAAAAAATGCAGGTGCAGAGTTGTGTGTCTCCATTTTGCTTATTCAAATGAGAGTTGAGAGGGCGATAAAGCAGAGCAATTTTGCATCGTGCGAGTTACACGACTAGAGATGGATAAATATCAGATCAGCCGCGGCGGAGCAACTCCCAGCCCATGAATAGTGATCAAGGCAATCGTCGCCTGCAATCCTCCCGAGATTCGTTCGAGTTTTATCCCTCCCTCGCTCTCCCTGCAAATGCAATTGCACTCTCCAACTTTTCCCCGAAAACAAGATTATATTATGAATTCGGCATAAAACAAAACTTGTTTTTGGTCAATAAATTATTCCAGTAATTAATGCGATTCTAATTTTACATTTGTCATTAATTTATTGTTATATGATAAAAATGTAATTTAAATTGAAATAAGGTGAAGTGCAATTGCTGCAATTTTCTCGGAACAGGAACGAGAAGAAATTGAGCAATTAAAACTGTGCAGTCATTTATACTTCTCTGAAATTAAAGATAAGATCTGTGAAAAGACACAAGGTTGATGAGATGCACCGCGATAAAAGTATAGGAATTGTGTGTGCAGTGGGCAAAGTGCACATAATTGACTCTCTGCTTCTTTTTTTCTGACCCAGAGACTTGAATAAAATAAACGCGGCGTGGCGCGGGAGTTGTTTCGGAGAAGGAGCATTTGCGCGCCGCATTGGACGAAAAACGATTTATAATGAGTGTCGGAAATGAGTGATTACGGCTTTGTTTAGGTCCTTTTATTTCCCTCAAATGCTGCTGGTGCCGGGGAGGAGGAAATTTTGTATCGTTTGCGGTCAGTGCCTGAAACCATTAAGGCGCATTATGTGAGGCAATTGCTCGGCGTATATAAATTCAGACTTTTCTTCTCTAAAAAAATAAGTAGCCGACCGCATTGTTATTCAATAAAACTCTACGCTTTGTGTCCGCCGGAAAATTGTTTCAAAATGCTCGGCTTTTGTTGTGTCAACCGAAATTACATTTATTCAAGAGACCATGACACTTAAAAAATTGTCAACGGACACGCCGAGCAGATCGACAGGTAAAAAAGTATTTTGCACAAAAATCATTTAGCACAGGTGCATGAAAACTTCTTCGGAGATCTGAAAATGGATTTGTTTTAGCAAATTTTAATTTGGACAGTTTTATCTCCGGCAACCGAAATATGAATATTGTTCGTTACTTGAGTATTATAAAAATCAAAATATGAACCATCTTGATACTGGTTTGCAAAAATCAATTAAACCGAAGTGCTCATAAATTAGCTCAGTATTCTTGAAAATGAGCAAAATGCAAAGAATTCCACGTTTTCCAACCTTCAATTCAACGTTTCCCAAAAGTTTATGCAGTGACCACCAATTTTCTGGTGCAAAGTCTGTAGCAGGGTTATCAAGGAACACGTTTGGTGGGTCATACATTTTACCAAAGCTCGTTTTCTTGTCTTAAAATGCAATTAAATCATTGTTATGAACCTTTTCCATAAGCCAGCAATGCTAAATTCAAATGTATTTTTTCCAGAAATAAGTGTGTTGACCCCAAAATTTATATTTATCAAAACAATGCTTATGGCCTAAAAAATAAGATTTTGTGAATGATTTTGCCTTCCTGCGGTGATTGAAAGACTCGCTTTTGAAATATTTGAAATATATATGATCTAGAAAGCTCAATTTGGTTCATGGAAACACCATCTATTATTGAAATTCGGTACTACGCGTGACGTCACGGCAGAAACGCGCTGTGATTGGCCGCTGGAAATAGGGCGAGAGGTTTTTTCGGCCGCCAGAGGTCTCCGGCGTCGCTGAAGAGAAGATTATATCGGATTGCAAATGGTTGGTGTTGTTTTTTTCCATATGACGAAAATGACTTCTTTTCGGGCGAATTTCTCGTGAACCGCTCGGATTCGGGTGCCGAAAGAACGCTCCGTTTCGTCCGGACTGATCCGCGTCGGCTGCCGAACGCCTAAATCGTCGCGGCCTAATTTTCCGCCCGCCCGACCCCACCGTGCGTGGTTCACTTTCACCCGAAGGACTCTGGCAATTTCCAAATTCCACCCTCGGAAGGAAGGAAACATGCTGGTGGAGAATCCGGACGCGCTCAAGTCGTGGCTGACGGAAAAGCTGAAGCCGCTGTGAGTCTCCGAGCGCCCGATTTGCTCTCGATTTTTCATACATAATTGGTCCGTTTTTCGCAGATGTGATGCAGACCCTGTGGCGCTGGCCAAGTACGTCCTCGCCCTGGTCAAAAAGGAAAAGCCCCTTCCGCAGCTGCAGGCCAACATGGAGAACTCGCTCGACGTGTTCCTGCAAAAGGGTTGGAAATCTTTTCACAATTTTTATATAAAAATATCGTCCGACTGATTGCGTAATTTTCTCGACAGAAACCAAGTCTTTTGTAAAGTCTCTGCTGGAGGCCCTTCAGGACAAGAGTTACATCGGCGAGGCCAAGGAGGAAGATGAGGAGGAGGAAATGCTGTCGGACAGCAGGGTCGCTTCTCCCGTCAGGGTGGAGGAAGTTCCTGCTTTGGAGGAACCAAAGCCATTGGTATGGTTTTTGATGGAATCAAAATTAAGTTTGGTGAAAATGAAAATTTTCAGCTCTCGATAAAGATAAAAGAGGAGAAGTTGGAGGTCGAAAGGCCAAAGGAGCAGGTTGTCGAGGTCAAAAAGGAGCGCGTCGAGTTGAACGACCGGTCGGACCGGGACCGCAAAAGACCTTCGGAGAGGCCGTCAAGGAGGAACAGGCACCGCTCACCATCCCCCACTTCCAGGAGGTCGAGGTCTCGCTCGAGGTCGTGGGAGGGTCGGCGGAGGTCGCGCAGCAGAGAGCGTGCGAGGAGGGGCAGGGACAGGAAAGCCTCCCCTCGCAGAAGGGACTCCAGCAGGGACAGAAGGTGCACAATTATTATTAATCATCAATGATTTGATGTCAGAGTCGTGAAAATTTCTTAATCCTTTGACTCGAACACTAGATATGTAATTGTTATTCAAAAATTTTCAAAATTTTTGGTTTTATGGGACATTTTGTAATATAAATCTCACTATCTCTGCTCGCAGAAGTCGAAAAATGAAAAATTAGCCATGGTTGAATTTGTCTAGTCAATCTCTACAAATTTTTATTAATTTCAAAGTTGTAGGTCACAGGTCAAGGTAATTTATTTCAAAATCTAATTTGAATATGTGACAAGCTGAAAGTAAAATTTGACAACACCATTTGATTCCTCGTGCAATTTTACGTAATTCATGTATTATTGCATGGTGAATATTTTTAGGTATATTAAAAGTGATTAATTCAAAGATAAAAAAACGTGGATTTTTCCCCTCGGGATGAAGAGTTTATTAAAAAATCGTCAATAACTTGATTTGCGTTGGTTTATGACAAAATAAACTCATAGTGACCATCTTGACTAGACAAATCAAATGATGTGCATATTATTGTCTTTTGGTGACCTCGGGTCAAAGGTTACCGTGACCCTAGACCTTGAGTGACCCGACCCTTATGTGTGATACATAATTGAAAAGATCTCTTCTAGAAGATAATTTTTGTCCTATAGATTTTGTCCCTAGATCTACGAGAATCCAAATAATCGTTATTTTGCAATCACTTGCTCATTTCTTTGAACTTTTTGCAGAAGTTGGTCAAAGTCTCCGGTTCGCAACCGGTCGCATTCGCCGCCCGTGGGCAAGCACCGCGGCCGCAACTACCGTTCTAAGTCAAAGTCGCCGCTGGCCATGGTGAAGAAGTCGGAGCCCAACTCGGGCGCCAACACGCCCACCCAAGACTCAAACCACGGCGACGTAGACATGCGGCTGACAACCTCCTCGCAGAGCATTCAGTCCGTGGTGGTGACCCCCACCAAAAAACTGGCCTCCGTCGTGGCCGCCGCCCCCCAGGCCGCCTCCGCCGCCCCCACTGTGTACAAGACGAGATGCAGAGACTTTGATGGTGAGACAAATTTTCTAAATACCTTAAAAATGAAACACAATTAAGGAATTTTAAATTTGTTGAATACGCTCAAAATAAAACAAATTAAACATTATCAACTTGATATAAATATTAAGTATTTGAAAAAAAAATTAATTATAGGAACTTTTAATTCAAATGAATAAATAAAACAAGAAAAGAAAAAAACAAACGATTAAGGAAGAAACAAGCAAATCAACTAAAAACGTGTGTGAAACTTTCAGAGCAGGGATACTGCATGCGGGGCGACCTTTGCCAGTTTGACCACGGCGCTGACCCTGTGATCGTGGACAACATGCCCGGCCTGTCGTACACACCTCAAGGTACAGCCCCTGCCAATTTTGTTGCGCTCAGACCTCAAGCGGGGCGTGGCTTGGCCGAACAGCCGCCTGCACCTCTTGCCCCGCCCGGTGAGACTTTGAACAAATTCGCACCTTTGCTAGATTTGTCACTCACCTCACTTGGTCTAGACGCTTTTCTTGCTTCACATCATAATCAAGTCCTCTTTACAAATAATGATCTTTTTCTAATCCGAATCTTTGGGTTTTGCAGAGTACAATCCTGATGCCCCAGGCATGCCTTGGTTCAGACCTCCCTTCAGAGGTAATTTCATCGACTTACGTCAAAATCAATTCAAGTGGATTTCGACTGGACCCAATTTTTTTTATATAAATTGTCAGTTTATGATCAGATGCATAAAAAATAATCAATATGGTTGAAAAGACAATTTTTTTGATCATCAACATTTCGTTAACGACTCTGCCAAAAACCATGAAAATTTAAACATTTGATTCATCTTCTGGCTCTCTCGCATTTCTTTCCTTGTTGCTCAATTTTGAGAAACATCAAGCTCTCTTTTTTGAACTTTTGACCATCAAGAAAAGTGCCAACCACCGAGAAAATTATAAATTCTTGACTTTTTCATCCTGCGCTGTTGAAATCCTTCTTAAAAATTGTTTCTCATAGCTTAAGAATTGTCAATTAAACGTGGAAATTGCAGGTCGTGGTGGTGCTGGGCGAGGGTCCGTCCTTCGGGCCCCTTTCATTCCTCCTCAGAGGGAACTGATAAGTGTGCCAGTCACCGACAACGCGTCGGCCAAGACTGTTTTTGAGCCTAGTGAGTCTACTTCGTACGAAACCGACCTTTCTGAGGTGAGTCTCATTTGATTATGAATTTGAATGGATTTTGAGTAAATTCGATCGCGCAGACGGGTCCTCCGCCTTCCAAGAAACTGCACCTGGCCGGCCAACAGTTTGACTATAAACGGCTGGGCCCGCGCAAGCACTTCCCTGCCAACTGCTCGCTGGAGCTGAAGAAAGTGCCCAGAGGCCTCAACAACATTACTCATCTCAATGACCACTTTGCCAAGTTTGGCAAAATCGTCAACATCCAGGTGTGCTTCGAGGGCGACCCTGAGGCTGCCATCGTCACCTTCTCGACCCACGCCGAAGCCAACGCGGCCATCAAGAGTACCGAGGCTGTTCTCAACAACAGGTTCATCAAGATGTTCTGGCACGGCAAGAAGCAGGCTGGATTCGAGGTAAATCAAAGATTTTGCAATAAATTATCAAGTCGACTGGAGAAAAGTTATATTTGTGCACTACAAAAATTCAAATATATGCCACCTTTCAAAGGTCCTTTTTTACCTAGAAATCTCTGCAAATATATCTCAATGCAGATGGTAAAAATTCAGACTGGCATGAATTTTTTCCAGGTTACTTAGGTCAAAATGCTTTTTGATTTGTAACTTAATTAATTTCATTTCTTAATTAATTTCGTTTCAGAGCAAGCACGAAAATGTTCCTCCCGTGACTCGGATGAGCGTGCGAGACAGGCTCGGCGTGCCCTCAAACAAAGTGCTGAACCTGATCCAGCAGAAGGCCAAGTCAGAGGTCGAGGTCAACGCGAACGCGGCCGGCAACGACAAGCCTGATTCGAACAGGAACGTTTACATCCCGACGGCCAAAAAGGTGGACCCAGCCCTGCAGGAGAACAGCAAGGCCCTGGCGGCGGCCGCCATAATCAAGAACCAGGAGATCATGCTGGCCAAGGAGACGCTCAAGAAGAAGCAGGAGGAGAAGCGAAAGGTGCGCTAATTCGACTTTATTAAAACCAGAATTAACCAGAGATTAATTATAGGAGGCGCTGAAGATGACGGCGAACCTGCGCAAGCGGAAACAGGAGTTGCTGGAGATGCAGCTGACGCAGCAGAAGGTCCTGATCGAGCGGCTCGAGAAGGCCAGGAGTGCCATGAAGCCGGCCGAGCAGAAGGAGCTGCTCGAGACAATCAAAAGCTTGCAGGAGAGCATTGAGACGATTAGGAAGGACCTTGCGCCTCATTCGGTCACTGCGGCCGCCGCGATTCCTGCGCCAAAGCCCAAACCTGTGCCACAAGCTCGCAAGACCAAGGAGGAGGTAAATTCAAAATTGCCATTCAAATTCAAATTAAAGTTTAAAAGTAAAACAGGTATTAAATAAGCCAATTTAATTGATTTTTGTAAATAAACCATTAAAAAAGTGAGTGAAATTTAATGTGCTGCCGCATTTTTTCAGGTGCAAAAGGAGATATTGGATGCGGAACTGGATCTGATCACGCACCAGCAGGAGGGCAAGGACAGCCTGGAGCTGAAGCAGAAGGTGGCCGAGCTGAAGAAGGAGGCGAGCACCCTGAGCCTGCTCAAGCCCGTCGTCGCCGCCCCCGTGCCCATCCGCAGAGGCGGCCTCAGGGGCAGGGGGCGTGGCAGAGGCCTCTACAGGTACAGATCAAATTTGAAATTTATCGGACGAAATTGAAGGTAGATTTCTTTTGCTCAGGGGTCGAGGCGCGCGTGGTGCCATGCGAGGTGGGCTGACCCGGCTGGACCACCGGCCGACCAAGCTGCTGGTGTCGGGTCACGAGAGTGACGAGTGGGAGGAGGTCGTGGCCCACTTTACTGTGAGTTAAAAGGTTGTTTTTTGCGACAAAGGCTGAGTTATGATTTGTGCAGCAATTTGGAGAAATCAAGGAGTCGGTGCCGGACCACCAGACGCCGGCCCTCGAGCTCACCTTCCGCACCCGCAAGGACGCCGAAGTGGCCTTGGTGCAGGGCAAGCAGTTCAAGGACCGCACCCTGAGTGTCACTTGGGTCGCCCAGGTCGCTCCACAGGCGGCGGCGGCTCCGACGGAAATTGCCACTGCAGAAGTCGAGGACGACGGACAAAACCAGGAGAACGAGAAAGTCACCGAAGGAGATCTAGAAGTCGAGGTGAATTTCTATTGCCTCAATTTTTTTTTGAATTTGATTTCATTTTAAAACTAATGTCATTTAATTGAAAAGCTAATCAACTAGCACTTTTATTACCCACTCTTGACCCAAAGTCAAACAATTTTGATCAAATTTGGATTTTTTTTAAAGGTGATTTAGTAAATTGAAAATAACTTGGCTCCCGTTAAAGATAGCCCAATTGTTCCTATTACCAAAGTTGTCAGGAATGAGACGCCCTACAACTTTGCAACAGTGACCAAAGTTGTAGGTCAAGGTTCAAGGTCACCTTTTGGAACCGGAACATTTAATTAATCTGCCGAAGTACCTGGGAAGAAATTTTTTTCAATTAGAAAATAGCCAAAGGTTGCCCAATTTAGTTGTACACAACATATTGAAAGATGGTGAGATTGATGATTTTTGCTTTTGAGATATTTAGAGTTGAAGAGTAAAAAACATGGTTTTCGGAACCCTTTGTATGGGAAATAAACTTAAAAAACTGTACAAACTTTTCTCCTGTTAGATTAATGAAAAAACAGTTGATGAAAAAAATTATCCCCTTGATTTTTTCTCCAACCATGTATCAGACATGGTGACCTGGTCAAAACAGTTCATTGAGCTGGGTGACCTGTGACCTTGAAATTATTGTTTTGATGTGTGATACGAAGATCAAAAGGTGACATCTGCAGAAACATTTTGGTGCTAGGGATTTGGTTCTAGCCTCAACAGAGGTAGAGTTATTATTGATTTTCTATTTCAAACCCTTTTTCATCAAAATTTGTTTAAGATTTGATTTTCCTGACAAATTTTTGTCCAAATCGGTTGATTCCTTGTCAAAAGTAGGTGGAAATGAAATGGAAGTGCTGTATTTTCGTATATAATGAAATATATAACAATTGTAAATGAGAAATTAAAACTTAACCTAATTTTTTCAGGACACATTTTTTAAAATCGACTGTTTAATTTAACCAATGATTTGCTGTTTTTGTTCAGGCCTCGCTGGAACTAGACGAGGAAGAGTTGGACGCGGAGGAGGAGGACGAGGAGGAGCGCAGCTGGCGCCGATAGCAATGATTGATTTTGTGTGCAGCAACAAGTCTCAAGAATCGTAGCGGTTTTTTCTTTTCGTTGTCATTTTGCAATGTTTGTATAGCATTGAGTTATCTGCGGCAGTCCTGGTGACAAATGTTCATATTTGTTGCAATCTCTCTCAGAGCTGCATTCTGCCGTGAATAATACACAATATTTTTAACGATAGGCGATCATCGTTTGTACCTATTTTGTATTCGATTATGATGAGATCAATGCAGCAGCAAATTATATACATAATTAAAATATATCAGAAAAAAAGAAAAGAAATAATGAATCAACTATTGAATAAATTCAGTGTGCAAGTACCTTGCAAGTATTGAATTACTTTAAAAACCGGCTTTTCATTTTGTTGAACCCAAAGGCCACGCATCAGCTCTATTATGTTGGCCAAAAAAAAAGATGTCTTCCGCCAGAGCCATAAGGCCCCATGGCTCTGACGGCAGCCGTGTACCAACATAATTTTGGGATGCGCAGCCTTTGGTTGAACCAAAAAAATGGCAGTTTTAAAAACCTTGTTTATTCACATCCACCTCGAATCTCACATTTTTCGCTACTCAATAACGATAGAACAATAGGCACTGCACAATGTAAATGCTCAGAGCAAGAATGAAAATACTGAAACAATCAATCAATGACTAATATTGTCCCATCTAGGGACCAGAGCAGTAACAACGAAGAATTAAAGAAATTGAGTAAAACTTGGGTGTAAAAAATCTATCTCATGCGTTCGCCACAGCCTTGAGCAGTTCCTCGTAGATTTTGATGCCGTGCAGGAAAACCTTCTCGTTCAAGAATTCGTCGTGGTCGTGCAAAAGCACCGGCGTGTTCACGATCGGAGAGAAGCCCAGGGCGGGAATTCCCACCTCCCTCACATACCGACTGTCCGTTCCTCCGGGGAATATTGACGGCTTCAATTTCATCTTCCTGCAAAAACAAAATCAAAATTTATGGAAAAAAAATTTTATTTGGCCCTGTTTATTTTCTTTTCACACACTCTTGAAATAGGGCCAACCGAATTTGACAAAAATTAGCAGGTTTTTTGCTTTCATTGTATAGAAAAATGGTTTTAAAGGATTTTGAAAAATGGTCTAAATTGTCTAACACAACGTTTAGCAATTTTTAAAAGGTCTTTCTAAACTTAAATAATTTATCAACACCTGTTTAAGATAGCATTTTGGTAGGCAGAAATCTTTTGGAAATATACAAAAGGAGAAAATTTAATGTGGTTTAAAGAAAATTTCCCAAAAAAATAGCTAGAAAAACCACGTTTTTTATTCTTCAACTCTGAATATCTCAAAAAGGAAAAGAAGAAATCTCACCATTGTGAACAACTAAATTGAGCAACTTTTGGCTATTTTCAAATTAAAAAAGTACTTTCCAGGTACTTCGGCAGATTAATTAAATATTCAGATTCCCAAAGGTGGCCTTGACCTTTGACCTACAAGTTCGGTCACTGTTGCAAAGTTGAAGGGCGTGTCATTGCTGACAACTTTGGTAATAGGGACATATGCGCTATCTTTAACAGGAACTGAGATATTTTCAAAATCACCTTTAAAAAATTCAAAAATTTGAGTCGCCTGTAAAATAGGAAATTTTGAGTATTTTTCCAAAAATTTAAACTATTTGCCAATGCTTGTAATAATCGGTTGGTTTTGGGTCAAGAGTGGATCAAATCAAAATAAAATTATAGTTTAAAAAAAAAAGTGCACTTACATTTTATCACATGCGCTTTTAAATGCAATCCACCAGGGGTTGGAGTTGTCGAGGGCCGTGTTGGGCACAAAGTTGTTTTTCTGCGTGTAGGTGATGTAGGTGCCCTCGCCGGCCTCCTTGCACCACCCGTTGATCATGGCCTCGAACTCGTCGTGGTTCACGTCGGTTGCCAGTCGCACGTCGAAGCCCACGGTCAGCTCGGGCGGCACCACGTTCGGCTGCACGCCTCCCTTCGTTAAACGCACAATTAGTCTCTTTTTTCATCGATTCTAATTTTCAAGACTCAAATTCTGCTTAAGTGAGAGATTCGGACGATTTCGTTTGGCAGTTTTTGAAATGAATTTATATATTATTTGTGCTTACGGTATTTTCCTGCGATAGCATGTCAGGACACAAGACAACACATTGCATCCGTTTTTAATAATACAATCAAACTCAAGATTTTGTTGTAATAGTCCAGGAAAGAAAGGTTTCGACCCGGAAAAAGAAATGCCAATTTTCAAAAAATATTAGAAGTGCATTGAGACATAATAACTGAAATTTCCAATGCCGCTTTCCTTTCTATTGGTAAAAAAATACCTATAGGAAAAGTGACGTTTTTTTAGTACTTTTTCTGCTCCTTGCACGAATATGGGACCAACACCATTCAATTGGAAATTTAACAAGCTCTTAAAAGTATAATCAGACGATTTTGGTGACAAAAGTTCAATTGTTTGAACAAAGGACCAAATTTTTGTCACTTGTTAAATGGTTTTTTAACTCTAGCTCTTCTGGAAAACATTTTAGAGAAAAGTGTTTTGACTAAAACTTATTGAAGATTTAATTTTGCACAATTTTTTCATATAAAATTTTCTTCTAAACCAAAAGCGAAAAATGTTATAAATGCGGTCATGTTGAATATTTGTTTGATTTTCACCCAGATTGAGCAGAAAACCACACTTTCAAACATGTCCGCACTCATAACTTTTTTCAATTCAGATTTAGATGAAAATTATAAATACAAAAAGTGTGCAAAATTGAATTTTCTACAAGCATTGTTAGAAACCTATTTCTCTTAAATGATTTACAAAAGAGCTTGGAAACCAATAAAATATATGAAAAATTTTTACCTTTGTTCAAACAATGGAAATTTTTGAGCCAAAAATGGTCAGATTTAAATAAACCTTGGAAGTTTCTTAAAACTAATTAAATTTCCTATCGATTCCTGTTGGTATCATGTGTGTGCAAGAAATAGAAAAAATACTAAAAAAAAAAATAATAATAATACTCTACTTCTCATAGTACTTTTTTTTACCTTGCCAGCGGCAGGGCAAAACCTTGGCAAATCTCATAAAAATAAGTCTAAATTGCAACCCTGAGTGAAGATTTCAGACTGGTTTGAATTTATTTCCCTGCTTTTGATTCCTGGACTGAAAGTATTCGTGTGCGAAACCTTGACCATTGACCAAAGGCATGCATGTTTAAAAAACTGCTTCTCCCTGGTTAATTGTTTTTATCTCTGTGCAAAAATTATTCTCTTGTTCTTTTTTGTTTCATATTTGATTTTTTTCGCCTGGGAATCAAACGCAACAATTTCCTTTAAATTTTTGGTCTCACCTTGATCTGCGTCAAATTGACGGTGGTGACGTCACCGACCGTCAGGTTTTTGTTGGACTCGAGTTTGGCTTTTTCTCTTCTTCGCAGGTCCATGAACTTGTTGATGATGATCTCGACCTTTTCGCCGGCCGTGTCCGGCAGCATCAGCGAACCGTGGCCGGGAGTGCCCGGGCAGGACACAAACAATTCTGCAAAATTTCCAGTAAAATATAAAAAGAAAAATTAATTTTAAATGGGACTCACGCCAAATGCACCTCTCGCCGTTGTAGAAGAGGAATTCGTCGTTCGGACTGGCCATTCCCTCGTCCAACGCAAAGCCGATGTTCAAATTCTTGAAGTCCTGCGTGTGCACGAATTTCTCCATCCCGTCGACGCCGCCGATCTCCTCGTCTTTTGATTTATCTCATTAATTTTCGAATTAAATTGTTTTTATTGACAATTACCAGGTACAAATGAGATGTGGAGGGTTCTCTTGAGCGCGATGCCGTTGCTTTTGAGCCTCCGAATGGCCTCCAAGTATTGGATTCCGACGCACTTCATGTCCTGCGATCCGCGCGCGTAAATGTTTCCGTTGGCGTCTTTTTCAGCGGCAAACGGCCCGTGGCTCCATTTTTCCTGAAATATTCAATAAAATTTTATATTTGCATTTTAATTAAAAAATTTTTAATAAATGAACAAAAAATTGTCATATTTGGTTGAAATGAAACAAAGATTATGAAAATTATTTTTCATTATAATTAAGTCGGTTAGGTATCCACAAAAGAATGGAAGTAAATTAAAGTAAATAATTTATAATAAAAAAAAATCATTTTCATAAATTACATACATTAATTTAATAATATTACAACTAATTTTTTTTACATCATTGACCGAGTGTTAACTTATTTGTTTACATAAGCCGAGTGTTTAATTATTTTCAATATCAGACGAGTGCAGAATTATTTTTCAACATATTTGTTTACAAGCCAATTGTAAACATATTTGAGGGCGATCCAAAAGCCTAACCTGGCCCAGGCTAACTTGACGTAGCCCTGGGCTAACTTAGCCCACCAGCAAAATTGAATGACGGGTTAAATTAGCCCAGGCCAGGTTAATTTAGCCTGGGCCAAGTTTGCCTTTTGGATCGCCCTCATTATAATTTACTTGTCAATTTTTAAATAATTAATAGAATCTATTTTTTTCCAATTATAAATAAATAATAAACACACAAAATAAAAACGAAGGGAAACTTACAGCGAAGACTGGAACGACGTCCATGTGCGAGTTGAGGAGGACCGCGGGCAGGGCTGGCTCGACGCCCTGCCAAGTGAGCACCACGATTGGTTTTCCGTCGACCACCGCGAAGATCTGCACGGGCAGGTCAAGGCCCTTGGCCTGCTTCTTCAAGAACTCGATGCATCCATCTGAAACACGCGGACAAGTCGCAAAGTCAACTCGAGCGCCACAAATAGAAAAATAATCCATTCTGATGTAATTGCAAGTTTGCGTGCAGTCTTGGAACTTGCAAATAAATTATTTAACCATCTTGAAACCTCCAAAGCACTAAAGAATCACAAATGCAATGGACGGAAGAATCAATTTATAATAATATCAAAATTTAGTTTCTTCAATTTATCTTTTGCAATTTTAAAAGTTGCATCCCTCAAATTGGAATATAGACCAATTTTTGGGATTTTTATAATAAGGACGGCTTATAATAAAACTTTGAAAATTTCAGACAAGATCACAAATATAATCAACTATTTTTAGAAATTTTGTGAAAAAATTCAGGGCAACCAAATACATATTTTACACGCTTGCCAAATGGAAAAAAATTTTCAAAAAATTACAAAAAAAAATTATTTTTGATAAGTTTATCTTAAAAGCTCCAATTTCCACCCAAGTTTTCAATTTTCAGAGCAAAAGAAAAATTACCATAGCCAATTAAGCAAATCCCTAAATTTCGTTCGAACGGGCCAATCAAGAAGGTCAATGTGCCCACCTACGTGACCATAAAAATCGTCTCTTTCATTTCTAAAAATGTCATTAGAACCCTTGATTTGCATTGAAAAACCAGGAAATCCCAAAATTCAAGATGGCGTCCTTTCGGTAATTCGTTTTTCGGCTTTTGCATGAAGACAAAGTGACGTAAAAGTGACAATTAAGGTATCATTTTGAAGGGCGTGCAAAATCTGATTTATCTGTACCAATATTGAACGTTCCCAAAAAAGGTCTTTAAGGAATGACAATTAAATCGAGAAAATTGTGTTCAGATCAATCTGTTGTTTTCTTTTATTGTCTTTGGTGGCCAAAAATAATGAAGCGACACGTGCGACCGATTTGATCGGATTTGGTGGGCTCGGCGCGGGTTAAAAATAATTGAGAATGGGGCAGATTAGGCAACCGGCGTGTCGGACGCGTGGCGCGGGTGGCCTTCCCTGCAATTTCCCCTCGACCGTTTGCAACGAAATGCATTAAGCAGCCTTGCTTGCTTGCTTGCTTAGTGAGTCAATGTCGGCCGACCTCAATTTCGAACAAGCAACGAGCGAACCGAGGATGCAACTGCACTTCTGCAAACCAACAAAAGAGACACAATTAATTAATTGCCTCGAACCATCCTCTCAATGCACGTCACACTTTTCTTCCTTTGCAGAGGATCCGGGTCAAAATAATTATTCAGGGGGCAAAAGGAAAATAAGCAGTACAAATTTAAGAGCAAATTTGATTGCAATTATTAAATAAATTTCATTTTTGCTTCTCATTTTGTGATTTTTTGTTTAAATTTAACATTTTTCATTATGGGAATTCTTCAAATTAATATGGAAAATAAATTAAATAAGTCAGCAGGCGTAAAAATTTACATTAATTAATTAATTAATAGGTCATTAATATTCACCGACTGAAGATAATTTTAATATATTTAATTTAAATTTGCAATTTTTGCATTTAATATTCAAATTGAAATTTTATTGGCTTGGGAGTGAAAAGGGCAAATTACGCGGAACTTGCATCCAATCTATGCAAATTGCCGCTCCATCATGTGCGTAGAAACGAGGTCACCTCTGAGCGCGTCCAGTCGAGAGTTGCATTGTATCGATCAGGCGGAAATTGAGTATTTGAGTATTTGACTAAATTTTAATTTGGTTTCGAATTTCAGCGGCTGCGAATGGCGAGAGCAAAATACCAGGGCCTTGGGATTTTTGTTTACTTGGCCGCGCGGCGCAAAGTACCACCGATTTAGCATCCATTTCTCAACGCCAGATGCACCGCATCAAACTTTTGCCGGCCAAAACAACCGAATCCGTCTCCGCGAAAACTCTGTTTTGCGAGTGACAATAAAAATGAAATTGAAACTACAAATATCAATCAAATGTTTTGGGGGAAAACGCAAAATTGAAAATTCATAGTTATTGCTGAACAAATATACTTCTTACGGTTGCATTCAATTTAATTTTCAATATTAAAGAAAAGTTCTTACGTGGCAAAAAATTTCAAGCGATTTTTGTCGGCGAGAAATTATCACACTTTTACGAGCCCACAAATTTATCACTGTTTGAACGTTGCGCTTTTTTGTTTGACAAATTTATCAGAAGGCAAAGTGTGTTTAACGACGAAAAATGTTCAAAATGCGGCGTGAAATGATTGCAAACATTTTTGTTTGCTTTGACGGAAAATTGCAAATGGAAGGAATTTTTCAAACTCGTAAAAAGATAAAAGGTAACAATATTAAAAAAATATTGTGCTTAAAATCAGTTGTAAAAAAATGTCCGAAACCTTATTTAACGATTGGACAAATAAATTCAAGATGGGGAAAAAAATCTTGAATTAATTGATTATTAATTAATTGTGGGTTTACCGCGCCGGCCGAGTCTCTTTTGATTTCGGGCGTTTCAGCAGAAAACCCTTTCTTCTCTTTTTCAAATCTCGAATTTTTTGTATCGACTGAGAAGAATAAATAATAATAATGAATCAAAAGGAAATTACTGAAAATAGAGAATAATTACGAGTTTCCGCGCCTCAAATATTGGCGCAACTGGGTCTCTGGTTTGATTACGCAGGCGGCTGAGCGAGCGCGTGTTTGCGAATTCGCCGTCGCCGCTGCGCAAACACAAATTGAGCCGAGTTAAAGTTCCACTCTTGTTTGCCAGATAGACTGAATGTGCTCAGCGTTCACAATTCGCTCGCGCTCGGCAAATACACGGCAGCAATTGCAATGTCAATTTAGCAGTTTTGTATTAAAAAGCTTAAAATGAAGTGTTAAACAAGACTGAAGAGGAAATAATTAATTTGTTGTTAATATTTTTATTAGAAACTCGCAAGGAACTCTGCTTAGCCTTTTTTCGCGGAAAAACTGACTTTGTAATTTACAAAATTTGTCAAATCTTATGTTCAATTAAATAGATTTTGTCTTTGGAGGCGACGCGAGAGTTTCACTTTCGCAGCAAATCAATAGTTGGGATTTGGTTGGAAAGGACAAATGCGTCGAAAATACAAAGTGCCATGTGAGAAGGGGTTCGATTTTGTGGGGCAACGCGGCTCGCGGTGAGGGTGGACGGCGAGTGACCTTGGGCCAAGGTCGTTCAACTCGCGCATTGCGTGTACCCAAAACAATCAATTCTTGTTCAGAAACTTTGGGAATTTTCACAATTTAATTTGTGGTTAAGTAGAAATTTCTTTATTTATTTTCGTTTTAAATTTAGCTTTATTTGTTGAATATTTTATTTGTAAATAAATAATAAATATATGAATTGTATCTCAAGAAATACAGTAAAATGTTGCAGAAAAATGTGCTTATGTAAGAGGAAAAGGTATCGATTTTGATTCGTGGTAGCGTCGGCGGCGGGATGTGCGAAAGATGGAAAATTCCACTGGCCGCGCCGCAGTTGATAAAATGCAAACGCGAGCACGGAAATTTGTTCAACAAACGAGTCAAACGACCAACTCGTGCAGATATTCCAGCAGAAAAAAATGACGTTTTTTCCATTAACTTTTGCTCTACGAACGTATTTTCAAATGTAATTGTAATATTTTTAAATTTTAACATTTTAAACCAAAGTTCAAACTTGAGTTTCAAGTTGTACCCGAATTGGTCGGTTGAAAGATAAAAACTGAAGCTGAATATTTACTCAGAAGATAATAGCATTTCCCCCTTTTTTTTTTAGCCTCCAGTCCTCAAATGATTTTGTTGTCAATTTGTGCCTTTTTATTTTGTTGATGAAACAAACAACTTCAAATAATCTTTCAAATTTATTTGCTTCTCTTTCAGTAAGTTTGAAGACAAAAAACTTTGAAATAATTACAAAAAACTTTGCAAATTCATTATATTTCTGGAAAACGATGTTGTTGGACAGTTCTGTACAAAATTTAGTAAATGTATTTTTAAATTTTGAAACAAATTCTATTAATTTGTGTGCATTTGAAGAGTTTGAACGCTGTGGAAGAGAAAGCAGGGAAGAATGAGATAAAAATAGATGTGAAAATACAAATTTACTAAACAACACAATTGCTAGACATGAAAAAAAAAATTCTGTTTATGAATTAAAATCATCTACTAGTTTAATGATTGATTTCAATATGAATTTTATAAAATTAAGAAAAACCATTTATTGTCAGGGTGAATTTTTTAATGTGGCGAGAGAACTTAATGAAGGGAGGTTGACAATGGGGAGGGAGGGAAAGTGAGCGCAAAATTTGTGCAAACGCGAGAGGAAAATCAATAAATTGGTGAGCGACCGAGATTGTCAGTCTTTTGCGAGTTGAAAATTCTCTGGCTCGAATCGACACACACACGTGTTCTTTGCGACGCCAATCAAGTGACCTGGATTTTCGCTTCACTAGAGAAAGAGACGCGACCTGATTCACTTAAAGAAAAGGAAGCTTTCAAAAAATTTACCAAAATTAAAACAATTATAAATTAAAAAAATGATTAAATTTGGTCTGAATTGAAATAAAAAATTGAAATTTTGATATATTTCTGAAAAAAAAAAAAATTTTTAGGTAATTATGGTGGGATTTGCTGACCGTAATTGACGTTGGGGTGGACCGAGGGGATGCGCAGGTACTCCCTGAAGTTGGTGACGGCCGAGTCTTCGACAGCCATGGCTGCAGGTGGCGGCGGCTGCGGCGGACGCGATTCGAGTGATTAGATAACGGCGCGAGGAGATTCATTTATGTGTCCCGCTCGTCGCTCTCCTGGCCCGACCAGCGACTCGCCCGCCGAGCACCAAACCAGACCCACCGACTCCGACCGACCGACCCGCACCACAGCGGCACCGAACCACCGACGCGACATCTCTCCGCCAAAACTCGCAAACACATTTTCGCAATCTTTAATTTCCTTCACATTAAGGGATTTTTAGTCCATAATTTTCCTTCTTTATTCCTAAATTATAAGAAAAGAAAATAAATAACGCTTAAATAGAAATTTTAATGTAAAAAATTGAAAAAAAATTCCATTTTTTATAACATCAATGCTGCAAATTTGTTGAAAAATAATTTCATATGCAGTGGAAAATTAATTCATACAAAATAAATTATTATCCTTTTATGTTGCTATGCTGTTTACAAATGTAATTCTACTTGATATTTATTCAACCTTTTGAAACAACATCAATATTAATCGTTCTTTGACCCAAGAGGCAACTTTACGATTGACCCTTGCCCCAAATGTAATAGGTGCGCAGTTCAAACTTTGTACGCGCTTCAAATATTGACACCTTTTGTTATATTTTAAGAAATGAGTTAACCGTCAGTAAGATGCAAAGTTTAGAATGATGAAGAAATCTACAGTCTAAGAAATAAAATAGAAAATGTAAAACATGTTTAATTGTGAATTCGACATTTCCGTCAAACGTCAGAAATACGCTTTCAAATTAGGGCTATCAATTTCAACAAATCAAACGATCTGGAATTCGCCAAGATAAGATAATTTCCTAAATTTTGTTATGTTATTATTTGTATTATTTAAAGGCAAGATCAATACAACTCCGTTCTGCTTTCGTTAAAACAATTTTATATTCTTATTATTAAAAGTTTAAATATTTTCCAAATTAAAATTGGTAACTTGGAATTACTTGATAAGTGTCCTATAAAAAAAAATAAGAATTTCCACTTGAATGGCATTTGTTTTCAATTAATCAATTCGTTTATTTCAAAAATAGATCGTATTGGAAATCTATGAAATTGTGAGGACAATCGGTCGATTTGCAACTTATTTGCGTGAAATTTTCGTTGGCAAGGTTAAGGTTAAGTCTAGGCACGCGTGCGACTTGATTGACGAGAGCCAATCTGCATTCTTGGCCGCCGATCAAAATCGAGGAAGAAGATTAGGTAATTGCTTTTTAAACAAAGAAAGAAATACAGAAAGCCTGTTGACCAGAAAATGACAAATGAAAGGAAAGTTCCAGAGCGCGTTGGGAAATATTCATAAATCAATGAACTCCTTTTAAATTATTTCATGTGGGAAAAAATTTCCACGTCTTTATGCCGGAAAATTGTGTCAAAGCTTTTATTTGAATTAAATTAAAATGTCTTCCAAGTTTAATATAAAAGTTAATGGGAATTAAATATCATTTTATGAAATTGATACTATGCGTGTTTTTTTTTATCTCGATTGTGGTTACGAAGCGGAAACTCGATGTGCCATAATACACGAGTTTCCTCAACAGAAACGTTTGAAACGGAGAAACCGACGGTTGTCATCACAATTCACGAAAACAAACATGGGTTTGAATTTCATTTTCAATCCAAAAGCTGCTTCAAATCAGACCACATCGTTGGGGTCGTACTTTGAAATGGGCCAATTTTTATCAATCAAATCTTTGCAACAATGGTGATTTGAAAAAAATGTGGTTCCATTGTTGCTAAGAATTGTTAAAGAAATTGATTTCAGTGTTGCAATTGATAATTGTTGATCGATTTGGGAAAAAATGTCCTCAGGTTGGCAATGGCCGGAGGTCGGCTCGTACATCACGGTGACCAGTTTTCTGGTGCTCACCGCCGTCGTCACCATCGGTACTAATTTGTCGAAATTAATTTCAAATTTAATTGCATTGTTGCAAAGGTTTCCACCACGTGCCTTCCCTGTCGAAATGGCTGCCCGAATCCTGGTGAGATTTTTGTTTTTACGAATTTTGAATTTGACTAGAATTTCTTTGGTTTGTTCGAAGCGTGTTGATCCTGCTGGGCGTCGCCGTGGGTGGATTGCTGCTGGGGTGAGTGTCCTGAAATTCGTTTCTTTCAATTTGGCCTTTGCATAATTCACACTTGTGTGACGCACTCGAATTTTATTGTTGTGGTTCTCACGCGCGATTCAATGAACCGGCCCGTCCGTCCCACCGAACGACCGCTCATTATAATTTATCAAGACAAATAGACTTTTCGTAATGGATCGTCAATATTGACTTTTCAACCGGCCCCGCTCTGATGCGACGCACTGCTTTTTATCTCCGTTTCAAAATCACCTTTCCCATCAAATCAACCACAATAAGGTTAAATTCATATTTTTCCACGATAATTCCAATAAAAAATTTTTATAATTATCTACGCACCGTTCAAATAGAAGGAAATATATTCCTAACTTGCAAATTTTCAATTTCAAAATGTAAAAGTTTCGATTTTCTTTAAAATTCATTATAAATTTGCCAACGTTTTCCAGTTTGTTTAAATAATTAAAATTGAAAATAAAAAAAGATCAAAAGACTTTTTTTTATAAAATGTAAAAAACAAAAACACCCTAAATTAAGTGTTTATCTTAATATGAATCCCAGCTGACACCTCTAAAGCCAGTAGGTTCTCAAAATGAATTTTCAATCATCGGCTAAAATTAAATTTTTATTGCCTTCGCTAATTTTTTTTATAAAAAATCTGTATAAAAGATTTTGTCCTGAATTATTAATATTTTGTTCTTGGAAATTTTTCAGCCCAATCATAATTACCATATTTTTGCCATAATTATTTTTTGTACCAGTAACCTCTGTAAAATGACCTTGACCTCGGAATGATTAGAACAGTCAGGATAGACGAGGAGGCAAAAAGAATTTTTTTGGTTTCAGCAGTATTTCTGTATCTCAAATAGAACCAGAGATATTAAATTTTTAAGTTGAAACTTCAGATTTTTTGGAAAGCTTTTAACATTTCCACGCCAAAATTAGTTAAATTAGGCGAACTTTTCATCTGATTTTCGCAGAGAAATTCACAAATTGTGATTTGACTTCAAAGTGTCTATTGAAGTATTTAAAATTAATATTTTAAAAACGATCAATTCAAATCGCGCCGTGAAAAATTCAAAAGCCAATCTTAAAAAGTGGCAATTTGCAATTAAAATTGAAAAAAAAATCAGAAAACTTATGATGATTTAAAGTTTTCAATTATGTCTATGTTAACATTTGAAAGTAAAAATAACCAAATTTTTAAATTGAATTAAAATTTGCAGCTTTTCTGGATCCTCGCCTGATTCCGGTGGCACTGGCAACAGCACCACGGTTTTCCCTTTTCCAACTTTCACGCCGAAACTTTTCTTCTACGCGCTTCTTCCGCCGTGAGTTTGAAACCATAATTTCTTTAATAATTTCCAAATTTTCTCACCCAACTCATTGTCAGGGTTATTTTGGAGTCTTCGTACAGCATTTACGAGATGGACTTTGCCAGCAACATCGGCACAATCATGCTCTACGCGGTCGTCGTAAGTTTTCATCTGGGAAATAAAATTTTTTTCTTTAATTTTTCATTTCAGGGCACCATCCTGAACACCTTTTCCATCGGTGGGGAATTTATTTGAATTGTAAATGAAATTTTATTTGCAAATATTGCAATTATCAGGGCCAGCGTTGTACGCCCTGTACCACATGGGCGCGATGGGCGGCGCCGATTTGCTCAGCGACGCGCCCTACGAACTGACCATGCTGGACGCGCTCATTTTCTCGGCCCTGATTTCGGCCGTCGACCCTGTCGCCGTGCTCGCCATTTTCCAGGAGACGCACATCGACAGGATCCTCTACTTTCTTGTCTTCGGCGAGTCTCTCCTCAACGGTATTTCATTTCGATTTTTCAAAATTTTCAATCAACTTTTCAGACTTTTTCAAAAAAAAATTTAATCATTTCTTTCAGGTTAAAATTTGTCTGCTATATTTTTTTTTTTAAACAGATTTTCGCTTTTAATATTCAGAAATATTAAAGAAAATTTTGAAATTCATGGAAATTACATTAAATTCAAATTATTTAATTAAAATTAACAAATTGCTTACTTTGATATAAAAAAAAAATGAGATTTGAATTTGAAATTGATTTTTTTGATTATTTTCGCCGCAAATTTTAATGTAATTTTTACATTTTATGTCACTTTTGGAATATGAAAAGTTTTAATTAACTCATTTTTCACATTAAATTAAATGTATCAAATTTTAGACGCGGTGACGGTGGGAATTTACCACACGCTGCTCGAGTTCGCGCGCGACGCGCATCCCGTGACCTTCGGCATGGTGTGCGTGGCCTTTCTGGACCTGCTGGCCATCGGCCTCGTCGGCCTCCTCATCGGCGTCGTCTTCGGCTTGGCCGCCGCCCTCGCCACCAAGACCACCAAACACGTCCGAGGTACAAATCTTTTTATTATTTAAATTTAATTAAATCAAAATTGCAGTTTTCGAGCCGCTGCTGATTTTGGGCATCGCGTACTTGGCCTACATGAGCGCCGAGTTGTTTCACTTTTCAGGCATCATCAGGTGCGGATTTTCTTTTAAATTTAATTTTCTTTTTCAATTTTCGACTGTGGGAAATATTTTAGTATAATCGGATGCGGACTGGTGCAGTCGCACTACGCCCTCAGAAACGTGTCAAGAAAGTCGCGAACGACAGTCAAGTATTTCGTCAAAATGATGAGGTTTTTTATTGGAAATAATTATTTTCCTAATTTAATTAAAAAAAAAATAATCAGTGCGATTAGCGAGGCGATAATTTTCCTCTTTCTGGGCATGGCGTTTTTCATGGAAACGCCTGAAATCCACTTTGGCTTCATCGTGTGGACACTCGTTTTGTGCCTCATCTGCCGATTCATTTGTAAGTAAAAAATTTACCCCAATTCTAAATTTATTTTTAGAAATTGTCTTTTAAATATAGTAAAACTATTATAACTCCGCTTCAATCAAAGCTAGAACAAAAATGACCCCGTTGGTTTCCTCTTTCGAACGACGTGTCACACTTCATAAATAAAATCCAGGCAAGGTCAAAGGTCACCAGGGTCAATGACCATTTATGACCTGGTCAAAATTTGTGATACGTTTTTGGATAGGTCGTGTCAAGGCGATCACTTTTTATAATTACATACTTTGGGCTATATTGCTCAAAAAAAAAGTTAAAGAGGTTATAAGACCCAGAAAATTAGATCGGAAATCCAAGTTTTTTGCGTTTCTAATTTTTCAAATAAAAAAACTGTGATACTTGTCACTATTGAGAAGAACGATTTTTATGTTAAATTTCACGTTCTACAAAATGGCTATCTCAGAATCAAAGTATATTTGAGGAATAATGTTCAATTTTGAAGTCAAAGGTCGCAAGTTCACCGGAAGTGACCCTGAACTTTGACCTACGATTTTGCTTTCAGCGGCAAAGTTGTGGAGGGCAACGAGACGAGATCAACCATATCCGGAATTTTTTCTACGACCACGGGAAGCCGAGATAAAGTCGATCGAAAATTTCAAAATCCCCCAAAATCCATAAATGTAATTTTTTTTTATAAATCTCTTGGCGTGCTTTGAAGTTTCTAGAATTTGATTAATTAAGATAGGTTGACCCTGGCAAAATTGTCGCTGTTTTCGCAGCAAAAGTTTGGAATAAAATAAAAAGAATCTTTTGAATTCAGCCGTGTTTCTGCTGACGGACTTGGTGAACGCGCGCCGCGTGCGTCGGATTTCGTTCTTCGAGCAGTTCATCATGGCGTACGGGGGTCTGCGCGGGGCCGTTTGCTTTTCGCTGGGCCACATGCTGTCCCCGGAAGTGGTCAAGCCGAGGGCCCTTTTCCTCACCACCACCCTCGCCGTCATCATTTTCACCGTTTTCCTCCAGGTTTTCTCAGCGAAACCAATTCCAAAAATTTCCCAATAAAATCTCCTTTTTCCAGGGCACGACCCTGAAGCCCCTGATGAATTTGTTCCACATCAAGCGGTGCGAGGACAGCAAACACCGCCTGCTCATCGTCGACTTGACCGAAAATGTTTGATCAAATGTTTTGTTAAATATTATTTTCATGTTAATTTGCTCAGATGGGCGCGTTGATGCTGGCCGGCTTGGAACAAGTCATAGGAATCACCGGACACTTTTCCGTCTTTGTAAGGATAAAAAATTATTCAAATCGCGTTTTAATATTGGTCCGAAATTCAGTCCAAGCTGCGGCAGTGGGACGAAAAGTACTTGAAGCGCCTTTTCCTCATTTCCGAGTGCGAGCCGGACGTGCTCATCGCCTACCGCAGACACGCACAGTACCAAGTTTAATTAAAAAAGGTTATTGATTTGTACTCACTGATGTTGACGTGCAGGACGATGATGTTCAGCAAGGTAGTGCAGCAGGGCCAGGAGGAGACGCGCGTCCGCGTCCACAGCCAGGACAGCGTCCAGCACAGGCAGAAAATCAAAACCATGCTGCAGAATTTCAGGGTTGGGTTTATTTTTCCGAAAATTTTGAAAATTTTACCTGAAAATTCCAGCCGATGTCCTTCACGAGGCACAATGTCGAGGACGACGTCTGCGAAGAGGAGCCGTCGACGTGCATGAAAAGGGAGTCGCAGATCTTGGGGGCCATGCACATCCAAGGGGCTTGGCAGAGGCGCAACACCCAAGGTATGCAAAAAATTCGCTGCAATCACAACTTTTCATTGAGTCTCCGTTCTTAATAGATCTTTTTGTTTTGGAGGAAGCGTGAAAGGAATTGTTTTGTTGTTCCGAGAATTAAATGTAAGATTTGAAATCACAATAGGCATTTTTTATTACTATGATCAATAATAAATTATGATAATAAGCTCTTGTAGATGTTTGGTGGAGATTTTTAAGCTTTTTCAAAGCCCACATTTATGTATATGTTCACAAAAGATCACCCTTAACCTGTAACCAAAATGTAATTTTTTTCTCTTTTTCTCTCTCTCTTCTGAGATATTCGATAAAAAAGTGTGTATTATTCTTATTATTATTAAAAACCTTAGCAGTACTTAAAAAAGCAAGTGAAAACAAGAATAATTATATAATATAAAAATTATATCCGAGAGTGAAAAGAAAAAATCAACAATCACGTATATTGTGTGATAAAAATCATCGTCCAACAAGTAACCACAGGATCAAAAGTTGGAGAGCTCAGCACACGCATGTCAGGTCACCGCCAAATTCTGCCGTACAAATATATAAAAAATTTTGTCCCTTTCGACGATCAAGAAGGCTCGACCACTTTGGCACAGGAAAATCAAAAAAATTTTCTGTCAGAAATAACAAAAAAACTTCTCGCAACATTTCAATAATTCAGACTTGCGACAGGCTTTGCCACGGAAAGCTCGCCAAAGCCCTCAGAAAGCGCGCACTCATTCAGCTGGACTGACTTCTTCTTTTCTTGTTGCACAATTTTAACTCTAAACACTGATTACAATCTAGCTACACATCCAAGATTCGCAATTGTTAGGCGTCAGATTAAGTAATCGAATATCACTATGGGAGAGTAAACAGATTTAAGAAAGAGTAACAAAAGTTGGCCACAATTACGCGAGGGGGGTTATCTCATCTTACAAACTACAGCACTGTCCACAAACACCATATTATTCCTGTTTTTTTTTTATGCTACTAAGTATTATCGGCGGCGCAAGTAAGTCTCCTCAAACTTAACAGCGATTCCAAGTGTGTGTGTCTCTTCGCTGAACCTGCCTTCGAAGGCCTAAGGCACACTGGACCTTTGAGCAAAACAATCAGACCTTGATTTCATCTTTCGTTAATTTTTACTCACTTTGTGGCACAAAGTTTGTTAGTGGTCTCCTCTGAGCAGCTCCATCAACAGGTTGAAACTGGACGAGCCTTCCCCGTCCTTGTTCTTCAGGCTCAGCATTTCTTTGCCGATCTGTCCGACAATTAAATCATTCATTAGGAAATTTTGCAAAAAACACTTTCAACCAAAACTGCAGCTCACCTGACAGGCTCTCTGCAGTTCAGGAATCCGCAGCAGCAGCTCGCCGAATTTGGATGGCAGGTCGGGGTACCTTTGCAAGGTATAATGCTGAAGGGCCTCCAATACTTTTTCTTGAGACGCTCGCACCTTTTCAGGCTCTTTCAGGTCAGAAGTGTCTGCAATTTTTTTTTACGGTCAAAGAAAAACTCAGTTTTTCTACAGCTTTTAGTTTTAATATTAATCAAATTAAAGTGTTCTTTGAAACCTTTTGTGTTCAATTAAAAACAAACTGATAATTAAATGACAAATTTTCAGCCCGTTTCTGGTAATCTTGAAACCAAAACTGATGTCAGTAAATTTAAAGAGAGTAAAAAAATCTAATTATTTTAACTCATTTTGGTTTAAGCCACCTTATTCTAAAAAAAGAGTCTCATTAACTCTCATTTTTTTCTTATGGCCAGTTTTGAATATTTCCATTAATATCTCAAACATTGATTGTAAGTGCGACAATTTTGTACCTGAAGTAAGTAGAACGATGACCTTCATCGCTACGTATTCGTACTTGTCCAGTCTGAGGCGGCGCAGGTGCTCGGTGAAGTTGAGCATGCGTTCGATGCAGGGCCCGAGGCCGAGCGCGCGGGCCTTCTCCAGGGACAAAGACTTGCCCAGGGAAACGCGGATCTCTCCAGGAGACGACATTGAGCGGAAGCAGCAGGAAAACAACAGCAGCTCGCACCAGGCGTTTATTAGCAGAGCTATTTGGTCATCAATCTGGGTTGAACCAAGATTTCAGCATTTGATTTATTTTTTCAACAAAAAAATTTTACTCACGGATATGTATTTGAAAAGAGGCAAGCTCTTGCACCACTTGACGATCTTGTACAGTCTGTGATCAGCGATGGAGCAAAGATTCTGAATGAAATCGGTGCTGCCGTTTGACGCAGCAGCGGCCTGCAAGGAAATTTTTTTAGCGAAACAATCAAATATGATCTTTTCATGAGATTTTACTTGAAGGATGTCTTGGTTGGAGGCGGAACTCGAGTCTTCCCCAGTGGAGGCCAAAAGGGCCATCTCGGCCGCGGTCCTCGCCCTCCTCGAAGACGGACCCCCGCTCTGCTCGTAGTGCCACAAGTGCTCCACGTCCATGATTTCCTTCAAATTCAGATTAAAATCAAAGTCACATGTTTTTTATTTTTAAGAATTTACTTGTAGGAGCTGCGGCACGACGCAGTGCAGACCGTTGCTGCTGGCTCTGGCTTCGGAGGCGGCCATGTTCTCCATTTTGACCCTGGTCTGCTCTCGCTGGGCCGACATTTGAGCTGCCTGAAATGCCTGATGCAAGGTCAGCGCCAGATTTATTGGAAATCAAAGAAGCTTTTACGTGCGAGTGGTGAGCTGAGGTGGAAGGTGCGAGGTTCGGCGACGCCAGCTTCTCGGGCGAGTGCTGCTGGTCCATGCCTGAGCTGCCAGGGGGGATGAGGGTGGTCGGCAGGGTGTACGAACACTGGTACGTGCTTCGGCCACCTCTTGTCCTGTCCTCTCGGATTGCTAAATTCAAACGAATCTTACAATTAACATCTTTGTCATTCAGATTTGCATGTAATTTTGAATAATTCTTTAAAATTTTGATAATTATCATCAGTATTATTTACAATTTGTTCTTTAAATTGCATTCATAACAAGTATTCTATTCTTCTTCCATTTTGAATTCAAATTTTGTTCTCATTATTGAGAAAATTATCAAACGAAATGAAATGGAACCTTCGAGTTTCATGCCGGCCTTGAGACACTTGTCGAATCTGCACGCCGGACACTTCTTCCGGGTGGCGATGGTGACCGGACAGGCCGACCCACGCAGACAGACATAGTTCTTGCGGTTCTGGACGGTCCTCTTGAAGAAACCCTTGCAGCTTTCGCACGAGAAAATGCCGTAGTGGAAACCGGAAATTTTGTCTCCGCAAATGGGGCAGGGGGAGTTGATGAGCTGCTGCCGCGAGATGCCTGCGCCCGACGAAAGACTCGGCTGGTCGTCCACGTCGTCCCTCAAGTATTGTCCTGGACAAGATAAAACAAAAATAGTCAGAAATTGAATGTGAATTTGATGCAATTAAAAAAAATCTGCTCTGGAACAAATGCCATGAAAGCTGAAATTTTTTTCTTCTAATGAGAGGCTTTTTTTATTTTATTTTTAATTAACTAAAAACAGACATAACTCTGGTTCAAATGACTCACACACGTTTTCTTGATATTTCTGGCAAGAAAAAAATGCAGCCTGCAAGATAGAATGGTAAGAGTTTGGTCAGACCTTGTTTTGGTACAAAATAGGATAAGTTATTAATTCAGAATAATTAGAAAAAACAATTTGTTTTAAGTTTACTAAAATGGATTTTCAGCCTAGGGTAATTTTAAGCAAGAAAATGTTTCATACAAAAGTTGTAGGAAATGTAATTGCGTGCATTTTATATATTTACCAATTTCTTCAAAATCCAGGAAACGCGCAAGCAGGAATGTTCAAAAATGTGGTTTTATTCAAATTTTCGTTCAATGCTGAATTTTTTAAGTGAATTTATTTTGAAAATTATTGATATGTTTTGTACCAAATCTGGGTCTGAAAGATTTCTAACAGTTCCAATGTTGTGGGACACATTTTTTTCCACAACCATGAAGAAAATGTGTCCAAGTCAATTAGAACAAAATTTATGACTTTTTTCAAAATAATTCAAAAATTACATTGATATCAAAATTTAGTTTCAAGATGATGTTTTTAAAAAGTGTTCTTTTTGTTCAAAAAATAACATTTAAAATTTAAATATGACAATAAATATGGCAAAAAAGTTGTTATTTTCCAAAATATTTCTGCTGCTGTCCTTCAGGTTGTAGCATTTAACAAAATTTTTAAGAAAACCACATTTTGAAACATTACTACACTTCTAGTGCTTTTCCTAAATTGGAAGAGAGTTGTTAATACAAAAAATACCCTGCAAATTTTGTTTGAAAAATTTCTAGTAAAACAATTACCCTGGGCCACAAATCCATGTTAGTGAAACTGAAACACAAATGTTTCCCTAATTATTCCAAATTATTGAGATATTTTGTAGTACTAAAATTAGGTCTGAGCAATTTCTTACGGTTTCTATCTTGTAGACTATATTTTCGTCTTTCCAGAACCATAAAAAAAAAAACGTGTCTAAGTCAATTAGAACCGAAGTAATGGCCGTTTACAGTTAACTGAAGTTAATTTCTGAAAAATTCAAAATGAGATTCGTCTTTCATGGAATTTGTTTCGATTGGCCTATTTTCTAAGAAAATAAATTGAATTTAAATTTTTGAGATTAATTTGAGATCCTCACGATGTCTCAAGAGAAATGACCACCTCTGCAAATGACACCACAGAAGTGAAGAAGGAAATGAGAAAAAATGTGATTAAATCACCTTCGTGGTGGACGGGGTCGTGAAGATAGACGAGCTTGTCGTCGTCGGACCTGGCGTAGACGACGACGCCCTGGTTGGGCTGGACAGAAAAGTCCCTGTGCGCGGCGAGGAGGTGGAGGGGGTGGCGGGCCTGGACGGGGCTGTGCGAGGGGGAGGAGAACTGGGCGGGCGACGAGTAGCACGAGCCGGTCGAGTGCTGCGAGTACTGGGACGCGTCCGAGCTGGTCCTGGACAACGAGGGCGTCGCGTGTCTGGTCGAGTAGGGGCTGCTGAAGCCCGACGAGCTGAGGGGGTGTCTCGAGGCCACGGGCGACTGCGTGGGGCTGTAGTAGGCCGAGTGGATGGCCGAGTCGGGGCTCGGCGTCGGCGGGTGGTGCTGCGACTTGCTCAGCAGCATGTGCCGCTGGGTCAACGGGCTCTGCGAAGGGGTGTACGGCAGCCCCGGGGGCAGCGAACTCCCCTTCAATACTGATTCCTCCCGGTGCTCCGCGTTCCCCGCGGCCACCTGCATTCCTTTCTCCGTCATCTGAAGCAAAAGTTTGGTTTCAATTCAATTTCTTTGGAAAATTCCATATATATTGTTTTGTTTTCAAACGATTTTGTGCTGATCTTCTATGTTTTTAAGAGGCAAATAATTGTACATAAAAATTTCAATAATTTTTTGATATAGAATTGTGAACATAAGTTGATGATTATATGTGCCAATCGATTCTTGCATTGATTCTCGTGCAAGCATTCTCAAGGTACGTTTCTGCCATTGAAAAACCACCACAGAATGATCAGAATCGCTTCTCAAGAATCGCTGCAAGAATCAATACTCTTATATTCGGACCCACCCTATGCAAAATTAGAATCCAAATTATTCAAATTTTCAGAGGTCAAAGTGCAGATTTTAGGATGAAAATCACTTTTTTTCCACTCAGCAACAAAATTTGGTCCGAATGTTGGAAATTTTCAACCATCTTACAATTAGTATTCTGTAGCTTTTGATTTCCAATAGTAACAGCTTTAAATTCTCAATTTAAATTATCTCCTATTGACAAGTTTAAATTATGCAAATCGTTGTTGTTTGAAGGGAATTCAGTTTTTTGATGAATGGCTTTTCTTGCAAATAACCAAAATAAGGTTGAAACTTTGTGGAATTTTTTAAGTGTTGGAGCAAAAGAACCTATTTTCGTACATAAATTAACCAAAGGTTCCACTATGAAAATCTAAATAATTTTGGAATTTGAACAGACTGTCTTAAAAACAAGATGCATCAAAATGTAAAATTATAAGTCTTCAATTTTGTTCATTTTTGAATGGAATTTTAATAAATTGAGTTAATTCTAGAAAGTTTGAAACATTGAATTCTTATTCTTCAGTCTGCTTATTATTATTATTATTATAATTTATTATAATCGTGTGTGTGTGTGTTTTTTTTTAAATAAAATGAGAGATTGGAATGTTGGTGAAGTTTGAAGGTAATTACAGGAGGCGGTTTGATGTCGAGGAGAACCGGCATGGGCGGCGAGCAGCGCGTGGGCGACGCTCCGCCGCATTGCACTCCTTCCATCGACGCTTCTTCTTCGTACTCCTGCTGTTGCTGCTGCTGCAATTTGTAAGGAGAATACTGATCACGTTGGCCGCGCTCCAACTTTTCAACAAAATCAACAAGCATTGAACAAAAATAATAAAATTATCATCGCAACAGATTGAGCCGATTTTGAAAGGAGCGAGGAATGCGGCAATTAAATGAGCAACAGGTTGTTTCAGGAAATGCCTCGCTCGTTACTAATTCATGCCCTCTAATGAAATTAAATTTTTGTTCAGTGAATCACGCCGACGAAGCACAATTTCCTGATCAAATCAAATAGTTAAAAAGAATTCTATAAAAAAAAAAATGAGAAAAATTATTTTCATCAATTTTTTTTAACTATTTTTATATTTGAAACAAATAACTTTTTTGCCCATTTGAAAAAAAGAGCGGTTTTTTCTTTTTTGGCGACAGTGAGAGCGCTCGAAGAATGTTGCCAGGAAGGAAATGGCCGCGCGCGCACTGCCCTGGGCGTGAAAGTGGACCTGGCTTTGTCATTTGCGTTTTTTCTCGCTACAATGCGGACAAACCTGCAGGGAATTGGCCTGCGCGGCGGCAACAATGGCACCTCGACCAGCGACGATCGCCTCGTCCAGCCGACTCATCTCCGAGTCGGACAGTTCGCCCTCCCAGGACATGGGACGCTCGGCGTCCCGGCTGTCCTCGTCCACGGTCGACGACTGCGACGTCAGCCCGCTGCTGCTCGAAACGCGCTTCTTCTTCTTCAGACGCATGTTCACGCCGGCTACAATTAATTAAAAACAAAATTGATTAAAAAATGGCTGTTAAATAATTATTCAAATCAGGAGTAATTTTCTATACTTTTTCAGTCAATATTTTAAATTGATGGGAAATTGTTGTGAACAATTAATCAAAATAATAAATTGCAATTAATTTGAAGCAAATAAACAATATAAAATCAGACTTTCTAATGAAATGGTCTTCAATTTACATAATTAAATGTTCTTCACAACTTTAATTGTTGATTTTTTTTCTGAAATTATCCAAAACCAAGATTATCTTATAAAAATAAATATGTTTAGTCACAATTAAAATTTTACACAAAAGTAATTTGGATTGCATTAAATCTGTAAAAATATCTTTTTCTCATGTTAAATTTAATTAGAAACGCAAAATTTGCTGTTTTGAAAGCTGAGCTAACTTATTTTATCCTAGAATTATTTAACATTTTCTAGTTTTAAATGATTCATTATGCAATCTTCATTCTAACAAAGCATAATTTCATTTAAATGATTAAAATTCTAACAAGAATCTCTAATTGGCCAATTTTCGAACAAAATTTTGAAGTAAAAATTGTCTTTGATTCAATTATAAAAAAATTTTGTGTCTCACCGGCTGAGATTCTGCTGACTTCGGAGTCTGAGAGCGAGCCTTCGTCTTCCTGGCCCTGCTGAGGGCCGTTGAACAAGTTGAGGGCCTGCGTCTGGCAACTTTCGTTGTTTCTGAGGCCGCCTGAAATCAACGCCAATTCCGACGTGAGGTGTGAATTTCGCGCAGATAAGCAGCGTAATTAGGCAAGGACGCCTCGCCTTTATCTCAATGCCAAGGAAGTCGACGCAGATTAAAACAAAAGTTCTCAAAATAGTCACGCTTTTCAAATTATTAAAAGAACTTTGGATAAAAAGAATCCATGATTTCAAATTTTCATATAGAAAGTTCAAGCTTTTAAAGGTGACCCTGAACTTGGACCTACAAGTGGAAAATTCCCTAAAACTTTGAAAATTTCATCATAATCTTCAATCTTCATCAGGAATGAAGATATTTTTGAAAATAATTTTTAAATTCAAATGTTGTCAAAACCGTTTGCCAAAAGTGTCCCTTTAAAAGTAGAAATTGATTGGCCGAAATGACTGACCCTCTTCGGGGATGGTGTTGAGGTTGTTCTCCTCTTTGATTCTGTCGATGATGACGCCATTGGGCTTGGGGTAGTGCCAGTGCTTGTGGGGCATGGCGTTGGGTGCCTCCACGCCAGAGGACTCGCTCATCTTTCGTCACCGTATCATCTGGCCGGGCTGCGCACTTCAGGCCTACCCTGAGAGCAGCCTGCCCTGACCGCCGACGACCCTCACCATTGCCTGCCGAACGCGCAGCTGCCCTGCCTGCGTCCAAACACCATCCAAGATGCCTGAAACACACACAAAACGCCATTCTCAATTCCAGCTAAAAGATATCAAAATCGGCTTTAAAAATTTTTCAAAATTGGCGGAATCATCAATAAAATTTATTGAAAAACTGTGCATTTAATTTTGGAAAAGTTGAATTATTCGGTCTTATTGATGGCCAAAAAATCCTCTCAACGAGACCTTTTCAAGTATGCATCGCACATCTAGGTCAGGTGACCTCCGGTCACCTACCTGAGTGACCTTTGACCTTTAGGTTACCAAAGGTAATTGATATTTACACCATTAGATTGGTCTTGGCGTGGGGATTAACTTTGGTCATTATAAATTTTTACCTAAAATCAACAGGAACAAAGTTAAACGCTACTAAAATGTTGACCCTATGCAAAAAAAAAACACGTTTTTTAATCTTTTTATTCATTTTTAAATTTAACAAAGCATAATCTCATCGCACTACAGACATATGTGAAGTAAAATTTCACAAGGAATCGATTGGCTATCTCGAAATTAATTTAGAATGGTCGGCCGGTTTTCAAATTTGAGTTTGAAATCTTCGGGTCACTGAAAATGACCTTGACCTTTGACCTGCAATTTTGCTTTCCGCAGAAAAGTTGTAGAGCTTGTCGAGACGAGTTCAGCCGTCACCAAAAAATGGTTCTGCAACCAGTAGAAGCCAAGATAATTACGATTTTTTCAAATTTGCAAAACGTCACAGAAAATCCGTAACTTTGACAATCTTTTGATAAAAACTTAAAAAAAACTCGCCTTAGAAGTGAGATAATTAATTGGTAATCTGCAACTAGGGGCGGGGGATGAGAAAAGAGAAAGAATTGGGCAAAATTTGAAAGTTTAAACGGCGTCTCGATCCAGTTTGTCGCATTCTTCGCCGGTGATTATTCATTTATTTGATTATGAGACGCGGAGAGCGAGAAAGAAAAAAATTGAAACGCGCTCGCATAATGTTGTGTTGCAGTGGCCAAGGTCGGACCGACGCTTTCAATCTTTTCCTCTTACTTTTCAGGCCGAAGGATTTTCACAATTACCTGCGTGCGTTCACCAATCGCAACCGATGCGATCAAATCCACATTCATTTCACTCGCAGAGATAATTGAATCTTACGAGCAATTTTCTCACTGGCTTTTGTTTTAAATTCAACACAATTTTCCTTTAATTTCATCAAATTATATTTAAAATTCAAGCACAAATTTCACTATTTTCCCCTTTTATAGAAATAAGAAAATGGAGTTAATGAATTTTCTACAAAATATCCAAATAAATTACAAGTTTCTAAATTTTTACAGAAAATCAGATTAAATACAATTAAAATTAAAAAAAATTCTACATGCGAGCAACCTGGATTTAATTATAAATGTAAAAATTAACATTTTCAACCGTTGATATAAATTAAATACGAAAATTCTGCAGTTTTAAACTTGCCAAATATGAATAGTTTAGAGCAAAATTAATTAATCAACAATTAACAGCCAACTTTATTTGCTTAATTCAATAAGTTATTAATTTTAATTCCAAAGAAGTGTTTTAAATGAAGAATAAAAAAAAATTATTATAATAAAAATGAAATGTTTTAAAAGCATTAAGGCTTAAATATGGTTTTAATTGCAATTAAAATAGAAGCGTGACGTTGATAAACCAATTTTAAATAAATAATTAATTTTAATGTTGTTTATTAGTCCACTTTGTTGACATTGAATTGTTGAAAACGTTTTGTTTGAGAAAGGAATTGTTGCAAGAAAAATGCTTCAGCATTTTGAGCGTTTTGATAGGAATCGTAAATTTGGCAAGGAATCCCTTTGGGCGTCCAAGTGAGTCGAAGTAAAATTCACTGCGCGGCTGGAAAAGTGAAGCTAATTTATGCGCGAGCCGTGCCAAGAAAGTGACTCATTTTGCCAAAAGTGGCCACCAAACTTCTTCTTCTTTTGTGTAAGCAAAATTAACCACCGAAATGGGCAACTCTCGAGTTTTTTTATGAATTCGCAGGAAAAAGAGAGAGAAAGAAGATGATTCACGCGTGGTGCGAAGAAGTGAGTCGAAAAGAGCGTTTGGTGCTGGCGCGTGACGTCATGACCTTTGCGCGTGACCTTGAGTGCGCGCGAGCAGAGTCGCTTGTCTGCCGGCAGGTAACCTTAAACTTGAATTAAGCGAGCGTCCTCGATGCCACCCTGCCGAGGAGGGCTGCACCCCCTCACCACGTGTGTCGCCCCCACCGTGCGAATTCGCAAACGCCAAAAAGGAAGGACGACGACCTTGGCCCGAGTCCGACCATTATTTCTACAAACTTCTTTTCCTTTGAAGCAAATTCGATTTTACGGCCTGGAAATCAAGCTAATTTTAACTATTCTGTGGTTTCATTTTATCGTCTGGAGTTTAATCTGATAAGTTAAATTGTAAGTTTTGCCTCTTTTTTTATTCAAAAGGATTTTTTTTTTACTTTCAAGTTTCCTGTTTGGAGATGGATGGAAACTTAAAAAAATGTAGTTCATTTGACAGATAAATGAAAACAAAAATAATCAGCTTTTTAAAAATAAAAAAAAGCACAAGTCCAAGACAATTTGAAAGTTTTGTAATGATTGTTGATCAATTAATTGAAGAAATTAATTTTGATTTAACCTTTTTAAACTGCCTGTTTTTTCCATTAAAAAAAGCTCTAAAATTGGCGTTTTTTTTAATTAGCACAACTTGCATAATATTATTCTGCTTCAGGCGTGTTTGCATTTCCGATTAAGAGGATTATTGTTTTTGGTGGAGAAATTTTGAGCCCGCAGCGCCTGTAAGCGGTTTCCGAGCTTTCCTGAATTCCGAGAATTGGATCCGCTTGAAGGAAAAAACCGAATCGCTTCTTCGAGTAAATCAAAGTCAATTTCAAAACAAAACGCCAGCAAGTAAAAATTATAGAGGGCGATCCAAAAGCCTAACCTGACTTAGCTCCGAGCTAACTTAGCCCACCAGCAAAATTGAATAGCGGGTTAAATTAGCCCGGGCCAGGTTAATTTAGCCTGGGTCAAGTTAGCCTTTTGGATCGCCCTCATATAGACTCTGCAATAAGATTAAATGTTTTTAATTAAAAGAAAAATATTAAATTTTGCAATATTTCGATTGCCTTTGAAAATTTCAGTTTGATAGAAAATACGATTCTGGTCTTGTGTAAGGAGGAAAGCGGCGGCTGTGCCGAGCAAGAGGAGTCTGCTTGTCTGAAAGGCACAGCAACGGTGATGACGAGGAATTCACCTCAATTATAAAATAATATGCAGCCATTCACAGCCGCGACCTTTGCGTGTCCGCGGACGCCACAACACTTGCACGCACAAACCTCTTGCTCAAAATTTCCAATCAATTCGAATTCGGAAAAAGCCAGAAATTAAAAAAAATCTAAAAGAAAATGATTTCAAAGTTGATATAAATTTACCGAAACGAATCAAGTTGTTCGTCCTGAGAAGAAAATTTTCAACTACAAAGCATTTTATTTCATTAAATTCCGATTTAATTTGAATTGAAATGTTTGGAAAATGTAAATAATAAATTTGACGTGTTAGTTTGTGGAAGATCGATCGCCAGCGGAGGAGAAAAAGTGAAGGCTGGAAAAGAGCAAAAAGCGGCGGCCCGTCCGCTCTTTCTTTTTCAGGTGGATTCCTTAATTATTTTTTGCCCGTCCGACCTTGAGAAAAATGAATTTTCCTTCGCCGCGCCGCCGCTCCGACTCAAAGCGCGCGCGAGAGAGAAAAAATCGCTGCTCTTCGAGATCAACAACTCGCGAGAGCCGACCAAGCAACGGTTCGTCTTCTCAGCCGCGCGCAGGTGACACTCGCGACCATGCAAAACAATACACAACTCCAAATCTAATTCAATCGAGAGCACTTTCTTTAAAAATAAAAAAAAAAAATCATTTTGACCAAAAAGTTAATTAAATCCGATTATATCCGGTTTTTTTCTGTATTTCCTAAAATTTGATGGTTATTTGTTAATTAATCTTCTTAAAAAAGGCTTTTCAATCAATACAATAACATTTATTGTTTAAAAAAAAGAGACATGTGGAAATTTTTATCAGAGATCGTCGGTTTCAATATTAACTTCTTTCTTTTTTAATTTAAAATTTGAAGTTGTAGAACATTTGACAGAGATTCAAATTAGCCACAGAGTGTTTTACATTTATTTTTTTGATTAATTGTGTTATTTTCATATAATGGTTTATTTTTAATAAAAGTACGAAAAAACTTGGCTTCAAAATTTGCATGTTAAAAAAAAAATGCCCAAACGCAGAAAAATCCTCCAGAAAAAAAGATAAAAATAGTTAACTCCATAAGGATCATTTTGATAACCAGAAAATTGGAGTTCACCGCATAAATTTTTGAGGAAATCGCATTTCTACGTAACGTGGCTCGTTAATGAAAGATTTTCACAAAAATCATTTGATCGCATTTAAAACAATTTAAACCAGATTGATATCAGTTTTTGACCCACCAACATGTTCCTTGATGACCCTTCTACAAATTTGGCACCAGAAAATTGGGGCTCACCGCATTAAGTTTAGAGGAAAATTAAAATGAAGGTTGAAAAGCGTGTTTGTTTGCAATTTTCTCATTTCAATCGAAATTTGAATAAAGATTCTTTTCAATTAAAAAATTGATCTCATAGTTAAAACTAAAGATAATGTGGGGAATTTTCTTCCAGTCATTATTAGTTTTCAATCATAACTCCTTTGGAATAATTACATTGTAAAACAGTTAATTCGATATGCCCAAAACGGTTCATATATATTCCAAATTTTTTTGAAATTTTGGGTAGTTGTTTTTATAATGAGTAATTAATGAAAACCTGCGACCAAACATGTTAAAAAACAGACGACAATACTTCTTACAAGCATAATTTGAAGCTCCGAACAATTAAAAAATGAACTCGAATTGTTGTTAAAAAGTCAACGCTCGTTCCTGTTTGTGAAATTGAACGTGTTTTGACCCCCCGGGGGGTCCGCGACTTGTTAATGCGTCGAGCGATCTAATTTCGGCGACAATTTCTTCGCCGTGTACTTAAATTGCGGGAAATTTGAGACACTACAATGTCGCCAAGGTCTTCTTTGGACGCGTGGGAAATTTATTCCGGCAACACGCACACACAAATCGAACCGAATTCATTAAAGAACTGCGTTGGGACTGCGTTGCGGTGGAAAAATAAAAATTGTTTGCGATTTTGAAAAGCGCTTTTGGGATTTCGGGATGTCGGAGGAGGCGGCGGCGGCGTTTTTGCTGGCGCGAGTTTCTAGACTGGCTGTACATAAAATAAAGAGCTAAGCCCGCTAGCGACTGGTTCTGTCCAAGGTCGGTGGCTGCAGTTAAGGCAGCGGCTTTCGGCCACTGAACCCTGAGAGCAATCGCGCTTTGTTGCCTTCCTTCGCTGCTGCTGCAGGTACTCGCGCCGCCGAGAAACGCCAGCCAGCCAGTCCAACCAACCAACCTTTCTTTCTTTCGCAGCCAACAATTATTTGTTTACCATTCGCCAAAGCACACTCGCCTTCCACCCTGAACCGCCACTTTTCCTTAATCAAAACCCTGAATTTGGCCGAATTTCGGTTTAAAAAGGAGACTTCTGTCCAATTTGTCTCGCCAAAAGTTGAAATAATCAACCTAAAATCGCCCAAAATAACTCTGGAATTTTAGTATTTCCTGTTTTAAATCATTTAATGTTCCAAACAATGCAAATCTAGTTCAAATTTATTACAAAATAAAAATCGGAAATTTCAGTAATAAAAAAAACGGCAAATTTTGCCGATTTTAATTTAAAACGAATAATGTCCAATTTCTCTTGCCAAAAGTTGACCAAATCATCTTCAAATCACCTAAGACTATTTGAAAACATTGATTTGATTGTTTTAAATCATTTACCGTCCCAAAGGATCCATTTTATTACAAAATCATTGAACATCTGAAATTTCATTAATTTAAAACAACAAATTTTGCCAATTTTCCATGCTTCAGGTGAAAATATCACAAAAACTAATAAACATATCATTGCAAATTTTTAGTATGTTATTTTACATGACTTGGGCTACCTTTTATGTATTTGACACTTTCATTTACGTGGATTTCTTCTATCAGAATTTTTAGTTTGCAGTTTTTTTATTACTACTTGAGGCCATTACTGACCTTGAACATCGACCTATGACCTCGAGGTCAATGGTAAAGTTGTGTGCAGTGAAAAGGTACGAAAATACGTGGAAATTCCTGCTCTCTAATTAAATTTTTAAGTCAGCTATGCCCATTTCAAAATTTAAAAAAAGCAAAAATCCGGATGAGATTTTTTAAAATTTGCAAATGAAATTTTGGATTCTGAAATTTGTCATCCATGTACCTATAAAATGTATAAAATATGTCAAAATGAAAATGAGAATAGTTTGATTGCAAAAAATGGACCTCACAATTCATCTGTAATGTCTCCACATTACTTTCTTCAATTAAATTTCAGTTTTTCAGGCGAAATGGAGGCTCAAATTAAGGTTTACTTAAAATTTGATACCTCTTTGCAAAATTTATTTTTAATCCCGAAGAAAATTTCAATATTAGCGTTGATTATTACTTATTAGGTTGATTTAAATTAAAAAAAATTATTGTAATTTTTTTTTTTTCAATAATTTCAATTACAAATTATTTAGTCATCATTAGTTTGAAATGAATTAAATCGACGTGTTTGATCGAGGACTTGCGACAACCTTGAGAGCAAAACACGTGTTTCGCCCAAAAGAAAGGGTTGCGTTCGGCAAATTTGCATTTGAAGGCGAAAATCTTCTAGAAAAACGTGCGCGACCGGATTTTGAGCGGCGCGATCTCGGGTTGAAGGGCCCGTGGGTCCTCTCGGGGGCCCACCGCGGCCCATGTAAATAAACGTTCAAGGTTGCACGCGGGACACGGGGGCGGTCGGTGCTCGCGCGTTCGAGAGGCCCGCGAGGAGCCGTGGGGGGCCGGAGGGCCCCGCGGGGGCGGGCCGGGGACTCACCTGCGCGCGTGGCCAAGAGTCGGGGCCCTGCGAGTCCCTCAGGGGCCGTCACTAGTCATGCTTGGCGCGGAAAACCGAGATCGAGGCCCACCTTGCAGCCTTTCTTCCTCCACTGATTAGAATGGACCCAAGGTAAAGAAAAGAAACAAAAAACACGGGGCACGCCTCTGCCCTAGCTTCCGTGCACGCCCGCCACGCGCCGCCACCGTACACGCACCCACTTTCAATTTACTTCGTGCAAATTTGAGCAAAGGACCAATTAATTCGTAAAAAAATTATTATTAATTTTTCTTTATGAAACAAAATTTTATTTAGGGACGAATTGAACTAAACAAATTAAATTTAATTACGCTCTTTTTAATGCAATTTTTCTTATAAATTTTTTTTTATATAATCAGGATTGTGCTGATCAAGAAATTAATTAAATTAGACTTATTTTACCTAAATAAGTTTTTAGAGCAAAATTTTACTTGCAGTATTTGTCAGTGTTTTACTTTAATGAATTCTTTATTAACTCTAATTTTTAATAAAATTCACGTTCGAACAGAAAAAAACTTGAATATTTAAATCATGCTTTGAAAAATTTGAAAAGATATTTTGCATCCAATTAAACAGTGAAAAGTGTTTGTGAAAATTCTAAATGCGAAAAAAACTAGATTAAAAATTTAGAATAACAAAACAAATATTAAAGGTGATTTTAATGAATTTATAATTTTTAACGCATTTTCATCGTTTTAAAAGTTGAAACGCCAACAATAATTTGATCGCCGTTTTTTTCATTATAAGTTTTTAAATAAATTCATGTAATTGTTTCAATTAACTAAAAAATGATAATAAAACTAAGCATTATAATCTGACAACTGGTGTGGGCGTTTTAAAAAGCTGCAAATTTCAGTAATTCGATGAGCGCGGCGCGAGGAAAGATAAGATTTTCCGCCCCTCGACGCCCTAGCACGGATTGTCCGCAGCCGTACCAGTCTGTGTTCGATTTTCGTCAAGTGCACATCAGGATTGTCCCGGTCGCGACAAAGGCAAATTTAATTAATTTCAGAGGGCAATGGCGGCCTCGAAGCTGCTTTTGCTCTTCCTGTGCTTTCTCAATTTCAAAATCGGAGACGCGCAGTACCAGAGGCAGTAAGTTTTATAATTAAAATTGCAATTGCATCGAATTAAGGGAAAATTGTATATAACATTTTATTTGAAAACGCAGGCCACGATTGCGAACGCAGAATGGAAACTTAATAATTCTGAGTGCGATCGACAAAAACATCACCCTGAAAACGTCTGGCTCGCAAAGTTACGTCAACATCAACGGCGAGAATTTGATTGGACTCGTTTCCGAGGTGAATTTAAAATTAAAGTCCGCAAGTAAAAATTGATTAAAAAAATTTCAGGCCAAATCGGCGGTGACGGCGCTCGGAAAACTACAAGAAAGCACCATCGACGAAATGCAAAAGTCGCTGACTTTCTTGTCCGAGGAGATTTTCAGGGACGGGGGAGTGTCGCAGAGAACCGGCCTGCTCGAAGGGCGAGTCGGAAACGTGACCAAAAATCTGGTCGGTTAATTTCCTTTTTTTTTTTTTTTTACTTTAATATAAAATAAATTTGCTTCAGACGCTTACGAAGCGGAGCGTGGCTGGAAAATTCCGCACTCTTACAACCAGGGTTCGATTTTTAATTTAATTCAATTTCAATTAAAAATTATAACTGATTTGAATAGTTGAAAAAACTGGAAAGGAATTTCGATTTGATGAGAAGGAATCTGCGAAGAGACGAGTGCAGAGAAAATCCTTGCAAGAACGACGGGACGTGCGAGGACGCATACAATGCTTTTTACTGTCGCTGCCCTCCTGGTTGGGAGGTTAGTAAAAATTTAGAAATAAATAAGTTAAAACCAAATTCACTATTTAATTTAATCAACTCTTAATGGAGTTTCTAGCTTTGAAGAATACTTCTTAGGAAAATTGCATTTCAAATTTTAATCTAAATTTTGCATAAATCATCAAGGAAAAAACGTTTTTATGTAATTAAATTTCCTTGAAATAGGTTTGTGATAATTTTAAAACTAATATTTTTATGCCTTGTATTTAAGCTATTCAAAAAATTGGCAAAACTTGATATCTTTAATAATAATGAGGGCGATCCAAAAGCCTAACCTGGCCCAGGCTAGCTTGACTTAGCCCCGGGCTAATTTAGCCCACCAGCAAAATTGAATGGTGGGTTAAATAAGACCGGGCCAGGTTAATTTAGACCGGGCCAAGTAAGCCTTTTGGATCGCCCTCATTAAAATTTGAATGAATGATATTATATTATAATATTAAAATTTTTAGTGTAATTTTCAATGCCAAGGGAATGAGATGTTTATTTTTTTTTTTAATTCAAATTATCTTTTGAAACCAAACAAAATTTTCCTTACAAGTAATGGTATTGAGATGAGACACCCCGATTTTGATGAAATTGGTGTACAACTTCTACTGCCCATTGGTACCCCAGAACGGCCATTAATTTTTGCCCAATTGTCCTTGTTCAATTTTTGCCATTTAAACTCCATGTAATTTGAATTACTTTGGAAAAATCGAAAGTATGCAAAATATATACACAGAGGACGCTTTTGTTGCCTACATTTTATCATTTTTGACATGCGTTTGAATGGAAACTACCAACCCCTGTGAAATTGGGCAACTTTTGATAGCCATTCCAGAACACCCAAGGGTAGTGCAAGTTGCATACCAACATTAATCAAAATCGGCGTGTAACATTACTTGTTAGACCCTTTTTTTCTTATGATATCAAAAAAAGATTCCAGAATATCCTGGTTTTCAATTCTTTTTTCGTGTTTTACATACTTTAAAGCGCAATATTAATGACAGGGGTGGATTTCCAGCAAAAATTCCAACTGTTTTTAATTATTTTTACAACAGGTTTAATTTTAAGCGCAGATTTTTTCTTCGCTTTGCTATAGTTTTCTCAACAGAAACTAGACAAACATAATTATTCGTCCTTGCCAATGAAAATTTGACTCATTTTAATAATAATAATAAAAAAAAATAGGGTCCGACTTGCGAGGTGAACATAAACGAGTGTGCGAGGTACGCAGGGACGGACCTGGGCTGCCAAAACGGAGCCACTTGTCGGGACAAGCCAGGGAGCTACGAGTGCGTCTCCAATTTCATATCAGCCTTAAATATTTCAAAACTTTATTAAAAATCAGGTGTTTATGCGGCGACGGGTTTTCCGGTCTGCACTGCACGCTACCGTCGCTGAGCAACTGTTCGAGCGCCTCGGCCGCCGAGCTGTGCGGCCACGGCACGTGCATCCCTCAAAGGGTGGCCGGACGCACCTTTTCCTGCCTCTGCGAGCAGGTGAATTATTTTCTTTAATTTCATAAAAAAAAATTTATCTTTTCGGATAAAGTTTTCTTTCAAAATTTCTATCCATTAATTGGCTCGATTTTTTCTCGCGCAGGGTTGGAGGAAAAACGAGGTGACGGGCGCGTGCACCGAGGACGTGGACGAATGCGCCGCCCTGCACAGACCGGCCTGCTCGGTCAGTCCGGCCGTGCCCTGCATCAACACGCCCGGCGCCTTCCTCTGCGGCGCCTGCCCCGCAGGTAAACTTACCAATCAATCATCAAAACTGCACAGGCTGCGTTCCTTTTAAAATTAATAACAAGAACAGAAATATTCAAACTTTTATAAGAGCGACTAAAAAAAATTTATTCATATGGGATTTTGTGGAATAATTTTTCCCTCAAAATAGATAAAAATTTCACCAACTCCAGTTCATATAACTCCAATAAAGATGGAAAAATAAAATAAAAAAGTTGGTCAGCATAAAAAATTTCATAAGCTTCAGAAGTTTCAATTTTAGTGTTTTGCAAGCTTATTTTTAAGGGAAATTTTGTCAAATTTAGAAATTTTTTAATTCTTTCTGTTAAATTGAATCCTTCATAAGTGAATAAAAATATCAAATGCTGAAAATACTTTCCGCTCGACTTACGTGACGCGCAGGTTGCATAAACATTTGAAAATTTCAGGCTACACCGGAAATGGCTTTTACTGCAGCGACATCGACGAGTGCCTGGAAAACAACGGCGGCTGCAGCGACAACCCCAAAGTCGCTTGTTACAACACGATGGTAAGCTTAATTTATTCAAAATTAAATAAAAAATTACGAAAAATGATTGGCAGGGCTCTCGGATGTGCGGCCCGTGTCCTCCGGGCTTCAAAGGCGACGGAACGACCTGCACCGCCAGCAGACCGTGCGAAACCAACAACGGGGGTTGCCACCCCATGGCCCGATGCTTCGACAACCCCAGTAAGGAAATTCGCAAAAATTTTGAGCTTTTAATTTGATTTTGAATCTCAGACGTGGGCGCCGCTTTCGTGCAGTGCGTGTGTCCCCCCGGCTACCAGGGCATCGGTTTCGGGCCGGAGGGGTGCGTCAGGGCCGCCCCCACCCTGAACGCGTGCACCCCCAACCCCTGCGCCCACGGAGACTGCGTCCTCTCCAATTCCACTCTTTTCAACTGCGTCTGTCATTCCGGCTACGCGGGCAAGTCAAAACTTAGAGAAACTTAAATTTAACTAAAAACGGCAGGTCTGTTTTGCGAAACTCCGATCATGGACGTTTGCCACCCAAATCCGTGTCAGAACGGCGGCGTTTGCGCGCCCCAAAACGGAACTTACGCTTGCAGGTGCGGCCAGAACTTCGCTGGGCCACAATGCCAATTCAGGGCAGCCAGTACGACACTGAAATCAGAAATATTTCCAATTTTTCATTGAATATTGTGAAAGGTTGTGGCGGGGAGATCAATCAGGACAGCGGCGTGATAACCTTTTCGACCAAGGACGAGCACTCGAACGCGGGCCTCAACTGTCTGTGGCACGTCACGGTCAACGAGAGCAAAATCGTCAGTGGCTCTTTCTCCGATTTCCAAATTTCCCTCAGCCCCAGCTGCACCGAGGACTGGGTCCAGGTAAATTAAAATATTTGTAAAAGTTATATTTAAGGAGAGGCTTTTGCAAAAAAGGTTCATTTTCCACTAAATTAGCATTTGTAGATGTCAGAAATTTTAATTGTTGCTTAGTGGAATTTTCTAAAATAATTTTTTACTCAAAATTGGCCATACCAAATTTGATAATAATTTCACCAAATCTCGTTCATATCACCTCAATTAAGATGGAAAACAAATCAGTCAACAAATAATTTACACAGGAGAAGTTTTAATTTCAGTTAAGCTTCTCATTAATTTGATTTTGAAATAGATTCACGACGGCCCGAGACCAACGTCGCCTTCGGTGGGAACCTTTTGCAAGGAAAAACCACCCCCGGCCACTATCAACACGACAGGCAATTCGCTCGTCTTGTGGTACCACTCGCCGCGCCACCCTCCCGAATCCAGTTTCACTTTTCGCTGGTCTTCCAAAAACCCAAGTAAGCAATTAAAAAAAATTTTAATTTTAATTAACTTTTTTGTCTGCTGAAGCGTGCGGAGGCATTTTCACCGGGCAGGCCCAGGGAATGATCAAGTCTCCTGGTTTCCCTGCGTCCTACCCCATCAACCGAGACTGCGTTTGGCACGTGAGGGTGCGACAGGGCAAGAGGGTGCGGCTGAACATTTTCACCCTTGTTCTGCAGCAAACATCCAACTGTGGAGACTACATCGAAGTATGCGAATTAATTTTTTGGAAATATAATTTTTATTTCATACGTTTTAAGATTCGCGACGGAAATTTGGCCACGAGCAGGTTGTTGCGCAAGATTTGCAACTCGTCGGACGCAACGCCGGTGACCTCGTCCGGTTCGCACATGTTCATCCGCTTCCGTTCAGACAATGACACGGCTCGAGGAGCCGGCGGAGTATTCGACATGACCTTTGCTGAAATGAACGGTTCGATTTATAATAAAATTTTCTCCGAGACGTGGGTTTTATAAATTTGTATTCAGGTCTGGAAGGTTGTGGCGGGATATACACGTCCGAAAGGGGTGAAATCACTTCGCCCAACTACCCGAGGTCGTACTCCGGCAACTTGTACTGCGAATATTTGATCCAGCTGCCCATCAACGAGCGCATCAAAGTTGTTTTCAGCGATTTCAAAATCGAATCGGCCGATGATTGCAAATACGACAGTCTCGAGGCATACATTAATTTTTTTATTTATTTTAAAACCAAAAGTTAATGAAATTTCGGCAGATAAGGGAAGGATCCAACGAGAACAGTCCATTGGTGAGCAAATCGTGCGGAGAAGTCCCTCCCGCCCCTTTCACATCGAACGGAAACGAGCTCCTGTTCATCTTCCAAACCGACGCGTCCACCACGGCCAGAGGTTTCAAAATCAAATACGAAACTGGTATAAATTTGATATATACTAAGGATAGAATTTAAAAAATTTTATATTTCAATCAACAGCCTGTGGCGGAGTTTTCACAGAGGCAAGCGGAATGTTCTCGTCTCCCAACTACCCACTTACCTACCCCAACTCGAGAACGTGCGTTTACAAGATCGCGCAACCCCTGCACAAGGCCATCATTCTCGAATTCCTCGACTTTGAACTCGAGCAACACGCCAACTGCGTCCACGACTACGTAGAGGTACATTTAAATATTCATTGAAGATTAACAAGAATTAAAAATAATTATTGATTCGTAGATCAGGGACGGCGCAGAAGAGACTTCGCAATTCATGGGAAGATTTTGCGGGGTAGTCAGCAAGAAGCCGCCAGTCACCCTTTCCACCCGAAATTACTTGTGGATCAAATTCAAAACCGACTTGAGCGCAACTTACAAAGGATTCGTCGCTAATTACTCGACTGTTGAAACGAGTACGTTTAATAATTTGTTATTTTTATGATATATATAAATTATTCTCAAGGCTGCGGGGGCATTTTGACCAACAAAACCGGAGACATTTCTTCAAAAACTCAGGGCGACGTGTGCACGTACGTGATCCACGTGCAGCGTGGTTTGGTGATTCGCCTGAACTGGAGAAAGGTTTGGAGCAGCATTTCCAATCCCGAATCTAATTGCGTCTCCAGCAACTACATCCAAGTCTTTGACAATTCCAGCTCAGGCCTTGAAATCGGAAGGTAAAATCTTAAATTTTAAGACTATTTTTACTATAAATGTTAAAATTCAGATACTGTGGAAACAAACTTCCTCCAATGTTGACCTCTCAAGGAAATATGATGACGATTGTGATTAATCAGACGGTTTCAGCGTCCAACACGGAATTCGATTTATCTTACAATACGATACAACAATCAGAACGTGAGACAATATTTTTCTTTTACCCACCCATTCTGAAGCATTTTTTTTCACAGTTTGTGGAGGAACTTTTTACACCGCTTCTGGAATGATTCAGTCGCCAAACTACCCCAGAAGCTATGCAATCGACTTAGATTGCATTTACCTAATCCAAGTCGAAAGTGGCCAGCAAATAAGTCTCAACTTCACAACTTTCGAACTGGAAAATTCATCAGACTGTAGTTTCGATTATGTTGAAATAAGGTTTAGAGAATTATCTTGAAATAATATATTGATGGCAAAGTAAAATTTTATAGAAACGGTCCGAGCGGAACTTCTCCTCTGATCGGAACTTATTGCGGCAGCACGAAGCCTCCAGTGATTCCGTCTCACACCAATTTCTTGTGGATTCGATTCCACACGGACAACTCGCTCACTGCCAAGGGATTCAGAGCGATTTGGGATGGCGCTTCTTCTGGTACATAATTTTTCCTTTTCGAAAGAGTTCCGAGCACTAATTTTCACCTCCCGCAGGTTGTGGCGGAATTCTGAGGTCACCCTCAGGCCACATCGAGTCTCCAAACTACCCCCAGCCCTATGGGGTGAACGCAGAATGCTTTTGGAAAATTTACACCAGCAAGGGGAACAGAATTACCCTCTCCGTTGTGGACATTGACATTGAGAAAGCTGACGACATAAATTCCTGCTACGACTACATTGAGGTTATTATTATTTCAACGAAAAATGCTAAAATTCCAAATTTTCTTCAGTTTAGAGACGGTGACTCAGTGAACGACCCAATGCTGGCCAAACTCTGCAATTCCAAGGTCTCAAACAGACAAATAACCTCCACTTCAAATATGCTTTGGGTCATGTTCAGGACTGACGCCTCCGAGGCTGGGCGAGGCTTCAGCTTAAGATACGACACAGGTGAAAACATGTTTATAATGTCAAGTGAAAAGATGCATGTAGGAAATTCCACAGAGTGCAACAACCTCCTGACGGGACACAGAGGAGTGATCGAGAGCCCCAATTTCCCAGGCGACTACCCGCACAACTCGAACTGCACGTGGGTCATTTCTGCTCCACCCGGAAATCAAGTCAACGTTTCCTTCTCGCACTTTGCTCTGGAAAAAATCGGGGCAGACTGTTCTGTTGACTATGTTCAAGTACGTTAATTACAAATGACTATTCAATTAATTTGTCTATCTTTTCAAATCAGCTGAGGAGTGGAACTGCCAACGATAACAATCAAACCGAAGTGATTGGAAAGTATTGCTCAAGTGAGGATCAACCAGGAGTAATAACGTCCAGATTCAACACCCTCTACGTGGATTTCGTCACAGACTTCAGCGTTGCCCTTTCTGGCTTTAGGCTGGAGTGGGTTGTGCATGGTAATTGAAAAAGCCAATTTCAAATTTATCTCATATTTGGAAACGCGTTCAAAAGGTTGCGGTGGCAGATTCGAAGCGCCGTACGGCACTCTGCAGTCTCCAAACTACCCAAACAACTATCCTAAAAACACTGAATGCCGGTGGGAAATTGCAGTGGATTGGGGAAAGAGCGTTGAACTTACGATTACGGACTTGCACATGGAATTGTCTGCAGACTGTGCGTTTGACTACGTTCAGGTACGAAAAACTTTTTCCAAATTTTAATTGATGAATCAACTTTAAATTAGGTTTTTGGGGGACCGGACGACAAGTCTCCGCTTTTGCTGCAAACGTGTTCAACGCACGAAACTGTTCAAAAGGTTGTGTCAGCGGGCAGGTACATGACAGTCTACTTCAAGAGCGACCATTCTCTCGGCAGAAGAGGTTTTTCTGCATATTTCAGACAACTCCAAACAGGTTTTTTCACCGGTTTTCAATAATTTCATTTTCAATCGAGATATGTTATAAGGCTGCGGAGGGCAGATCAACGGAAAGAAAGGTCGCTTCGTCAGCACCAGTTCCACAAGCCAATACTTCCCTCAAAATGCCGTTTGCAATTGGCTCGTCTCTGTGGACGCCAATTACAGAGTGAAGCTCAATTTCACTGAATTCCACGTGCCAATGGTGGGGAATTCGTGCGACAGGCAGTATGTTGCGGTGAGACCCAATATGGAAATCAGAAATATGAGTAATGTATATTTTGGTATGCAATAGGTGTGGGATGGCTATAACGACAGAGTGCCGCCCTTGGCAAAGCTCTGCGGGGACAAAAACATTTCTGCGATAATTTCAAAATCCAATTTTCTATTAGTCAGAATTGTCACTTCCAACGAAACAAAAGTGAGAGGATTCGAAGCCGAGTATCAAATTGTAAGTGAATGCAAATGCTTGATACATAAAATTTTTTTCACGCAAAATCTAACAGACTTGTGGGGCAACCATTGAAACTTCAGGGAGCGGTTTTTTGAAAAGCACCGAGATGCAGGACAGATCGGACGACGAAATGGAATTGACAAACAACTGCACTTGGACAATTATTTCAAAGATACCAAGTAAATAAAACAATTATTCCAAAAATTATGTTAATCACAAAATTCTAGCATCAAGAGTAACGCTATCCTTGACGCACCTGGACGTGGACGAATCGTACTCGTTCAACAACAACACGTGCCTCCTGCAGTTTTTGGAAGTGCGAGACGGAATCGGTTTGTCGGCGCCTTTGATTGGCAAATACTGCAGCAGAAAAATCCCCCCACACATAGTCAGCAATGGCCAAGCGCTGACCGTCAATTTGGTCACTTTGGGCGGGAAAATGATGCCGAAGCATTTTACTGCTTCTTATTCAGTCGAAGACACGGGTAAATTTCTACATTAATCAAAATTCAATTTAAGTTAAAAATAATTTCCTCAGCGTGCGGAGGGTCTTTGACCTCCGAGGAAGGCTCGTTTGCCACTGCAGGCTATCCAGGAAGCTACAAACTCAACACGGAATGCATTTGGATACTTGGTGCATCCCCAGGTAAGCGCACAAAAAACCCGTCATTTAATTTTTGGAAAAGAGCGGAAAAGAATTTTTTCAAATATTTTTTTCCTTAACAAATATGGATAAATAATTTTCTTTCTGCCTCATCTCTACAGGCAATTTTTTGAAACTGACATTTTCAATGTTCGACTTGGAATTGAGTGACGGCTGCAACAATGATTATCTGGAGATCAGACAGGGAACCACCGGAGCAGATCCTCTGATCGGCGTATACTGTGGCACGAACATTCCTAGCGACATCTTAATTAGCAGCAAACTGTGGATAAAATTCAAGAGCGACGACCAGACCGTCGGCGGGGGCTTCTTGGCCCACTATTCTCTTGGTAAGAGAAACATTTGAAATTTTTTCAATAAAAACAATGAAACCTCAGTGCACGGTGGCGAGTTGGTTGGAGCCAAAGGCGTAATTACGAATCCGATGTACCCAAAGCTTTTCACCACCTCTGGCGAATTTTGGTGGCGCGTCATCGCCAGCCCATCAAAGGTCATTCGATTGACGTTCAAGCAGATTTATCTGAACTCAATTGGTTGCCTCACCAGTTTCAGAGTATTTTTTTTTTATCTTTTTTACAAGCGGCGTTTATGTTGAATATCTTTAGATTTACGACGGCAGGGACGAAAAGGCGCCACAGCTGCTTGAAATCTGCGAAGAACAACCGAATCCAAGCCCAATCGTGTCCACGGGAAATGTCGTTTACATTAGTTTCAGGTCCACAACAATGTGGTTTGGCTCTTTGTTTATGATCGAGTGGGTGGCTGAGCCAAGAAGACCTCAGATCAATTCTCCAACCATCACCCCTGGTACGGAAATGATTCTTTTTTTTATGGAATAAATTTATGCTTATCTCCAGGTTGCGGCGGCGCCAACGGTTTGACAAACGGAAGCTTTGAATTCACCAGTCCAGGCTACCCAGGAGGATACGCAAGTAATCTGAGGTGCGAGTGGATATTCCAGACTGCGTCTGGATATCACGTGGCCCTCTATTTCAACGCTCTCAACGTTGAACAGTCGGCAGGATGTAACTACGACGCCGTCGATGTTTACTCGGGTATACAAATGAATTAAAAAAAGACAATTTAAAAAATGAAAAAGCTTTACAGGGTCAAAAATTTCGAATGACTGGACCCTCATTCAAAAATACTGTCGCCCCAATGCGACCCAACTAAATGGCGTGCACTCAACTGACACGATGAAGGTTGTCTTCAGGTCGGACGCAGGCAGAAACAAAACAGGGTTTTCTGCAACCGCAGTGTCAGGCAGGTTTTTTTAAATTATAATTATTTTGATTTGAATAATTAATATTTAATTAATTTTTTTTTTGTAAAATACAAACTATATTAACTTAATATATTATTTTAGATATGACTTAATTAGTCATTTGACTCATTAATAAAAAATATTTTATTTAAATAGTAACATTAGCATTTAATTTAATTTAAACACTATATCGCAATATATATTAAATATTAAATTCATAATTAAATATACAAATAATTCAAAAATTACCGCCAATTTTAAAAGATAAGTATTAATTAAAAAGTAAACCGCCTATTATTTTTTAATCTAGAAATTTAAAATCAATTAAATTGTAATTCAAATAATTAATTAAATTTTTATTATTAATTTAATTAATATTTCATAATAATCATATGAAATCTATTAAATTTTTTTTTAATTTATTTGATATTATTATTTGACATTATTTAATTTAAATATAAAATATAATGTTATATTTCTAAAATCAATTATACTTTCACATATAACAGAACTAAATTACTATAATAATTACGTTATTTGTTATAATTATTACTAATTTAACTTTTCAGTTTGCGGGGGGAATTTAGAAGGATCGAGTGGCACCCTGAAAATTTACAATTTGACTCAGACATTGCCGCAGGGATTAGTCACGACTTGCGAATGGAACATTACAGTCCGGGCTGGGAGGACGATTAAGGTTGACATTAGTCAAATCAACATAAGCAACAATAGGCCGGGATGTCCTGAGGAATATTTATTGGTATTATTTATTATTTCTTAAAATTCATTTATGTATAATCATTAATCCAAGAAAGGAAAACACTCCCTTGACATTCTAATGACATTTGAATTTGAATGTATAATCTTTGTTTTAGTTTCGAAATGTGGTGACCAACAACTCGGACTCGAGTTACCAAAACATATTCTGTGGAAATCTGCCTCCGACCGGCACGATTGAGACGATCGGAAATGTGCTCTTTGTGCGGTTCAAAGTCAGGAAAGACAACGTGGAGGTTTGAAATGAGTTCCGATTGTTTTGAATGAGTAGAGATTTTGATATTGCAGAATGGGTTCACTCTGACGTGGCAAGAAAGTTCCTCCAACTGCGGAGGTCGTTACACTTTTACGGAGGAGAGTGGAATAAAATCTGTGACCATCAAGACGCCCAACCACCCGAATCCGCCGCCCACGAACACCGAGTGCGAGTGGGTTTTCCTGGCTCCGTCAGGGCGCAGCCTCAGGGTCGACTTCAACGAACCCATCAGCATGGTCTACTCAAGAGGGTATGGCTATGATATTTTTTTTTCTGAATCAAATTATTATATTTTCAATTGATCAAGCAGGTGCGCAGCTTCGTACGTTCAGTTTTTTGACGGCGGCTCGGCCATCGCGGCGAGTTTGGGCAAATTTTGCAATAACAAGCCCAACTCGATTTTGACTTCAGACAACGCACTTTTCGTGCGCTTTGTCACCACGGCCGCTGAACCGAAGAACGGATTTATAGCGGACATCAGACTTGGTAGGTGAAATTTCAAATTTTTTCCAATTTGAACAAATTTAATAATAATGGAATATTTCACAAAATTATACAAGTCCTAATAAATATTGTAGTGATTTAATTGACTGATCGATAAATTTTACTTGATGCAAAATAATAAAAAAATCTCATTTGCTTAAAAATTTAAAACTATTTTTTGTGCCGCTTTCAATATTTGAATAAAATTTCTGCTATTAAAATTATCATTTTTCAATTGTTTTGCCGAGCAGACGAATGCGGCGGAACTTTCACAAACGATTTCAACACGATCGAGGTGCCTGAGAAAAACGACAACATGCCGAAAGTGTGCGTGTGGAGAATTGTGGCATCGGAAGGGAATTTGATCAGCTACTCTTTCGACTCGTTCAACATGGAATCGAGCGGAGAAAACTGTTCGTCCGACTACGTCGAGGTCAGGGAGGCCCTGATGACCGGCACCAACAACAACTCCTTGGTGGCGCAGTCGCTGAATCACCCGAGATACTGCGGCTCGTCAATGAACAGAACCTGGGTCAGCACTGGCACGGAAGAGTTGATTCTCATTCTGAACTCGACCAGGGGCATCGGCAGGGCGGCCAAAAGATACTTCAAATTCACCTACAAAGCCATGCACCAGGGTAATTAAAATTTCACTCATTGTCAAATAAAATGTAAAAATGATTTTTTGAGTTGTTAGGCAGCCCGCTTGACAACTATGCGCCGCGGAAAGCCTAACTTCAATTTCTGCAGGCGTTTTTCTTATTCTTGTTTATTTTTTCCTCAGATTGCGGAGGGGTTATTAATGCTCCCGAGGGCGAGATCGTCAGTCCAGGGTACCCAGGGTCGCAATCGAAACGCCAGATTTGCAACTGGGTCGTCACCGTGCCCGAGGGGCGGAGAATTAAAATCGAGTTCATAGATTTTGACCTCGCAGGATCCAAAAGCGGCTGCCAACAATGGCTCGGAGTGATTTTTTACAATAAATATTAATTACGTTTTTGCTAGTCTCGAAAATTTTTAGATTTACAACGGCCACCTGAGCATTTTGCCGATCGGTTTGTACTGCGGCGGGGAAAACCTGGCGGAAGTTTCGTCCTCGAGCAACAAAGTGCTGGTTCAGTCGCTGACTTGGCACACTTCCAACCACAGAGGATTCAAACTCAAGTTCTCCTCAGACCTGCCGACAGGTTACTAATTTTTGCAATCAACACGTTGTTATAATTTTGTTTGAATAATTTCAGTTTGCGAAGGCAACATTGTGCAAAATTTCGGCTCGCTGAGCTTCCCAAAAGTGAACATGTCGTCCATATTCTGTGTGTGGAACCGACGAATGCCCCCCGACTCCCCCAAAGGCACCTTCGCCATGACCATCCACAACACCACCATGAACAGCACCCAGGAATCGTCCTGCTTCCGATCGTCCCGCGCCTTGATCATTGGAACAGGTGCGCGCGCAATTTCAATCAAATGTTTAAAAAGAGAATTTTCAAAATTTGAAACTTGCAGAAAGCTTGCCGATTGCCCAAATTTGCGACACGATCACGGCGCCCAAGATCGTGACCAACCCGTACCCGTCGACCCAAATCACGGCGAGGCAGAACGACGCCAACAACAAGGTGGACTTCAACCTGTGGTACCAGTTTTACGAGTGCGGCGGTTTGCTCAGGGGCCCCATGGAGAACATTTCCTCCCCCGCCAACATGGGCATGGAGTGCGGCTGGAGCCTCAACTATCAATACGGACAGATCAACGTAACGATTTTCTCAAATTATTATCAAGAAGTCTTGATTTTGAAAATTTCAGCTGACCTTCGCCGTGTTCAATTTCACGTCCGACTGCTCCGAGCAGAGCCTCAGCATTTACAACGGGCTGACCTCGAACCGCCCTTTGATTGGCCGCTTCTGCAGAGAAAACCTTCCACCCGCCAGCATTTTGGCGCAATCCAACGCGCTCTACGTCGAGTACCACGGCTCAAAGAACGTCAACAACGCCAGCCACTTCCTCCTCAGCACAATGCTCGTCCAAAGAGGCAAATCGAAATTATTATTTAAAAAAAAGACTTTATAATTTATAATTAATGCAATATGCAGGCTGCGGAGGGATTTTCCATATTCACACAGGCCTGATCGCGTCGCCCAGTTATCCAAAGTTGTACCCAAACAACTCTGAATGCAACTGGGAGATCGTGGTTGACGAGGGATACCAGGTGGGGTTGAGGTTCATCAACAGGTTTTACATCGAGTCCAGTTCAGGATGCACCAAGGACTTCTTGGAGGCATGAATTTTTTTTTTAAAATAAGTTTTTTAGCTTATAATAGATAATTGTTGCTGAAGGTGTTTGATTTTGTCAACAATGGTTGGAAATCTCTGGGCAGAGCGTGCGGTCGAGAAATCCCCAAACCCTTCAACTCGACCACAAACAGGATGAAAGTTTTGTTCCGCAGTGACAACGCGACCAGAGGCGACGGTTTCGTGGTTTGTTCCTTTTCACAAATGACCCATTTTGAAAAAAAATTGACATTTGACCTTGCAGATCTCATCATAATTTAATTTTCATTGCTGGTACAAATGAATATTGACAAATTTGATCCGAAACAAATTATTTGCTGTGTTTAAATAAAATTTGTACAAATTCAGGCGATTTGGAGTGTGAACTGCGGCGGCGTATTCACGGCCAGAGAGGGGTACATCTCGTCCCCGAGCTACCCTGGCAATTACGGAAAAATGCTCAACTGCAAATACACGATTTCCGCGCCCAGGAAGGCCATCAAGTTTGACTTTGTCGACTTCAGCCTCGAACAGGGTAACAAAAAAAGTTGGCAAAAATTAAGATATTTTGTGAAAACAAAAATTCACTAGGATTCCAAGACTGCCGGTACGACAACGTCAGCATCGCCAAGTTTTCGCCCTCGAAAGGTCGCAGCAGAATCACGACTTTTTCGACGCAAGCGTACTGCGGCCAGGACGCGCCTCCGGACGGCGTGTCCACCAACATCCTCACAATCAGGTTCCAGACCGACAAGTGGATTGAAAAGAGAGGCTTCCGCATGCACTACGTCTTGGAGGGTTTGCAAATAATTCTTCTCTTCTAAAAACAGAATCTAATTTGAATAATCGCAAAGATTGCGGCGGCGACATCAACGAAACGACAGTTTTGACTCCGAACCTCTTTTCGGTTCAGTTCGTCAACGTCATCAGCTGCACTTGGCGCATTTTCGCGCCGGACAAGCAGAACGTGCTTCTGAAGTGAGTGCACAAGTTTTTGTCGAAGGAAATTTCTAAACTTAGTCGCAGGTTCGAGGAAATCAACCTGAGGAGAAGCAACAAGTGCGTCCTGAGTTCGATTCAGCTGTTCAACGGCACCGCGACCGACCCGAAGGCGAAGATTGCAACCTTCTGCGGAAACGTGAGCGACGACCAGAGGGTGTTTGTTTCCCAGGGCAACGTCCTCACCCTCAACTACATCGCCTTCCGCACCTACATGAGGACGAACCCGTTCTCCGTCGCCGTTTCATTCACATATGGTGAGAATAAATTTAGAATAAAATGCATCAACTTTTATTTAACAATAGAATATTATTTAAAAATTCCTGTTTGCATAATTTTTGTAAATTCATTTATTATTTAAACTTTTTGTATTCTTGAAAAAAATTTATTAAAATTAAGAAATTTTGAATAATCAGAACTTATAATAAGTTGGAAAAATGAATATATATTTAAGTTAATTAAATTAGTGTTACCAAAGTGGGATTGAGGTTATGATTAATTAAAAAGAACATAGCTATTTATAAATTAAATATGTAAAAATAATAATGTATTTCCTATAAAATATTGGAAAAAATTAATTTCATTTGAAAAATACAAACACCATCAATTGTGCTCAAAGTTTGCAAGATTTTGTCTAATCTGAAATAATCTCAAAAGGTTAAATAAAAAAATCAACATTTGGTTAGACTTTTTCAAGAAATAGATTCGTGATTTATCTCCTTTAATCCAGAAAAAAAATTTGCATTCTTTTGTGATAAAACTTCTAAAGATCCTAAGAATTTTGAGAAATCTCTTTTCAAATTTCTCCTCTTTTTAAAATTTTGACTATTTTTCTTTGTAATTTTCAATTTTAAGGTGAAAGTGTTGGCTGCGGAGGTCAAATCACGTTGGACCGGAGCACGCAAAGGACGATCGGATCATACTCGAGCCGAGGAGTCGGAGGCGCGTACGAAAACATGCTCGACTGCCGATGGTTCGTCAAAAGCGACGCGGGTCAGATCATCAAAATGACCTTCAACAGCTTCGCCGTCAAAGACTGCAACCGCAGCCTGACCAACGCGAGCTGCGACTGCGACTTCCTCGAGGTATGATTTTTCCACACGAAACAAATAAACCATTTTTATTTTTACAGATTTACCAAATTTGAACTAATTGTAAATCCACTTCTGCAATTAAATTAAATTGAATCAAATAACAAATAAAATTGAGAAACAACTAAACCAAATTTAAGTAAAACTTGAGAATGAAAAGAACCAAAAAATTGAAATAATCAAAATTCAAAGAGATTTTTCAAAATTAATTTTCGCAGAGCTTATTAAAAAGTATTGGAAAATGATAAACAAATGTGAAACAAAGATAAAATTAATAAATTTAATCAAAAAATGATTACTTTTTTTCCAATTGGTCGAATGGAAATAAAAAAAAAAAATGATGAAGATTTAACAAAGATTGCTTTGTTAAATGGAAAAAGTTGGCTTTCAGGTGCGCGACGGCATCAATCAATTTTCGCCTTTGCTCGGACGCTTCTGCGGCAACAAACGTCCGAGCGCGATCACTTCGTCCGGCAACCGCTTGTACGTGCGCTTCGTGAGCGACGACTTTGAGAGCGACTCCGGTTTCCAGGCCGTCGTCGCCAAAGAACAATGTAAATTTTGATTTTGGCCGATTTTTTAAAATAAATTTGTTTATAAAGCGATTTGCGGGCCGCCGATGCTGACGGTGGACGACACGGTGCGCGAACTGACGTTGCCAGGGTACGACTCGCGAGCCACCTACCCTGGCAATGTGCGGTGCAGGTGGAAGATCCGCGGCAACGAGACGAGGCGAATCGACATCCACCTGATGGAACTCGACTTGGAAACTTCCACCGGCTGCCAAAACGACAGACTCGTCATCACAGAAAACGCTGTAAATTCCATTAAATTTAATTACAATTTTTTTTAAAAAAAAATTGTATAAAAAAATTGTATTGAATTTAGGAGCCGAGTGAGTTCGACGAAGTGGTTTACACGGGACTGGAAGCGGCTCAGTCCGGCAGAATTGCCCATTACATGGTAGAGGCTTGAAATTATTTTCTTGGAATCAAGAGTAGAATAAATAATAATAATAATAAAAATTATGTATATATTCAATATTCTGATAATTTTAAATGTTAGGTGGAATTTTGAGTTTGAGAATAATTTATTTTATGATTTTTTGAAATAATTTTTCCCGCTTCTTTTAGCAGGATTAAAATTTGTATTACTTTTTTCTTGGATCGTTTTTTTAACAGCCCCGAGCAGATGCAAATCACGAGTCAATTTACTGCGGAAAGGGTTATTATTTGGACTGGTACTCGAGGACCAAAGCAGTGGACGTGATTTTCTCGACCAACAACGCCGTGGCCGGCAAAGGCTTCAAACTGCAGTACCAATACGCCCGTAACATGAATTTTGATTTTTAAATCTCCTCTTTCTGTTTAAAACAAAAAAATTCGATTTTAGGCTGCAGCCGGAATTTCACAAAGGACTTTGGCCGAATCCACTACCAGGGCCGGACCGACGACAAATTCAAAGGCGAGTGTTCGATTCTGATCACGACCGAGCCCAACAGGACCATCGCGCTCTACTTCTCCGAACTCTACTCGTACCGCAAGAATTTCCTCTCGAACGCCACTTCCTGCAACGGATCCTCAACCTACAGGGTAATTTTATATTCCTAGCCTGAGCATTTTCTTTTTTTTTACTAAACGGGGTGTCCAGGTTTACGACGGCGTGTCCAAGTCTGGCGACGTTTTGGCCGAGTACTGCGGCGTCACCGTTCCCAACCCCGTCTTCTCCTCAGGGCCCGCTTTGCTCATCGCCGCCAATCAAAACTCGTTCTGGGCCGAGGAGGGTTTCGACGCCACCTACACCACTTCCGACAAGGGTTTGCAATTCCAATTTGTTTTTTTAGCATTTATTTTACTATCCATCTAAATTTGAACTCCTGAAAATTTCGTGGCTTTCATGACTTGAGGGCAAACTCAAAATTTTTCAAAATTGCAGGTTTTACGGGACATTTTGCAATAAAAAATTCATTATCTCGACTGCCAGTGGTCGCATAATGAAAATTCGGACAAGGTTGAATTTGTCTCGCCAGTATCGCCAAAAATAAATTAATTTGAAGGTCAAAGGTCATTTATATAAAAATTTCAAACTCAAATTTAAGGATGTGCCTCTTGCTAAATGTCAAATTTGACATCGCCATTCAATTTCTCGTAAAATTTTACGTAATTTATGTCAAATTGCGATGTACTTTTTATTTTTAATTAAATTTAAAATAAAATTAAGAGATTAAAAACCGTGATTTTTGTGCAATTCTTTGTGTTGATTTTAGACACATATTGGTAATGCCAAAAAGTGACCGTCTTGACTAGATAAATCGAATGATGTGCATATCTATGACCTTTGGTGTCCTTGGGTCAAAGGTCACCACGTGACCCATGACCTTGAGTGACCAACCTATGTGTGTGCTACGTAGTTGGAAAGATCTCGTTGAGAGGATAATTAATGTCACAAAGTTGTTGTCTCTAGATCTACTAGAACCGTAAATTTTTTTTACTGTGCAGATATTTCATTTTCAGTGAATGTTAAAGCAACTCTAAATTGAGCCGAGTTTGTTAATTTTCAGGTCGCGGTTGCGGCGGAATCGTGCGGAACGTGGCCGGCAGCGTGACCAGCCCACTCTACCCTGGCAAAATCGTGGCGTACGCCGAGTGCGTTTGGGAAATCACGGTGCCCGAGGGTTCCTACGTCGCCATTTTTTTCACAGGCAAGATTAATTAATTGAAAATTAATTAAAAATTCGTTTTGCTCCTTCAGCCTTCAATCTCGGCCCGAAGGAAATCTGCAACTCGGACTATTTGAAGATTTTCGAGATGAGCAGTTCGGACGGACAGGATGTGTTCCGGACGCAGTTGTGCGGAAATGTACAATATCGATCTCGTGTTCGGATAATAATTAATAGAATTCTTCCTACTTGCAGGACATGCCGGCGCCGTTCTCGGCCAATTCCAACTCGGTCCGCCTCAAGTACACGTCCAGCATCCACAACGCAGGCACTGGTTGGAAGCTCAACTTCGCTGCCAAAAAAATTGGAGGCTAATTAATTATATGTCAATAACTTCTTCCATATACACAAAAAGTTAGAAAGAAAATGACAAAGGAATACGATAAAAATTAGAGAGCAAGCAAGACATTTTCTCGACAATTTCATATTGCATTATCCAATGCTTTTTCGCAAACAATAAAATGAAAGCCAAGCTTATTTGAAACAAAAAAACAAATTTTCACAATTCCAATATTCAAGTGCAAAATAGAAGGTGTCATCATAACTATTGCTGTTTCCCAATAGTTCTTGCCACAATACTGATGAACAAATTATTTTGAAAGGGTTTAAAGAAGGTTTCATGCCAGCATAATAATTACATGATTAATCGTCTTCAAAACGCATCAAAAGTTTTAGACTAAAAACCAACGGTTCTTGGTAGTGGTGAGAAGCCAAGAAATGTGCTTCAATTACATTTTCAGCAATTTAGAACGAGTTTAATTTTCATTATCCATGATATTTAGTTACATAAGCGAGTTGCAATCTAGATTCTTTCATTTCTCACTTAAATAGAAGCCAAAGCATGGCCGGTTCATAAAAATATAGGCATTTTGGTGGTGCTTTTTTTTTTGTTAAATTAAAACTTACCAAAACATATATTGACTGGTGTATTAGTCACGGCGGCAATCGGGGCTGATTGATTGTAACTCGGCCTCCTGGAACAAAACTTGTGAGCCACCCCAAACCAAAAAGAAAATGATTTTATGTTGGTTTCAGAACAACTTTACTTTCAAAGGAAATAAAACAAGGCAATAGGAAATTCTAATGAACTTTAAGCATTTAATTTAATTTAACAAACTACCATTCCTCTTGTTTGCTCTCTGTCTGCATTACATGTTAAGCGCCTTGGTGAGAAGAAGCTAAATTATTTCTTAATAATGTATATTCTCCAAACAAATGCATACTATAATTTGAAATCAGAACGTCCATATCCAAATGGAAGAATTACAATTTTTAAATAATTACCCATTCGCAATTAAAATTAAGTTTTGTTATTGTGATTAATTAAATTAATTTGCACAACACTGACAACTTCAATTTTTCGATAATTTTCAAGTGACTCAATTGCAAATTTTTAATCAAACATTTTCCATCTTCAAGTTGACGCGTTTTGTTTCATGAAAAAGTAATTTGTTAATGCAAAAATTCCGTAGTTGAATAAAATTTCTCGTGAAAATTGAGATGAAATTTAGCATTTTTTTACTTCCCGATAATTTGCATGAGATCCTCCGGTTGAAGAGATAAATTCTTCCAGCCCTTGACCTGTTCAAAATTGTTGGCCGTGTCGCCGAAAGCCGTGACCCTGAGGGTTGTGGCCACTTTGTCCTTGGGAGAGTGGAGAGTGCAGGCAAATCTCAATTTTGCTGCCAAAAGATTGCAGGCGACATATGCCTTTTATTTAAAAAGCAAGTTGAGATAGATTTCTTTATGCAAGGTTTTAATGTTCACAAAATTATATAAATGTATCTTTTAAAAAAAGACTTTAGAATTTTGTAAAATAAATAATACGATTGTATTTAGACAGAAAGAAGGTTGCTTGTTTAAGAATTCATTCCCCATTATATGTTGGGAGCAAAGGCCACGCATCAGCTCTATTATGTTGGCCAAAAAAAAAGATGTCTTCCGCCCGAGCTATAAGGCCCCATGGCTCTGGCGGCAGCCGTGTAGCAACATAATTTTGGGATGCGCAGCCTTTGGTTGGGAGGAGGGTTTAATGATTTCATTAAGTTTTTCGGCCAGGATAATTTATCTCTTTAGATGCGCACTAAATGTTTCTTAGATTGAATACGGAGTGTGCTTGGAAGCAAAAATTAAGAAAAAGAGGCTATAATTCCATTTGTTACAATTAAGAACCTCGCAGTGCCAGCGATAAGTTTTAATTTAATTTAACTACTTTAATATTAATTCCAAAGTGTGGATCTAGAAATTTATTTTCTTTCTTGAAGGCCAATTAAAGAACGGTTCAATTAATTAATCTCAGCGCTTTAGTGCTCTGGACTTTAATACCAGGAAAATTGGAGACGTACCTTTTCATAATGACTGGCGTGATCGTCAAGGCAGCAATCAATCAGTAAAGCGTCGGTCGAAGCAGATTGCTTTGCAACTCGGCCTCCTACAAGACCTGAGCCCAGGGTACGGTCCACAAGGACGCACTGAAGCAGGGTACTTCAGCACGCCCCCTGGCAGGGCAACACGAAGGTGGAACTTCAGGCGCAGGTGGAGGACAAAGAACAATTCAACATGAAAGCCTTAAATCCTGGGGCCAGAGAGGAAGAGTCCTTTGAGCAGCTCCAGGGCATGCAAGACCTTCCGTCAAAAGAAACAACCTTGAAAAGAGAAAATCAAAAATAATAAATTTTGATGTTTCATAAAAATTTCTTTTAAGTTTTATACCTTTTTTTTAATGCAACTGGTGCGAATCGGGATGAGAATCAGGGAAGAACCCTTTGCAACCAGGTCCGGCCGAGCAGTCTGTCCTGGAAACAGAAAAAGGGCCGAACACGAAATGCTCTTTCTCTGAGATCAAATGGGGGGAGGGGGGTTGGGGGCCGAGTCGTGTCCCGAGCAGCAGCGACCGTTGGCGGTTGGACGGTGCCTCTCGAGATACCCTGAGCAAAGGTTCGATGCACCTCCCTGGCAGGGCAGGACACCAGGAAAGTGCATTTTTTACAGTAAATTGAGGCAGGGTTGGAGATTGATGCATTTACCTGAAAACAAATTCCAAGGAGGAAAAATCAGGTCCTGCCAGAAACTGCAATCACAAAAAATGAAGGACATAACAAGTTCTGAGGGCAAAAAGAAGCACTCACCTTCGGTCGAGGGAAAAATTATAATTTTAAACAGAAAATTTAATTTATTTCAAATTAAAAATGAATTTATATTCTTAAGTGTTAAGTTTAAATTAACAAACTGCATGTTGGAGAAAACCAATTCACAGAAACTATTTATTTCACAAGGAGTAACAAAAATAAAGTTTTTATTTATTAAAGGGTGAATTATTTGACGTGGGGTTTCTTCTCAGTGTCCAGCTCAGTTGGCGAGAGGGTTGCACACAGGAAGGGGTTGTCATTGTCAGGGTGTGCAGGAGCGGGGCACGGACCACAACCGCGCAGCCACACCTTCGGTATCCCTGACCTGTCACCTCATCCTCGACCTGGTCACCAGGCAAGACGCTCCGGGGAGGAAAAGTTTGCATGTCAGAGAAAGATCAAGACGAAAAGACAGAGACGCGACTGTGGCTTTAAAACTACGTTACTTTGCAAAAGAAGAGTAGGCTACGGTTAAAAAAAGCTGAAAAAAAGGGTTGAAACAAAAATACTGCCGTTTGCATCACCATATCCGAAAATTTCAACGCTGGCTTTTCACTTTTAAAAATTGTTTCTTTTTTGTATGTTTTGTGTAAATTTGGAAAATTTACTCTATTTTTTAACATCTCTGGATGGTTTGTTTTGGCCGCTGAAAAAATTAACAAGTCGAAAAGCCGGAAAGTAAAATTTGGGCCTTTTTTGGCCTGTTTGGTTGCCGAATGAAGGAGTGCAAAAAAAAGAGCCAGAATTTCTGCCTTCATTTGGCCTGCGTCGTCCGGCAAGTGGACGAACGCAGTGGACGCTCGGCCGCTGTGCAAAAGTGGCCGTTTGTGCGGCAAAAAATGGACAAAATTGACGCGCGCGAATAAGTTAAAATTTTCTGGAAGCTTTTAATTTATAATTATTTTTATAAGTTTGGAAATTATTTTTAGACACAACGCGCCAGATTCGATCGAGTTTTTTCAGTAAAAAAAAAAACTCTGCAGAAAATGGAAAAAAACTAAGATGATGAGATCAGGTGATTCAAAAACATTTGCAAGAGGAATGCAATCATTTGTAGGAATTCTGCTGCGGAGGAATTAATTCAGGAAAACAGGAAGCTGAAAAGAATAATAATCGAACAAATCTCTAGTGGATTTTTGTCTTCCAAACTGCATTTTTCTCCAATAGGAATTCTGAAAAGAAAAAATTTAAAATTTTCCGTCACCAATCGATGAATTAAAATTATAATTTTTTAAGCTTGAGATTATTTTATCTTAGGAAACCAATTGTTAGAGACTAAATTGGCTTGGAAGTCAGACCAGAAATGGAAAATAATAATCAGCCCAATAAATTAATTATTAAAACTCTTATTTCCAACTTTCATCGATTCCTACCAAAAAGTGCAAGAAAAAATATGGCAAAAGCACAAAATAAAAGAACGACCAGAGTTTTTCATTCAAATTAAGGCCTTTGACGTGCATTTGTGAATTTTATTGCGGTAAAATGTCGCGATCGAGAAGCCCGACCTGCCCATCAGGCGGACTGTGGGGGCGGAAATCGCGACGCCCTGTCCCGAGGGCTGCTTTCAAAATTCGGCCCGTCAAATTTCGGACGCCGCCTCACAGTCCATGGACGCCCGTTTCACAATCAAAGCAAGGCGTAAGAGAGAATTAAAAAAAAAACAAAATAAATACTTTTCATCCAAAAAGAGCGAAAATTGCTTAATGTCAAGTTGCGATTCGGAAAAGGTTGCTCGCGATCGAGAAGCCCGACCTGCCCGTCAGGCGGACTGCGGGGTGGCCAAAAACCCGCGGCTGGTTTTAGGAAAAAAATAAGATTAACGCCACCACCGCAAGTCCATGGACGCCCGTCAACTTGAATTTGGCTCAATATTCACCCTTGTGGATAATTTTATTTTTCTCGGCGCCGACCACAAATGTGAAGTTCCTCAACTGCGAAGTCTTTCTGTGCAAAGAATATTCTGGAGAAATCACACCACAAGCTGAACAAGAAGTTCTAAACAAAATTCATGTTTGCAGGTCTGAGACTGATTCTTTGCAAACTTGAAAACATCGAAAAGCACAAAACTATCTCCCAATTACAAAAGTAATTAAGGCTCACGAAAGTAAGAGTTTTTCAAGCAAAAAGTAGGGCTGATTTCTTAACTGGAAATCACATTTCCAAGGAATTTATAATCCATTTCATTTAAAAAAAATGGATCTTCTTCTATCAAAATTATTAGCACCTTTCATTAAAAAAGTGCATCCGAGAAGAATTTTTCAGTTCGAACAATATTAAATTTTGTGGCACACACCGCAAGGCCAAAAGCCATGACAATGTGAGCTTTTCAATTTTTTAATTGAATTTAACTGGCTCTCTTCGTGTGTTATTTTAACGGAAATATGTTTCGTTTACAATTAATGACGTCAAAAAGTTCGAAATGCTGACCAAACGCGCAGTAAAATTCCCTTTTTTTTCAAAGGCAAAACACTTGGCAATAAAAATTCTAAAAAAAGTGACTCTAGAAGACGAGAGTTGTGGAGAAAAGGCGAAAAGGGTTAGGGGAGGAACGGATTGTCAGCAACCAGGCCAAGCATGGTTGGCAGGAAAGTGATCGAGGCTCAGTCTTTAAGCGCTGCAAAGGTTGTAATTTGAAAATTTTGTTAAAAAAAAAAGAGGGCTGTACTTACATGCCACGCGGTTGCAGTCCGCGGACGCAGCCAGTTTTGTGTTCCAAGCGTCGGAGAGCGGATGACGCAAGAAGCGCCTTTGGAACACTCGGAGCCCGCAACAGGTTGTCGCAGGGCTTCTAGCCACACTGGTCACCTTGGGAGAACGAGGGCGACCGCCACTCACAGGGTCAGTCCCTTTGGAGCCTGAATATAGAATTAAGCTTTTGTTTCTCACTCCGAAATATGCAGATTACGCACGGCTTAGAATTGGCGCTGGTCGAAATTTGCTGTGAAGGTACGAATGGAGCTTTGGCGAAGACCTCCCTGGTCTGCTGCAGGTTTTGACCAAGGCTCGGAATCCTTCTTGATGGCGGCAAGAAGAGTTTCTTCCTCCGGTTTTCTGCTTTGTCACAGAAGTGGAAAGTGGGATGGCAGTAGCAATCTCAGCAAACGTTTTCTGAAATTTTCAATTATCAAATTACGGTCACAACTTAAATAGCTGTTTTTTGACGAAATTCATTTATGTCTTACAATTTATCGTTAAAAAAGACCCCAGCCTTTATGTAAATGCACAACATTCAAGAAATTTCAAACTTTCATCCTTCCATATAATTTTAACAATACCTTTATTCAAATATAATTGTAAATCTCACCTTGCAATTAACTTGTTGGCTGAAAATCCCACTTTTTTCAATTCTTGTTCAGCAAAAACGTCACAAGAGTCTCCTTCCCCATTGACAGGTCGAATTCTACTGCTCCTGATAAAAATAAGAACTTACAATCTTTACAAATAAAAAGACACATCACAATATAATTTGAGGAATTTATCCGCTGACTCCTATAAACCTTTAATGTTTCAGAAAGGTACAGGATTGGATTCTATGTACCTATTGGAAATCAAATTTTGTTGTCACTTTTTGACCCAAAGGCCAACGTCGAAGTGCTTCGAGACCACACTTGGAACGAGCACTCGAGGTCTGACCAGCCTCTCTGGTCTCTGGCGCCAGAGGACTGCTGCTGCTCCACATCTTGTCAAAGTCATCGACTTTTTGCTGTGAAATAAGAAATTTTACATTCAAAACCATTCAATAGATAAAGAAATTAAAATTTTAAGCATACCTTATATGGAGGCAGCAGGAATTCACAGAGGTAGGAACAAATTACGAATCTTGGTTCCTTCATCTCTTTTCTCCTTCAGTTAAGGTTTAGCCTTCAAGCCGTCCTCTGAAGGACGCCCACCATCGTTCATGTGACCTGAAATTTAATGAAAATATTTTTGTTTGTAGTAAAATGACAAAATGAACACAACAGAAATTATACCTTTATGATGGTGGTGAAGTATGACCGATTGTTTCGTAAGTCATTGTCTTGAGATTTGTCTGGCTCAAAACAGTTCACGAGACCTACAATACTGACTTCTTTCAAACACAGCCCGCCGAAGAGCTGATCAGAAAAGCAAGTTTAGATAAAATTCAAGTTGTGACTTTTAAATTACCTGGCTGAAAGAAGTCAAAATTCCAGTTCAAAGTTAGGAAGCGGCCTTTCGCAGGGCGGCTCTTCCTAGCTCTTCTCCTCAGGCAACCTCTTGCAAACATGCCTTTGAAGGCGACCTCTGAACTGCCTCTTCGGCGTCTGAAAACTGAAATTGTTTCTAAAATTAGTAAAGAACTTTGCAATGCAGGACAAAATTACCTTCAGGCAGTGGAGGATGTGCAGCAACGTCAGTTGGTTACAAAGATTTCGGTTTTTGATGACAAGAAAACCATTTTCTGGATAAAAAATCTTAAGAGTTCAACTAACTCCTCAGCCAGAGAAAGCTGCGGAACAAGTTAAGAATTTGTTAAATAAAAAAAAAATGATCTGCTCTTATAACATGTCAATTATTCTCACCTCAAAGAAACAGCTGAGGTGACAAAATCTGTGGTCATCCAAGACGTAAAAGACGATGTCAAAAGCCACAGTATTAAAACATTTGGCGCAGCCGGTTCTCTCCGTCAACTGCAAACAAAATAAACAAATTGCAATCAAGAATATATGTTACAATTGAGTGCTTTAAATTTGATTTAAGATTATTTACCTTTTTCTATCAAAGAGATCAACGTTCTGCGACCAACGAAGCCTTCTCTCCTCTTTTCTCGATATGAATTATGGAAGTCAGCCTTCAAGGCTGTGCCGTTTAGACATTTTTGCGCCTGTAAATTGTGGATGCAGGCGGCGCGTGCTGGCCTTTAGCGCCAGGGTGTCCTCCTCCCTGGTCCGGGGGCACTTGGTCGTTCCAGACCGGAAGTAGCCAGCGATGGCTCCCCATCTATGTCTAAACGGTCTCTTCCAATTCGAGAAAAAAGTATAATACGCATCCAAAATTGTTAATTTAAGCCACTTTGAAAAAAGGTCTTCCACGAAAGCTGTGGAAAAAGGAGAATTAAGTAAACCTCTCTAACAAATTAAGTTTGTAATTACCTTAAGGAAGATTGTGAAAATTTCAAAATTGTCAAATTCAGGTTTCAGAATATTTCCCGAATCTGATCAAGTGCTTGCAAAAAAAAGTGCACTTATTAACTTCAAGCACTCGGGTCTATTGGGAGAGAATCTCTTCTCAACTCAACGCCTCGGATCTGCAATCGACAAAAGAATTTGTAGAGAATTATGCAAAACAAACATATATTCCAAATATACCTTTAACTTGAATTTAGCAATGCCAGTTTTCAAAGTGGAGCATTTAATTTGAAGTGTCCTTAAGTCTTGAGGACTATTTAAGTGTCTCGTCTTCCAAAATTGATTAAAAGCTTAACTCGCAAAAGAAACTAAAAAATGCAGAATGCTTAAATATGTTCAAACTATTAATATATTAAAAACTATTGTACCTTCTTTCTTTAAGATGAAATGACAAAACTGGTCATCAAAATTTAAGTAAATATCCTGATTGGTTGCAGGATTTGGTGTGAGAACTGCAGCAATCAAAGATGATTAGATTTCCGCAGCTTTTGAGCAGATTAAGGGGCAGTTCTCAGCTCAAGCAAAAACTCTCCAATTATTTAACATTCCATTCTAAAAATTAATTAAATTCAGATTCGTCGTTCAAATGTAGTACATAAAGACTTACCATGATGGGAGGAGAGTGTCTGCGCCTCATGCAAAGACACAAGGAGCGGCCTTGCTTTGTCGGCTCTCCTTGGCATGTGTTGCACTCGGACTTGATTTATCCAAATGGCGCAACTAACTAAGATTGAAATTAAACCAGCATTGCGATAAAAAATAGTTAAAGACAAACAAAATTAGTACCTTTTTAAAGATGTTTTCCTTTTGTCTGGAGGTTTGACATCCCAACCACTTGGCTGACAAAGAGAGTGAAAATCAAGCTGTCAGCTCATCGACGCTAAAAATTAATTTTTCAGTTAAAAGATCTTAAACACAACGAAAATTTTTACCAAAGATAAGGAAGGGACGTTCTTTATTCCTTGCTCGAGTATTTCCAAAAGGGTGGAGAGCAAGATTAGTGACAGTTTTGGCAATTACGCTGTCACGGCAATTTAGACGAGACACTTTTGATATTTAAAAAAAAAAATGTGATATGATTATGAATGATGATGTTATGTGAGAATGAGTGATGGTGTGAGATGAAAGGGAGTGAAAGACAAAATAGAGGAAAAGGAATTAGGAAGGGAAGAAAAAGCCGGAGCTCGACTGCGATGACTGCGCCTGCAAATAAACCCGGTATTGCAGTCTAACAAAAGGCCTGGAGCATAAATAAAAAGTAAAACCTTTACAAATAAGAAGAAGTTCTTAGGATTCCAGGACTTTCATAACAGGCAGCAGATTTCCTGGACCTTGTCGGAGCACTGCAGCACAGGTTGCCCAATGGACGAGGCTTTCGGTGCCAGTTTTGGAGCCCATGTCGTTCTTGGTGTGGAAGACTTGATTGGCTTCCGGGGCTCCACTGGCTTTCTTGCAGACTCTTGATGTAAGAGGGCCTGTTCGGAGAGTTGCCCCCTATCGGTTGTGCAGAAGGGTTTGGCAGCCGGGGTTTTCTTACCTTGCCCTGCTCTTCTCCAGAGGAAAGGAAGCAACGGCCCAGTGTTTACCCTTTCCTCCAGAGGCATCTCCACTGCCTCGGAAGGCAAGCTGAAAACAGAATTAATTATCCTAATGAACTCTCCTCTAAATTCTTCGGCTTACATTATTATAGGCAGTGGAGGGCGCTCTTTTTTTTTAAATTCTTTCATTGCAATTAATAAGACAACCTCAGCCAATAACTAAAAAACAACGGCAAAATCACAGAATCGAAACAGAACTCCTTCATTAAATTCAAATAGATCTTGTCAAAATATTCATACTTTACGCACCTTCGAGTAACTGGCTGAGGGCCTTAGGGCTGCGGGGGAGACTCGGTCCTTCGGTTCGATCCCCCGCTCTTCTCCAGAGGCGACAGGGGTGCAACGGCTCAGTGTTAACACCTCTTCCTCCGGAGGCATCCCCACTGCCTTGGCAATCGCCATCTGAAATAGAATAGATTTTAATGAACTCTTCATTCACTTCCCATATATTTTTTACTTACACTTATGGGCAGTGAGGGAGGCCTTTCCACTTTTTTTCCCCACCAGAAAAGAACCTCAGCCAAGACCTGCAAAATAATAATAAAAAAAATCTTGGTTAAATTACATTTTTTTTTTAAAACAACAAAAATGAATTTATTTGAATATACACACCTTAAAGTCCTGGCTGAGGTGCCTATCAGCAGGGGAGACTCGGTCCTTCGGTTCAATCCCCCGCTCTTCCCCGGAGGAGGCGACAGGGGTGCAACGGCCCAGTGTTAACACCCCTTCCTCCGGAGGCATCTCCACTGCCGAGACAATTAAAGTCTGAAAAAACAAAAAGAAAGGGATCATTTAATTGAGATTTTTTTCTTCCTCTGAGAACTCTTACCTTTTTAGGCAGTGGAGGGTGACCCATCAGACCTACGTACGCTTGTTTTTCTTTGGAAGCCAAGCTCGATTCTGCAGGAAAAATATAAGAACAAATAAATTAAATGGTTTATAAATCATGATATTACTTAAGTTTCTTTTAAAATGACTTATATTAAGGAAATAATTGCATTTGATTCTACTTACTTGAGTATTGTGGCCAAAGTGCCTCTGCCAGCGGGGGAACTAGTCAGTCATTTCCGCTTTTCAATCCCCCGCTCTTCCCCGGAGGCGACATAGGGGTGCAACGGCCCAGTGTTTACACCCCTTCCTCCGGAGGCATCCCCACTGCCTTTTGATAATTTACATCTGAAAAAACAAAGAAAGGGACCATTTAGTTGAGATTATTTTCTTCCTCAGAGAACTCTTACCTTTCAGGCAGTGGAGGGTGACCCATCAGACCCACGTATGCTTCTTTTTCTTTGGTAGCCAAGCTCGATCATCACGTAGTGTACCTGGAAAAATATAAAAAGAAATAAATTAAATGGTTTTTATAAATTAAAATATATGTTAATTAAATTTCTTTTTCAATGACTTAGTTTGAGGAAATAATTGCATTTGATTCTACTCACTTGAATATTGTGGCCAAAGTGCCTCTGCCAGCGGGGGAACTAGTCAGTCATTTCCGATTTTCAATCCCCCGCTCTTCCCCGGAGGTGACAGGGGTGCAACCGCCCAGTGTTTACGCCCCTTCCTCCGGAGGCATCCCCACTGCCCATTGACAATTTCCGTCTGAAAAAAACAAAAAAGGGACCATTTAATTGAGATTTTTATCAAACTCAAAGAACTCTCACCTTTCAGGTTTGTGGCTCATGTGGAGCGGCAAGATGGCCTTTGAGCTGTCGTCAGGTTGCACCTTGCCAGCTGACTTCTTCATCAGCAATGCAACAATTCCGGCATCAGTGAATTGACCTCCGTGAACTGCCACTGAGCAATCGCCGAGAGTCTTGTTCGGGTTCTTGTGGTTCCATCGATCGATTTCCTCATCCTCCGCAGACTCTGATGCTTTGTACACCGGTGCTTCATCTCTTCGGAGGTATGTCGGTGGCCCAAGTTCAGATACTTGTCTAACCTTTACTCTGTTCAGAGGAATTAAAATTACTAATCAATATCAATTACAAAATTTGTAGCTCACATTTGTAGTAAACAGCGCCAGATTGGCGTTGCGCGAGAGGCAGTAGGCAATGCGCTGCTTGGCCTTGTGGGCAGCAGCTCGGGATGTTCTTCTGACCCCTCCTTCAGGAGCGGGCCAGTGGCCTCGGCGACGGACTGCAGGGACTGGTGCAAGGACTGGGGCGACAGCTGCAACTGGGACATGGACCGGGGCAACGGCTGGGGCAGCAGGACCAGCAGCACCGTGGACCAACAACTCAGCAAGGTCGAGTTTCTTAAGCCGCACGATTGGTTGCTAAAACAAAAATGATTAAAAATAAGTAAGTAAAACTGCTACACTCTGTTGAGGTCTGAGAAATGAATGAAATTGAAGATTTTTCAATTTACAAAATGCTCACTTACAAAGTGCAGCGGCAATTTTTGTGCAGCAGAGACCACTGGAGGTAGGTCTGCTGCAGTTGGTGGGGAGTTGGGGGCCAAAATGATTGAGGCCAACACTGGGGCAGCAGGTTGGTCAACTGCATGGTGGGCCACCAATTCAGCCAGGCCGAGCCTCTCCACACGCACGATGGGCCACTAAACAAAAATAATTACAAATTAAATTCTAATGAAACTGCTACAGTGTTAAGGTCTGAGAAATGAAAAATTGAAGATTTTTTAAATTACAAAATGCTCACTTACCACTTGCAGCTGTTTTTGTTGTGCTGCAGACACTTGGTCTACAGCAGGGACTTGGTTAGCAGCCGTAGGTGGAGCCTTCGAGGCCAATGGAACTAATTCCGGAACCGGGGCCAAGGGCAAGACCAACTGTGCCTGATCGTTTGCCTGCTGGTCTTGCTCAACATCATGAATATCCATGTCGACGCCCCGGTCGAGAAATTGCTCTTGGTTCTGTGAACAATTTATTAATGGATTGAAATAAAAATCAGTTTTACTAAAACTTCAGCCTAATCCACAACTAAATTATTGCAACAAACGAAAAATACAGAAAAATTAATACAATTTACTTTCTTAGTGAAATAATCTTGCAAAAGTTTGACTTTGGAATATTATTAAAAAATTTGTGTGAATATAATTAAAAATATTACCTGCGGAGCATCAAGCAATGGGCTTGGTTGGCGAGGCAGGGCGTCCACAAGCAGACCACTTGGCGGAGGTGGCAATTCTGCAGACGGATTGTTGGATGGCAGGACGGACGCCTCTTTGTCCTGATCGTCCAAACCGACATCGCAGTCGTCCGGCAGAGGTACGTCCTGCACACAAAATCAAAGAATGATTTAAGAAAAAAAGTAAAAAATTATTCATTGTTGAAATGAGATAACAGTTGATTTACTTACCAGCGGATCGTTCAACTTTCTGCGATGGCGAGGGGGCTCCGCGTCACTTTCCTCGCAGCTGCCTTCGTAATCCTCGCCATCGCTGCTGCTCTCTCTCTTTCTGCTCTTGCCACTGCTGCTCTCGCCACTGCTGCTCTCGCCGCTGCTACTGCCTGACTCGGAGTCTGATGCAGCTGTTGAGCTCTCTCCGGAGCTGCCAGTGGAAGATGCGGTGGTGTCCGATCCGCTCTCCTCACTATCACTGGCGTTGGTCGAAGAACCGCTCTCCTCCTCGGAAGAACTCTCGTCCTCACCCGAAAGTTTTTGCCAGCGCAGCTGCAACAAAAGGTAGAAAATATTGAGAACTTTTGTTCGATTTAATTGATTGTACGTTGAGAATATATGAACCAAAATAAAATAAAAGGGAAAAAATCAGCTTAAATTTATATTGCAAAATTCAGCAGCATACAATGGCAACAAATAGAGAACAAGTATTGGGTGTCTGCAATTTAAAATGCATAATTTACCTGCCAAGCTTTGGGCCCAAGTTTCGGGACTGCACAAGAAGCCGAGGCCGGTGCGAAGGAGCTAGAAGAGGAGGCGTATTTGGCAAAGCCTGCAGAGGACAGGGCCGGTGATGGTTGAGGGCGGCTGCCTTCCAGGTGCGGCCTCTTCAGCGCCTGCTTCGGCCTCCTGGCCTCAACCTGGGGAGGATCAGGCCTGCTCGTGACGGCGGCCGCTGGCTGGGGTCGGTTCACGTCAGGCTGGGGCTTCTCCAGCGGCGGGAAATCCGGCCTGGAACGCGCAGGGCTGCGGCGGTCTTCTGATCCCTTTTGGCGATCAGAGACCTGCTTCTCACGACGTTTGGGAGCAGACGAGGCCAGGCTGGGGCTCTGCACGCAGACCTTGAGAGAGGCCGAAGGTCCAACGGCGAAGAGATTCATCAGGGCAGACCTGATGGGCTCCGTTGAGGACTTGGCCGGAGGAGCTGCAGCAGGTTTTGGCTTTGGCGCAGACGCGACAGCCGCAGCGTAGCTCATGATGGCGGGTGCGTCGGTGCTCAGGGTCGGGATGAAGCGTGCAGCCTTCAAAAGGGGCCTCGGACCCTGCAGGTCTGGGGTCACGCGTCCCCTTTTGCCGACAATAAACCACTCGTCCTCGTCCTCTTCCTCCTCCTCCTCGTCCGAAGTTTCGGCCGCCCTCTTGGGCGCCGAGTTGGCCCGAGAGGTATGGGCGCTGGTCTTGTTGCCTCCGCGGGCCGGGCTCGTCTCCTCAGAGTTGGAGGACGGAGCGAGCTCGCGGCGCCGCTTCAGCAGAGGTGCCGAGTTGGCCCCACCGCTGGACTGGGGGACCAACTGGGCCTTGGGCTTCTTGCCTCCGCGGGCCGGGCCGCGCTCCTCGGTGGAGGACGGAGCGGGCTCGCGGCGCCGCTTCGGCAGAGGTGCCGAGTTGGCCCCACCGCTGGACTGGGGGACCAACTGGGCCTTGGGCTTCTTGCCTCCGCGGGCCGGGCCGCGCTCCTCGGTGGAGGACGGAGCGGGCTCCCGGCGCCGCTTCGACGCTGCACTGTCGGCGCCGCGGCGCTTGGCGGCGGTGGGGCCTTGGCCGATGGTCTGGCTCGGGCCCACCGCGGCCGCCGCGGTCGCCTTCGCCTGGAGTCGAAGGGAGCGGCGGATGCCGTCTGCAAACAAACAACAAAAACAATATTTATTAGAAAAAAAATATTGAAATAATTCGGAACAATTTTTTAAATTGAATAATTATTTAAAACACTCTCGTCAGGTACAATATTCAACATTTTGCAGTTGGATTTTTATAAATTTATATTGCAGAAAATATAGATGAACTTCTGATAGAAAGCGTCACGGCTTCTTGAACTCTTCAAACTTTTTGATTTTTGAATCTATTTTTCGTACATTTTTCCGCTGCATATTTTGACGAGTTCGGCCACTCGAATCTCTGTCGACAGAGAGATTTCCCAGACTGCAGATTCTTCCATACTTTACTTTTCAAGCAAACGGCGAAATTTAACGCGATTTAACTGACGTGTACGTGTGTGCAGATTTTGACACAAGTTTCAGCTGGAAAGGAAAACAAAACAAGGGCGGGGCAACTCCTGCCTCCCCCACCCCTCCAGCAGGGATGCTGCCGCAGGGTGCCACCTTCAGGGCGCGAAGAGCAATAAATCAAATTAATTTAGGCTTTAGGCGCCAGCACAAAAACATCACCATAATTAATACGAAAACTCATAACTTTGCTAAATATATAAGTTCTCAGAAAAATAAAAAAATTGCATATTTTTTATTTCCGCCGTAATTTTACTTCCTTGATTGTTTATTTTTGAAACAAAAAATTAGTTCTTCTCATCTTCACAGGAGCAAAATTAGTTAAATTATTGCATCATTAGAAATTTAAAACTCAAATAAAATTCATCAGAGGAGAAAAATTAGCCAGTTAAGTTTTTCTTTTGATTTGAGATGGTTTGATTTTTTTTATTCAATAACCTTTCAATCGGTTGTGATAATTTTAAACAACTAAATTTTTTATTGTTATTTCAAGAGTGCTTTCAGATCTCTCATGTTTCATTTTAAGATAATTAAGAGAATATTTTAAGTGAGCTCAACGATCGATTCGTGAACAAATTATGCAATCGAGGGTCATAATGAATTACGAATTTTTTCTCATTCTGGAAATTTTTGCGACGAGCTTAAAATTTGAGACGAGGCAAAATATGTGACCCTTCCAATCACAACAATTCAGGTGAATCCCCAAATTTTGACTTGTTTTAATTGAAAATAAGTTTGAAAGTTATACTAAAATGACTAAAATAATAATTCACTTTCTCTTGAAGATGGAATTCCTCGTGCCTCAATGAACTCGATTTTCATTAAACGTTAATTAAATTGCGTAATGTGGGACAAACGTTTTGCCTCCACCTCGGTTCTGCAATTTCGTTTTGCCGCGCGGGGGTGACGCCGAGCCACAGCCGACAAGATCAGACCCGTTTCGCGCTCTGGAACTCCGTTTTCCAAATCCTCTCTCCCCTCCCGCGCGACCAACGCTGCGTGTTTAAACACGAAATAAATCTGTTTCATTTCGTCTACCCAAAGGAATTTCTGCATTCTGCAGTTTAGTTTTTTTCAAAGTACACACGGATTCGTAAATTAAATCTCCGAATGGTGATCAAATCTCGGAAAATCGTACATAACAATTAAATTTTTAACAAGAAAAATCTATTTCAACGATGAATATTCAATTAATTTTCAATATAGATTCACGCTTGAAACACGAAATCAAATAAAATAGAGACCGCATGGAGCATGAACGAATCGCCATTTTTCGTCCTCCCGAAAAGTCGCGCAAATTTTATACAAATTTCGGTTAAAACATGCAGATTTTTTTATAAAAAAAACAATCGACCTACCTCCCTCGCTCGCAGGCACTTTCTCTTTGGTTATCTTGGACATTGAGTGAAAATCAACGAAAAAAGCTCGGGGGGCGACAATGGCACTTATGCACGGCACAATATCTTACGGAGCTATGAGGCCTGGAGGCGCTGCAGCCGCGAGCCAGTTTTTTCGCGCTCCGGTTTTTCTTGTTTCGGCCAACCGGTTTTCAATTCTTACGACTATTTTGCTTGCGGATTTTCTCGCACGAAACCGTGATTTTTCTGCAAATTTCGATTTAATTGCTACTTCAGTATGAAAAAATAATAATATCCACCGCAGAAACGAAATTTAATTTGGAATTTTCTGTTAAAAACCGAATTAAAAAACCGGCCGCAACGCTCCTTGCGGCGAAATTCATCAAATAATGTAATTCGGAGTGAAATCAAATACTTTTGACCTTGGAAACTGCTCTGATTAGTCTGATTTTCACTTTGCGGAAATTCAGCCCAATTCGACACGGCTCGGACGCGTCATTTATCACGTTATTTCTATAATTGAATAATTATATGGACATAAAAAATGTTTAAAATAAGTTTGAAAGCTAAAAATGAAATTATTAATGAAACAAAAAAGTTAAAAGAATAATGAGAATAAATATTTTTACTGTTAATTTTCTTTATAATATATTAAATTCAAATTATTTTAACTAAAAATACTATTAAAAATAAAATAAATTGTTTATTTAAAAGATCATCCACTATATACTATCCATAAAAAACACTTCAGTTTTATGCAATTGAACCATTATATATTTTATTATAATTAAAATTGCAACTTTTTTTCCATTTATCCTTACAAAAAAGACATCATGATACATAACCTTTTATGACCAGATAAAATCAAACGCTTTTCAGTTTGAATTTTACAAAGGTAGACGACATTTGTAAGAAATTTAAAAATTCTTGGCAAAAAACAAAATTGCAAATTAGAAATTAATAAAAGAATTCAAATTTATTCAGCTTTATCTCAAATTCGCCATAAAATGGTTGCATGAGGAAAGGTCGAAAATCTTGAGGAGGTGTCTGACTTGTTCGTGATGAACCTCGCTATGGCTTCAAAGAGCATAAAATGTTCTTCTCAGGGTACTCAACGTCATGCGGCATACTTGGCAGCTTCGCCAGCCAGGATGCATGGCCGGCTGAAAGAAAGCAGAAGAGCGGGTGTTCTGTCGGCAGGACGCAGCTAGGTCTCTCCATTAGGACGAATCCTGCAGGGACTGCTGCTCGAAGGTGGCCGAGAGCAAGGTTAAATTGGCGCCCTTCTCAGGTTGATCCGCTTATATCGGGCAAGCAAAAAGCGTCCAACCTTGCCAGCTCCAAACTCTTTCTCCTCTAAACAATTAATTCTTCTCAAATTATAGCCTAGAAGATCATGCATAAGAAAAAATTGAGTTCATTCCGCACTTTTGAAGAAGTAATGTATGTTTGAAATAGCAAAATTTACTCATTTCTTTAAGTTGAAATTGTTTCAATATAGTGAAAAGAACGCTTAAGTCCTCAATAGACAAATGCCAAAACTAATAAGAACTTCAATTTGAAATTTGTGATTTTTACCTGATGCAAACAAATCTATCGGCAGACGAATAAATTTTCCCTCCTCAGCGAGGGTAAGCATTTTGCAGTCTCGGTGCAAGTTGTTGGTGGTACTGCCAGAAAAAAGCCAGGACCTCTTTGATCTTTTTCAGCTAAAATTCTTTTCTCAAAATTTGCTTTGGTGAAGGCAACAAGGTCGTCCGCTGCTGGTCAGAGTTCTTTGATTTCGAGGACGATGACACCGGTAAAGACACCCTTTTTACGCCCAAAGTGGCGTTGGCCAATTTTACGACAGCGATGATCTTTTAAATCTTGTCAGTTTTGCATTTACATCGAGTGTATTACTTTTGATACCCGTGAACACCCAGGACGATGGACAGGACGGATCTTTCTTTCAGATTGCACTAAATTGCTGAAATAAAATTTGCACTAACTTATTTTTTGTATATTATAGAAATGGTGTAATGAAAACACAAATAATTTGAAACTTCTGCTCAACATTAAATATAAATTACTGTTTTGATACTAAAATAGATGACCATATAAAGCCAAAATATGTTGGTTCGAATTAATAATTGGTCACAAATTAATAATTTGAAATTACACAACAGATCTTTTCTTTCATTTCCATATTTTAAATAATCCTAATCACAATTATAAATAATTTTAATGGTTTTAATTGATCTAGAAATGAAATAAAGCAATTTGCAGATCTCGAAAATCATATAATATAATGTTGACGGAAAAGATATGTATTTCAACGAAATAATTTTTAAATAGTAGTTTTAAATTTCCGGATCAATAAACTTGCAAAAATGTGTATGGTCTTACCAGTGAAAAATGCAAATTTCTCACATGCGCTGCATCATCTGCTGTTTGCCCCAAGAGCACACCATTAGATCAACCGCAGATCTCAGCAAGAGGTTTTCCAAATAAACCCTGCCAATAAAGGCTTCTCCCTGGAAGAAACTCCTTTGCTCTGTTTTTATGCGTTGACGAAAGAGATTTCTCAAATGATGAACATCCGCCCGGAACAAATTTTTGGCCAAATTAACCTTCGCCTTTGGCCAAGCAGGTGAGGGAGGATGCGTCTGTGAAGGTCGCGTACCAACACCTCTCCGGGTCAAAGCGGTTTTTGTTGTCCGCACCCAAAAGGTTGAACGAATAAAAGGTCTGATCAGCACCTTTCAGGATACGACCTGGGCCGACAGTGAGCGAGAGGTGCCATGCGCCTGCCAGGGCGCAGGGCGATTTCTCTTGAGCAAAATTTCGAGAGTTGAAATCTCCGGCCGATGAGAACTTTGGTGGCGTTCAGTGCAGCAGGAAATGGGACGTTGAAAAAAAAACACATCCAAATGAGAAGGCTGCCCATGGCTGACCTGCGTCCACTTTTCATCTCGTGAAACCTAAAATAATAAATAAAATTAATTTGTTGTAATTTATTCAATTTACAATATCAAAATATGCGAATACAGCAAAACAACTGTTCATTTTTTGCAAAATAAAAGTAATTTTCTTTTAACTAAAATATGAGATTGTGTTTAATAAAAAAAAAAAAACTGCATATTAGACAAGATTACAAAAAAGTGTTTTGTAAAAAAAATTTAAGCTCTCAATATTTGAATTCTTCAACTGATTAGATCGGATTAAATAACAGTAAAGTAATTTGATATTTAATTTTTAATCAAATTTTGTAATAATTGAAGTTAAAATCGTTAAAAAAAACCTCTTTATTATGCGGAATTGATAGAAATATTAATTAATTTCTGTACAACAATTAACTTGAGAATTAACTTAAAAACGAACACACTAAACAACTTCTAGCTGAAAAATTAAAAAAACATCATTGTAATGTTGCTTGTTGATATTTGATATAGGAAAGAAAAAGTTGGAAAAAGTCACCCAATTGTGTGCAGAAGGTCAGTGATTTTGTCGGCGCCTCTCAAGATGCGGCTCCAGTCCAACTCCTCCTCGTACGTATTATTATTGTCAGCATTTGATTTACTCTATGATTTTTCAAGTGCGCCTGGCTGAACAACTGCATAGTCGAATGACAAATAAGATGACTCACCGGCATTCTGAGTGAGACTCGCTCGCAGCGACCAAATAAGAAGGCAGTTCGAATTACAATGGAATGTGTTCCTTTCTTGCCTTCCTCTCTGCACGGACGCACAACTTGGAAGAAAAACTTTTAAGAAAAAAAGTTCTCCCGAATCGTCAAGCAGTTCTGTGCCTGTTCCGACCGGTTTTGGCGAGTGCAGCAAGTGCGGTCACGTGACCTGCAAAAAGGTCCACTTGGGTGTTGCTCGGAGGTTGGCGGCGCTGCCGTCAGTGCCGTCAGTGGCGCTTCCGGCAGTGTCTCGATTCACCACCATCAAATCGCAGCAATAAAAGAGCCGACTTTGGGAATTTAAACTTTTAAGGGCCCGACCGAGATAGCAATTCCGCCGCATTCGTTCGTCTCGGCCGCCGAACGAGCCTCCCGCCGAATAGAGTCTTCTTCTGCCGAATTGGGCTAATTATCGAGAGAAATGGGCGACGAGTTTCCGAAGGAGTACGACGTCATCGTCGTCGGCACAGGTTTGCAATTAAATTTTCCACCTTTTATGCATTCGGCACTATTATTCTTAATTGTTTAATTTTCGGCACGCAGGAATGACCGAGTCGATTTTGGCCGCGGCCGCGAGCCGCGTCGGCAAGAGGGTGTTGCACCTGGACAGGTACGTGCGTGCGCCGAAGCGTGTCGAATTCGAGTGAATTAATCGACGTGGTTGATTTTGCAGCAACGAGTACTATGGCGGCCTGTGGGCCTCGTTCAACTTCGACGGCCTCCAGCAGTGGGTCAACGACTGCCAGAAGCCCAAGGACGAGACCGAGTGCGCGGCCAGTCCGCAGCTGGACGCCGGCGAGACCGCCGTCCGCATGAGGGTGCTCAACCCGCCCACGGCCACCAACGTCAAGGAGCAGTGGCACGTCCCTGAGTATGACTCACTCTCGCACCTTTCCAAGGCCAACCCACATTCCGATCAAATGATTAAACATCAATTTAAATTTTATCAAGCCCGGAATATTTAAAACATTTAAAGTTGAAACTTTTCAAAATAGAAAAAATTTGCTAATTTTTTCAATTTTTCCATTTTTTAATTAATAAGATTTTAAAAATAAAGCTAAAAATTACTCATTAAAGAATAACATTTTCAACAAATTTAAGCGAAATCTTTTTACATTCAATTTAAATCTGTTGATTTTGGACAGAAAATTCCCATCGAAACTTCAAAATTATTCCTCTTTTTTTTATTCTTAAGTTTAAATTTCCAGGCATGTTGAGAGTTCCGGCGAGGAGGGGAAGAAGGCGTGGAGCCAGGAGGAGGTGAAGAAGCTGTACAGGAAGTTCAACATCGACCTGGCGCCGAAGCTGCTGTACTCGCGAGGGGCGCTCGTCGAGCTCTTGATCTCGTCCAACATCGCGCGCTACACCGAGTTCCGCAACGTGAGCCGCGTGGTGACCTGGCACGACGGCAAACTGACCCCGGTGCCATGCTCGCGCGCCGACGTCTTCTCCACGCAGAACATCTCGGTCGTCGAGAAGCGCATGCTGATGAACCTGCTGCAGGAGTGCACCGAGTACGAGAGCAACCCGGACAAACTCAAAGGCACTTTTCTAAAAATAAAAAGATTTTCTTTACTATAATCGAATTGCAGAACATGAAACGCAGACCTTCTTGGACTTCCTCAAGGGCAAGAACTTGACTGACAACCTGATGCACTACGTGTTGTACGCAATCGCGATGGCCACCGAGGACACGCCCTGCATCGAGGGCATGGCCCGCACCCAGAAGTTTCTGCTCAGCCTCGGCCGCTACGGAAACACGCCTTTCTTGTGGCCCATGTACGGCAGTGGCGAAATTCCTCAGGCCTTTTGCAGGTTCGACTTTTCAATCATCCCGATTTATTAATTTTTTCATAACTCCACGTTGCAAATTAATTTCAATTTCAGATCATTGGTTGGTGTTTTGTTAGGAACTTTTTATTCTATTCTGACACACTCTTTTGGCATGGGTTCAACAGATTTTGACAATAATTGGCAAGAATTATGGACAAGTATGAAATTTGCATACTTTACTATGGGGCTCAAAATTTGATTTTTTTAAGGGGATTTTTAAAATTGATAATATCTCAGCTCCTGGTAAAGATAGCTCATATTCCTCAGTCATCTAAATTGTCAGGAATGAAATGCCCTACAAATTTGCAACAGTAACCAAGGTCAAAGGTCAATTTTCAAGGTCACCTTTTGAAACCTAAATATTTAATTAATCTGCCAAAATACCTGGGATATGATTTTTTTTAAATTTGAAAATATCCAAAAGTTGACTTAATTTAGTTTTACTCAACATATAAAAAAATGATAAGATTTCCTCTTTTCCTTTTTGAGATATTCTTGTTCGAAGTGTAAAAAACGTGGTTTTCCGAGCTATTTTTATGGGAATTTAACTTCTCTCCTGCTACACCAGCCACTTCTTGTCAAAAGCGGTTGGTCAAAATAAAATAAAACGTGCCTTAAACAGTTTCGTTACTTTGATAAAATAATAATGAAATTAACTGGAAAAATCTTCATCGTCCATTTAATGCACTTAAAAATTATAAATTTTAAAACATGATCCTATGTGTGTTGTAGTTTTGCTCTGAAATTTTCTTTAAATTGTTAAATAGGTTGTGTGCTGTGTTTGGGGGGCTTTATCACCTGAAGCGAGGGGCCGAGGCGCTGGTCGTTGGGTCTGACAATGTGCTGCGGGCGATCCACTCGGACGGAGAGAATCTGAAGACCAATTATCTTGTGATGGGGCTCGATTACGCCCCGAACTCGTTTCTGCCTGAAAATTCCCCTGGAATGTCCAGAGCAGTCTTTGTGATTGACGGGTACCGTTATTTAATTCAAAATTATAAAATTAATCAATTTTTTTTTGTTCTTTTCAAACAGCTCCATTTTGCCGGCCGAAAAAGAGCACCTGACCCTTCTCGAGTTTCCCCCTTCGGAGGAAAACTCGGATCCTGTGACGATTATCGAGGTTGGATCTCTGACGCACGCTTGTCCCTCAGGACTTTGTGAGTTGTTCCAAAGTTAGATGAGATTAATTCTGACGTGCGTGGGTCTAGACATGGTTCACATGACGACCAAGCAGAAAGGAAGTGCCGAGGAAGATCTGATGCCGGTGGCCAAAAAGCTGCTCAACTTCCCCGGGGACGGCTGCGAGTCAAAGCCGAATCTCGTCTGGTCCATGTTTTTCAACATGAACGACACCTCCACCTGTGATCTTGGTGCCAACACACCGTCGAACTTGTTCCTCACCTCGGGCCCTGATCTAGATCTTGACTTTGATTTTGCCATCAAGCAGGTCTGTATTTATTTCAGAGACGATTAATTTTGTAATTTTGTTTTGGTTCCAATGCAGGCTAAGGAGATCTTTTGCAAGATGTACCCCGAAGATGAGTTTTTGCCGAGGGCGCCGGACCCAGAGGAAATCATCCTGGACGACGACGAGGAGCCCAAGAAGGAGGAGAAAGCTGTCGAGGAACAGCCCCAAGAGTAAAGCAAGTGATGAGAGAGCACACGCTTTGGCTTTTTATGCATTCCTTCGACACTCCTTAATTTATTAGATTTTGATCCACAAAGGGCGCGTGGCTCTTTCTTTTTACCCTGTTATCGTAACATTGTCAACTGATGCACTTAATATTATTCTGGTCATGCCTACTTTTGGTATATTTTTGTATAAATACTTTCGTTTGTTCGATTCGGTGCTAATGTTCGATTCGATTCTGTAGAGCAGCAACCCTTTCTCGAAGTGCAGTGTGGCGCAGCCACGATTTGTGAGATTTACGCTTTGATGCTCAATTATCATGAAAAAAATTAACGCATTCATAAGCTTGGGCGGAGTTAATATGTGCAACCCCTAGAACTGAATTGGAAAAGCTGCATTTTTGCAAAAACCATGTCAAGTAACGAGTATTCTGCTTATTGTGATCTATATATGCTTATAGTAGCTGACTTCATTATTTGTCACAAGAACAACAAGATTTGTGTAATCACCAAATAAACTTTCAGCACCTACCAAACTGTGTATTTTGTTTTCTTAAACCAGAGAGCCAATTAAGAAATAAAATCATTTGTAATTACGAATTACAAATTATTTTCTTTGTTGTTTAATCAATCTTTTATTCAAAAAGTCTATTCAACGCTAAAATAATAATGGTTTTCAGTTTTCAATACTCATAACTTGCATTTCTACCACATGTGCGTTTCCCTGATCTCGCTGAGGATGAGACTCGCCTTCTGCAGCGCCTGTTTCAAAATTACCAAGCATTAGAAAAATTTAATTATTTTGACCAAAACTTGGACCTTGAGCATGTCTGCTGCCTCTTTGCGCTGCCGAGCGATGTGCTCAGATTCATTGAGCAGCTGCTCGGCGTGGTCAGACTTGTACAAATGAGCCACCAGCTCGGATTGCAGATTATCTTTAACAAAGTTGACCAAGAAGTGCATCACAGCCTTGGGCACGCTGTCCTGAATCGATTTGCGCACAATGTAGAAGTACGACTTGATCAGATGTTCTATAAAATTTACACAAAAATTTATTTATATTTAATTAATTAAATAAATTAACTAATTATTTAAATTATTTAGAAAATGGTCTTAAAATAAAATCGCACCAATGACGTCGCAATCTCTCTGTTCCCGATCGGAGAGTTTCCGGCTGCTGGTTTGCGACGGAACTTCCGGAAGCAAATTGACTGGCTTCTGTGGAGTCAGAGGCTGGCGCATGTCCATTGTCTGGTTGGCCGCCGAGTATTCGTTCGAGTCATTGTCCAAAATCCTTGCCAAACCAGTGTCATTCAAATCTCCGTTCACTTTCATCGCGTTCTGCATAAAAAAAATGGTTTAAGAAATTTATCGAGTCAATTGAGAATACTTTTGGAACTTCTTGGCTTCCAGGGACAACAGTCAAGCCGCGCGAAATGTTTCTCCTGTTTGCAGGTCTATTCATTCCCCTTTCGTCGACAGCACTTTTCAACAACGAAGTGACCAAAGCTGCGTCTTGGTGGAAATCAGGGTGTTTGGTGTTGATGTAGGCACTCTCGATGGCCACAATGTTTTCAATCTGAAACACCTTTTTTATTAGACAAAGAATAAATAATTATCTCAATCTACCATTGCATTTGTGGTTGGCAGTCTTCTCCGCAGCAACTGGGTGACAACATCGACGATTTTCTCGTAGAGCTTTGGGAAGCGCAGCATTTCCTGCTGCACCTCGTTGCCGCAGTGCTGGATGATGCGCTGCATCTCCTCGTGGACCAACTCCACACACCGCAGCGACGGCTCCTCCAACCGCCGGATTTGACGCTTCACCAGCAGTTCGAATGAAACCTGCACATTTCTCTCACTCAAAATATGTTTAAATCTGAAAAGAGAAACAAACCTCGGGGACAAAGAGAGCCGGTCTAGGGCCAGTGGCGTTGTGGATGGCAGTCAAAATGTCCATCTTGGTCAGGCCGGTCAGAGGATGGATTGAATCCAAAGTTCGTCCGAATGTTTCGTGGAAGATGTAGCAAATTCTCGCACCTCCACACCTGAATCGAATTTTAACAAAAATTGCAAAAAAAAAGGCAAAATTTATTACAGTTCTGTTGTCTCAATGTTTCTGGACGTTCCTTCGATGGTGCAACAATAGGCCGAAGCAAACTTTGTAATTATCTGCAGAAGAGTTTGGCTTTTGTCGGCCACGTCTTCTCCATACGAATTCAAAACACTCTGCACTTGAGAAACCATACCATTCACTCTGGCCTGAAAGAAAATTGATTAAAAAAAAAACTTTAAAAATTACTCGAATTACTTTTAAATCAGGAAGACAGTCTCTAATGTAATGCATGAGCAGGCGGTTCAGAGTTTTGGCCAAATACGGAGTGCCATTTCTGTTGGCCAGAGTCGGGTACTTCCTTTGCAGAAAAGAGGCTTCGTCTTTCAAAGCGTCTTTAATGGGCTAAAAATTTGTGTCAAATTTAATTCAGAATTAATTTTAACAAAAAATACTTTGCAGTTCATTATGTCCTGCTGCGATCTGTTGACCACTCCAATGATTCCGAGCTTGACGGGAATCACTCTTCCACACAAAATATCAATGGCATCAGTTCCTGATACAAATTTTGTATTAAAATCTCTTGTTATTTTTTTTTTTTAAATTATAAACGGACCAGCGTCCATCAAGTCGAGCTTAGTCAGGACGGCCAGGGTCCTCCTGCCGTCAGGGTCAACTTCTCTGGCAAGTTTGACACTCTCGGCGGTGGCCATGTCTGTGTTGGCGGTGGCTACAGCAAGGATGATCGAGTTCGGGTTGCAGATCATTTGGAGAACAAGGTCCTTTATCTGAGCTTCGATGTCTTCAGGCTGCTCTCCGACAGGAACCTTTTCGAATCAAATGAATTTTCAAAATTACAATTCTGCAGATCATCTTTTAACTAAATTTGTTACTTTGGTTAGACCGGGGAGGTCAACGAGTGTCAAGTTGACGACCCTGTTTGAGAAAATTTTCAGTCTGATCGGTTCGACCGAGATTCCTTTCTTGCTTCCTGCAATGCGGTCCGTCTCATTGTCAATCTCTTTCCGGATTTCCTCAAAGTCCGTGTAAACTTTGTCCTTTGTGTGGAGGAATTTTCCCCACTCTTCGAGGGTCAGAGTTCCTAGCGGAAAAATTTATTTCCATTTATTTTATGGATTGATTTTAATTATTTCATGAAATTTTCTACCGACCCTCTTCCTTTGAGCGGTATGTCATGTCATCCTTAGGGGTGTAGACCAGTTGCAAGATCAAAGGTCTCCGGGTCACGATGCCCGTTCCTCTCGGCAAGAATGACCTTCCGACTAAACTCTCGATGACGGAACTTTTGCCGGAGCTCTGCAAACAAATTAATTAATAAGCGAAGAAGATGATTTGTTTCTCGAATCCCACCTGGGTTCCAACAACCACGATTTGCGGAAGCTGGATCGAATCGGCTCCGACGGTGTTGAAAACGTCCTGCAGCTTGTTGATCACCGGAATCAGGGCTTCCATGCTGCTCAGTTCGCTGGACAGGAAAAGGTCGCGAAACGCAGGCACGGGATCTGCATCAATGGGCGAAAGTGTTAACCCTCTCATGAGACGAAACTTGCGTTTTCTCGAGAGCCAGCAGTGAAAATGGAGCCGCGCAACAGAGGAAAGATCACAGAGGCTTTGTTTTGCAAAACATTGATCTTGGCATACAATCAACGACAAATATTCAATGAAAGTGGCAATGAAATCTGAGCAAAAGCAGATCAAAACAAACCTCAAACTCGAACGGAAAGCTAAAGCACGCAAAAATTGTTTTGTTTTAGTCTAGAACGTGCCAATTTTCCGGTAAATTCATGCCCGATTTTGTAAATTCGCCAGATTCCCTCCCTCTTAGCTTTGGGGAAGGTTCCAGCAGTTGGCGCCACCGTCCAGTGTCATTTGCTCAGCCAATGGGAAGTGAGCAGAGTCGTGACGTAGGTTGCCACGGACCAATCAGAGCTCTTGTTTTCCAAAACACTAGTTTCCGAGCAGCTGTCACCCAATGGGGGCGCGTACTCGAACGTGTAGCATTAAAAGGACGTCGAAGGCAGTCACTCTCGTATCATTTATGGTTAGTTATCTCGATTTTCTGAATTAATTAATGGCCCCGCTGGGTCGGCGCTCGCTCCCTCGGTCGTAGCAAGTGTGCCGATCCGTCGGCGGCCGACGCTGGCGACGACGCGCGCCGAATATCGCCCAATTCCCGCACTTGGTAAAAATTGTCTGCCCGCCATTTGCAGAAAACGTCCAGAATCTGTGTTCTATATTTTGTAAATTTGGACGCAAAACCGCACGGATTGTCGACGCACGCCGAGTCTGTTCGCTTTGGTGCGTCGCGTTTCCTCGTCCGAAGAGGTCGCGGCGTGCCAGCGCCAAAATTGTCGCACCAAAAGCGGCAAAGGAGCGTGTCCGTCTGAGCACCAGCGAATCCGACATGTTTACCTCATACCAAGCGATGGGTTAATTATGTATATTTCGAGTCGTGAGGCAAAGTTTGCCCAACGCGATTCGAAATTGCCAGATTTTCTCACACCAACCCCGAATTAAACACTCGTGGTGTCATAATTAACATGCTTAAATGTATTTTGGTAATTTTCAGAATGGAGAAGACGGGTCAGCAGATCCGCGAGTGTCTGCACAACCATGACCTGAGGAGTTTGGACAGCGCCATGGTGCAAGAGGGCGCCGTGCCGAGCAACGCCGTCGAGCCTTCCAACTCGACCAAGCCGACTCCGGTCAGGTCCAGCGCCAGGGTCTCCAAGAAGGCCAAACTCGACTTGCAAACGAGTAATATTTTAATTCAATTTGATCAATTTTTTTTTTAATTAAAACAATTCCATCTTCTAGAAACTGCCAAAGACGAAAAGGGCAAGTCAGCGATTGTCTCTGGCCCGAGCAATTTGTCGGCCACCGAGGGCAAGAGGAAGCGAAACTGGGGCTTGTGGTCCGTCGAGGACAAGAACATCTTTTTCGAGGCGCTGAACGAGTTTGGCAAAGACTTTGACGCCATTCAGAATCACTTTGCCTCGAAAATCAAGAAGAGGGGAGTGACTGAAGCCAAAAATAAGGACCAGGTGCGACACTTTTACTACAGGAACTGGCACAAGATTTCCAAATTCATCAACTTCAATCCTGGTAATTGATTAATCTGGTCTTTAATTTTTCTTTTTATTAAATTTTTCAATTAGATTTAGGCAAAGTGAATCAAGAGTTGTTTGGCCTGATCAACTACGGAGAGTTGAGGAAAAGACTCGGCCGCTCCGTGCTGGACAAAAATGTGATTTTGAAGCTGCACGAGTTGATCTACGACGGCACAACGCAGATAAAAGTGAAAGGCAAGACTGTCCGGGTGAAAACCCCTCCGTGCCGAGCTCTGCGCAAACTTGGCCAGAACGAAACTGGTATTTAATCTTTTGATGATTTCACCGACCGAATTCTAAATTATTTGAATCGCCAGGAGGAGAAGGTTGTCCTAAATTGCCTCAAAGGGTGGGGGTGGAGTTGAGGCCGCTGAACAACAGAACCTGGGGAATTGTGCACGTTAAAGCCTACAACCCCCGAGTCTCCACCAACCAGCCCTTGCAGCATAAACTCTCTTCGCTGATCACTTTGCTGCAAAACAGGTGGCAGAGCAGGGACAGCAAACTTGTATGAATAATTGTTGTTTTGTGACATTTTTTATTAATAACAACCGATTTAGCTGGAGAAGTTGGCGGCTGCGGGTGAAGCCAACGTTCCTCCTCCCCGGCAAACCATGAGACTGAGGCTGGCCCCGAAGGCCGGAGTCAAAATCTCGGTGCCTTCCCTGAACGTCAACGACAGCACGAGCACAAACTCAGCCATTTCGCTCAAGTCGCTCGAAGGGCGGCTCATCTCGATGAGGAAGTCGGCATCCTCGAGGAACGGCAAAAGCGGCGCCAAAGGTCGCAGCAAGAAAAAAGTGGCCGACGGAGACAAAACCTCGGAGCTGCAGGACTCTGTGGGCACGGACAAGTTGGTCGCCCTGCAGCTCGAGGGCGATGACGCCACTGACGGCGACCTTAAGAAGTCGCCGAGGGAGGAGTGCGGCGAGGAGGGGGCGGAGGAGAGGAGGTTCGAGAGCCACGCAGCCCAACTCGAGACCATCAAGGCTGGCTGGACCGCGGACAACGCCGGCAACATAACCTTAGGAGAACTCTATGTGATGGTAGGAAACTAAAATCAGGGCCTTCGTGGGAATTTTTTTTTTAGGAAACCAATCATTTTGATTTTGAGGTCTTTGGAAAAGAAATTGTCTTGCCTCTTTTTTTCTAGCCATTTCGAATAAATTTTGGGTATACAAAACACCAATTTCATGCGTGGTGAATTGAAAATTGGGTTATTTTTGTTTACTTTTACATATATTTGAAAATCCCAAGACTGATTCGGACTGAAATGGTTTTTATTTCAAAGTTTTTCATTAAAATATTAAATATTTAGGATTTTTGCATGAAATCAAATAATCAATTGTTGAGCAATTTTTTATTTAAAATTTCTGAAAATTACATGAATAAAGTTACATTTCTACCCAATGTCTTGAAACAAAATCAAAAGAGATAATTAACACCAAAATAGAATTTATTTTTAATAAAATAAAATCATAAAGTCGCTTAAAAGTGACCTTGACCTTTGACCTACCTCTATGGTGTCAGCAGAAAAGTTGTTCTGCATGAAAAATTGAGTCAATTGGTAAAATTTTTATCACTCTAGCATTATTGGTTGCAGAGTTATACACTTTTTAAATTTTTTTCAAAATGTCCCAAAAGTTTGGTAAACAATTTCATTTTAAAAGCTCTCAATACAAAATGATTGGTTTGCTACAACAAATTCCTCTGAGAAATTGTTTTTAATGAGATTTTTGCAGTTTGGATCCAACTCGAAGCTGTGTTTTGAATACTCGTGGGAAGAAATTCCTCCAATTGCTGCTGTGAACGGGGTCGACCGGATCGACGCCTTCTCGTCGGTCATCAAAAGGCTGGTCAACCTGGCCAAATTGCTTCCAGTCCTGAAGGAAAAGGTTTGTCAATCTTTTTAGCTCTGAAGAGGCTTTTGATTTTAATCAAACGAACAGCCTAGTTGCCCCTGTGGCCACATCTGCACCAAAGGAACAGCGAAAGGTCGCCAAAGAGTGGCAAAGCCCAAAGCTGCGGCCACGGCGGCCTCGATGGTCACCCCGAAGGAGGAGGCCTTTGTCCACGGTGCCATGCTGCAAGCCACGGCCGTGGTCATCCCCAAGGTTTTCCCCCACAGCACAAGCATGACCATCCAACCCGTGCCTGCTCAGGACGCCATGTTCAGGAGGCCTTTGTTGGCACCTTCGCAGGCCAAATCGCAGCAGGACGCTGAGGACGCCCTCAAGGCTTCCTTAGAGGTAGTTTTTTATTATTATAGATTGAATTTTAAATTTTGATTTATTTTTTCAGCAATTTCGGTCTAAAAAGTACTGCAACAGGGTTGGAAGGACGAGTCGGAAGAACATGGCGGTGCAAAGGGTGGTGTCGACGTTGCTGCCCAAAGTGCCTGATGGACTCGTGGCCATCGTGCCGCAGAACGTGGTTGGATTTGCCAGTCCCGGGCACGGCGTGGTCGTGCCGGTCATCCAGGGTCCCACCCTGACCTCTCCAAAGGTGCGAACCTCACCCATAGCTCAACCTGTGAAGGCTGTTCCTTTGGTTGCCGGAACGGCGGTCAAAGAAATCTCATTCAAAGCCAAATCGCCCACAATCTCCTCCCTGCTCGGCCTCAACCCTGATGACCTTTCCCTGGGCGCTGAAAACGCCACCCTGAAGGACGTCACCCTTGGCAATAACGACCCACCTAGTTTTGTTGGTAATATTTTGTCGGAATAAAATTTGCGGGTTTCTAACAGGAAATTTTCAGGTCTTCTGGGTCAAACACCAACTGATGTACCTGAGCCGTCGGCTGCCGAAATCTCGCCGCCTTTGAGTCCGACTCAAATCCTCAAAGAATCCGCCGACAATCAGTGGCTGAATTCGGAAGTGAGTTTTTATTTCAAACTGGAAATTTTGCTCATTTTAACTTGCTGCATTTGAAGGTCTCTGATTTCTCGCTGAGCAGTTTCCTGGGCCACTTGGAGTCGCCCTTGAAGAGCTCGGTCCACGGTACAAATAACGAAGACTCGCGCATGTCCCAAGATGTGAGTCTTAACTCCCCAAATCTTGTTTGTTCTTTACATTGGGAAATGATTTCAGGTGGACGCTCAGTTCCAGAGTCTGATTACTGAGAACAGCCTGGAGTTCATGACTAGTTTCGCCGATCTTGCAGCTCACATCGCGCCCGAACCAATGGAAAGCAGCAGAAAGTAGGAGGTCCTCGGTACACAAAACAGATCTTTATTTATTATACATTCAAGATGAGTCTGTTAACAGTTTAGATTGAAACAAATTTTTATCAAACGGCTTCTAGTATTTCTAATTTTTATTCAAGACTTGATAATAATTTAAACCTTTTTCTCAATAACAGTATTTATTTTGACACAAGCTCGGACACTTTATAAAATTAACAGTAGAGAAAATATTTCCGTTGTGCTTGAATAATTAAGTTAAAACTGTGATAAATAGTGCAGAAACTACTGATTAGACCATTACGGAAGGAATCCTTACAAGAATTAGAAAAATTATATAATTTGCACACAAATATAATGGCTTGGCTAATAGTAGCATAAGTTGTGAAATGTGCAGCATTTACATGTGGAATTTGTCATAAGAGGCCAGTGGAGACGAATAAAAATCGATCATTATCAAAAGAACGTTTCAATAAGCGAGTCCTTTGAAGTTGGCAGTGATTTCGGAAATCCACTCGGCGTGGCCAGCGACGTTGACGTAAACTCCGGGCACCTCGGGCGTGGCGCATCCGATTCCCCAGGCCACCAGTCCGGCCAGGTAGAACTGACCTGGCCTCTCCGTGCTTTCGCAGACCAGGGGGGATCCGCCGTCGCCCTGTCTCAGGTTTTACATTCGAAGAATCGAAATAAATTTTTTTTTACCGTGCAAGCGTCCTTTTCCGGCTCTCCTCCGGCGCAAAGGAAGCTCCTCCTGTCCAGCTGGAAGTACTGACTCAACTTGGTGTCCCTCAGTCTTTTCTCGCACTCGTCCGACGCGACCACCGGCACGTCCACGTGCTTCATGATTTCCTGCAGCGATCCTCCTTGGAACGCGTTTTTGCCCCATCCGGACACCCAGCACCTTTTTATTGCCAATATTAGTCAAATTGATTCCAACAAATTTTCTCTCTCCAACCTTTGGCCAACGAAATTCGCGTCTCCTCCAGGCAGGCAGACGGCGGCGATGTGCGGATTCCGCTGCAGGGCGACGACCTCCTCCAAGGTCAGGACGGCGAGGTCGCCCTTGAGGTTCTTCGGATTGAAGTCGGGGTGGACGATGACCTCGGTCACGTTGAAGTCGAGGTGGCGGTACGGCTCGTGTTTCACGGACGCGTCCCACTCGCCCAGCCGCACCTTCAGCCCCTCCGGATTCGACCTTGCCAAAATATATATAGATTTAACAACAGTTAATTTTTGTTTAAATTTTATAATTTACTTGTAGGTGTCGTTGAGAATGTGGGCCGCAGTTAAAATGTGCAGGTTGTTGAGCAAAACGCCTCCGCCGATGTACAAGTTTGTCGCCGCGTCCAGGATTGCCACCGTCCAAGGGTGGTGTCCGAATGGCGCCTAGAAAAGAGAAGATTTTTAATTTTTAGAAAAAAATTCATTGTGGAAAGCATTTTAGAGCAAAATGTTTCAAACAAAACTTGTGAAAATTTTAATTTTGCACACTTTTTGTTTAAATGTTTTCAAAGCGAAAAAAGTTACAGTTGCGGGTAGGTTGAAAATGAGGTTTTCTGTTTGGTTTTCATCCATACAGTTTTAACGCTGAAAATTCTCATATTTTTCAAGCTTTTCGCTTTTAAAACTTTTGGCGCTTAGGATTTAGAAGAAAATGTCAAATGCAATAAGTGTGCAATATTAAATTTTCCACAAGTTTTGTTTGAAACATTTTTCTCTCAAATGATTTGCAGAAGAACTACCGCAAAAAAAAAGCAAAAAGATAAAATTTACCTTTTGATCAAACAATTGAAATTTTTGGTTAATTTATGTAAATTTTGTAATTTTTTGATAGCTTATTAAATTTCCTATCGATTGACGTCTGTCTCATGTTTGTATATTAAATAGAAAAATTACTACAAAAAATACAAAATACGCCAAACTTTCCATAAGTATAAAACTTTTTTACCCGGGCCAAGAAGGAAACGCTTTGGGAAAAATCTCAGAAAATGGGTATTCATTAAAACCTCAATAAATGGTGAAAATTTAAGACACTTTTTTTCTTAAGGGCCAAATGCTTTAGATTTCTGGACTAGCTGAATAAAAAAGGCCCATTATGCGCGTACTTGGCCTGGTTTGAGCGCATTGTTGGTTTCGGTGATGTTGGGTCTGATTCCGCAGGTCGGGGCTGGATTCTTTTGGGGGGCGAAGCAGCACAGGATGTGGTTCTTTTCCGAGCAACTTCCTTCCGGCGTCACGATTCGCATTCCGATCAGAGGACACTGGTCCACCCGGACGCAGTTGCAATTTCGCCCCTCATCAGAAGACGCTCCTGAATTTTAATATAAATAAAAATAAAACTTATATTTAAAAAGATTTTAATTACCAGCAGCTGCAATTCTATCAGCGGTTGTGTTGCTTTGCATTTCCAGGACTGGAGTTGTCGAGACGATTGTGGGCTTTAAGGTTATTGACTGGGTCGGCGGTCTCTGCGCCGAACTACCGTAAAGGTCATCTTTGTTTTGAAAAACTATCCCTTCGTACGAGGTGGACGAGGCATTTTTCAGTTCGTCGCAAACGCCAATCAAAGGCAGCAGAAGAAAAACGATCGCGCTTTTCATTTCGCTTTGAAATGAGCAAACGGCAGCGAGGTCTGGCCAAAGCAAACAAACAAATTAATTCAGAGCTGTCAAACCACTTCTCAGGTCTCAAGGCCATATTTATAATAGCTTGCATAACAGGTATAGAGAGAGAGAGTTTTATTTTTTTGATATTCCCACACACCTGTAAGAAAAAGAACTGGCAAAATATTTAATCGTTTTACTTTTATTACAATAATTTCAGGAATCATACAGATAATATGGCTTTGCCATGCTATTGTAGTATTTTGAAACAATTTTTTCGTATATTGATATGCAGATATACAAGAGACAAAGAAAGAGAGTCAGAAGACGTCAAGTAAATCACAAACAAATCGCCCCACTTCACTAGATGGGTCTCTTTAGCACGCATTTTTTTAAACCACTATTTTGCTGAATAGAAAAGTAATTTAAATTTGATTTAGCAAATTGACAACAATAAATAAAAACCAGTGCAATTAGATTCAAACTTCAGACGGTTCTCGAAGAACCCCGCAAATTTCAATCCGCTTTCAGAGATTACACGTAAAAAGCTGCAGCCTGTAACATTTTTGAAACATAAAAACTGACCGCGCGCACTTTATTTAATTCGTATGTTTGACTTTGGATGAAACAACCATCGAAGGTCCGTGTTTCCTTACTATGAGGTATTTCTTTTTTTTTTCATTAAACCACTCGTTTTTTTAAATGAATTAAGAAGTGACTACGAGTCGAGTTCGTCTTGGTCGTCGTCGCCGACGGGCATGAGGACGCGCACGAGTTGGGTGGCCTCGAAGCAGGGCTTCTTCTTGGTCAGCTTCTTCCTGAGCAGGGCCTCGCGCGCCTCCTTGGGGCTGTAGTAGTAGTTGGGGTACTTTTGCTTGTGCTCGATGTCGGCCTTCTTGGCCGCGTTGTAGTAGCTCTGCTTGTCGCCGGCGCTCAGACTCTTCCACATCACGCCCAGCCGGATGCTGATGTCCTTGTTGCTCTCGCTCGGGTTCTCCACGGCCAGCTTTCGCCGCCACTCGTTGGCGAAAACCATGAACGCGTTCGGCGGACGACGGATTTTCCCCGCCCCGGCCACACTCTCCTCGCTCATTTCCCCTCGCTTCGGCCGACCTGCAATTTTATGTTTACTCAAAAATCTATTTCAAAATTTGCCCAAAAGGGTACCTTTCAAGGGGCGAAACGTGGTGGTGGTTATGGTGGTCACCTTTTCAGACACTACAGGCTGAAACAAACAATCAATCAATTTTTCAGTATTTTCTCGAAAAAAGGTAAAACGGAATTGAATTTAAAGATTGAAATATAAAAATAGCAGTAAATCCTTTTTCAAAAACAATGCAATCTGAATGATGTTTGGAATAAGTTGTAGGTGGTCAACCTAAGGTCAGCATTGCCTAAAATTAGCGATTTTTACTTAAATATTGTTTTCCTTAATTATCTCGGCTTCTACTGCAGCAATTTCAAAACATTTAGCACCGTTTGAAAGCCACTTAAATAGACTTCCATTCGGTCATAAGAGTCAAGGTCACATGTCAAAGTTCAAGGTCACTTAAACTTCACAGAAGTTTTAAAAACGCCGCCATATATTCAACGACCGAAAATGCTTTGATCTTATCCACAGGAAAAATGTTCAAAATTTAATTTACATATAAGTATACAAATTTTTGGTTAATTTATGTTATTTCTGAGATATCTACGAAGGAAGTTGAAAAAATGTGGTTTTGCGCCCTTTTCTGAGGTCACAAAATCCAACAACCACGCCGAATAATGATCAGATTGGTTTGGGGAAATAAATTTAATTTGATTTGAAGTTCAGACGTTGAAAATTTTAAAGTAATGAAACAAGAATGACAAAAAGTTATCAAATAGAAATTCTAAAAAAATTAATTAATCAAGATGGGCTCCAAATTCTTTATAATTATCATTTCTCAAAAATATTTTAAACAATTCCGAATGTTTTTAATTGATTTTTCCTTTGCACAAAACGCTTATTTTCCTACAACTCTTGAAAATCAAACGGAATTATTAAATATTAACCAGATCAACAATCACTCTGGGTTCCTCTTCCTTGTCTTGCGGAGAGCAGGCGTCGATGTCCGTGATGTCGGGTGGCTCGACCTTGATCTGAGACAAAAGGTTAATTTGAGAGTGAAAATGTCAAGATTGGTGGTACCATCGAGGCGAGGTCGGTGTCAGGCGAGTGTGCGGCGTGGACGGCCGGAGGAACTTTGGAGGTTTTCGTGACTAAGGGTGGGGGCGAGGCCTCCTCGGCGCTCTCCTCGCTCGACTCGCACTTGGCCTGCTTCGACTTGGGCTCGTCGTCGCGCTGCTCCGACTTTTGCCGCTTCAACACGATGCGCGTGCGAATGTTGCACAGGCCCTTGACCTGCAGCGCCTCGGCGATCTGCAGAAAACCCTCCAGCTCGGTCTGCACCACTCGGATTTCACCTTTGTACATAAAGTCCAGCAGCGCCTTCACGTGCGCACTGCTCATGTTGTTCAGGATGACGATGGGGTGCGGCGTGTTGTGGTTGTTGAAGATGTCCTGAAATTAAATTTTCAATTAAAGGGGGTCACAGTTTTTGCCAAAATGATTATTATTTTGAGCTTTTTTTAGGAAGGATTGAATTGATTTCACATTTCCTTCAAAAAAAATGTTCTTTTAATAACTTTTTGTCAAGTTATTAGCAAGAAAACAACGCCAACGTGGAAGACATCATCTTGGATTGTGACAAATCTAGTTAATGAAAGACCCACTGAGGTGATTTTTATTGCCCTTTTCTCTGAAAGGTCGCTCAATTTCTAGTTTATTTTGAGAAAACTCAATGTGAAAATTGCAAACCAATCGCAAAAAAACCAAATTCGAGTAATTCGCGCGAAAAAATGTGAGAATTGTATATTTGGTAAAAAAAACTTCAGCTTTTGGTCGTCGGTGGCGCTGTGATCGCTGAAAACCCGGCAAAAATCAGCTATCGCAGCGCCAAAAGTGTCCGAAAGCTCATGTTTTTTGACCAAACTGACAAAAATAATTGATTCTCCAATTTTTTTTTGCATCGATTAGGTTTTCTTGCGATTGGTTTAGAATTGTCACGAGTTATATTCAAAATTTGGCAATCTTTGTAAATAAAGAGCAATTAAAATCACCGGAGTCGGTCTTAAGGGCAAATTTATGGTTCCAGTTGGTATATCGAGCCATTTTCAAAAATGAGAGGGACCAATTTTATGGTCACATCGACCATCTCAAAAGATTTGCTTAATCAAAAAACTTTGGTGAAAATTGAAGCTGATGAAATAAACTTTTCAAAAATAATATTCAATAAAAAAAGTCCAGGATGACTTTAACCTTTCCTGTCATTTTCAAATTTCTCTTTTGAGCCGTTTTGTTATTCAAAAATAGATGAAAATCAATTTCTAATTTTGAAGTGAGCGCACTTGGAAGTAAGGGCTGCAGGCGGAGAGGACGACGCGGTGCGCCCGGAAGTGGCTGCCCTGACAGGAGAGGGTGACGTCGACGAGGTCCTGGCGCGAGAACTGCTCGTTCAGCACCTCCATCACCGTGCTCGAGTGGTTGTTCCATCGCAGGTGCAGCTGCTGCTCGTCCACCTCGTCCGGGCTGGACATTCTGCGGACACCAAAATTTCGATTAAAAAAACTCACACTTGGCTCAGAAAAGTGTTCGTCACGGTTGCCCTGGAGACTGAATTGATTTTTCGCCGCACACTTTCCAAATTTAAAATAACAATAAAATGCAAGTGAAATTTATAACAATAATTAATCATTAAAAAATTTTACACAGATCGAATGAGATAAGAAGTTATATTTTCATAACAATGAAAATAATTCTACAAAAATTAATTTTTATCAATTTTTTTTTTTTTAAATTTGAAATTGAAAAGACTTTTGACACGATTTTTTGCAAAATTTCACAAGTTTTTAAACCGAATTTGAATGGAATAATCAATAAATTATTTGGGGCCAGGGGCGGACGTGGTTGCAACAATGGAAACCGCAACAATCCGGGGTTTCTCTTTGCTCACCTGTTTTTCGCCCGATTTCGCTCACTCTGGACGAACCGTGGCAAGCGAACCGCCTCGGAGAATAAATTTCAACACTTTGGAAATAACAATTGTCGTTTCCGTGCCGAAAATCCGCCGAATCAATCGTAAAAAGTCGATTCCGAAAAGAAAACAACAATGCGTTTTCTCTCTTGGATTCCCCGTAATGAAATAACACGGCGACCCGCGCGACATCTGCACGGAAGGCGGCGAAACGAGAGCGATCAGCTTGTCGACAAGGAAGCTCCCAAAAGGATGATTTCTTATGCTAAAAATCCGATTTAATTTAAAATTTACTGCAAAAATTAAATTAAATTTGTGCTTTTCTCTTTGATTTGTGGAATAATTTACAATTTGATCTCAAATAAAAGGTGAAAGTAAGTGGAAACTGCAGTTTGGGCAGATCCTGTTTAGAAAAACAAGGCTGTACAGGTACAACTTCGGCGCAGAAATCGGGAATATAAAAATCTGTTTAATTTACCAAATTAAGTGGAAAATTCCCTGCAGAAAACAAAATATCACTGAATCTGTCATTTTTCTGTGTCGAAACTGCTTTGATGTATGAAATAATTAAAAAATTTGAAGGTTTTACGGAAGTGACACTGCGACTGCAACATTAATAAAATTACTCAATATATTGATATTTGTGTTTATTAATTCATATCACTTGTGTACAACTTTTATCCACCTTTTATATAAATGGCAGTGTGGAGACTTTTCGAAGAACAAAAATGGAACCTTAAAAATTAATTTTTTGTTAACCCAATGACTGGAAACTAGCAAATATGACGAGATCTGATTCTTATTCACTTGAAAAGAAATGCATTTAAGGAACTTTTAAAGTTCTAAACTTGTACTTTTATAATGAGCACGAGACCATATTTGCAAGCGTCCGTGGTACAAAGGCACTTATTACTTGCATAATCAGTCAATCATTTTGTTTTTAATTAGTCTTAATTAGTTTGAGCTGTTGCAATTAATGCTAGAATTAATTCTTCATAAATAAAAATGAGAGAAGACACATTGGAAGACATCAATTTTTCACAAATGCAATTTAAGATTTAGGCTGTCAGAAAAAAATGTCTCTTATCATTTTTTACATCTTCCATTCGTTTCGGGATTCGGCGCCACTCTGGAGACACGTCTGCCAAAACCAATGTGTGCACCTCATCCCCCTTTTCAAAGTCACGCCACAGCAAAATTTCGCATCCCACTCTTTCCAATTCTGGGCAGGTTCTGATGAGCCCAGAGAGCAGCTTGTTGTGCGTGTCCAAGGCTTGAGGAAACTCTACATCTTTGGTCTCCTCGGTGGGCCACTCGAACTCAAACCTGGTCTTGAGGCAGGTCAGTTTCTGCAGGAAGGGCGAGGCCGAGTCGAGGAGGGCTCTTGGCTCGGTGAAGAAAAAGTCGAAAAGGCCAACTTTTTCAAGGTTCGGCGCCAGCAACAGATCCCAGAACATCATGCCAGGAATTTCCACATCATTGCGTTGTGTCAGCTGCAGATCCTTCAGCTTCAACCTGGCAGGGTCAACACGGTGATTCTGGTCCTCTCGGTCAAAGTCAGATTCCACATGCAGCGTCTCCAGGTTGGGGCACAAAGAAAGAATTCGACCCACGCATGCGTCTTGCGTCTCGTTAGTGTCGTCCATGCAAATCTCAACCAGTCTGGCACCAACCACTTGAAGGATCAGGTAGTCATCGGGGAAGAACAGCTGAAGCAGCGATTGCAACTGTGGTAGTTGGGTGTAGGTCTCCGGGGGCAGGTCGTGAATTGTGTGCATCTTTTTCAGTCCACCAAGGTGACTTGCAATACTGTTGGTAAAAAGTAATTTATTAAATCAGAAAATGTTAAAAAAAAAAATACTTAATTTTCAACATGGCCAGTGATTTCCCCCACCTCTTGCAACATGAATGGCCGTGGAGGATTCTCCGGGATGAACAAGTTTGGCAAGTAATTGAAATCAGCTGTAACATTAATCAATCAATCAATAAGGGGTAGGGTCGGTAAAATGGAATGTCAACTGGTGTAATTCTGAAAATAATTTCAATAGGATAAGAAGGGAGACGTTATTTACAATCGGTGTGATATTGTTGGGAATAATTTCAGATTTAACAACTGTATTCAAAAGAAGACAAGAATTGAGTGGCAATTTTTGAACCAAATATTTGATTAATTTTTTAAAAAGAAAAAAGCTAAAATGACGATAAAAAACAACTTTACTAACTGTCATTGTCAAGGTGAGTGTCCCTCCTGTGGATGGATCTGAGGTTTGGCAGCAATTCGAATGCTTTTTGAGGGGTCGGCAGCGTTTCTTTTGGGCTTCTCTCCGTACTTTGAAACACTAACAAAGGAAATTTTCTCCAGCAGGGGCAAATTTCCGAGCGAGCGCAGTCCTTCCGTGGTCAGATCACGATACTTTGTCAAACTGATACTCCTCAGGTTAGGGCAGCTCCTGCTCAGCACTTCCATGTCCTCTGTGTACATTTTTTTTCAGGTAAAGAATAAAGAAAAGTTTCTAAAACATACCGTCGGAAAATCGAAAGGTGATCAGGTCTAGGTCACCCAGGTTGGGGAATTTGGCAAGGTAAGGGAGAATCAAGTGTCCAGGTCTCAGCTTCCGACTCCCTGTCCACAGATCTCGAACGCTCCTCAGGTTGGGAGCCGAAGAGGCCAAGCACTCCCAAATTTCCTCCGATTCTTTGCTGAAGATGCACGAATCTTTTTCAATCACTTTGAAGTCAAAATCCTGGAGGTCTGATGTGATCAGTCGCTTCAGGGTGCTTAGGTCAGGCTGGAGTGAGTCTTTCTCTGCATTTGTGAAACCATAATAAATTTTCTACAAAAAAAAAAAAAATCACAGATTTGATTGTTTAAATTAAAATGGTTAAGCTTAAGATTATTATTATTCTTGTCAATGACATTCCAAAACTTAAGACAAAAATAGTAAAAAAATGGTGCTTTTAATACTCTTTTTTTCACAAAGTGGATGAAAATATTTGTATGTACCTTGAAGATGCACGAGCCGTCTGGAGCAAAATCAAGGCCAAGTTCAGGACGCACATAACAAGCATCACGCCCGGGAATCGATTTTGTGACGGCCTCAAGGATTGCAGTTGTCACTCTGTTGGCTGCAAAACATTTATTGTGATTTAAACTTTGCAATTAGCCGAATGTGTTGCCTTACGAAGGTGGCCGATCGAATCAGGGTCCAGTTTTGCCAGGTTGGTGACGACGGTGCGCATGGCCAGCTCCTGCAAGGGCACCGCAGGTTCTGTCTCAGGGTCTGCAGGACTCTCGCTGCTCCGACCAGCTCCTGCGTGCTGGCCAGTCCTTTGAGCAAGTCTGCAATCCCCAAATAAGAAACCCATTTCAGATTTTCGGATCGTTTTTGTAATTAATAAACAAACCATTCAACTCGCTCTTCCTAATTAGCGACGCAGGTTCATCCATTTTCGGCGTTTCGGCAGTTGGTCTGCTGCTGTGACCGGTGATTCAAAGTCTCCGAGCTCAGTCACAGTCAAGGGTCAACCTTGCAGAGTTTCATTTAAGTTCGTTATTTGGAAAATAAATTTACAGTTTTCGATTCGATTTGCAGCAAAACGTGCCAAGAAAAAAAAGAAAACAAAACAAAAATGGCGTGTACACAAAGGATTACAATGCATTTATCTTTTGACAAAATATTAAACTTTATAATTATTTAACAAACTTGTTAAATAATAACTTGTTATTTAGAAATAATGTAAAAACATAAATCATCAGACCCACGGACTGTATTTTTTTAAATTCTGAATCTTTTGTCGCTTTCGTCCACGTACAACACGGTACAAAAAATTTGTTTCAAGGACGGCCGATCCTTAACTCCTTTTTGTACACTCCTTTAGTTCAAGCACCAGAGGGCGAAATGTGAGCGAAATGTTAACGGCAAGAAGTGTTGGCGGGAGAGATAGGATTGCAGAGTTGATTTTTTTTTTTTTTTTTTTTTTGAAGAGATTACGAATAAATTAGATTGTGCGAGTATAAATTATAAAATATTATATATTTTTCAGGGCTATCAACCATTTTAAAAATAGCGGAATATAACAAATTGCTCAAGAGACCTCTTTAAAAAGCATGAAGACTCCTCTTTCCCCCCCCCCCCCAATTTTATGCTTTTGCACCCGCTGAACACATTGATGGCACTTTAAGCACTGCACGTACCACAAAAATGATAAAAATTTTCTGCCGAAGAAAAATAATTTAGCTCTCATATATTATATAATAAGAAAATGCAAATTCTGAATTCGCCATTCTTGTATTTTGATATTATTGATTTGCAAGTTTGAAAATTTGAAATTCTTTGTTAAATTAAAAACATCTCATTGTGAGAGCTTTAACTTGATTAATCTACACCAGATTTACGCTTTTCTGAAATTTCAAGTTATCCTGAAATGTGTTCCAATGAGTGGAATGGAAGTTTCGAATCACCGTGGTTTCTCTAGTTCAAAGAACTTTTCACTTTCACGGTCAAAATTGACAAGAGCTTGATGCTTGATTATCACAATCTGACCTTGGCGGTTTCCGCAGGAAATGCGTTTTTCCGTATTAATTTTAAAACAAGTCGTTTTGGTGAGAATTAACGAACGCAGCTGAGGATGAAAGTGGTCGGTTTGGAGCTTTTGCTCGGCCTCTGTCTCCTGCAGGGTGAGAAAGCATTTTGCCTAAACTGCATCAGGGCTCAATTTGTGGGCGCAGGTGGCGCGGGTTCGCCGGTGCTTGGGCGCGCCATTCACAGCAGGGCGGTCACCCTCGGCATCCCCCAATGTCTCAGCTTCGTCCGCTCGGTGTTCGGGGGCGAAATGCCCCTCAGTGCCGCCGACATCGACACCAAGTTCTTCCTCTACACAAGGTTTTTTAACTTCCTTGCCAAATTTTAACAATTATTTTTCTATTTTTATGAGCAATTATAAGAAAGAAAAAAACGTCTAGGAAAAAAGCATGGAAAAAGGTCATGCCAGTCTGAAATTTGTACCATCTACTGGAGTATTTTTTATTTTTTGTAGCAAATTTTCTATTCCTTGTACAAATATGTGACCAATACCATTCGATAGAAAATTTAATTAGCTTTCAAAATCTTAGGTTTACTATATGACAATATTTGGCGCCAAAAAGTGTGATTTTTTGAACAAAGGTCAATTATTTGGTCATTTTAAAGGTTGTTTTTTAGCTCTGAAATCTTCTGGAAATTATTTTAGAGGAAAATGTTTCAATCGAAAGTTGTAGATATAATTTAGGTTTGCACACTTTCTGTTCTTAACATTTTCTTCTAAATCCAAAGCGACAAAATTTATAAATGATGAAATTTTGAAAAATGTTTGATTTCCACCCATAAGCAGAAACCTCATTTTTCAACCTTTCCGCTTTTATAACTTTTTTCGCTTTAAATTCAGGAGGAAATGTTTAATACAAAAAGTGTGCAAAATTAAATTATCTACAAGTTTTGTTTAAAAATTTTTCCCTAAAATTTTTTCCACGAGAGCTAGAGCACAAAAAACCAAAAAAAAAAATAGTAAAACATTTACCTTTGCTCAAACAATTGAATTATTGGCGTGTTATAAATTTTCTTAATTGAGAAAAGTTGATTAGGATTTTAAAGCTAATCAAATTTCCTATCGGTGGTCTCATGTTTTTGCACGGAACGGAAAAATTACTACAAAACAGTTAAAATACGCAACCTTTCAAAAAAGGTACTTTTTTTACCAGAAGTGGAAAAATCTTAGAAAATAGAAAAAGTGAAAATTTCCGACTGGCATGAATTTTTCCCGGGTATTGAAACCTTTTTCTTTCCTGAACTGAAAGGGACCGCGACGGGGCGACGCAGATCAGGGTGGGCGAGTTCAAGGATTCGGCGGACGGAAGGTGGAAACCGCTGGAGCAGCTTTTGAAGAAACGAAAGACGATTTTCGTGATCCACGGATTCCAGAACAGCGCCGACGAGGAGTGGGTCAAGAAAATGGCCCAAGCGCTGCTCAGCACCAAGGTTCGATTTTACTCTTAGCTGCGAAAACTGCTAAAAAACGAAACCGAAGGAGGACTTGCAAGTGGTGGCCGTCGACTGGGCCGAGGGGGCCAAACCGCGCTTCTTCAACTACGTCCAGTCCGTGTCCAACACGCCCGTGGTTGGCGAGGAAGTCGCAAAGTACGCAATAATCATCTCTTTTTTTATGCTTCAATTTTAGTTTGTAGATTTTAAGAAATATTTTCATTGCAGAAGGTGAAAAAAGATCAAATTTCGTGACAAATCATTATTAAAATAATATTAAATAATTCGCACCCTTACAAAAGGGTTCACTTTTAATTCAACCAAACAAATTTGAACCTCAAAGAAAATTAGTCAGAAATGTGATTGAAATTCTCTAATTTTGGTAAAGCAGCTAATCTTTAAATGCTTTTGGCGCGAAAAAACAATACCTGATTTTAACCCTTCAGGGTGTGAATTATTTCAATTATATTTTGACAATCGTCATGAAATTTGGCCTGCTTTCAAATTTAGGATTAGAAAAATTAAGTCCAGTCGTTCCTTAAGGTTGGTTCGGCACTTGAACGAGCACTTGGGCATTCCCCTGAGCGACTTCCACCTGATCGGCCACAGCCTCGGCGCTCAGGTTGCCTCCTACGTGTCGCACCACCTCAAGGGCAAGGTCGGCCGCCTCACAGGTTTTTGGTTCAAATAATTAAAAAAATTGAGAAAATTTTAATTAAATTTTACTCAGCCCTGGACCCGGCGTGTCCGTGCTTCAGCATGCTGAGCAGAGACCTCAGGGTGGACCCTGAGGATGCAGAATTCGTCGACGTCATCCACACCAACGGCAGGGACAAGTACAGCCTCGGTCTGATGACCCCTGTTGGTTTGTGGCTTTTCTATTTATAGGTCAAACCGGGTCAAACAAGCCCCTCATTTCTCGTTGGCGTTTTTTTTTTTAATTTTCTTAGCATAAAACTTTCCTGAATTAAAACTGTCCTTGAACTAATTAAAAAAATTCAGGCGACGTCGATTTTTACCCGAACGGGGGTCAGGAACAACCTGCGTGCGGCGTCAAGAGTTTCTGGCTGCGACCCTTTAAGCGTGAGACGAAATTCACTCCCAACTGAAATGTTACTTTTAATTTTGGTCAATAGTTTTGTTCTCGTCGATTTGCAGCCACGCCGCGGCCGTCGATTACTTCATCGAGTCCATCACGGCCGCCGCCAAGTGCCGGTTTTGGGGAAAGCCCTGGAAATTATTCGGCAATCGGTACGAAAACGAGAACGGACAATTAAGATTGCATTTTTTTATTTTTGATCATGCAAAGCAATTTTTATGCTTAATCTGGAAAAGAAGCTGTCAAATTTCTAGCCATTTTCAAGAAAAATTTTACCAAAAAAAAAAAAGACCTCAGACTTATATGACGTATATTTTTATTTTTGTTTGAACTGATAAAAACCGTTTGAAAATTAGTTTTTCGAAAGGCATTATTAGATTGTAAAATTACAGATAATTTTAGGAAACTTGAATATAAAATGATTTGTGAATTTCATTTCTTTGAAGGACCGAGAGTGATGCTTGCCCTGGAAAAAAGTGCGAACTGACGCCGATGGGCTACGAGTGCAACAAATTCGCAGGTCGCGGCACCTTTTACGTGCCGGTCGCCGACGGCTCTCCCCACTGCGGTCGGTACCAAAGTCTTCATTATGAATCTAATTTGTTGACTGGATTGAAATTTTCAGCCGTCAGCAATAACAGAGGCTAAGACTTCCTTTGACTGAAGAAATAATATGACTTAATTTTTCCCAATGCTACAATTTTAATTGTAATATAGAATAAAAATTGCTCGATTTTGGACTGAAATTCAAAGACATACTCATTTTCAAACATTATAAATCAACAAAACATATATGATTTATAGTCGTTTGAACGCTTTTTATGTCTATTGTCTGTATAATAATTTCTAAAAGGCTGGTTTTATATTTTTATGTACTGTAGTTAATGTTTGTCTTGGGTCTTTAATGAGGTTTGTGTATTTTCAAAAGGCAAAAAACGTTACATTTTGACCCTTGATTTAGAAACTTGGTCACCATCAGCAAAGAAGAAAATTTGAAATGTCTGAATTAATTTACTTTGTGTTACTTCACGCTCATGTATTTCCAGCGGCTAAAATGGAATTTCGCAAGTAGAATTCGGTAGTTTGAGAATGAAATTATCAATTAATATGATATATTTGTTTGCAGAAATAAAAAAAATTTCAAGGGCTTAAAAATAGGCTCGATTTTCTCACTTGAACAATGCAAAATACCACGATTTTCAACCCTAATTCAATTGATCTTTTCCCAAAAATTCATGCGGTGAGCCCCAATTTTCTAGTGCCAAATCAAAGAACATTTTGGTGGGTCAAAAACTGAAATTACTTCAAATGCGATTAAAAGATTATTTGTGAAACCTTTACATAAAAGCAAGCAATGTTAATTTTAAATTAAATTTTCTTAAAATTTAATCCTTTGAAATTGAGACTTTTCTAATTATAAAAATGATCCTGTTAGTTTTTTAGGGGATGATTTTGCTTATTTTTCTTAAATTGAAATAAATTATTGAGGGTTTTTCGGAGCAAAATAAACTCTGCAGTCTCTATTTCAACAATTCGTTTTAATACACATCAATTTCGAGTAACATTAAATATATATTTATATTACGATTAGAAACATATTGTCAGCAAGAATGCAAAGTTGGCGCGCGCTCGCGGCTGAGAGGCGGCGCGAACGATGCATTTTTTTGTTGTATTAATTTTAAATATATGTAATTATTTGTCTTCGTTCTGTGCTTCGCCCTATTTGGCTGCGATAGGGCGAAACAGGCACCTGAATTTTTTTTTATTGATACGAACACTTAATTAATTACAACGCAAACACATTTAAAGGGTATATAAGTACAGACGAGTGTGTGCGTGTCAAGCATAGACATTTACATTCCGTGAAAGAACTGCATAGCGACCGCGCATTTCGACATCTTCCTCTGGTTTTAAAGCTAATTTAAGCATTACTGAGAGACTTTTATTGCCTAGCTACACACACCGATTAGTATTATAATTTAAGTTGCAGGTTTTGAGTGTTCGTTTGGGACACTTTTTGGTCACAGCAAGCGAGATATCGGCAACGAAAAGACTCTTGCTTGCAGATTGAGCACCTCCTCACAGTCTCTACAGACGAAAAGCGACGCGCACGACGACTTAATTATGACGAGTATTTTTCGGTCACACAAAGACACGCACTTTTGAGTGATTAATTGGAACGAGATCGATACAAATGCCCTCTCTGGAGAGAGAAAAAGTGTAATTATCGGTTCGACGCGTGAAATTTATTGTCACAAAACTCGACGGGGAAGATTTTTATCGATTAATCTCAGACAAACAACAACAACAAGTGAGACCCTCACGCTAGCCGAGCATATTACAAATTTTATGTGAACACGAATTCCGCAAACTATGGCTTTCTTTTTTTTTCACACCGAAACATATTTTTTTTTTAATTCGAGCCCGTTCGAATCTTGTATTGTCATGACAGCATGACGTCGAATCCCTTTTCCGGGAGACAAAACAAAGCAACACATTTTTGTCATAGAATTTATGCGAAAATCAACACCAAAGGGGAAAATTCAGACGAGCCACTCGCCGAAGGAATTGAGTTTCGGCCCAGCAAGTCACACGTGCGTGCCGTAAGTCGAGTTGGCGTTTTGCTCCACCGCGTCCTGCTGCGGCGTGATCGCTTTGTGCAGACGCTGAAACACGCATTCGTCCTTTTTTACTCAAATTTCTATGCAAAATGATATGATCTTTATTTGAAAAGTTACAAAAAAAAAACGGTTAATAAAATAAAATATTATTATTTTTGGCCAAAAATAGGTTATTAGCGATAATTTTAAGTCTTCATTAAAATTTATTAATAGCAAAATAGTTCGAAATGACCGAAACTTTTTTAATTTTGGTTACAGAAAACTTCCTACTGACAAGCAATGTTTTCGAAGTGTCACACTCCGATTTTCTTAAAAATTAGTGTGAGGCAGGGAAAAGGTGTCATGATAACCAAACAAACGTCCATTTTTGCCCTAATTGCCCAGGAGCTGCGTTACACGCATTTCAAATTTGGAAATTTATGCAACTTCACGACATGTATGTTTCGCATGCTGCATACTTACCTATATGAAGCACATTATGTCATATGGTAAGTATGCAGCACGCGAAACAGCGAAGTCATGAAGTTGCATAAATTTCCAAATTAGAAACGCTTGTAACGCAGCCCATGATCAACTTATAATTTTAATATAATAATATACCTTTATTCCTTTAATTTACGAATGAAGATACTTTATACATTTTCTAAAAATGTTGTGAAATAATGAAATTAGTTATTTCTATTCTATTTATAAATAAAAGTAATAATATCTTCATGTGAAGAACTATTTTGCCATACTACAAGAGTAGTTTGAATAAATCGAAATTTCGGATATTATCAAATGGCAAATATTGAAATAAAAAACGTTGTAAATTCTTTTTGATAGCTTTCATATTTATATAAAACGATATAAAATATTTATTTATTCTAAACTCTTTATAGAATTTACACCAAACAAAAACGTAAATAATTGCACAAATAAAAGCGTAGATATATTAAAAATATCTAGATATTTCAGTTTTTGGATTCACTTGGCATTCTCACAGTAATGGAATGACCAGAGGTGCTCGAAGCAAAGTAATTGGAGACACCAAGCACACTTCAAGAAGAACCTTTTGGTACATCCATTTTCTCCGCAGGTTCCAGTTTCTGTTGAAAAGCAGAACTGTGCCGGGGTCTCAAATGCTGGGGGCCTGGTCGGTCCAAGGTAACCGGCTTTCCAAAAGCCGTACTGGATTGCCGCTTGGAATCGTGGAGCGCTGAATTGGTTCATAGATATGGACACTAGCTTGATTATGGAGTTTCGCTCTGACAGTGTCACATCAACTCCCATTGCAATGATGCGATCTGAAAATTTTCGCAGGAAGCACTTTAGGGGTCTATTGAAATAGACATCTTGCGGCTGCACCCATCCAGTTGTGCCTGCAGGGATTTCAGCTATTGTTACTGACTTGGCCAAAGGCAAGTTGTCCAGAAGCTCGTCGTTCCACCAACCAAACCATTTGTCCCTCAGAAATCCTGACTTGCTTTTTAGGTGAGGAATCAGACACTTTTCAAAAAATATTCCATTTTGAAACTTGTGCATCTTTCCTGATTTTGTAGCAAGTAAAACTAAATTGGGAGGCCGGAAAATCTTCTTTAACACAGAGGGGCCAAATTTCCCAGTTGTTTCCTGCAGAATCAGCAAACTAGGGGAGTGTAGGCGGCCGTCAGCGGATGTGACAGGAAGTATGGTAGATGAGTGCGTAAGAGCATGTTTGCTTTGTATCAACTGAAACAATATAATTCAATTCATTTTATTGACTTAAGGCATGAAATTACTAACAAAAAAATAATAATTTAATAATATTTTTTATAATCTTTATAAAAAATTAAACCGCTCCTTGATGTCTTTTAATGAGAATCATGGTATATTTTAATATTCAATCAAATATCATTGATAAATATTAAAATTGTAACAATAAGTATGTAATTTTATATAGATATATATTTTTTATAACATACCTTCCAAACATTGCTGGCTCCTATCAAGTCAAGGGTTCTCCCGGTGTGAATTTCTCTCACAAGTCCCATGTGATCCGCGTTGAACACATTCGATGCGCCTATCTCCTTGACTAGTGCAGCCCCGTCTTTGACAAATTCTTTCCCTTGCTGAATGAGCTCCTCTTCTCTCTCGATAGAAGCTTTCGTCATAAACTTTGTGACTTTGCGATCACCAACTCCAAATCGCCTTTTCCAGTTGTAAACAAACGAGCGTGATGCAAAGAAGTTTGTCAATTTAGCTGTTTTTCCTTCATCAGCAGCCCACTCCATGAGATCACAGTCATGTATCAAATATCCATTTTCACGCGCATTGTCGAAGCGTCTCTTCACGGCTGCAACATATATATTTTTTTATTTATTAAAAAATTATTTTACAACATTTCATAATAATAACAAATAAAAATATCAATTGACATTTACAGTTCCATTAATATAATAATAATTATAGTTATGTAATTTAAATCTTTCTTTATTAATTAGAATTTTTTAAATCTTTAATATTTTTTATTTTAATTTATAAATTTATTATTAATTTAAAAAAATTAACAGTTTCTTCATAATTATTTAAATATATTTTCTTATTAATAGTTTGAATGCTGAAACTTGAGGTTTTATGTTACCTAAATATACAGCAGCTAATTTGTTCAGTCTATCTCCTCCATTTTCCAGCTGCGATTTCCATCTGTATAGTTGTCTCCTACTCGTGACGTATCTAAAGCGGTGCTGCACAGATTCAATAGGACGAAGTTTTCCTTTTGTGGCTCTCCAGTAGTTAACAGCATTTTGCTTTTCCTTCAGACTAACAACAATTTGTACTGCACCTAAAGGGTTGTCATCATCTGGGCAGTACTCGGCGTTGTCGCCCTCAATTTGTTCAGCGTGTTGCCCACGTGGATGAATCGAGTGTCTTGTTTCCAGAGTATTGTCATGAACATCGTAATCATTTTGCGTTTCCAGTGAGTCAACCAAGTCGTCAATTAGGAGTTCACTAGTAGTCTCATGCTGATAGTCGAGTGTAGTTTCTTGGATAATTTTGTCAATGCTGTTGAAGTCACATATTATTGCTAAAAAAAAAAAGGAAGTTGCTTGTTTTAAAAACTTGTCATTCAATTAATAATAGTGAATATTACCCTTCAGATGGCTGGTCAATTGTAATTCGATTAGGGTAGGAACTGTGGTTTTCAAAGTATCAAATCCACAGTCGTAAATCAATTGTTGTATAACGTTGTGAACAGAAATTATTTGATCACTCATTTTCAATAAATAAAAAACACATCTATTTCCTCGTGTGTTTTTCCAAGAACTGATTTTATGGACTGATTGTGAATTGAGGGTGAAGTTGGTTCGACCGTGCTCTGGAATGCGCTCCCTGCATTCTTAAAATTACTAGAGCACCCTGCAAGTTTTGCATGGGCACTTCGTCCTTATGTTGTTATGTTTATACAGAACTTGTTCCAAGGTCGCAGAAAAGTTCATCGTCGGTGGCAGATAAATTCCAATAAATTCAATACGGCCATAAAAGGGAAGAAGAATAAAAATCGTCAAAATTGCACATTATTATTCTTCATAAAGCCACAATTTTTGTTGAACTTTTTTTAAATGCAAAATTAAATTGGCAAAACAATTTAAATTAAATTTTAATTACAAGTAAAATTAAATTTCAATATTTTCAATAAAATTTAAATATAATATTTTCATTCAAATCTAATTTTAACATAATATATTTGAAGATTTAGTTTTCTAAATTTAATTAACATTTTTAAATAATTATAATTAAAAAAAACATCGATTAAATAAAGCATCAGAAAACTGAATTTTAACCTAAAATTCTTGATTCAAAAATTTAAGAAAATATTGATTAAAAAAATGGTCATTTAACTCTTTAAGATAGATGATATTTTTGCAAGGGCTCAATTTCTTTTTAAATTGCAAATATACGCCAAGATCAAAATAACCAAAATAGCATTCTTTTCCGAGCCGTTTTTCAATGATATTGTCTATGCTATGATCACTAAAAATCTATTCCTGTTAAGAGTAATAAAACACCAGTCTTGCTCCAATCAACTTTCACTATCATTTTAATAATAAATAAATTATAAATTAATTTTCGGTTTCATTTTTATATACATATAAACTTTTGAAACGTTTGTCAAAAATTACTAATGTAAATAATGAAAAAATATTGCAAGTAAAAATTTTAAAATTAAAAATTATTTCACTTGTCCAAACAAGTAAAATTACCATTTCAAAACAATATATAATAACACAAAAAAATAATTCTTTTTAACTTAACAGCCTAGAAATATAAAGTGCATCCATCAACTTTTTAGATTGCCCAGATTTAATTATTAAGGAACGCTGAATAGTTTTTAATGGTTAAAGACCTTTTTATATAAAATTTCAACTAAAACTTTATACTTCTTAAAAATTTTGAATTTGGGCTGCGTTACAAGCGTTTCTAATTTGGAAATTTATGCAACTTCATGACTTCGCTGTTTCGCGTGCTGCATACTTACCATATGACATAATGTGCTTCATATAGGTAAGTATGCAGCATGCGAAACATACATGTCGTGAAGTTGCATAAATTTCCAAATTTGAAATGCGTGTAACGCAGCTCCTGGGAAATTAGGGCAAAAATGGACGTTTGTTTGGTTATCATGACACCTTTTCCCTGCCTCACACTAATTTTTAAGAAAATCGGAGTGTGACACTTCGAAAACATTGCTTGTGAGAAGAAGAAAAAGTGAAATTGATCATGAAAAAGGAATAACAAAGTTTTACGTTGCAAATAACAATAATTTTAGAAATTAATTAATATAAAAATAAAATGAGAAAAAAATTTATAAGATTTTGTTTCATTACCATATTTTTTAATACATATTATTGTTTCTTCTTCAAGAACATTTATAAGATTTAATAACAAAATACAAAAAGTCTTTGCCTTTGCGAAGAACGTGGCAAAGCTTTTGTGGGGTTCAAGTTTCAAATTTATGGAAATTCGGAAGAAAAATTATCAAATCTTATGTTAAAATATGTCATAGTGAGCCTCTCTTCAATTTGGAGTTTTGAAAAATTACCCTAGACTTTTTTGATTTTCCATAACTTTGGAACGGTTTGAGTTAGAACAAAAATCTATAATGTTTCTGGCCCAAATTTTTACGCTGAACAACTTTGCCATTGACATTCAAAGTCAAAGGCTTAAGGAAAATGTCACTTTTTTGCAATGTTTTGATAAAGGACAATTTTTGACGCTTGATATTTTTGGTGGTATAAGAAAAAATGTAGCCCGTGAAATTTTACATCAGCCCTGTAGTTTTCAGAAAAGCTATTCTTTCCTTTCTTGAGATAATAAAAATAACGTGAAACGTGCTTTTCCGAAAAATTTTTGAATCAACAAAAAAAAAACGAGAAATCATAAATTATGAGGCAATTGGTTATGATTCATAGAGACAAAAAAAAATTTGATACAGGGCATATATCATGGTCCTGATTCATTTTCAAGAAAATTGCAACTATAATTTCATTTTCATCAATATAATTATTGGAAATGAAGATTCGGGCTTTTCCTCGTTGCAAAAAATTGTTTTTATTCAAAAAACAAACGGCTCTACCAGTTTCGGTCACGGTCTGCGACCCTATTTCATGAGCAAACGCGCTGCTCGCTGACTAATACAAAACAATGAATAAAAATTGAATAAAAACAATTTTTTGCAACGAGGAAAAGCCCGAATCTTCATTTCCATGATCATCTCCTCGAGTGTTAACTTCTTCAAACAAATATAATTATTTGTTATTTCAACTTTCAAGCATTTTCATCTAATTAAATTAGAAATATATTTAAAATGTTGCTAATTTAAAAGTTTAAATCAAGATTCCTGATTAAATAGTGGAAAATGTACCTCCATGAATGTTCCGGGCGTTTTGATCAAGAAGTAGAGGATGTAGCCGGGGATGCAGACGAGGGAGGAGGAGGTGAGGATCCAGCCGACGGTGATGGACCACGGCGGGTACTCGTAGTCGCCGCTCTTCAGGTCTTCGTAGCCCACCAGCGAGAAAATGAAAATGGCCTGCCGAAGAAAAATATAAAAATCATATGTAATTTTTTATAAAAAATATTTGGAAAAAAATTCTAACCAGGATGAAGACGGGGCTGATGCAGTTCCAGCAGAGGCGCCAGAACAAGCCCGGCCGGATTCCAATCATCATCTCGATGTCGGAGGAAAAACGGTTGACGCCGTAAAACCAGCAAACGCCCACCGCCTCCACGAACACCACGAACAGGATCGAAATGCCTGGACCGTAGATGTTCAAAAGGTTCACCAGGTACTCGCCGCCCTGAAAAATCACACCTTTTTTAACAAAATACTATTTTATTCAACTACTTTAAAAATGTCCCGACTTTTATTTGAATTTTTGGTAACTGTGCAAAATAATTGGCAAAATTTGGTGATTGCTTTTGTTTGTATTATGGAAAAATAAAAAAGTGATGTTTTTTTAATTTTTTTTAGTAATTCAATGATAATTTAAATTAACTACAAGTTTTGTTTAAACATTTCTCTCTCAAATGGGCTAGCGGTAAAAAACAAATAAAATATATATTTAATATTTCAACCTTTGTTCAAACAATTGAAATTATTGATGCCACAGTTGTCTTATTTAATTGAAGTTCACGAGCGCATTAAAACTATTTAAATTTTCTATCGATTGGCGTTGGTCTCTAATTTTTGCAGGAATTAAATATAAAAAATAATGCAATAAAATCTAGATCAATGATTGAACAGGAAACCTTATTTTTCAACCCTTCCGCTTTGATAAATTTTTGCGCTTTGAATTTAGAAGAAAATGTTAGATACAAAAAATGTGCACAATTAAATTTTCTACAAGTTTTGAAAGGAACATTTTTCTCTTAAATGTTTTCCAAAAGAGCTAGAGCTAAAATACCAATAAAAAATTACAAAATTTTGGCCATAGTTCAAACAACCGAAAATTTTGGCGCCAAAAACTCATTAATTAGAGTCAACTTTGAATGTTTCAGAAAGCTAATTAAATTTTCTATCGATTGGCGTTGGTTTTGTGTTTGAATAATTAATAGAAAAATTACTGGAAAAAAATCATATTCGCCACTTTTTGAAGGGTACTTTTTACTCTGGCAAATATATTGGCGTGAATTTATTTTCAGGGTCCTTTTGATTTCTGGACCAATTAACCAAATGGCAAAGATGAGCAATAATAGGAAAAAAGGAGTTTCATATAATCGCCTTGATGCATTGACGAAAGATGCGAGAGTGGCATTGGCGAAATTGATGAGGGGGAAGAGCGGAAATTTATTCTTTTCACTTTTATTCGCGGCGTCTCGGCGGTTTATCTCGGTTTTATTTATGTACTTGTTGCTGAGAGGGAATTGAAAAGGAAAACAAAGACGCGGTCCCTCGGGAAAGCACGGTGCGGTGCCGAAAGAAACTTAATTGTGGCGCGGCGAATTGATTGGAGTGGCTCGGAACAGCAGAAACCTTTTGCTATCTCGCACCTCATGGAACATTCATGACGGCAGAGAGAGCGGAAAAGAATTGCCCACCATCCATTACGAGTGCGCCATTTCCATTCCGTGTCAATAAAAATTTCCATGCCAGCAAACAAACGGTCCGAAAAAACCCCCCGACTTGCGGCTGAATTTTAAAGCAGGCGCTAAAACTTTCCAGAGAGTGCAATTCTCTCACCCCCGAGTTTCAATGCTGGAAAAAGGGTCTTTTGATTTGTTTTTAAATTGCTACTAAAAAAAAATTGAATATACTCATTTATATTTCTGGACTATTTTGAAACTATTTCATAAATTGTTAGCAATATTTCTGTTTGATTTTCCTAGAATTTTATGAAATAACATCATTACTTTGAAACATAAACTTTGGATTAAAAAAATTTAAATTTTTTCATCAATTTTACATCTCAAAAGTCCATAGAAAGTACCATAGAAATTTTGTTTTACTTCCTTAAATCTGTTAAAATTTTGCTAAAAATTGACTTTTCTTTTTAAGAAAGTTGAGAAGCAGAAATTTGACGCGCTTTATTGATGATTTAATCATAAATATTTGAGGACAATTAAAGTATTAAAATTGTGGATGGACTCACGTAAGTGCAGGTGGGCAGGGAGCAGATGTAGATGAAGACGAGGAGGCCGGCGACGAACTTCTCCCTGTGCCTGCCGAGCGCCCTGGGGTACTCGTCGCACAGGGCCGTGATCATCGCCTCCAAACCCCCGAACGTGCTGTCCAGCCCTGCGAACGCGAGTCAAATCACGAATAACGAACAAAAATGCCCTGCGCTTCGTACCCAGCGTGATCAGCATGATGAAGAAAATTATGGACCAGAAGACGGAGCCAGACATGGTGGCGATCGCCTCCGGGTACACGATGAAAACTAGGCCTGGCCCTGCACACAACAATAACAGATACAATCGGAAAATACACAAGCACGAATATTAAAGCACGGCTTTTGCGATGAATCTTTCAATTTAATCTCAATTATTTTGAATACTTGGCCAAATTTCCACAAATGGATCAAATTTTATTATTATTATTATTTATTCTTCTCGGTCAATACAAAAATTTAAATTGGAAAAAAGAGAAGAAAGGGTTTATAATAATTGGTTTATAATGGAATTTTTTTCAAATGAAATCAATAGGGCGCTTGAAATGAGATGGGTCGAAAGTTCTTCTTGAAATTGAAAAAATTTTGAAAATGTGTACTTAAATTTCATAAAAATCGAATATCACTGAAGTAAAAAGTTATTTTAATTGGAAACACAATTAATTTTGATATATTTGCAAACTTTTACATTCAATTTTGAGGAATATAGAATAAATGTTGATATTATTTCCACTCACAAAAGAATTATATCACTCCTGAGCAGAGGTTTTTGGAGAGTAAAAAACAGTTTGATTAATTTTGATGGTAATTTTTATCTAAATTTGTATACTTCAGTTGCGAGGAGAAATAGTAAGAAAAATTGAAGTCTTCGGGGAAAACTGAATTTTTGAAATTTAACATTGTTTCTGGTGGTATTTTTTTTTCTCCAAATTGGTGCAACCAAAATTGAAAAAAATTTGACCAAATCACCCAAATAGAAGATGGAAAAATATTAATTCAATTTATATTGATCTGATGGAAATAGATTTGGAAATTTTTATTTCAGTTTTTAAAACTCTACTTGAATATAGTAAAAAAAATGTTTGCAGAAAATTACAATTAATTCAAATTCTCCAATGTTCAAACGAAATGTTAAAAAATAAATTTCAAAGCCCGCTTGATGATTATTGTTCAAAGAAATTACCACCTAAAAAGAATAAAGTCTCACGTAATTTAGCAATAATAATTTTAAATTGAAAATTGTACCAATTTTTGATGAAAATTTGTGAGAATAATGAAGATAAATTTAGTTCTATTTTTGCTGACCTTCAAGGCCGACGTCCTCGATGTTCTTGTTCTGCACGTGGGCCATGTAGCCGAGCACGGAGAAGATGACGAAGCCGGCGAGGAAGCTGGTGAGGCAGTTGACGCTGCTCGTCAGGATCGCGTCCCTGCAACACCCAATTAGCCTCGCAACTTTCCAAAGCATTCATCACGGCTTTAATTACTTTTCCAACAAACAAGCGAACAAACAAACTCGCCACCGCAAATAATCATTCACATTTGAGAATTTTCTTTCCCGGCCCAAACGAGCACCGAGATAGTTTTCCAAGAGGTCTCGCCTGCCTCGACAAGACACCCCATCTAGGGTGTGTGCGTGTCCGAATCAGTGATACGAGGCATCAAGCCGAGAGTGCACGTCTCGCCTTCTAATAAAGTCCGCACTCTCGGCTAATCCCATCGCCGGCCGAATCAAAATTCACATTCCTTTCTGGCCAGTTTTTTTTTCCACCAAAAGTCGGCCCCACTGATTTTGTTAATTAATTTTTTCTTCTCAAAAATTTGGGTCCAAAGTTTAAAAAAAATTCAACCAATTTCGCGTGAGGTGAACTAAAGGTCGAGTCACTTTTGCTTGTTTTAACTTATTTGAACTGAAATACGGTTGTTATTGAAGTATATTTAGTTTTTTGTTAACAGTAATTTTGAGGTTTTTTAAGTGGCATTTCAACTTAAGTCGCTATTTTTGAGAAAATTTAAAATTTAACTAATCACAAAATTTTAGATTTAATGTAAAATTACACAAGCTACATTTTATCCTGCACCTGCAAAAAAATCAGAAGGGAAAATCATCCCAAAAATTGTAATTTTTTAATAAAAAATCATAAAATCGCTTTAAAGTGACCTTGACCTTTGACCTGACAGCTTTGGTGTTGGCTGAAAAGTTGTTCGTTAAGAAAAAATCAGTCCAGAGGTGGAATTTTTATAACTCTAGCACGCGCGGATGCAAAGCATGTTTTAAAGTTTTTCCAAAATTTTGGTAAAAAATCCTGTTTTCAAAAGCACTAATTTATTTGAACCTCAAAATTATTTGTTTACTGAAACAAATTCCTCGAAAGGCTCTGAAAATTTATACTCATGGAATTGGTCTTATTCAGTATTTTACTTTTAAATAGGTCATTTTTATTTAAATAATAATATATTATGTGTTTTTTTTTTTATTGAACTCTAGATATAAATATTTGGTAATTAAGTTAGCTTTTAATGAGGAATTTTTATAATACTTATAATTTCTTATTGACAATCTGTGTGAATTGTGAATAAAATTAATGGAAATTTTATCAAATCACAAAAATTATTAAATGCAAAATTTTTTTTTCACAAAAAATCTGAAAAAATTTAGTAATTATTTTTTTTTAAATTTACGATTTTGTGGTATTGATTTCATTGACAAGCGTTAATTGCAGCTTCAAATTGAGGAAGGGATGAAATGTTTTGGTACCTGTAGCAGTTGTTGTGGAACTTGTTGTAGCTGGAGAGGGCGAGGAGGGTGCCGAAGCCGGGGCCGAGCGAGAAGAAGATTTGCGAGGCGGCGTCGATCCACACCTTGGAGTTGCGCAGTTTGTGCCACTGGGGGGTGAGGTAGTACCTGATGCCCTCGTCGGCGCCGGGCAGGGTCACGCCGCGCCCCAGCAAAATGAACAACACCACGTACGGCATCAGCGCCGTGATCCACACCGCCTGTCGACACAAAAGTCAAGCCTCGTTAAAGCCAAAACCTAACGGCCCGAGCGACAAGTTGTGACAAATCGCACCCTTCAAATTAATTATTCATGAGAAATTAATTGTTTCGGCTGAAAGATCGGTGATCGCTCGTTACTTTTTTAGATCACAATTTACTTTTTTTCAGCCACAAATTTTCAATAGAAAAAGAAATTTATAAGTTTTTTTTATTTACTTTCTTCAAAAGTGATCGAATTTTTTTAAATATTCTTCATTTAATCATCTTTTTTTTTGTTATTTTCTGCACTGATAATTTGCAAAATCGTTTTTAAGAGGTCACAGGTCTCGGAGTTCAGTGACCTTACGTGACCTGACCTGTATGAACGATACATTGTTAGATGCAGAAAGTCAAGACAAACACTTTTTGTCATTACAAATTTTGTCTTATCTTTTACAGAAACTGATTTATCGCTGCCTGAAAATTAATTTATATTGCAAAAAAGCGATTTTTCACTCTTTTTTAATATTCAATTAAAAATATAAATTAAACGGTAAAAGTCACCATTCTGAAAATCAGGTAATTTGTTCTACACACTTGGGGCTACATTTTTTCCTATACTGGGAAAAAAATCTGACGGGTGCATCTTTGCGAAAATTGCGTTTGAAAGTGAAATTTGCAATTAAGTGACCTTGACCTTTGACCTACGCAAAACTTGTCAACAACAAAGTTTTTAAGCATGAAAAGTTGCGTCCGAACGTGAAAAGAGCATACATTTATTATTATTAGGAGCAGAGATATTTGTATTTTTGTGTTTTTGGAAAAATCTGATTTCCCGGAAAAGCACCAAATAATTGTAACTGAAAAATTAGGAGGAAGCAACTTTTTCCAACCCCAACATATATATGAATTTCCAAATATTTTCATCAACAATCCCACTCAAATGTCTCCAGGATCTACCTTGATTTTGAAAACCACGATCAAATTTAATTATTGTTTATGATGAAAATTGCAAAAATTAAGAAGTTAATTGTGTGACCTTGCCGGTGCTGCGGACGCCCTTCCACAGCGAGAAGTAGACGAGGATGAAGACGGCGAGCACGCACAGGGCCAGCGAAAGTTTGATCGGCCCCATGTGGTCCAGCCCGTCGGACAGGTGTTGTTCCAAAACACTCCGCCTGCAAAACAATTAAACACGCATTCGCAAACTTTGCAAGTACCTTCTCAAAAGATCAAAAAGTTTCTGCGCAAAATCATTAATTATTAACACGGAGAAATCGATTTTTGAGGGGAAGAAGAAAGACTGTTTATTTCTAAGTCTGAAATCTCCAAACTTTAAATTATAATTAATTGAGAATTTATATTATGTCTGTCGTTCAAAAAAGTTTTCATTGCAAGACACAAAATTATGTAAATGCAAGAAGTGTAAATTTTAGTAAATATTTCATCCTCAAATAACTTAGTTTAATGAGTTTAATCCAGTTTTATTAAAAGCTTAAACTGGTTCAGTTTTATATTTTTTGAGGAATTTTGTTTTCAAATTTTCTTAGATTGCGTTCATTTGTAAAAATTAGAGAGCCAATTTAATTTTAATGTAATTTTTTTTCAATTAAACAATTATAAATTTTGTTAAATAATTTCTGATTCAAAAAAGACCAGTTTTAAGAATTTAGTTTGAAAATATTGAGAATTGTTCTGATTTGAAAGCAGTTTAGTTAATTTTGGTAATTTTGCAACCATTTAAAAAATATTTAGCAAATATTTGACGTGTTTGATATTTTCTTGAATTTTGTTAACTGAGCATAAAAAATTTCTAACAAAAACGTTTATAATGAAACAAATCCACTTTGTGTCTAAATTTTGTCATCAACTTTACATGGAAAGTAAACAAATTAATTTTGTTTTTACTTTTAAATCTGAAAAAAGTGGAGCCAGCAAAACGACTTTTCTAGAAAATTTGAGAAAGTTACGAAGCGGAAAAGTGCCTTTTATTGATTTGACAAGAATTAAAAGTTTAGAGATTTACTTTGAATGCAGTTGAAATGTTAATTTTGACGATGCAATAATTACGTGAAGAACTCCTGGGCCGGGCTGGTGGAGTTGGCGTGCTGGGCGGACACGTTGAGGACGGGCACGCAGTTGTCCGTGTTCCACGAGTTTCCGCAGCTCGTCCACGGCAGCTCGGCGCGGAACGACGCGAACAGGTAATAGACGGCCCAGCCGATGATCGTGTTGTAGTACATGCCCATGTACACGTCGATCAGGCAGATCGCGTACCCCACCCCTGTCAACACACACACACAACATTATTTTTTCTCTCTCTCTTCCGAATCATCGATTTCGCATTAATTTTTCCGGCTGACTCTGTAAATCGCGGAACCCTCCGAGCACAATCAGCGCATTTTCCGCCAAACTACCCCCGCCAGTTGACCCTACTTAGATTATTATAATTGAATTTGGAACTTTGGCAAAGCTTCAACTGTTTATTTGAATCAATTTGTATTTAAATTTTCTATTGCGCAACAAGAATGTCAATTCAACAGTGGAAATTTTTGTAATTAAAATTAGAAATTCTCACGAAATTTGGAAAAATTAGGTGAAAATAAATTGGAAAATAAAATAAATTCCAAAATTGTAATTCAATATCAAATGAGAATTTCTTTCCCTGGATTATGAGAACTAAACTGAAATTTTAACTTTTCCAATTTCGCTTGAACATTTGATTTTATTTTTCCATCTCAATTGGGGTGATATGAACGTGATTCGGTATAATTTTTGCCAATTTTGGTCGAATTAATTTTGAAAAATAAATTATTTTAGAAAATTCCCATAAGAAGCTGTGTAAAATTTCAAAAATTCAGTTCTATGAATGAATTAAATTTAAAAAAAAAATACTAAATAAACAGCGCCGTTTTATAAAGCCTCTCAATCTTTGCATGAAAATCAATATTTACTTGCAAAGTTTCATTATCGGTGTAATTAAGTTATTATGCATCATTTATTTCCGGTCGGGCGGGTTGCCTAGCCGAGAATATTGCAGGCGTCAGGCAAAAACTTCAATATATCGAAGAAAAGAGCCAAGCTGCAAATTTGTTGTCTATCAAATTTATCGACATAAACTCACAACCAGTTTTAAAAGATTCAGGTTAAAAAATTTATTTATTAGAAATAAACAAACACTATCATGATTTATTTCTTTTTAAGTCAAATGAATTGTAATTGATGAAAAGGACATCAAAATCATGCTGCATTTGAAAAATCACAATATTTCTCTGCGTGCTTGGTTTATTATTGGGTAAAAATTGCCATGTTGTGAGAGAAACATTGAATGAGAGCAGTTTTTGAATTGAAATAATCGCGTTCCTCTCGAACAAACACGCGTTGAATTGGAATTCAATTGGTTTATTCCGTGTCGCAACAGGAAAGCAAACATTTGGGCCTCGCGAGACAAAGCGAAAAGTGCGATTCGGTGTTTTTCGGAAAGAAAGAAATAGGGCGAGAGGTGTTTTGTCGATTTGCAGCCGAGACGGCGGAAAAACTACTAAATTGGCCAAATCTGCAGAAACGAACGCGACTCGTCAAAGGACGCCAATAGAGCACGCCGAGATAGAGATGCTTCCCCTAGCTCGTTTCGTTCCCATCAAAATGCACGCAGACTTCCTTCAAAGGGTTGAAAAAACTTTTCGTCTATATCAAAAATACCAAATTTTACTTTGGGTAAATTATTTGTCACAATTTTACTCTTTCAAAAGTTGAAATTTTTATTCACAAACAAGAGAGTCAAAGATAATTTTGTCCATATTGAATCTTTAAATCGTAATTTATTATGCAAATTCAACACCTTTTCAATTTAAAGTGAAATTTTAATGGGAATGTTTTCATTTGCTTCAATTTTTTACAGCTAATTGTAAATAAATACTTTCAAAAATTTGAATATATAAATAAAATCAAAAAAGTCTTTAAAGCTTTTCCGAATTAATTTTTAATCGCCAAGGCAGGCAAAGTTTATAATTGGAACTCTTTATCGTTTTTGCAGCACCCTTTGTGGCGCCCCCATGCTCGCTCTCGCTCTCTCGGCACCTGCATGCGTTTTCGTTTTCGGTCTCGTCGTCGCGCGGGATGGATAAACTGCAGAGGTCGCGCGCAATTAAGCGTCGATTCTTGAGTCGTAATCGAATGAATCTCTGCCGCTCCACGTGCAAACCTGATTAGCATGGACCGGCAGCTCCAAGACGCGCTCCCAATCAATTCGCCCCTGCAAACAACCCCCGTCTCTCGCCAATCGCACCCCTAAATCTCATTCACAACAAAAACACCTGCATTTGATCGCAAATTTATTCAAATTTCCAAAATTAATTGGAAGGAGAGAAAAATCCATTAAATCAAACGTGGTATAAAAACTTTTCAAGAAGAAATATGCAATTTAAATTAAAAAATATTTCATGATTCAAAGTGAAAAGGGTTGAGAGTTAAATGTAAAAAATTTATATTTTCAAAATTTTGAAAAATTACAAATTTTGTTCTTTAAGCAGATGAATCACGTAAGGGCAGAAAAAACGTTAAAAAAAACTGAAAGGGATCATTTTGATAACCAGAAAACTGGAATTTATGGCATAAAGTTTTGAGAATTTAAGTTTTATTTAAGGTTTAAAAATTTAATGTTGTTTTGTGCATTCTTCTCTTTTCCAAGAAAGTAAAGCTAATTCTTGAGCTCTTTAATTTAATTGATTTCTGCAAATAAATATCACGATTGATCATAATTTTGGTTCTTAAATTACCAAAGTAATGAAAATTTTGCATATCTTTCAAATTCCAATAGGACCACCAGAGATAAATAAGGTTTTACTAAAATTGCTGTCAAATTAATTCGGTTTTTTAATTTTCTTGGTGGGAGGTTGCAGCTAATGAAGCAAGGTGTCTTTTCTTTAAAGGCACCAAGTTTCTAGGTAAAAAAAGGTCATTGGCCATTGCCCCTGGCAGAAGGTCAAAACGTAAAGTTTTATAGGCAACCTGACAAAAAATCCAAGATAACGAAAAGATGCGCCTTGAAATTTTGCATCAGATTATAATCATCATTTTTCTTAATTACTCGTTTCAACAATACCATCGATTGTCAAAAACCGGTCAAACAACTGAAAATTACTTGTTCGGAAATGTTGAAAAAAATAAAATGAAACAATAAGTCTTTTATCAAAATATTTCAGTGAGTAGATTCCATTCAAAATTGAAAAATTTGAAAACAATTAAACAAGAAGTTCCATCTCCTTTAATTTTCAAAAGTCTCACTTGAGTTTGAAAATATATATTTTTTTACCAGGAGATTATTTTCCTCAGTAAATAAGAATAAATTTGAGGGATCGTTTAAATATTAAGAACATTTTCGGAGCCTTAATTTCTTTAGCTTCAAACAAACAAAGCAAAATATTTGGAAACTCCCTTTCATATTCACAAATGGAATGCGGGCGGGCGGCGAGGGTTCTTTGAATCTGATCGTCAACCCCATTTACCACGAGCAATTGTTGTATGAAAATTCATATTTTGAGGCGTTTTGTTATTAAAAAGAGACGCGACTTGAAAGGATTTGTTTACTTACGTCGTTTTGAAAGGAAGTGCACGTTTTCGTTTCGCGCAAATCCATCAAAAGACTCACTCTCGGAATAAATCATCGCTCGCGCCGAAAATAAAACTGATTTGGCATTCGACGCGCGCGTGTTTCGCCGCAAATAAAGAAAGAAACAAGCTCAAGAAAAAGGAGAGACTTATGTGTTTGCTGACCGCGCCGATCGATGAATTTCCAATCAACGCACGAGTTTGTTTAATTTAATTTGCGCCACAAATGTGTATATCTCGCTGCACGTGCGCCGCGATTTGGCGCCAAATTACTTTTACTGCGTATTTATTGGCCGAGTCCGAGAGATCGTAATGATGTTTGTTTTGCCCTCTTGAAAACGAAAGCAATCACGCCCGCTCGCCGCACCCAAATCCTCAATTATTCACTCTCAAGAGCCAAAGAAAAGCACAAGAGAAAAAATAAAACCCCACGAAACACTAACAAATTGCAGCTTTTCTCAATTTTACTCTTTTTCTCCCGAGTTTTTCTATGAAAAAAGAATAAATTTTTAAACTTTTGATTTGGAGTAGAAAAATATCAAACTAAATTTCAATAGAATGAAGTAAAATCAATTTGCATTGGAAGTAAAAAGCCTCATTTTTTTTAACCCAACCAAAAGGTAATTTAAAAATTAATGCGGGATTTTCAAAAAGTGTCGCTCAAAAAAATTGAAAAATTGATATTTAGATGCAAAATTTCAAGGCGCATCTCAGATTATTTTGTCAGGTTGCCTATTTTCAACTTTATATTTTGACCTTTCTCCAGGGTCAATGACCTTTGACCTAGAAACTTGGTCTCCAGTAGGAAAAGATACCTTGGTTCATAAGCTCCAACTTCCCTCCGAGAAAATTAAAAAATCTTTTAACCAAATTGATTCGTCGGCAATTTTATTTTAGTAAACCCTAATTTTATCTACGTCGACCACACTGGATTTTGATAAATATGAAGACTTTTCATTTCTCAACTTTTGTACGAATCAACTTATGAACTATCGTGATATTTTTTTTTTTATTGATCCTAAAAAATTTGCTTAATTTTCTCCAAAAAGGACAAAATGTAAAAAAAAAACGTATTTTAACCTTCAATTGAACTTTTTACCAAAATTTACGTGAAAACTTGCAATTTTCTGGCTGTCAAAATGATCCTCATAGGTTTTTGTTGTTGAGGATTTTGCAACCCTGAGGAAGTTCCATCCTCTTTAATTTGAATAGTTTTAAGAAATGAGCAGAACAAGAAGAAGCTTTTGAAAAGATAAAAGTTGATTTTGATTGATTTTAAATGGGTTGAACAAAAAACATATCCATCACACCTCAAATACCTTGAAATATATTACTTTCTTGAAAGAAATTTACTAATTTTTATTTAAATTATTATTTCATTTTTAATTATTACAGATGAAAGAAGTGACTTTATTAATTTGACAAAAAAAAAAACATTTTAAAATTCAAGATTAAAAATCTGCATATAAACGTGAAAAAAGAGAAAATTTTCCCACTGACAATGAGAGCAAATTTTTTCTTCTTTTTATTAAAATGCACGTCTAGAAAAAGTAGTTTTTTCACTGTTGAAGCTGGCGACGAGTGGAAAGAAAACGCACCTCGAGTCAAAAATTATCGGCGCTCCGAATAGAAAAGAAGGGCAAGAAAAGCACTTCTGCAAATTGCACCACTTGCAGCGCCGACGAACGAAAACAGGCTATTAATCTCGCCAGCGCGACGACGACCCTTTTCAAAAATTGATTTCGGCCGAACGCGTGCAAATGACCAAGATCCGATCTACGCCGATTAATGGCTCCAATTAAAATTTGTTTGCCGAGACCGCTGCTTTTTGTATGGATTTTTAATGAACAACTTTTATAATCTGGTTAAATATCACCACATGTGACGCCGGCTTAATTAGAATGGCCTGATTTTATATTTCTAACCAAAAGTTAGGCAAGAAATTTGTTTTAATATAAAATTGCAAATAAATTCAAAGTTAATTCATTTTTCATAGCTCAAGTTAAGATGTAAATAAAATTTGCATCAAATCGAGCTTCACTTTGGGAGGAAGAACGAGTTATTTTTTGTTTCCGTCCGTGGTGGATATTTTAATATTGGCGCTGCAGCAAGTTTGTAATTATTCGAAGCGGCCCGCGGGAGATGCAAATGATTTTTCGTCGGACTGACCTTTGAGTGCAGGACAAATGCGGCGCCAAATGGTGAGGCAGCCGCTGCGGTGGAATTGCCCGAGCGCCAGTTCCATGTAGAAGAGCGGCAACCCGCCGAACACCAGCATCAGGCAGTACGGGATGAGGAAGGCGCCTGCAAATGTCACCAAAACAAAGATCACCGCCTCCAGATGGATCGTCCCACTTACTTTTTTCTCGACCCAATTCCCGCGGAATCGCAGGACATTCTTTGTTTTGCCAAAAGCTTTTACATTGTCAACAAACACCCCTTCCGGCGCTTTCAACAAAAAGAAAATGGCAATTTTTTTAACAATATCATGGATAGATTTAAAAAAGGGACGCAAATTTGGAATCAATGATTTTCATTTGATTTGATTTTATTATTTTTTTTCTATATAAGGGATTACAAGAGTATCCTCAGGGCCTTTTGAGGAATTTGTTTTAGGAAATGAATCATTTTAAAGTTTCAAATATGTTCAAGGGCTTTTTAAAAGGAATTATTTACCAAAATTTTAAACCCAAAAAATTACGGGACATTTTGAAAAATTTAAATTGAGTATAACTCTGCAATTAAGAATGCTAGATTGCTAAGGTTTTCAACTCTAGACTTAAATGCTCATGCCAAACAACTTTTCAATTGACACCAAAGCTGTAGGTCAAAGGTCAAGGTCACTTTTAAGCGATTTTATTATCTTTTTAGTGAAAAAGTCCTATTTTGGGCATGATGATCCCGTTTGATTTTTTTGCAGGTGTAGAGGGAAAAGTAGCTTTAGCGCAATTTTACACTAAATTTATGCAATTTCCAGAATAGTTGAATCAGTAATTTTTATCAAAATTCGCGTCCCAAGTTAAAAAAACATACAATTTCCCCGGAAGTTAATTACAAGTAGAGTCAGTTTTGTATATTTTCATTATTTTAGGGCCCTGAGACCAATTTGAACTGAGAAAGTTGTTATTCCGATTTTTTTATAGATTATTTTCGGGGTTTCTACGTTTTTTTTAACACTGATGCGATTCTTGAGAAAACTACGAATTTGACAAATTTAAAAATAATACAAGCTAAATTTTTCTTCTACCTGTAAAATATAAATCAAAAGGGATCATCATTCCCAAAATTGGACATTTTTTACCTAAAAAAAGTGACCCTGAACTTTGACTTACAGTTTTGGTGTCAATTGAGAAGTTGTTCGACATGAAAATTTGAGTCTGGAGAAGAAATTTTTATCACTCTAGCATTCACGGTTGCAGAATTAAACACGTTTTAATGCTTTTAAAAATGCCCCAATAAAAGCCAATTTGTTTTAAAAACTCAATATATGATCCGTTTCCAAAATTCCTCAAGAAAATGCCCATAAAATTTAGAGAATCATATTTGGGAGCGTCTCATTCTAAATAATTCTGAAAGTAAATTTACCCCCGAGTTTTAGAAGTAATTTTGTTGTTTGCACGAAATTTTCGTCTCATTCACGATTTGCAAATTGGAGAGAGAGTTTGTTTGAGGATTTTGACCGTGTTTGCCTTTGAATCGCGGAGGTGGAGAAAAGCAAACACATATCATTTCTCTCTCTCTCGGCAGTCTTCAAAGAGTTTTGCAACAACACGCTAGTACAATATTGATTCGCGAATGCAGGCCTGAATAATAAATCCTTTGTCGCCGAGTAAAACAAGCGGCGCCTCAAAGAAGTTTAACTCGCACACACACGGTTTGCAATTAAACAAAGTGACATTCAGACGGAGAGAGAAAGAGAGAGAGAGAGACACGATTCTTCTTTCGCAAATTAGAGCCCGTGCAGTGGCCACGACATGCATAATTCATGCACTACCCCGGCGGCGACACCGTAAAATTCCCATCAAATAACTCTCGGCTCTCGGGTTTCTCTTGTCGGTGATAAAAATAAAAATCGGTGTCGATTTCCAGCTCTCAGGTGACCGACCGACCGACCGACCGATCCCCATTCACGCTATAAAACAAGTAGCGACTCTTCCAATCCAATTATAAAACGGTCGACATCATCTGTTGTTGCAAGAAACGTCGGTTCGGATTGAATTTGAGCATCGCCGGCAATCACCGAGTGTGTGATCGGCGTCGCCAATATTTGATCTAAAAAACACTGTGAGAATGCCCTAGTCAGATTTTCTTTCTATTCGCGTCTCGGATTTCACTCTCACAAATCAATGCCCCTCTCGAATCTAAATTTGGGTCCAAATTTCACGCGAGATAGTTCGCCTCGTGCGTGACTTTTCCCTTTTGTCATATCAAGAAAAGAATAACATTCGAAGTATCTTTTGAATCCGAAACTTGCTTGTTTCAAAGTCAAGAGCAGATTAATGTAAATAATCCTCAATAAGATAATTTAGTCCTATAATTTCATAATTATTTAATTTTTCCTTTGGTTTTAAGGAAAAATTTTAAAGCAATTTTAAATAATCTGTGGCATTTAAAAGTAACTATTTGGATACTTTACAGTAAAAATTAGACAGAATTGCTCAATTTTTGAGTGCTTTTAGGCAGAGTTTAGTTTCAAATAATGAAGTGTTTTTTTTTAAATGCTCGATATAACAATTCTGGTTAAAGTTCTGTGCCCTTTTTATAGACATTCATTAAATATTACTTTTAAATTGCACCTTCATTTCGAAAGGATTAAATTCATCATAAAATAATATCAAAACGTTTTGCGTCAAGGGGTGTCCATCACTTTTGGCAAAACAAAGATGGCGGTCGTTGTTACCATGCGTGGCAGTGATACTGACCTCCACCGTTTTGGTAGCAGATGTAGGGGAAGCGCCAGACGTTGCCGAGGTCGACGGCGAAGCCGATGACCGCGAGCAGGAACTCGACCTTCTTGTCCCAGGTCTCGCGCTCGGGCAGGTCGGAGGCGAGGGAGGTGCCCCCGGCGGCGGCCAGCAGGGTCATGCTGGGGGTCGGCGTGGCCTGCTTGTTGTTGTGGCTGGGGGTGGGGTCGGGGGTGGGGCCGGCGCTCAGCAGCCCCTTGCACGAGGCCACCTCGCCGTCGGCCGCCGCCTCGCCCCCCGCGCCTCCGCCCCCCTTCTCCTCCTCCCCGGAGGCCAGGGGCGCGAGCTGCATGGCCGCCTCCAGCGGGCCTGCAATCAGAAATGGCAAAAATTAAAAAAAAATCACATCGATTTTCACCTATTTGCTTGGAAATTAAATAAAACATTCACTTCGAAAGACAAATTAGATCATTTTGTGCAGATTTTGTGTAAAAATGGACATTTTAGAATCACCTAAATTAGCTAATTCTGAGATATTTCATCTCTTATGTTATAACCTTTTTTGATTACCTAAAATTACTAATTTTTACAAATAAGCATAATTAACACATTTTACCTAAAAAATTAAAAAAAAAATAGTATGTGAAAAATATTCTCCTAAAATCACTTATTTCGGCTGAAAATTCACCAAAATAAGGACCGATATTGCCTTATTTTTCCCCAGTCTACGTGCAATTCCACCCAAAACAATCCATCCGTCAATTTGCCGCCACCTCTGCCTCTGCCAACCCCTCTCAGGAGTCATTAAGCAAAAACAACCCCTATCGCCTAAGTGAGAGATGTTTCGAGATGCGGTCGGAGCGCGCGCTTTTTGTTTCTCCCTCTCAACGCAACGAAAAGCAAAAACCTTTTTCGGGTCCATTTAATCACGGCGCCAAATTGAGCAGCAGCTTGAAACCTGCCCTCGTCAATTAACCCAAGAACGCGTTGCAAATTTCCACAAAGAAAAAAAAGCTTGTATTATTTAATATTTCAATTGAAGCGAAATTCAAATTGATGAGTTACACGCGTGTAATTCTGAAAATAAAACAATTTGATGGTGGAGCTTAAAAGTTTCCATTTTTTTCCAATTATTTGAAATTTCTTTAAAAAAAACCAAAATATAAAGTTTTAAATTTTCCGAGAGCCGAATACACGTATTTTGTTTTCGAAATGAACAAAGAGTCAAAATTTCCTGGTTCGAGTGCAAAATCCCTTTTTGGAAAGCGCATTTGAATGCGGAAAGTGTCGGCGGAAGGCGCAAGTGTGGCTTCTGCAGATTAGCGGTGACAAATGAATCCGCTGCAGCAAAAAGGCTTTTGTTCTCTGTCAAAGGTCGCGCGTAACGTTCATAAATTTGGCCCCGGCTTTGAGCATTCGGGCGGCGTGCGAGTTACAGGTGCTCCAATACACGGGACGAGACGCTGGAGGAGGAAACGCAAACACTGCCCTAGCTAGTCCTTCTTTTAAACAAACTCTGTTTGCGACCGACCGACCGACCGTCGAGAGCAACTTTGCCTGACTTGAATTTAATCTTCTCCGCGCGCGCAGAAAGAAGAAGAATAAAATCGAACGCGCGAGACGCGAAGAAGAAAAAGTCGAAATTGAAACGCAAAATAATCTAATTCAGCACGTTTTCTTGGTCAATGTCATATGAGATCAAGTGAATTCAGAAAATATATAAATATTCCGCCAAAAATGTTGAAAGTCAGCTTTTGATCTGTAAAAATTGATGCTGCGATAAAAAAGAAACTAAAAAATGCCAAGGGAATTGATTTGAAAATAACTTACAAAAAATGAAAATGAATTCAAAGATTTTATGTTCTCGCGTTCCCTGAACATTTGTATGGATCTTTCTTTTTCAAGTAAAATAAACCTGTCAGTTTTGTAGTTTTCAACATAATCCTGAAAATTGAAATAAATACATTTTCCTTTCAATTATTTTCCATTTTGTCATAACTACAGCTTTTGAAATAAGTTCATTACTTGCTTGTGTCAAATTCAAGTTGAGTTGGAAGTTGAAATTTTTGTAATGAGAGAAAAGCTGAATAAAACATTTCCCCGATTGATTCTGCCAGAATCTCAATTAGAATTTTTCAGAAATTTTGAATCCTGAATTATTTCGAAGTGGCCGTTATTTTAGTTCTATTTGACTTTGAAACGTTTTATTGATGGTTCTGGACGGACAAAAATATGGCCTACGATATGCAAATAGTAAGAAATCCAGTTTTGATACAAAATATTATCAATTTGGAATAATTAGAAAAAAAAATTTGACCTCAAGTTTTAATAAAACGGATTTTCTGCCCAGAGTAATTGTTTTACAGAAAAATGTTGCAAACAAAAGTTGTAGGAAATTTAATTGTGCACATTTTATATTCTTAACATTTTCTTCTAAATCCAATAGGAAAAGCACTAGAAAAGCAGCAATGATCAAAAAAGTAGTTTTCTTAAAATTTCTTCTCTAAGGTAGCCGGATATGGTTGAAAATTAAATTCAGTTGTAGAATGCTCAAAATCGCCTGAGAGGATGCGTCACGAAAATTTTGAAATTTGGCACACTTTCAAATTTATAAAATTACGAAAGTCACAGACAAGTGGTAAAATAATCAGCTTTCATGAAATTTGTTCCAGATCCCTTTTTTTGCTATCTCATTTTCCTTTCCATGTTTTAAATGTTTTTTTGTAATCATATGAAATCATGTATTTAACAATAATTAGTCATTAAATCCATATTTACCAAAATGAATAGAGAATAAGTAATAAAGGAAATTAAATTAAAACTTTATTGGAAATAATTGAATTCCCAGTTTTTAAAACTTGTTCTGCTTTCAACTTAATAAATTCGCAGGTGAAAGAACTCTTGACAATTTGCAAGGAAATTTTTTCTCTGACAAAAAGCAAGGCGGGAATAATCGGAGGCGATAAGTCGGCTTAAGGATGATGAATATATTCATCGGGCGGAGAAACAGTCTCGCGCGCGAATTAATTGAAAGGTGCTGGACAAAAAGCAAACGCTTGTCACGAGCATCCCTTGTTCTAGGGGGAGAAAATCAATCGGTGGGGGGGGGGGAGGTGGAGGGGCTGGAACGAATTTACCGCCAAACTTGGGCACGTCAAAAATGTAATCATCAGAGCAGAGCGGCGAAATTGTTCCCCGCGAGTTTGCCGATCGACAGCGAAATTAATCACAAATTGATTTGAAACTCTCGAAAGGAGAAACTGCACTTTTAATATTACACACGCGCATGTTTGTTCAAGAAGATTGCGCCTGAAGTATGAATTTTTCAGTTCAATCGCGCCGTATTTGCATTTCGCCTTCAAAGCTTCAGAGAACACGAGACAACATATTTTTCGGGGATGTTTCAATATTTCTGTCACCGAATTGCATTTTATAATCCACCGCAAGATTAAATTGAACGAAGGCAGCACAAAACTCTATAAAAAAAAAACTAACAGTTTTGACCAAGAGAATCATATTGATAACCAGAAAATGTGAAGTAATCACATAAATTTTTGGCCAAAGTTAAAAGGTTAAATTTTTTTTATAAATTACCCGATTTTGAGAAAATTAAGCAAATTTTTTCAGCAATTTAGTTGATATGTGTCATGACAGATCATAATTTTGTTTATTAAAATACCTTTACTAATGAAAGATCTTCAGATTTATCAAATTCCATTTCCTGTATGGCCGCTGCAGATACATAAGGGTTTACAAAAACCGCTGTCAAATTAATTGGGGTGAAGATTTTTTAATTTTCTTGGTGGGAGGTTGAAGCTGATGAACCAAGGTATCATTTCTTTAAAGGCACCAAGTTTCTAGGTCAAAGGTCATTGCCCCTGGCAGAAGGTCAAAACGTCAAGTTTTATAGGAAACCTGACAACAAATCCGAGATAGCCAAAAGATTCGCCTTGAAATTGTGCATCCGTAAACAAATTTCCAATAATTTTAAACCAGCCATTTCAGAAATATCGTTGATTTTAATTTTAAATAGCGCGTTTCAACAACTGGAACAAAATAAATAAAAAATTATAAAATGAGTTCCATCATTATTGGGAGAATTTTTATTGTATTTTATTTCAAAACTGAAGAATTTGAGAATATTCAGTAGCAGGTTTTATCTGTTTTGAAACGAAAGTGCGTTTTGTGTGCAAACCGAAATGTTTGCAGCTCAATTTGGGCGCTTCAAAGCGAACATTGTCCTGCACTGACGCAAACCGCAATCTCTGTGTGTTCGGCCCCTTTAAAGCGCACCACAATCCCTAATTTCGACAAACACCGCACGTCTCTCCCGATTCAACCGCAAAACTGCACGATTCTGATCAATAATATTTCCAAATAAATGACAAAACGAATTTTGAGTTTTTTTCCCCTCAGCCAAATTTGGGTGAAAAATAATTAAGCGCTCGCGTACGGAGTATGAAATGCCGGATTCGATAATTCTGAATCACAAAGAATGATTCGATTGGAATGAAGCGAAGGGCGAAACGCGATATTCAGGTGAGAACGGCCGGCGGAGCGTGGCGAGAAACGCGAGCTGTGAATGAATCGCCAAATGAAAAAGTTTCCCGCACAAAAAATAAATCCGATTCCTTTCTTTTGGTGAAATTGGTCCGATTATTACAGACATTTGTCATGGTGAAATGTTTATTGGAGAATGAACTTCATCCCTTTTGGAATTTCCCAAAACGGTCCAAAAATCGTTTAAAATTTTTTCGATACTTCATTTTTCCATTTAAAAGCGTGCAAATAATTAATGAGACTAACAAATTCTAGATTTTTCAATTGCTTATTCCTCAAGAAAAGAGAAATAATTGTGATTTTTGCTTATAAATTTTAAGGGTACTGTTTAAAAAAATCATATTTTAGTAAAAATATTATTATGCTTCAATTTTAAAGAGTGATTTTGGTTTTAAATCTGAATTAATTGCTGGTAAAACTTTGTCCATTTTGGACAAAAAAGTCAGATTTTTAGCAAAATTACTACAATTAATCTTTTAAAAAATTACTCTTATCTGAAAAAAAAAATGAATTTAAAGTTTACTTTCCAATTGACTCAATATAATTTTTAGTACAATTCACTCGTATGTAATTTTAATTAGATGCAAAAGGTTTTCATTTTGTCAACAAAGAAGATTTGCTAAATTAAGTAGATGTGCCGTTTTGGAGGATTGGTCGGTTCGTCTGTTCCGGCGTCGTGCGTCCGACGCGACGAGTCTTTTGACGGTCGCTTCTTTCCGAGGCCCCCAGCACAATGCCCGAATTAAAGCTCCTCTCAATTGATTAACTCGAGATCCGCCGCCGCTGCCTCTCGACAAATTCGACATATTCTCCTCACACGAGCCGGAAATTTCCCTCTCGTTTGCGAGCGTAAAAATTAATTTCGCGTGAAAAAGCGCCGTTTTCTTCTGAGTTATCAAATCATTTTTGCGTATTTTTCGGCTCGATTAACTTTCGGAGGCGCCGCGTCCGTGTCTCTTGATCTAATTACTAAGGGAGAGAGGGGATCGCGCACAATTCATCTCGAGCCTGATTTATTTGCTCAAAACGTTTCAAGCAAAATTGCATAATATTTTTTTCAGATTTTCTTTTAACGAGAAAATTGTGAAATTAAAACTGCATAACCATTTGCTATAAAAGATCAATATAAATTTTTTTTTTCATCTTAATTGGGGCGATATGAACGTGATTTGGTGAATTTTTATCAATTTTGGTCCCGCAAATTTTGGAAAAACCAATTATTTTTATATAATTCCCAAGGGAACCATTTTAAATTAAAAAATTCCTTTCTCCAAATGACTTAAATTTCTTCTTAGGAATTAAATCTACAAACTAATTGAGACAAAAATAATCGAGCCGTTTTTATGCAAAAGTCACCTTAAATGGATTGGCAAACATGACCATTTAAAATACAAGCACCACTTGTTTGGAATTTTATTTGCTCTTTATGAATTCACCGCGGTATATTTTTTTGAAAACAGGTGGTCGTCGTTATTGACTTCATTCAGCACGAAAAAGTACTTAAAATGCATGTACGCTTTATTTGCTCAACATGAAAAAGAGATTCAACAAACTCTCCGTCTCCTTGAATACTAAATTGGCCAAAAATAAACTTGCAAAAAAATTCAAATTTATTAAAAATAGAAATTTATACAAAAAACACCAAGACGCTTCATTAATCAGAAGAAAATTCTATGGTCTTTTTTTCTAAGAAACTTTTACTCAAGTTTGTGCTTTAAAATTGATTGAAAACCTTATGTTTTTCAGAAGATCTTTAATTTAACCGATTTTACTTGTTGAAGACAATGATGGAAATAACATAAATAATGAGATGACTTTTTATTATTGTTATTAATTTAATTGCAATTTTAGTTCAAATCAAATTCAGATTTGTCTGCAGATCCAAGAAATTTTAATTGTTCTCCAAAATCTAATCGTTTTTTGTTGTTCTAGGACTTGGTGTTTATTTAGGGGAAGCGATGCGCGCGGTGTATCTATCGGAGAGAGAAATGGTTGGTCCAGCAGCGAGTGAATGATCTCGCATTGATCACACACAATAGGGTCAGAGTCAGTCACTTTGGGGTTGGCCGGTCCGATTCATTTGTTGCATGCAACGAGATGTTGGTTGGCATGGAACGACTGACAGCCATTCTGATCCCATCAATTATTCTTGATTAGCGTTTTAATTCCCAGCGAGAGAGCCTCGGCCACGATGAATAACGTGAGATTTGCATGCATTGAGTGAGGGAGGGGGGGGGGGGGGGACGGACCTTCTCAGTTTTAAGAAAAATTCGTGGCGAAACTTTGATTGTGTGGAAAATTGTTATTTTTTTTTTTTTAAATTGAGTTCTTTGCTGAAACCAGTTGAAAGGAAGATTGTTTTTTAATTATTAAAACTGGCATGATCCAAAATTATGAAGTTTTTTTATGAGTTGATAATTTGTTTGTAAATTTTAATCTTTTGTTAGATGAAAAATTTTGTTTTTAGAATTTCTTCAACTTTTAAAATGGACAAATAATTTTAAAAAAATTATTGATATCAGTTCCTTGCATTTGATTATTTATAGCATTTATAGTATCAAACAATTCTTTCAGCTTCTAAATTATAAAAAAAATAGTTGCAAATTTTGTGAAAATTAACTGAAATAACATGAGGTTTATTTAGATTTCAATTTTGCTCTTTATTTGAAATTTGGTTCTGCAGTTGATTTAAATTAAACATAAAACATGCTTCACTATATTTCCTTTACTTTCGGACAAAATATAATACAATTTTAGGATATTTTTTATAAAAAACTTTAGCAATATTGGAAAGAATTGCAATTACTATTTTTAGATTGAAATTTGGGATGGAAAAGTGTTATATTTTTGTTTCAATAAATTTCTTTGCTGAAGCCAGTTGAAAGGAATATCAATTTTTTAATTATTAAAACTTTGATGAATCGCAAAAACTATTGAAATTATGAAGTTTTTTTTGAGTAAATGGTTTGTGTGTAAATTTAATCTCATGTTCAAATGAAAAGGCTGAAATTTTTGAGATTCAGCTTTTTAAAATCAGCAAAATATAAATAAAAAAAATTAATACCACTTCCATTTAATAACAATCAAGTTTCACCTTATCTTAATTTCAGCATTTAAACTATCAAAAAAGCTTCAAATATATTTAAATAAACTATTTAATTTTTAATTTTGCTCATCGTGTCAAATTTGGTTTTCTAGTTAATCTAATTTCGACTTTTGAAATAAACTAAACACGTTCTTCCCCAAACAATCAAATTTCGGTGGAAATTACGAGTAAAACTGTTGAATTTTGAATGAAATGCAATTACCAGAGTCTTTTGAGTCTGAAATTTGAAGTAGAAAGTGTTATTTTTTTGGTACTTACTTAGGTGCGAGCGAGAGAGCGCGCGGTCGGAGAGTTGCTAGGGCGGGGTGGCGTGCGAGTGAGGGTGGCCGCCGGTGACAGGGGCGCCCATGGTTGTGGCGCGCCCCGGCACCGCGACCTGCGCCGCACCTCCCGAAGAGCAAACGCCGCCGCCGCCTTCCCCTCCCTCCCCCCTCCCTCGCCAAGATTCTCGCATCAAGAGACAGGCTTCGTTTCATTTCCTCTCCACGCGCGCCTCTTCTTCAATTTTATATTTAATTCTCAACACCTTCAATTATTATCTTCCACCTTCCTTTCCGGCTTCAAGCGAGGACGATCCGAATAAACAAAAGTTAATTTACTTCGGCTGAGAAAAAAAGACAGATTTCACGTCTCATTTCTTACAAATATGCAAATTTTTAGAGTTTTCAAATTTCCAATTTTTTTAAAAAAAGTTTTTAATATATTATAAATCAAACTCGACTTAATCAAAGGAAAGTGGCCATTTTTTGCTCTAAAATCCACCCTTTCATTGGGTTTCATTTCTTCCACATATTTTAAAATGCTGAGATATTATCTAATTGCAATTAAGTTTAATTCACAACAATTCGAGTGACTTAGGAACGGTCCTTACAAAACTTTTTTTTTCAAATATCGTCAGCCCTGATAATTTCAAGTTCAACTTTGTACATTGGATATTTCGATTTGAAAATAATTTAATAAGAAATTTAATTTTTTTATAATTTAAATTAATTTTTTTGAATATACTTGCATTTATTTGACAGTCAACTCAAACTGGGCCTGGTGTTTCTCATTTTGCTCGATAAGAACGCCTTCACATTGTTGGCACAAAAGGCAAGAATATAGAAAGGGCGCTTTCGCAAAGAATCGGACCAAGCTCTGTAATAATCGAAAATCGTTTTTAAAATTTTGGACTTCAACGTTTATTTACAGTTCATGCTTTTAATTTATTTGAATTTCAAATAAAGAAAAAAATGAATTTATGGAAGAAAATCTGAAACTTTCACGCTTTTACCTTCATGAAATTATTTAGATATGAAAATAATAAGTTTTAGACTTTAATTTTGATTGTGCTTTGCAGAACTTAATTTTCGTTATTTAGAAGAAAAAAACCAATTCAAGATAAACAATTTTACTTGAAATCAGCAAATTATTTCCAGCAGTAGAAAATACTTTCGGTAAGAAACTTTTCTTTGTGAATTGTTTGAATTAAAAAATTCCTATTCAGAAAACAAGTGGACTCACCTGAAGTTTTTCAACGGCTGCATTCAGTTTTGTTGCCCAAAAAAAAAAAAGGTTTCGAAAACCGCTCTTCAAAAGCACCTGTGGGAAAAATAAAATACTTTATAGAAAAATCAATTCTCCATAACTAAAATAAAAAAAAAAACTAATATAATGTGTACAATTTCTGGTTTCAAGATACAAACCATTATCGCTTTCCCCATCCTTCACATTCTACATATTTTTCAACTCTGACAATAAATTATACTTCTTTCGTCCTTTTGGCAAATTTATATTTTTTTTTTTACATTAATTAATCACAAATCAAAAACTTAACCATAATTGTTCACGTTGACAACAATTCACCTTTTTTCTTTTGGCAGCAAAATTTTTCCTCTGATAAAAAGCGGCGATGAAACTGCAATGACGAGTTCGTTGTTTAAAGGAGAGGACGAACGTTGTCAACAGGCCATTGGTACGTATTTGACCTGTTTCGAATTTCTGATAATTTAGGTGTACTTTTGGATAATATCTCATGACAAAGGTCGTGGTTGATGTCACCAGCAAGGTCACGATCCGGCGATAAAAAAAAACTAATTGTAAGTTGGAGAATCAGCAGAGAGCAAATTTTGTTTCAAATTGCCAATTCTGAACGCGCGTGCGCGATTCGTGTGACGAAACGCCATTATAACCGATTATAATCCGTACCTGAGGGTCAAGGGTGGGGTCAGGGGTCAGGCTTCGAAATCCAGGTGGAGGACAGGTCAGGCAGATCGTAGGAAGGCCTGATTTCGTGGAGAAAAGGCCGAGAAGACGCGAATCCAACCATGGTGCCGTGTGACCTGGCTGACCTGCAGCTGATGAGAGGGCGTGAGGGGTCGAAGGCAGGGGTGGGGGAAATGAGTTCACATAAATATCTCCTTGGTAATCAATATTATGTCAAAAATAATGTGAATACATTCGTTTCTCCTCCCCCACCCCGCCTGCTTCAACCCCTCACGCCCTCTCATCAGCTGCAGGTCACGCATGGATTTCATGGATTCGCGGCTTGTCGGTCTTTTCTCCACGAAATCAGGTCATTCAGGCCTTCCTACGGTCTGCCTGAAGCCTGAACCTGTCCCCCGCCACCTGGAACCTGGACCTCGAGGCCTGACCCCACCCTTGACCCTCAGGTAAGATTTTAATGGCGTTCTTTTGCTTGCACAGATCGCGCACGCGAGTTCAGAATTGACATATTCTGCTTGATTTATAACTTTCGTCTGCGAACTTTTTGGAAAATATTAATATAATAACGGCAAAATAGAGGCGGATTGAAAGATATATTTTTCGCCTTTATTTTCGGTCTTTCTCAACTCAGATATTATTTTGTTCCTTTTCCCAAATCCGAATGATTGAATCGCCCCACAAACTGATCTTTTAGATTTAAAAAATTTGGAATGTTCCCAACAAAATATGAAATTACTGGAAATTCTACAACAATTTAAAGTGAAAGAAAATTAATATAATAAAAAAATAATTCTTATTCATGGTTAAAAATTTATTTTGCACTGCATTTCTGATCATGAAGATTGTGAAATTGAGAATAATTTTAAGCTTTTCCGTTTTGAAAATAGTTTTTAATCAAATTTCGCAAGAACAACCAAGGCATCAACATTTATGTGCAGGTTAAAATAGCATAGTCATATTATTATTTTTTTTCCTTTTGATTTGAACTATTTTTCAATAAAAATTTATCATTTTTTGTGTGCAAAAGCTGCAAACGTTGACAAAACATAAATAGTTTTGCTTTCTCACCTGCTTTTGAAGATCATTTATTTCTGGCGCCGGATAAAAAGGGCAGGGGTGGAAAGGGCGACGCTAATTGCATTTCCGCGGCATGATTTTGCAGCATATGAAATTGTTTTGCGCGAGCGAGAGCGGCCGGACGGGACGGTTCACATATAATCGCATTCGGGCGCGCAAACGAGAAAGTGCGGTCTGATCTCGTCGCCTTATCTACAACGACGACCTCTACCCTCATCCCATTATTTCGCCAAACATGTGTTTCTACCACTGAAAGACACACGCACTGACTGACACACGTTTTACGCGCGCATTGTTTCGCTTAATTCGCAACAAAGGCCATTTTGCTCCTGGCGTAAAATCAAATTATTGTTTATTGTTAGATCAATCCACTTGAGAATCAGTTCTGAATTTAAGTTATTTAACTTGAAAATTTCCTTTCTGTATTGTCATTTCCGGGTTGAAAAGGTAAAAGTGAATCTGTAGACACATCAAAGTTTTGAAAATAGGAGACATATAAGAGAGTTGAAGTTGAATTTTCCTTAAATATAGCAATAAAAGTATACATCTCATTAGGATATTATTTTTAATAAGTTACTCTCAATTCTAAATCACAATTTATCCATTTATTTGTAAATTTAGGACGACATTAAATATATTAAAACAATTGAAATCATCTTTGTGAGATATTAAAGTGGTTCAAGCAATATGCTTTGATTATATTCAAACATTTTTCCATTAAATCAAGGATGGGAGCAAAATACGAGCGAAGCATTTCATCAAATGAAGTGTTAAAGCAGCTCTTTCATTTAATTTTGAAGCTTTTTTCAGATATCAAAGTGGCTTGAAATATGCTTCCTGAATTTCTTGCTTCGCTTGTATTTTGCACCGATCAATGTTTGATTGAAAAATTGATAATATATAATCATTGATTTGCTTGAAGCGCTTTAATATCTAAAAAATAACCTTGAAAATTAAATTAAAGAGCAGCCTTAACACTTAATTTGATGAAACGCAAGCTGAGATATTTAAACTTTCTTCCATTAAATCAAGGATGCGTGCAAAATAAGAGCGAAGCAAGAAACTCAGCTTGCGTCTCGTCAAATTAAGTGCGACCATTGTTGGCCATCTACCGTTCTTTTGAAATTTTAATAAAATTTGCAAATATTTTTCAACTTTCACGACATTCTCGCCAGCAGCTTTATCGAAGAGAAATATTTTATTCTTTGATTTGTTCTGGTGTTTCTTTTCTTCATTTATTTATTTATTCTCCAATCGATACAGTCATGTCATGAATACAGCAAAAAAAAAAACTATACAGAAAAAGTACAGAAAAATTCATTCACTTAACTTATCATTGCATTTCAAGAACAATAGCCTCTTCCAAAAGAAATATCCTATGCAAGTCGCCAAATTAAATTCAGACGAAATAGCAAATTTTCAATTTTGTCACGGAGTGAATTGAATTTTTTTTTGTATTCAAAATGTTTATGGGCGTCGCCAAGTGATGGCGTGCGAGTGCCACTTTTCCTTCATTTCTCATTTTGCACGATTTGTGCGATTTCAATCTATAGTGATTTTCTGTTTTTGCTGCACCATAAAAATTCTGGCTGAAGATCAGCGAGATTAAAATCACGCGTTAAAAATTTGAGTGAAAAGAGCAAAGCCTTAACAGGAGCGTCCAAAGGCCCCTGATTTCATAGCGATGGACATTAAAAACTTTCATACATGATTTAACTCAATCATTTTTATCTGATGTAATAATGTTATTTTGCTGATTAAAAAATTTCAGCTACCTCTAATTTTGCAGAGCTTTTACAAATAATGGAGGGGGGGGGATAGGCAACCTGCTGGGCACGGAAGTACGTCGTATTGCATAACCAAAGATTATTGTCATGCGCAGCAAATTTTTATTCGAAGGTGCAAAATGTAGTGAAAAGAAATTTCTAGCTTCTGGTATTAAAACATTCACTGACAAAAAAAATTGAACTTAATCTCATTCTACCAAGTGGTTGGAGGGATTTTTATAAATTCCAGTTTTTACCTATTCAAATTATTTTTAACAATTTTGCAAGTTAGCGGATTAAAGGAAGAAAAAATAACGAAAGTAAAAGTGTCTGTTCGCTTTTAATTTGGAATCTCACTAAGCCATCCAAAAATAAATTTAAATTACTAAAGATTTAATTTTTTAAGCAGCTAAATCATATATTTATAATTAGCATAAAATAATTTCGTGTATTGAAATATTGGGTTCAAAGTTTACTCAGAGACACACAATTATTGTCGTCTTTTGCCTTGACCGAAGGCTTTTATGGGAATCAATATTGAGATGTTTTATTGCAGAGTATTTACTAAGAATATGAAGTCCTTAAAAAGCTTGTTGAATAATTAATTCCTGATGAATTTGACACATTTCTATTTAGATTCTTTAAGTTTTAAATAACAGAGGCAAAATGGTTTGACAGGGTTAGAATTTATATGTTTCGTGTATTGCATAATTTCGAATAGATGAAGCAGCCAATCGCATATATATTTAATTTTTAAATTTGGTTTAAGTTCTTAAATTTCAAACACAAGCTATTTATATGCAAAATCGTGAATCTTTATTGAAAAATGAATTTGTTAGTTACATATTACATTTTCCACATCAACGTTGATTAAGATATCTTAAAATAATAACCCGATAAAGTTGATCATTTGAAAAATAAAGGTCGCATTATTAATCCCTCACTAGCAAGTCGAAAATCTTAGAGTTGCCCTCTTTTCCACCGTATGGGTAGAAACACGCCTTGTGGCGAAGGTGCACCTGTGAATTTACAAACGAATTAAATTATTGCGAATCCACTTTAAATTTATTAAATTTTGTTCATTTTATTAAAATGTTCCTCTTTCATTTTACCTTTAACCCGACAAAATTTCAAGACTTGTATACCTTTCCAATGCTCGATCCGACTTTGCAGATGTACAGATTGTCCTTGTGTACGGCCGAGTATCCGCCGACGACCGCGTTGGACGGCACCCGTACGGGCGGCGGATCCGAGTTGAAGAACAAGGAGGCCGGAAAGGGGACCGGGCTTCGCTGCACGCTGATGCTGAAGAACTCCCAACTGTAGGAGCGCGAGTTGCACAGCACGTCGTAGCTGCTCACTTTGTACTCTTTGTCGTTGAACGGGATGTACGCCTGTCCGAGGCGGGACACGAGTTTGCCGGGAAGGAGGCCGCCGTTCAGCGCGGCCCTCGCCACGTACACCGGCTTGCCTTTGTCCAAAGTGCCGACGAACGCGTTGCAAGGCACGCTGCCGTCCTGTCCGCTCCTCCAGTCGTCTTGGCCGGCTTCAATCGAAATGAATTGTTTTAATTTTTTATAGTTGGAAATCGAATTTACAAGAATATAGAGCTCAATTTTTACTTGCCGAATAACGGAAATGTTTTTTTATTTTACAATTCATGGGTTTTTAAGCCCAAAAAACCAAACCAAAAATATAATATTTTCGATTATTTTGATGTTTTGATTAATTAATTAATATTTCAAAACAAAAATTGATTGTTTTTCAAATATATTTCGATTTTCATTTTAAATCTGAAGTAGAAAATATAATATGGGCACGCAAAATTAAGAAAATTTTATTTTTAAGACTGTAATAAATTTTGTAAGAAATTAAAATCACGTATGGCAATTAAATTGGTCTATTTTTATGACTAAAAGCTTTGGTGTAGAAAAAAATGATTTCATTTTACCTGCATAGTGAATTACAAGCGCATAGGCAAATAGGACAAGTCTGAAGAACGGCTGCATGATGGTCAGTTAGCGCGTTTCATTCGCGAAATGTTGGCTGGCCTCTGATTTTATAAAGAGCCGAAAGCAGTTAATTGCTCTGCCCCTCCCTTAGTATCGCGCTGCGGTCCTGAAAAACGCCAAAACAAGGGAACATAATAATTTGGACAATAATTACTAACGCGTTCACCCCACCATACTGAGGATTTTCGCTTGAGAGTGCCCTTCAAATAAGGCGTCATTCCTCGGAAGATCACCTGCAAGATTAGACATGCTGAGGCTCAAGCTCGCTGTTGCCGTGTGCCTTGTTTCCCTGGCGGCGATTGACCGCGCCGCAGGTATAATTTACATTTTTTTACGCTAGAATATCGTCAAATTTTTTATAATTTGATTTTTTGTAAAAGACGAGAGTTGTTTGAATGCTGAAATTGATTTATTTTGCGGAAAAAGTAATCTTGAAATTAAAGAAAAATACCAAGAAAATTATCCTACGAAATCTTGCGAAAGTAAATATTTTAAAAGCGACAGAAATGGAAACAATATTTCTGATAATTTTTTTTTTATTGATTTATTTGATTAAATATTTCATTTTATTTATTTATTGTTGACCAATTTTTATGCTATTCTGAACACCACAAAGTTAAAAATTTAGGGAATTTAATAAATATTTATGCTTACACTACTTTGGAGATTAAAATAATAATACAAAAATAAAATAAAATAATCACAAAATTCTCAACTTATATAATATTGTCACGAGGCCCTGCTCGTAGTAGAGGACCTCGTAACAGGGTGTAAAGGTAGAAATGGTAGTACGTGAGTTCTGGACAACACTATGGATGGATTTATTGTGTAGCGCCGGACGGTACAATGATTATGGTCGGAATGCTCGTGTGGGTGACTCGCAGGTGACTGTCCATGTGGGTTCACTGGATGACGGCCATGGTGACGGCGTCTCGTCGGACGGCCTCGTCCAACTGCTCAGTGAGGTGCAACTCTACTGGTGCATGGCTGCTCTAGTGCATAGCCCGTGTACGACCCTCTGTACGGTCGGTGTACGACTGCCCTGGCTGCAAGGCCCGTGTCCGCCAGTACGCTGTACTGCTGACAGTGCGCTAATACCTGACTCAAGCTCATCCGCTATGTCACACCGTGACAATATCTTGTTAAAAAAAGCAAACAGAATCATTGATAATTTTTCTAAATACCCTTTTTAACTCATCAAAGTCAAAGTTCATATCAATTTCCATTAGAAATTTGTCGTCATCATACCAAGAGCGTATTTCATGAATAAATTTTGCAATTCCATTGCTCTTACAACAATTGTAGAAAAAGATCAAGAGTAAAATCGAAAATTGATTAAACATTTCGAGAACATTACCATACAATTTCTCAAAAATTATTGCTTCAAACCTGCAACTATTGTATTTTAAAAATAAGCGACTATCTGAAAAGTGTTTCAAGATTTCATTTTGGAAAGAAATAAATAGTTAGTATGCAAAACAATGTAATTCAGCTAATTGGACATTAAAACGCAGCTCATAAATTAACTCGCCAACTGAAATTAGTACAGCATGGATTTATTTATATTGTAAAAAATTTCACTCAGATTCAAGAAGCAAGTGGATGTTTTATTTCTTTTGCAACTTTGATTTTCTTTGTTTCACTTTTGCTGTTTTTCATATGATCAATTGATCATGTGCACGGCTGCTCCCGCCGCTGACGTGTTTTTTTTTCCATTTGTGTCAGGTCAAAACTTCGGCCAGGGTGAGTGGCGAAGTGGTGCGAACGGTGGCGTGCCGCCGGGCGCCTTCGTCGGCGGCCACGACAACGGCCAGCCGGTGTACGTGGCGCGGGCCAGCTTCAGGGGCGGCCTCCTCCCTGGCAAGTTGGTGTCCCGACTCGGACAGGCGTACGTGCCGTTCTTCAACAAAGAGTACAAGGTGCAGAACTACGACGTGCTGGTCGGCTCCAACTACAAGTGGGACACGTGGGCCAACACCAAGGACTACTACTGGCCCAACAGCGCCGTCGTCGGCGGATACTCGGCCCAACAGAAGGACACGCTCTACGTCTGCAGGGTCAATGCCGGCAACAACAAGGAGTCCATCGGCAAGGTGCCCTTTCTTTTTATTCTATGCAAGTCACATTTTTGTAGCAACGAAATGGGGAAAATAATCAAAATTAATTTCCGAAAGACGCACTTTGAAATTCTGTTGATAGATTAAAACGTGCAATTCTGATCCACATCAGACTTATATTATATAATTGTTCGTCTTTTATACAACCTTTCTGAATATTTTATTGACTTATGAGACATCACCGTGGTATAATTAAAAATAATTCAAGTTTTCCAATGTTTACAAGCATCTTTTCCCCAATTTCATAATTTTTTACTTCATGATCAAGGTCCGCTCATCAGAAAATTTTGATTGTTGCCGAGCTCTCTGATTGGGTACAAATTTGCTTGTACCCAATCAGAGAGCTTAAGCAACAATCAAAACTTTTTTCATTGTTGCTGATGCGCGGACCTTGTTCATGATGAATTTTTTTTGAGATCAATTACGTTTTTGTACTTTTAACATGCATGGTGAGAATTAAAATAAAAAATTATTAATATAACCAAGGCTCCAGGGGGATGTATTGTAATGAGATTGAAATGATATATTGAGTCTGAGGAATATAAATCAATAAATTTCTTTTATGATGTGGAATGAGAATTGTGTGCATTGAAAATCTCCAAATTTACAGGTCCACCTTCGTCACAAGAAATGCTTCTATCCTCACAATGGAAAAGAGTACGACACTAGTTATTTCGACTTGCTTCTTAAGTTGTAAGACATCAGCATTTTTGTAATTGACGTTTCTGCAACATAAGCAAATAATCATCAAATAACTCGCACAGCATATTTAATTTTGGGTGTTTTATTAGATTAACACCCCAAAAGATGAAACAACAAATGCGGTTTTAATTTTTTTGTATCTTATTTTACTGAACCAAGACATTTTCAAATAAAAATTAAGCAACTTCGGGAAAAGTGAAATGACTTTTCAAATTTATTTTCAATTTACCCTACTTTTTTCTTATTATTATTTCAAAATGATTGAATATAATTACACCCATCATTTATGATTACATCATGACAACAACATTTGCTGGGGAGTTCTTCTGCTTTTGGCAGAACAAAATAAACACTTCCTTCCTCTCTTGTGTAGCTTGGTCCTGTTTGCAAACTAAACCTTCTCTTAAATGTTTCAGAGACTTAAAAAACAAATTTCTCTATTCAAAAATTGAAGAACTTGAAAATTCTTATTTTATTAAATTTACAATAGTTGTTATAAAGAAAATCCCACTCTGAATTTTGAATCATTAATTTGGAAAAAACACAATAAATATGCAATATATTTAGATTATAATGTTTTATATTTATATTTTCTGAAGCAAAAAGCGAGCATTACATTTGATAATTATGATAAGGTGTTATGATGAAGTGTAGAAAAGAAAACTCACTTTTTAAAAAAGTCAGAGCTCGATGCACACTCGGTAGAGCTTGTTTTTCAATGCTATCTGCGAGTTGATCTCGATCAAAATGCGCTTAAGCTTGTATCGTTGAGGAGCGTCGTGTAGAGGGAGCTCCAGTTCAGTTCAGTGAATTATTATATTTATTATTACTTGTAATCTTCGCCGGTGTGTTTTTATCCATCAAAACTTTTATACTAAAATTCAACCGCAATTACAAATTGAACTGAGAACAAGGAAAATTATAAAAAGTTTTCTCCTAGAATTGATATAATAATTTATTAATTTTTTGGCCAAAAAAAGCTCACATCAGCAGCTTGTTAACTTTTTATTTTCAATGCTCTTATAATGGAGGTTGATAGGCAACCTGCTGGGCACAGCAGTCCGTCGTTTTGCATAACCAAAGATTGTGGCCACGATTTTGTCTGTGGCCTTTTTTAACTCGCTGCGAGTTACAAAAAAAAAAGCATGAGCACTTGTTGATCGTAAAGAAGATTTAAATTGAAGGGAGTGTTCCCAGGTCCGGCTTCAAAATAGCTCCTCAAGGTCGTCTGCAATTTTTTTCTTCTAAATTGTCACGCCAGTACTTTTCAGTCTCATGAGCACTACCTTTAAAACAGTTTTTATTTTAAAAGAATTAAATTTTATTTTGAGAATTTATTTAAAAATACAAACTTTGCAAATAAAATTAAAAATTAACCACTTTTTTCCCTTCATCAATGAATCAGTTTTGGAAGTTTATAAAAAGAATTGTAATTTCAAGAAATTAAATACAATTTTAATTAAAAAGAGATTCTGTCTTTAATATGAATTAAAAATCAAGACAATATATTAATCCAAGCGAAAAAATGAAATTAATTTTTGATAAGTATATATTTTTATTTCCTAACAATTTCCGAGTTGCTGGTGACAATTTCTATTTTTATCTCCATTGCGTTTGAATGAGTGCTCGTGTTTGTAGGCAAATAGGCTATACCGTTGAGTTACGTAAGAGGCGTCGTCCGTTGCTGATTTACGTCGTCCGAGCTGATGAATCGAAGTGGCAGCCTTTTATGCCGTTGCCTAATGAAGCGATTAGTTTTATTACACAGGGAGCGAGAGACGGAGAAAGGATCGAGGCACAAGGTCTCCGTCGGTCCACGCGCGCGCCCAGAAATTATAATGCGCAAAAAAAATTAATCAGAGCTGAAAAGTCGAGAGATGCGCGCCGGGTTTTCCAGATTTCTCAATCCTCCTGAAATTAGGGGAATTTGTGACGTTTGGAAATATAACGAACTGGGAATTAAATTTTGCACAAACGCGGCGCTTTTTCTCAGAATTAATAATGTCAAGTGTTTTTCTCACAGTTTTCCTTGTTGTGCAGTTAAAGGCCTTGCCAAGTAATTTATCATTTAAATGCGATAAAAAGTGTGTTACATAATTTAATAAGAAACAGTTTATTTTTTCCTGAATAAATTTGAAATTTCTAAAAATTCCGAACATTTATAAATATATCAATTTCATATAAATTAACAAAAATCTTCTACTTCTTTGATCGTGACAACAGTTGATTGAATTATTATTGTCCGCTTTGAACAATTAAAATTTTTCCCAGAAATCAATTAACGACGCCTTGATTAATTAGTAAAAAGTCGTTTTGATCGTTGTGTGGAGAAATTCTAGGAAGAAATAAAAATCTTGTGATTGATTTTTCTTTCCCGTGGGCTGCTCTCTCGGTTCGTAAACTCTCGGAGGACAAATAGTGCGAGTTATTTACGAGTGAAAGTGTATTAAAGAGAGGATCTTCGGACGTATTTTAATTGTTCGTCGTTTCTTGGCACGCGGCGGTCTTTCTTCCTGCTAATAAAATCACGAGATTTCGGTTTGACAAAGCGCCAAATTTTATCAATTAATTTTCAGTAGAAGAAAGTGTAAAATAATAACACAAATATTTTAATAATATTTGATTAGTTGAATTAATTAAATTTTCCTTTGGAGGGACAACACAGGTTTTGCGATGATTTGTCCGATGGAAATGGAGGAAATTGAATTTTATGTTAATTGCACACGTCGGCAGGCAGTCTGGCCGCTCTCAGGTTCAATAAAAGTGCTCGCGACACACATTACCATTATTCAAGAGAACATAATCGCTTTCCATTCAGCTGAGCACTTATTTATTTTATCTCGGCTTGTTTATTTACAAGAGAAAGACGACGCTGCACGTTTAACTATAATTCAATGCGCAATTAAATCCACTAGAGCGCAATTTCAAAACACTTTTATTTTCTATTCTCTTTCAACAATAAATATCTGTAACACAATTTGTAAAAATTGGTTAATTAGTATTTCAAAATCAATAAATAAAATGATAAATTTTATTTAAAAAAATGAAACATTTCTTTTAAAAATGCATTCTTCACTGGAATAGAGTAATTGATAAATGATATTGTAAGAAAGATCTGTCGGATGATGAGTTGTCGGAGAAAGTGTTCGTTCCTTGGTAAAAGCTGAGCTCGCTGCGCACAAATGGGCCTAACTCAACAATAACCGCCGCCCTTCGAGCTGCTCTTTCTCAGCGCCAGTGTGTGCGTTTCTTTGATGCTAATTGAATTTATTTACACTGCGAGTGTGACTCATTCTGTGCACCGTCGATTGACAACGTAAACTCGAGTTGGCAAAAACCTGCACGACGCAAAATTTTCTCTCGGCACGTTTGGCGAACACAAAAGCTCTTTAAGTGAAACTGATTCGCGGCCACCGAGCTACACACGCCAACTTTTAATTGCAAAAACGTGTCAAATGTGAAAAACAATAGTTGCAAATTATGTGTACTTTTTTAAACTAATGATTATAATTAGGATAGGAATGAACTTCCGTTGAATATTATAACTTTTTCTTTCAATTAATTAGCAAAGAATGAAGGTTTTTAAATATTTGTTATTAAATTATTAAATATTGTAGTAAAAAATTTGTCTCTTTCTTCCTTTTTTTGCTAGTATGACTTTTAAATTTTGGTTGAAGTTTTTTTGTTTTTAGTCTCCAAACTGAAGAAATTAAAACTGCATTTACAAGTAATTTAAGGATTACAAAATATTTCTCAGTAAATCAAAATTTAGCCAAGAAAATCATATAAATTTTAGTGTAAATGAAAAACATTGAGGGCGATCCAAAAGCCTAACCTGGCCCAGGCTAACTTGACTTAGCCCCGGGCTAACTTATCCCACCAGCAAAATTGAATGGCGGGTTTAATTAGCCCGGACCAGGTTAATTTAGCCTGGGCCAAGTTAGCCTTTTGGATCGCCCTCATTGATTTTGAATAATGTTTATGCTTGAAATTAAATTACAAGAGAATAGCAAACGATTGTTTTGTATTGAAATTTTTAGCTTAATGTCAAAAGTTTTTTAGACTTGAAGGTCAAGCGAAAATATTTAAGAGCGGAAGTTTGCATTTTGAACATAATTGAGATTTAATCTCTAAATTTTCTGCAAAACCCAAGGCGAAGCTGCTAAAATTTCATTTTCTCAAATGGCTGCTAATTTTCTTTTGCTGAATATTTTGAAGGTGAAATAGCATCTGCAATTAATTGAGCACAATAATCCGTTTGTCAAGGAGAGCCTTGAATCGCGGTGATGGCAAAGCTTTAACGCAGAAAACTCTCGACCAAGTCATGTCTTCAATTTATTTTTATTTCATTTTCTCTCTCTCTCTCGTGTTTTCGGTCTGCTGCCCTCGATGATTAATCCTGTGATACGCGCTGTTGTTGCACGAGCAAAAGTAAAATAATCATGCAAGTCTCACGAAAACCTTGAAAGACGCTCAAAATTTCCCTCGCCTTTAAAAGGTTTAGTGCAAAAAAGCGTACAAAATCTTCACAACTAGACACAATTTCTAATTTCATCTTTTCTTAAAAAATTTAAATGAAAAAGGTTGGATGGAAATAAAAAAAATAAAGGCCATTAAATTAGTGTTAATTAGCCATAATTGTACTTAATTATTTGCGCGATGAGAATATTCTGGAAACTATTATCTAGTTTATTCTGAAATTAAGGCATAATTGACAAAAAAAATAGATTTATTGTAAATTTAGATTTTTTTCTAAAGAAAAGTTCATCTATTATTGTTATTTACTCCTCTAAGGAATCAAAATACTCACAATTTTAGTAATTTAGGTTTGTTTCTTGTGGAAAATCTGAAATTTAATCTTTTAATTATAAAAACTCTTCCCTTTGTGCTAATTTTTTTTTTCATTTTTCTCGATCGAATAAATTGGAATATATTTCTTTTTGGAAAAGGTATTTAGCAAATTTTGATTTATTAATATTTACTTCAAATTTCCTTTTCATTTCCAGAATTCTGAGTTTTGAATTGCAAACAACGAGAGTTTTTTTTGACACGCAAGCAGGTCAAAAGAACGGGGGAAGTGAGCAAATTGGGCGGATGCGCGTTTAGACACACAAGAGCGAGCAGAACTAACCTTTCGCTTTTGCAAAATAATAAAAAACGCACCCAAGGTTTTTGATGTTTTTCAAGCAAAAGAGATAATTTCAAATCACTTCCCAAACTGCTTATCTAATTTAAATGCGAATTGCTTACTTAAAATTAAGTCGGTGACGCAATCTCGAGTGTCTAATTATTGCCGAGAGATCGCGTTGATGATAAGAAAAAGCACGAATTTTTTTTATTGTTTTTTGTCCCTGCGCGCGCCGCTCTCGACCCGTCGTCCCTGGGGATTTCCGCGTGCAAAGTATCACAATTATTACAACTCGGTCGCGGGCCCAACCGACGCGGCTGAGACAGAGGCAAAGGCAAAGTTGTAAAACTGCTTTGATTTTCTTAATGTGTTAATTGGGCAGGCGAGCGTGAAATTCTGCACAGTGACTCACGACTGTAGTAAATAATCAGTTTCCTTTGGTGTTTTTATTGCAATTTTTCCTTATTTCATATTTTAAAATATTGAAAAAATTAATGGAAATTTTCAGTAATTTCTATTGTTAAATTTAAAAATTTGCAAGCTCGTGATAAAGTTTTCCTAAACCGAATATTTTTGTAGAAATTATAAAACTGGTTTAAGTGTGAATTTGGGGGAAAAAATTGCTAACTTTTTTTGTGACATAAAATTGAGTGAATATTTCAAGTGCAGGCCAATTCAAATATGCAAAATCAAGCAAATACTAAATTTTTGGCTGAAATATGGATAAGAGAGTTTAAATATTCAGAAACAAAGGAAAGTTAAAAATAAATAATGCAATTTTAATTTAATTTTAATTTTTGCCACCAAATATTCTACTTTTAAATATTGAATATCTAAAAATTATATTTATTTTTTCATATGAACCACAACATAATCTAAATTAAAAACAAATTAAAATAAATATAAAGCATTTATATTAAAAAAAATCAACTTTTCAATTTGATCATCAGATGAATTTGACCGGAATGAAAAAGGTGAAAGGAAGAAAGGCTGTTGTATGTTCTCATCTCTTTCTCCGGCAAACTGCAAATTTGATCTGCTCTCTTTGCGACGGACCTTGGTTGGTTGTTGGGGTGGATAAGTGCCGGGGTGTCGGTTTCACGCGGCGCCGCCGTTGCAGGATGTCACGGCTTCAATTTGCTTCAACTGATCCGACCGCAAAAAGTGCACAAAGACAATGACAGAGGAAAAAGCACAGGTCAATGGCAACGAAATTCAAGCGCATCTTTCCACTCCTTTATTCAAATAAAAAAACTAAAATAAGAATTAATTTTGGGGGAAAAGTGTTTTAACTGAACTTTAAAAAAAAAACAGTCAAATTGTACATATTTTCTTATAAAATTTCTACTCTTATTCATTTTATTGTTTATTTTGTTCAATCTTCATAATTTTTTTCCCATTTTACATATTCTTTAATTTTCAAAAATTTGTAATGCGAAATGAACAAAATAAAGTGTCTTTCTAACTAATTTTGTAAATGCTGAGACGGTCTCAAAAGATCTCAATAATTTGCTATTTTAAACTAAATTTAAAGATTTTTTTTAAATATAAAATATAATCAATAGAACTAATATTAAATTATAAATTATCTAATAAATTTTTGTGATTTTTATTGCCGAGTATTGAAAATTTCAACAAAACAGCCTTTTAGCCAATTACACAAAAAAAGAGGACACGTTATATATTTTACATAAGCGGCCGATTTGCATAAATCCTTGACTTTGAGTCCTTTTTTTATTCGAGTGAAAAATGAACTTTTTATTCAAATGGAAAGAGAGAGCGGCAATCAATTTACGAGTAATTCGATTAGCCTTGAACTCGCCGGTCACACACTTTTGTGTTTTAAAATCCAGCGAGGAAAATATTATAATTTTCGTAATATGCTGTCTGGCAATTGGGGTGAGAAGCGAATGTGGCACTCTTAAGTGTGAACTTAATTGATAATTAATTACATGTACGAAGGCGAAACTTCCTTGTTGCAAAAATTGTTCCATCGCACGCTCTCGTTACTCTGTTTTTTTATTCTTTAAATTAATCAAAGGGATTCAAAACAAGAGGCATAAAAAAAATGATTTTTATTAAATAAAAGCAGCAAAAATCTCAAGTTGATTTATTATTTTATAAAAAAATAAAATATCAATTAAAATTCATAAGATTTATTCGGATATAAAACACATAAATTAGTACAAATGTAACTTTTTCTTGTATAAAATTATAAACTTTTATGATTAATAAATTAGCTAAAATTGTCAAAATTGAATATAAATTATGCAAGAGAAATGACAAATAACGCAATTTCATCAAAATATTTTTCCGCCCTCATGGATATGCACGCACGACTATTGCAACTTGTTTTTTTACAGATTGCGAAATTATTTTCGGGCAAACAACAATAGTTGGCAAATGACATTTAAGTGATGGGCCGCGGCATAAATTAAATTGTGCATTGCATGACTGTGTCGGCGGGTGAAAAACACAAATACAAACATGCAATGCTTGAGAGGAACCCACAGAGAGCGAACTTTGACGAAACAAAGGCTGCACTTTGCGCTGACACAGTTTTATGTATACATTCGAGTTTCGCCGCCGACCCGTGTCACGCCTGCTGACTCGCGGATTTCACTCACGCAAATCTCAAAAGTATAAAAAAATTAGCTAAATTAAAAATAAAAAAACATGTATGTAGAATTTAATTGTATTAATTTTTATTCAACACAAATCAGATAAAATATTTTAAGATATTTAAATTTACAATTTTTTTTTTAAATTATTCTGCTGATGTAAAATTCGAATAAAAAGGTTTTGCTGGGTGAAAAAAAAGTTTCAATTGTTGGTCAACTTGCTTTCTGATGCAAAACAAGTGTGGGCTGTTTTGCTTGACGTTTATTTCAAAGTAGGCGCGCTTTTGTTCCATTTACTTGTTTGTTCTCTTATAAAGGATGCACCGAATTTGCATAAGTGAGAGTGATTTGGTCTCGATCGACGCACAGCTTTACCTCGTTAAACCGACGAGGATTAGAAACAAGTTTGGAACTGAGGACATTTTTAATCCTGCATGATGTCATTCAGACAATACATTGAGTAATGTGGTTTTAAGTTTTTATAGTTAAGGTAGATTCAAATTTGAAAAAAAAGTATGCAAAATTTCATGATAAAATTGATATGAAATGAAATTTTTTTCTAAATAAAAAGTTAATGAATCTGTTTATATTTCATTCAAGTTTCAAATCTATGTAAATTTATCAAAATGTTAGTACTGATGAAATGGATTTCATAAATAAAGAAATAGTTATAATTTGCTTAGATAGTTCTTTTTATTTAATTTCAAAGTAATTATCAAATTAAAATTCCAGTAAGAATGGTGAAATTGCAATGACATAAAACATAATTACTTCAGTTTTTACTACAAAATTAAACAATGCAATTCTAGCTATAACTGTAAACACACAAGAACAAATCATGAAATTAACAGAGACGAATTTGAATTAAATTTTCTATCAAAAAGAGATTTGAATGAGCGAATTATATTTTTCTCCAGCGCCGAAGAAAATCGAGACGCGTGAAAAATTAGAAGAGGATCGGAGGAGCATAAAATTGGCGTGTCGAGCAAAGGCCCCGCGGCCCCCACCCCAGGGGACCCCACCCCGCGCCGCTTGCTTTCCTCCTGGGCCGCCCCATATAAAGGTGGCGGCGGCGCGGCCTCTCGCCACTCGCTCATACCCTGACCAAGGAACCGGCGCGCGTCCTCTTTCAAAGGTACGTCTCTTGCAATTCTATCCTAATTGAAAAGTCATCTTCGCATAGATAAAGATTATTCAGAGTATACAGGTCAGGTAAAGGTTAAATACAGGTTAAATACAGGTCAAGTACAGGTGAATAATTAATAAACAATTTTAAACAAAAATATTGTAATAATTGAATTAATTATTATAAAATTTACTAAAAGTTCAATTAAATTTAAACGTTTATTTGCTAATTGAGGTTGAATTGAAATTACGCCCTGATTGCTCCGTGTTTGAACGTGCAAGTGCAAGTTGTTTTTAATGCGAGGTCGTTGGGCAACGATTTTACGACGGTGCTCGCGACCCGTGACTAATTGTGAGAAATCAAATTAGACAGATCAAGATCACTTTCACATGCAAACGCCTCATTTGCATGTGCCGTAACCAGAGAGACGTTTCCTTTTATGACACACACACACACACCTCGTTGAGATTTTTTATTTTTATTTTCCCTTCTGCAATTCGATACATATAAATGAATCGAATATACGTAAAAAAGTGAAAAGTGGATCGGCGCGACTACTTTTCATTTCTAGCCTCGGGGGCTCCGCTTTCAGCTTGATCGTGCGGGCTGAAGAAAAAAAAATCAACGCTACTTTTACTCGCGTCAGACCACTTTCGCAATCCGCCAAAATCTCCGGGTGATTTATTAATTGCACGATTGTATATTCAAAAGTGGCTTCGGCAGATGTTTCGGGCGGTGAAATCTCTCAAATCAAGATTGATTCCAATTAAGAACTATCTCCAGATCGAGCTTTTCTTCCAAGAAGAGACATTATTTTTTAATTTTTTTTCTTAATTTATTTTTTTTTTTCATAATTTAATTTAATTTTTTTTAATTGATTTCATTTTTACAAATTAATTATAAACATTTAATGATTTTCATTTTGTTATGTGATTTTTAGAAAATATTTATATATTTTTATGATTTATGGTCTAAATTTTTGTTTTGAATTTGATTTTCAGATGAAGTTCCTGATCGTGGCCCTTTCTGTGTCGCTGACCCTCGCGTTGGCCGCCGACGAGAAACCCGCCGGCGAAAGACCAAAGACCTTCCGCAGACTCATCCCCGCTGACGTCCTCAGAGGTTTGTTTAGAATTTTAAGCACTTTTTCGTTTGCTTATCAAACAAAATTTCTCCACAATTGCATCGACGCACTTAATTCTTGCAACGCCACCACATTTCAAATTAAGACATAAGAGTTTTGTCAAATCGACAGACAAAACAAACTACGGCATTAATAAAACTTGAAAACTTTTAGAAGCATACTTCAAAAGTTAAATAATCAGGAAAAAATTAGATCAAAATTCAGGATTGTTTAGTTTTTTCTTCTAATTATTGATAAAAACAAAGCTGGTTTTATAATTTTAGATGAAAAATTGTATTAGACACATAAAGAAAAATTAGATTCATTAATTGGGAGAATTTTCTGAAGTAACAATTTCTCAAAATGTGCCCCTTTGACATATATGAAAATTGCATCAAACAAAGCTCAAATCACCCCCATTATTTTGCAAAATTAAAATCAATTGTTAGGTTGACATCAAAATTTACTTAAATTTTATTGGAAAATGTTCAATTGACATTTTTCTCAGTGTAGATGGCCGAACTTGATGCTTCGAAATCTACACTGAAATTAAAACTTTTCCGATGTTAATTTTTTGATGTCGACTGACCTATTGATTTTATTTTTCCATCGTAATTGGGGCAATATGAAAGTAATTTGGTCAAATTTTTATCAGGTAAAATGTAAGAAAACAAATATTTTAGTAAATTCTAATAAGAATTAAAAAAATTAAGTTCTCCAAATGATTTTAATTTCCTAATTTATTGCTTTTGCCAAAAGAACTTTTTAGAATTAATTAGATTTGAATTAAAAATTTAGAAAAACCGAAATATTTGAAAGAAAATAATCAGAATTTCTCTGTCCGACCAATTTTATAAATTTGATTGTTGCATTTCAGACTTCCCCGGAATGTGCTTCGCGTCGACGCGCTGCTCGACCATCGAGCCGGGCAAGTCGTGGGAACTGGCGCCGTTCTGCGGCCGCTCGACGTGCGTGGCCGAGGAGGGCCGCCTGCTGGAGCTGGTGGAGGACTGCGGCCCCCTGCCCAAGCCCAACCCCAAGTGCAAGTTGTCCGACAAGACCAACAAGACGGCCGAGTTCCCCGGCTGCTGCCCCATCTTCGAGTGCGAAGAGGGCGTCAAGCTCGAGTTCCCCGAACTCCCCGTCCCCGCCGCCGCCCCCGAGGCCGCCGCCACCGAAAAGCCCAAGGCCTGAGAAAAAACAAACTGCGCGATTGACTCTATTTATTGAAGAAAAACAAAAGGGAAAGAAAGAGAGCTGGCATTAATTTTTTTAACTGAAAAATTTGTAATTTTCCTCTGACGAACGAAAAGTCGAGACAGGGTTGTAAACTGAAAAATTCATCCAAAAAGGCACGTCTCATTCAAACCGAAATATCAAATGCGACAAACATGTGATCCTCAGCTAATTATACAGTTGAAGTACTTTATTACTTTTTTTTAACATTTTTGCATTTTATACGAATAAAAAAACGTCTAAAATCAATTGCAGCGTTTTTTATGTTATTTTAACCTCATAAAAATTATGGATTTGATTGAAAAAAAAATATGTATTCAGTTTTCAGGAAATATCATCAATAATTATGTATATTTTATATTTATTAAGTAAAAACTGATATATTCTTTAATTGACTATTATTATTTCAGACGATCAGTATATTAATGAAAAAGAGCAAATTTAATTGTGAATTTCAAAATTTTACACTTAAATAAACCAAGACAAAACTGTTTTTCATTATATTGATATTTTTTCTTTTCAAATGGTACTTTTCTTCAAAAGAATTATACAAAATTGCCAGAAATAAAATTGAGGAATATAAATGATTCCCTCCAAAAAAACCTAGAATGAAGATGGATGACACTAGAATATTTGAGGAATAAAAAGAACACAATTATAAAAAAGAAAAATATTAAAACGTTTTTAACTTTTAAATCTTTGTAATTGTACGTTTTGTATAACATACGTAAAGACGGAAAATTATAAAGAATTATTCCCGGCCTATCTAATTGATATTTTTTTTTTTTAATTGCCCAAATATGAAAAAGGATTAAAATTGTATTCAAGCGTGTCTTGAGGCAATCAGCCAATCATATATGACCATCTTCTCTTCTGAATGGCCGTTTAGAAAATTTAAAATCGTCATCTTTTTTTCGCTTTTTTATATTTATCAGATTGCTCTAATTTGGTCAGTAGTAATAATTTGTTTTTAATGATAATAATTAAATGTTTATAAATAAATTTAACATAATTATGCATTATTTTTTTTAACGGGACCCACTTTTGGCATGGGGTCGGCGGATCTTGTTGAAAATTGGTAGTTTGGCTGCCCTTAGGGTGTAGACAAATAGTTTAGAAGGATTTTTGAAAATTCTCAAAATTGCCTATTTTACAGGGGCTCATAGTTGGGGATTTTTAAAAAAAGTGATTTCGAAAATCAAAAATATCTCAGCTCCTGCTGCACATAGCGCATGTGTGTATTAGACAAAGTTGTAGGAAATTAGACGCCCTACAACTTTGCCATAGTGACCAAGGTCATAGGTCAAAGTTCAGGGTCAACTTTTTAAGCTTGAATTTTTTGATGCGCCACCAAAGTACCTAGTACATAAAAATTTTTGATTCCATTATAGCCAAAAGTTGCTCTAGTTGGTATTCAACAACATATTAAAAATTTGTGAGACTAACTTTTTTCTTTTTGGAGATATTTCAGGTCGAATGGCAAAAAACGTGGTTTTCCGAGCATTTTCCTACACAAACCAACATTTAACCACCCTAACTTTTTTCCTGCTAAAGTTACGCAAAAATGTATAATGACAAAAAATGATTGCCTTGACCTGTTCTTTCAGACCATGTATCGCACATGGTGACCAGATCACAAAAGGTCATTGACACCGGTGACCTGTGACCTTTCCAAAAATTATTGCTGGAAATGTTTCACCTCAATGAAAAGAAACATTGGAGTATCTGAAAGTCAGTTTTGCACTTGCAAGGGCAATACATTAAATTTCATTATAAATATTACATTGTAAGAAATACAATTAAATTGAATTGTAAATAAACCAAAATAAAAATTATTTATAAATAAATTATAATTTAATTTTATTACAAATTACTTATAATTGAATCTCATTATTAATAAATTTTAAATTGAAACACAAATTAATTACAATTTAATTTAATTATAAAATTATAATGTTTCACTTTAGATATCTTGGCCTTTCTCGAAATTTGCAAAAATTTAATTGGCGTTCAGAAAGCAAAAATCCGCAATTTTTTCAATTAACTTTGAATATCAGCATTGATTGAGGCGCTCATCAATGAAATTGAATGAAACACGTTCCACCTCTCATGTATTTTTCTATTCTTAATTTGATAAAAAAAGTGCATTTTTGGTTGTTGCGGGGGCGATTGACGCGCCACCTGTACAGCCAGACAGGGAAGCACGTGCTGGGCCGACAACAAGAAAATGTCAAGTGAGCGCCACACCCCTCGGCCACCACTTTCTTTGTGCGCCCAACTCGCGCGATAACCTTCGGGCCGAGTCTTGCAGAGGCGAAATCGTCGGCCGGCGAGGTCAAAGGTCGATCGGGCCGAGTCAGCGGTGCGTCCGAAGGTCGCCGTCGCTCGGGACACGCACGGGGCCCGCGATTCTCGTGACATCACATCCGGCCAAGGTCACTGTGTGTGTTTGTCTGCAAATGGAGGAGTCGTTGTGACTCGGAAAGCGAAAAAGCCGGACACACTCGCGATGGCCTCGATCCGGACACTCGTGGTCGCCCTCGTGCTGCTCGCCTCGCAGACCCGCCACTTGGTCCTCGGTACGTGTCCATCAATTTTGGGGCCGCTTTTTGGGTGGCCCGGCCGGACGGACGGACACGCCTTCCGTCCCGCCGCGTCCGAAATAGAACCAAAGTAAACAACAATGGTGCTATTTCGGGCTTGGTTTTTTTTGTATTATTGTTGTTTTGATTGATGTTTTGATTGTTGTTTTTGTTCCAAGGCATCAATTGCTTCTGCGACATTTGCGAGGACAAAACGTGCGTCTCGGACGGATACTGCTACACCACGACCAGGCTGGACAAGGCCACGGGCAAGATCGAACATGACTTCAGGTAATTTATGCAAATCCTAATTATATTTAATTATTTCCACATTAGGAACAAATTACGTTTTAAGAAAGCCAAATTTTTCTCCTAAATTTAATTGGAATTTTGAATTAAAACAAAAAATTAGATTATTTAGAGGAAATTCTAATTAAATCCTTTTTAATTTTAAATTTTCCATCCAATTTATTTATTAACGAGTGACCAATTATTTGCCGTCAAGAGAAATTGCCAATTTGTTGCTCCAGAACGAGTTTTTTTTTGTCAACTGAAGAAATGCTCTCAATTTCAGTCGACGTCTCTCGAGAAAGCAGCACTATATATATTTTTTTGGCGGGTTTCGAACTGAAAATGTTAATTTGCAGAGCCTGCCCCCTCCCCTGCCCCCTACTTTTCGTCCCGGCCACTTTTTCTCTCTAGACTTGGTCATGTTTGTGATGGAACACACACATTGTGCTCACGTTTCGCCTGTCGTCGTCGTCTTTTGCCTGTTCTGTTCTCGTCGGCCATACTTGTTATTTATTTTTCTCAGTCGCCGCCTGAAGCAGACCCAGGCCGAGTCTGCAAGTAAAAAACTTATTCTAACCTGAATGAGAATAATAATCAGTCTTAATGAAGGTGCAGGGTTTTATCTTGGTGGCTGGATCAAGTTTATCGTTTCGACATTACTTAATTTAGACAAGTTACTAATCTCATTAGCCGCGCGAGCTCTAATTGCACAACATTTTTTTTTTAACATTTATTAGACTTCAGATTCTGAAATTTCTCTGCAAGGCGATTCCAATGATATGTCACAAGGCTACTTTTCGATTAAGTTTGCTCACCTGCCTGCGGCGGCCATCTTGGAAAGATGGCGCTCAGGTCGGATGTAGAATTCCTCACATCTCCATCAATTTCGGCCCCCACCCAATGTTCCAGCATATCGTTGGAATTGTCTCGACACGACTTGTCAGAATATGAACTCAGAATTAAAAAAATTTCAAATTTTTCTTTTCAATATTATTTATTTCTACAATTTGATTGAAATTCCTCAAAGTTCTTCCCAAGACAATTCACATGATATGTTAGAAGGCTACTTTTCAAACAAGTTTGCCCTCTGTCCTGATCGGCGGCCATCTTGGAAAGATGTCGCTCAGGTCGGATGTAGAATTCCTCACATCCCCATCAATTTTGGTCCCCACCACACTTTCCAGCATATCGTTGAAATCGTCTTAACAAGACCTATCAGAATATGAATCCAATTTAATTTTTTTTATTATAATATAATTTTTATTTTTATTTGACAAATGAGCAATCTCGGCTGAGTTGTTTAATATTTTTTTTATGTATGGCTGGAAATTAACTGGGTGAGCGTCTTGATTGTCTCTCTTACTCTCTCTGTGGTTCAAGGTGTTTAAACCAGACAAATATTTTCCCTCCGCGCCTCGCGATCCAGTGCGTGACGGCACCGACGGACACTTACTCGATGTTTTGCTGCAACGACGCGCCCCTCTGCAACGAGCACGCGTGGAAGCCCCTGGCGGCGTCCCCCTCAGGTAGGAAGGACGCGCTCCCAAAAAACAATCGGATCAAATTCCGGAAGAAAAGTTTGCAGTTGGACTTTTTCGACAGTCACTGTCACTAACCCCGCGCGTTCAGTGCAGTGTGAGCTTGTAAAATAATTCCAAAAACACGTTATTTACCAGTATGCCGCTAACTTTGGACTCATCCACGTGTGGTATCTCTCTGGGGCTGATCGTCGCAACCCTCGTGACCTTGTCCGTACGAATAACATTACAAGGTCAACCGCAAAGGCGATCAGCCCCTGTGAATTAATCATATATAATTATCTGTGCTAACGATTCACTAATTCTGACTAACGCACCCCCACAGATCCGATCCACGGCTCTCTCTTCTCCTCCATCACACTCATACCACCCAAGTTCTCGCCCCCCACCCACCCCTCACATATATAATTCAGCCAGTTCCGGGCCGGCTAATCTCATCTCTCATCATATTTTGCATGCATACATTTGACGACCGCGAGTTTTTTTTATTTTTTTATTGACAATCGTTGTTGCTAATTGGAGTGCGTGTTCTCTTGTGTGTTGTGTAACAGGTGTTTGGATCCAGCTCTAAACCACCCATCCCAAAGCCCCATCTTCTGCCAAAGCAACGTCCAACTTAATGACTCCTTTGCCATAAAATGTTGTAATTCAGGAGATAATTGTAACAAAGACCAAAGGCCCCTCCTGCATACCAGGAAGCAGAAAGGTAGGCGCGAGTCGATTTCTTTTTCCTTGTCTCGAGTACAAAAAATTGCACCCTGCATGCCTCTTTTTTATTCTTCAGTGTGGCTCGACAGGTTCAAGGCTCCTGATTTCTCCAATTTTTTTACTGCACTCGTTTTTATTTATTATGATTTTGCGCCGCTTTTTGATTAACCGCCGCTGCATATTAACTAGTTTCCTTTTTCTCCTCTTATTTTTTCCGTAGGTGTTTTAATAAAAACAAGCTATTTCCTCCTGAAAACCCCCTGTGGTGTAGGCAGACTCCCTTACTAAGCACTGACGAAATTGCACCCTTTGCCGTGGCCTGCTGCAATGAGTTTGACTTTTGCAATCAGGCTCTGCGGCCGCAACTCCCGAGCATGCGCCCGCAAGGTGAGCAAGACTTACAACTGCGCTTTAATTAATCCAATTCACTCACAACAAGGGACTCTTTTTTTGTATTATTATTATTATTATTATCCATCAATATACTACTTTGCGCTTGGGTTTTGTGCGCGACCTCCTTCAGGAAAACATGCTCATTCCAAAAAAACTTTAGCAAGTTCTCATTATTTCGTCCTTTCTGTTTGTCAATGTCATGTACTGAAATGAAATTTTAAAAGGGTTTTCAAAAATAATGAAATAATAGATTTACAAATTCTTCGGCGAAAATTCCTGGCAAAGGTTGATCCTTTACACATTCTAGGGATTTTCAAAAGTATTACGTTTTACGAGACATTACAAATTTGGTTTATTTACATTTTTCAAATGACTGTTTCAAACGCCGATCCTATTATAGCAATATTTCAAGTACCAAAATGTTCCGCTCGGTGTGCTCTTTCCGATTATGTGTCACACTTGGAGAATGTTATGTGTTAAGGTCAAAGGTCACCAGGGTCAATGACCTTTTGAGACCCGGTCACCATGCGTGATACATGGTTTTAAATATCAAGTCAAGGGAATCACTTTTTGTCATTATACGTTTTGTCCTAACTCTTACAGGAAGAAAGTTACAGAGGCTCGAAGCTAATTTTTTATCCTCCAGCCAGGGTTTGGAAAAAAAACGACGTTTTTGTCTTTCTTAATTTTTAAATAAAAAAAAAGTGTGATATACACTAAATATCGGGGTGACACTATAATACTTTTGAAAACTTCTTGGTTTAGTCTTTGAGCTCGTATAATATGGTTAGGATCGCACTTTTAAGTTGTTAACCTTTCAGGAATTTTTGCGTTATCATGTAAAAAAAGTCAAATTTTTGACGGAAATAATTTATTAAGAATATTTGTAAACGACTTGAAGAAAATATAAATTTTTTTGGGAATCAAGGAAAAAAAAGATGGGTAAATTTTGTTTATTCCTTAATTTTAAATTGCGTTGATTTTTCCACTTTCAAAATAAAAAAAATTATCAATGGTGCTTAAATCTCTCTGTGACGTCAACTTTTCCAAAAAGTTTTTTAAGTATTCCCAGTCTTGCTGTTTTCCGATGCTAAAAATTCTGATAGTTTTTGCTACTTGTGCCATTAACAACTTCCCCGCTAACAAGTCCTGACACTCATAACTTGGTTTTAGTTGCTAGGAAGGAAGCAGAGGTCGCCATGTGATAAATTTATTTTGGACAAGGTAACGGTTGCATGTGTGAGTTTGCATGGATGTCGGTATTTTTTTTTATTTCGCTTTTCGTGTTGCCGCTTTTCCTAGCCGTAGAAAACGAAATTTTTGACGAATTCGCTTGTAACTTTCGGTGGTTTCGGCAGAGGGGCCGCCCGAGGCGCAGATCGGCTACGACAGCACCTGGCTCATCATCATCGGCATCATCGTGCTGCTGGTGCTGATCGTGCTGATGCTGCTCATCTACTGCGGCATGACCCAGAACCGCAAGTGGAAGAACAGGCGGCCCGGCGCCTTCTTCAAGTCCAACGACTCGATGGACCCGCAGGACCAGCAGCCCATCCTCGGCGGCATCAATTCCCTCAGGGACATGATCGACATGACCACCAGCGGCTCCGGCTCAGGTTCGACCTTTCGTTTATTAAAAAAAGGAAGGGAATTAAATTTATTTCATCCTTGAATATTGAAGAAGGCCAAATTTCAAGACCGATATTGAAATTGCAACAAAATAATTCAAACCCGTGGAAAGTTTAAATTATAAATCGCGTTTTCCCGCTAAGAGAATTTGAATCTTGGTGGAAAGATTTTGAAAATTGTCTGTTTTTATACAATTGTATTTATTGTGCAATCAGCAAGAATCTCCTTAGAGGTTCCAATTCTCTTGGCGGGAAAAGGTTAACTACTGATTTGAAGCTTTCCCGATTTTGAGGTTCTGAATCGAATTTTATGTTTTTCTGGAATAAAATAATTTACTGAAGTTGCGCTTTCTCGGACGCAGGTCTTCCATTGCTGGTGCAGAGAAGCATCGCCCGGCAGATCCAGCTTGTCGAGATCATCGGCAAGGGCAGATTCGGCGAAGTTTGGCGCGGCCGTTGGCGCGGAGAAAACGTCGCGGTCAAGATTTTCTCCTCCAGAGAGGAGCGCTCTTGGTTCAGAGAGGCCGAAATCTACCAGACCGTCATGCTCAGACATGACAACATTCTCGGATTCATCGCTGCTGACAACAAAGGTCAGCTTTCGAAACAATCAATATAATTAAAGCAAATGAGGACATAACGGTTTCTTTTTGTCTAAATATTCATTTGATATTGATTTTTTTACCAGAAAATATTTATATTAGTCTGAAATTTTCAGCATTGAGACATATTTTCTGAAAGTTCCCAACGTTTCACTCTGCTGCTACCCTTTCTAGTTCAATTCTAGTTTGATTTTTTTTAGTTAACTTAAAAAAAGGACAATTTTTTGTGTATTTGTTGTTGTTTTTTTAGCTCTAGATCCTCTGGAAAACATTTTATAGAAAAATGTTTCAAACAAAATTTGCAGACAATTTTATTTTGCACACTTTATGTATTTAACATTTTCTTCCAAGTCCAAAGCGACAAAAGTTATAAAAGCGGAAAAGTTAAAAAATGAGGTTTCCCGCTCAATATTATAAGCTTGTGTGGGAAAATCCAACATTTCTGCAATTCTAACTTTTTTGCTTTGGATTTAGAAGCAAATTTCAAATACATGAAGTGTGTAAAAGTTAATTTTCTAAAAGTTTTGTCTGAAACATTTTTCTCAAAAATGATTTCCAAAAAAGCTAGAGCAAAAAACCAGTGAAAACTCACGAAAAATGGACCTTTTTTTAAATCAATAGAAATTTATTTTTTGCGCTAAAAAAACGTCTGATTTAAGAAAACTTGGCTGGAATTTTAAAGCCTATTAAACTTCCTATCAATTGGCGTTGGTTTCATGTCTGAAAAATAGAAAAATTACTACAAAAATAATAAAATACGTCACCTTGCAATGGTTCTTTTTTTACCTCGGCAGAAATGTCAGAAAATGTGTCTCAATTCTCAATAGATAATGAAAATTTCAGATTGGCTTGAATTTTTTCCGGGCAAAATACTGTTGATTGCCAGAATATTTATATTTTCTCTAATTTTGTCAAATCAATCCTCGGATCAGATAACGGCACCTGGACGCAACTGTGGCTGGTCACCGACTTCCACGAGAATGGCTCTCTTTTCGACTACCTGAGCACGCGCACCGTCGACGTGCCCGGCATGATCCGGATGTCCCTTTCGATTGCCACAGGCTTGGCCCACCTTCACATGGAAATCGTGGGAACTCAGGGTAAAAAGCTTCAATTATTCTCGAATGAATAATTTAATAAATGTTCCTCTCCAGGCAAACCTGCGATCGCCCACAGAGATTTGAAATCGAAAAACATCCTAGTCAAGCTGAACGGCACGTGCGCCATCGGAGACCTCGGGCTGGCGGTTCGTTACGACGTCGCCGAAGACAAGGTGGACTTGGCCTCGAACAGCAGAGTCGGCACCAAGCGCTACATGGCCCCAGAGGTGATAACAGCCGAAGCAAACGTTGTTCTTCTTTCACTCAACAAATTGCAGGTTCTGGACGAGTCGATATGCGAAAACCACTTTGATTCCTTCAAGAGGGCCGACGTCTACGCCCTCGGTCTCATATTTTGGGAGATTGCTCGGAGGTGCAATGTTGGAGGTGACTTTGAATTTTCCAGTTTTGAAAAATTTTAAATTGACCATTTGCAGGTATTTACGACGAGTACCAACTGCCATTCTACGACATGGTGCCATCCGATCCGACCATCGAGGAGATGCGGAAAACCGTTTGCGACGGTCGCCACCGGCCATCGACCCCCAACCGATGGCAGTCCATAGATGTGAGCATTTTCATTATTAAAGAGGATTGATCTACCTCAGGGTAGCAAAATCTTACAAATAAAAAGTAATAGTTTAGGCTAAAGGGATCATTTGGCAACTGAAAAATTGAGGGTCGGCAAGTAAACTTTTGACTCTGTCATGTAAAATTTTCACAAAAAACGTTGAAAATAGGGGGTCATCTCATCAGTTTTTGAGAAAAGTCAAATTAACGGTTGAAAAACGTTTTTTTATTACACTTGTTTCCGATTAATGAGGCTAATTTTTTAGATGTTTGATTTAATTGGTTTCTGCAAACAAATATCTAGATAGCTCATATTATGGTTCTTTAATTACCAAAGTAATGGAAATATTCAAATTTGTCAAATTCCAATATGGCCGCTAGAGATACAGGGTTTACTGAAACAGCTGCCAAATTTAATTGGGTAAAGATTTTTTAATTTTCTTGGTGCGAGGTTAAAGGTAATGAACCAAGGTATATTTTCTTAAAGGGCATCAAGTTTCTAGGTCAAAGGTCATTGACCCTGGCAAAATGTTGAAACATAAAGTTTTGTGTCCCTTGAAAATTTTCAACCTGACAAAAAATCTGAGATAGCCAAAAGATGCGGCTTGTAATTTTGCATCTAAATACAATTTTTTTTCTTTTGAAATTATTATTGCATTCGGAGTACTGAAAATTGTCTTTGGATGAGTCAGAAATGTTTAAAATTAGCCATTTTTTTCATCAGATTTGAACGCAGCTAATTAGGTTAAAAGTCAAAATTGAAGAATTTGATATAAATTCGGCCAGAGATTTACTATTGACCTCGTTTTGCAGGCTCTGAACACCATGTCGAAGGTGATGAAGGAGTGCTGGTACCACAACGCAGCGGCCCGTCTGACGGCGCTCAGGATCAAGAAGACGTTGGCCAACCTGGGCGCCAGCGAAGACATCAAGCCTCCACAGTGATTCTCAATTTACTTCCCACGCAGCCTATCAAGAAGAAGCCTCAAAGGCCCCCCGGATTTTCACTCATTAACTTTTGTGTTGTTTAAATTCTAAGTGTAGTTCGTAAGCAGGGTTACTTTTGTCCTCCCTCGATAGGCACAGAGAGAAATCAAAGCTCAATATTTTTAGGTGGTGAATTTTTGATCAAACGACGTCATGAAATGGTCGAGTGCCTCTCGTTGAATTTGGCGATGCTAAAAAAAAATTTGAAGCACGATCTCTCTAAGAACATTTGTGTGTAAATTAATCTTAATGTGCGAACGTCAAGTTTACTATTCAATATTATGTAATCAATCATTTACGCAAGGGTTATTTTGCTAGGCTGGACACACCAAATCACGGGTTGTGCGTAGTTGATCCTAAAAATAGGCTAAATTTGATATTTGTGACCGGAAGAAATTTACATATGATATATGAATCAAAACCTGGCAGTTTTGCATCTGTTGTAGAAAAGAATTCAATTATTATTCGCCCAACTTATATAAAATATTGACCCGTTTGCAGGTCTTTGCATTTACTAAAATAGTTAAATTTACCACGACAGCTTTCTATAGCAAATGAAGATGAAAATATTATCACTCGTGGAAAATAAAAAAATTTATAAATAATATTTTTGTCTTCGGACCGGTTTCGAGATTTGCATCCATTGTACATTTCGCAGAGACCTTCTTCCTATATTATTATTATATATTCTGCTGGACATGCAATTCTGTTGTAAATAACTTTTCTACTTTTGAGCTTGGACTTTTGAAGGATGGATGAACGCTTTTCTGGACCTTTACATGTGATAGAAGTTAGTTTGGCTGCTAAAACTAATTATTGCGGAGTCATTAATATGTTATAGACGGAATCATTCGTTGCAAAAAATCAGTTGAAAAGAAAAGAAAATTTGATTGGTAAGACTGCTGGATTAATAATTATAATTAATTAATAAGTTTCTGATATGTGCTAAATCATTTTAGGTTTAAACAATGAAAGTGCTTGTTTTTCTCCTGATTTGATGAGAAAATGTAATCATGTTGTTGTAAATTATCACTTAATAAACATAGCATTTAATAAATAAAATTCGAAAGGATTTAATTATATTGTTAAAATAATTTATTTCCATCTGTTGAGATATACAATAAATTAGATCATTCAGTGAGGAAAACGCAAGAACAAAATCATAAACTTTCTCCTTCAGAAAATAAAGGAAATTTCTTCAGAGATTCAAAAGTACACTTTTTGGTAAAATCTCGTTACATGTAAAGCCACAACTATTGAAAAATTGAAATTTGATAATTATATAAAATTTTGTCAGGTCATGTGGCAAGCTTTGAGGGCAGCATTTGAAGTTCACTGGCACACGATTGGCGTAAAAAATTCCCATATATATAAATACATATTTATAAAATATTTTTCCTTTCGATTAATTGCACTTCTTTCGTTTTGGGAGAATCACAAAATTCGTGGGTCGTTGTATCACAATTTAAACAACTAACAAGGATCATCTCAAAAAAGGAACTCGGAAGACTTTGATACAGAAAAATAAAATCGCAACACAATAATGTTTATAAAAAATTCCATCTCCTGCAGGAATGAGAATGACTTGTTGTAAAATAGAAAAAAGGTCATCCTCAGCACTTGAGGACGTTGTAGGTGGCGCGCAGGTGGGGCAGGTCGGCGTGCGAGTAGACGATCTTGTTGGCCTGGTGGTGCGCCAGGACGCTGGCGAGGGCGGCGAACGCGATGTAGGCGTGCGGGTAGCCGATGGCCTGCACCACCGAGCTCATCACCAGGGAAATCACCGTCTGGCCGAGGTAGTAGCCGACATACAGCACCCCAAAGTCGGCGCCCGAACCGCGCTTCTGGTCCGCCGAAAGGTCAAAGTAGTATGCCTGGGGGGAAAAACAACACATCCATCAGTAAGGAGGGTCAAATTGAGTGAAAAAATTTCTAAAAGAAAAAACCTTTAAAAATTACTAAACTTGGCCAATCTTTGGAACAGAATCAAATCTTGGTCCGCCCAAAACTAGAATAGGCAAAGTTGACCAAGCACGAACAGAGATTAATTCTGCTTTGTAGCTCTCAGGGCGGTGTTAAATTATAATTTTTAATAATTTCTGTCTCAGTTTAAATTTATAGTTCTGAAATTATCTGCATTAGAACACTAGAACTTCATCCTTCTTGGTTTAAATTAACCTAAAGTTGAGGAAAGCTCTGGTTTTTGGCTTAAGCCTACCGATTTTCAACCGGTTTTTACAGAATAAAATACAGCCGTTTTGTTCCTGACCTTATTTTTTAAAGAATCTGCGATAGTTTCAATCTATTTTTTTTTAAAACATTACATCCTTTGAAAATTCCAAAGCGCTGCTTTTCATAATTGCATGAAAACCAAAATAGCACCAAAAATTACCCGTCTTGTTTTATCCAAAATAATTCAGGTTTTGGTCGTTGGTGGCGCTGCGAACGGCGTTTGCACCGCCACTGACGACCAAAAATGCAACTCTTTTGTATAAATCGGCTGATTCACGCATTTTCGCATTTTCAAATGAAAAATTTACTAAAAATGAACCAATTTACTGAATAGAGATAAAATTAGACGAAAACCGGACCTGCTGGTCGGCGTGGTACTCGGTGACGAGAGCGCTGGGGATGCTGGTCATGACTGCGAAGCCGATGCCGGAGAAGGCGGCGCAGACGTTGAGGAGCCAAATGTTGCGGACGACGAGCGTGGCCATCATGCAGGCGGCGAAGCTGGCGAGGCCGAAGCGGTACGTGCTCTTGAGGCCGTACGCCTGCACCAGCTGGTTCTGCAGGAGGAGGACGTAGCCGCACGAGGACATGCTGTGCAGCAGCAGCCCCCACGAGCCCATGCGCACGCCCTCGTTGTACAGATCCTCCTCGAGCGAGTCCGGCGCCGCGTTCGGGTGTCCCGCGTACACCACCTGACCCACGTAGTGCGCGTAGAAGAGGGCGTGGCTCGTGCACGCGGCCCACGATATCGTGTCCGCCACGAACAGCCGCCACAACGCCACGGGGGACCCCCACACCTCCCGGCAAACGCTCACCGGAAGCAGCAAAATCTAAAAAAGAGAGAAAAAGTTGCATAATTTGAAGCAATCTAAACAGAAAAAAAAGGAAAAATTGGAAACTTTAGAGTGGGATTCCTGTTTGGAACCAAAATTTAATTACTAATCTCAACACCATAGGTCAGTTGACAAAGGGCTTTAAAAAAATCAGGTGAAATTTGATGGATTTTGGCTTGGAGCAAACTTGGAAGGCTCAATGCAGAGAGATTTCAAAACATGTTGAGAAATTTCTAAACATCGGCTCAATGTAGAATTAAATTCAAATTGGACTTGTTCACCAGGACTCGCCAAAGAGTGACCTTGACCTTTCATCTGTCAGCAGCAAAGTGTTTTTGGAATAAAAGGTTGCTTTATAGAAACTTTTGTGAACATTTTCTCCCAAAAATCTAGAGCTTAAAGGAATTCATAAATTTTTAAGTGATTTTTTCTTCAAATTTTGTTGATACTATAAGCAAAAAGAATGATAATTTTAATGATGCAGAATTATTTAAATTAGGTTTAATAATTTCTTTTTACCCTTTGGTAGATGAAGAGGAAGGTGGCGGCGAGTTTGGTGGTGACGACGTGGGGGAGGCTCTTGTACTTGCAGGGGAAGTCGATTTTGGCCCAGGAGAGGTGTCTGGGTCGGCGGGGGTGCGCCCTGGCCGAGGGGAGGGTGGAGACGGCGAGCATGGTGGTGGCGCAGCACAGCAGGAAGAAGCCGAGCGCGGCGCCACACGCCGACTCCTCCTGGCGGCCCCACGGCCAGTGCACGGCCGTCAGCAGGTAGCCCACGCACGCGCCCAGGCTCAGCACCCCCGAGTAGATCGAGAAGCCGCGCTCGGAGCAGTCGCTGCCCTTCAGCAGGTCGCACAGCAGCGACTCGCACGGGTTCAGCGCCACCTGCGACGAGTAGTCCAAAACCACCCCGCCCACCGCCAACAACACGCACCTGCAAAAATCCAAAATCAAATTTAATTTACAAAAACAAAAATATATATAAAAAACTTCCGAGAGACTCAAAAATATATTTTTATGAAAATTAAAATAAATCTCCAAAACGATCCAGATTTTGGTCGTTCGTGGCGCTGCGAACGCTCATCAGCGCCACCAACGGCCAAAAATGCAACTTTTTTGGAAAAATCTGGCAGTTTGCATCATAAAATCACGTTTTGACCAAAGTTAATCACAATTATGCGAATTTCCTTGATAAAGAGAAGTAAAATTATGAAGAAGACGGACCTGCTCGTCAATTTTAATTTACAAATTGTATTGAAAGCCAAAATAATGAAAATATTAAAACAAATAACTTTTGGGCTGAACAACAAATATGGAAAATCTGACAATTTTCAATTAAAAAGTTTTGCTGAAAGAAAATTGAAACCAGAAATTTAACTTAAATTATTAGTCCTGATAATTAATTTGATCAAACAAATTTAACAAAATCGTCAACCCCTTGAAATGAAAAGAACTTTTATTCTCCTATTTCCTTTTTCTTTTTAGTTAAAATATTTTGTTTATCTTGGAACGAAGCGTACCCTATCGTGAGTCCTTCCGTCGTGAGAGCGAGGCGGTGTCCGAAAATGACCCCGAGCAGAGATAGCGACAAAATGAACGCGAGCACGAGCATGAAGTAGATTCGTTGGCCGAACTTTTCGTACCAATAGTCGGACAGCTGTCCCACGGCCGACACGGTGAACATGCCCATCAGCGGACCTGATTCAAATTTCATTAGAATAAAAATAAAACATGCTTTTTTCGGACTCGGACCGACTCCGAGGATGATGCCCATGGAGGACTCGGCGAAGCCGGCCTTGAGCAGGATCGGCGGCAGGTAGGTGAAGGCCACGGTGGCGGCGACCTCGAGGCCGCACACCATCGCGTTGATCAGCACCAGGCGCACCGTCGTGAACTCCATCGTCCTTCGAAGCACAAATAATTATATTCGATTCAAGATTCAGATTTGGCGATTCCTCACCTTTCGAACGCTCGGAAAATCACTTCATTCCGCCGATTAATTTGGAAAACTCTCTTTTATAGCTGCTTCTAATTGCAAGTCGAACCTGTTGTTAACTGCAGCGTGGTTTGTGTTAAAACAAAGCGTTCAAAGCGGTTCCTCACTCGAGTTCTATCCTCCTGCTGCAGACAAGACAAAAAAAATAACAACGAGGCACAGCTGGCTTGCCTTGCCTTGTAAACAGGATGAGCCAAAACTAGAGTTTTCACTTATTTTCACATTTCATTTCAATAAATTTATAATTTATTAAACTAGTATTGGAATTAATTGATTTTTAAGTAAATATTTTAAGTAAATTTAGTATGAAATCATTTTTTCAGTATAAATAAAAGATCCTTTTGCGAGCTTTCTTGTTGGCAAACTTCTGAAGTCTGTCCCGCAGATGTCGCGCGCGTCGCCGCCGTATGAGAAAACTTTGCAGGAGGAGGGGACCAGGAGGGGACCGCGGCAAAAGCAAGGATCTTTTAGTTCGAATATTAAATTTTAAATTTATAATTATTAATTATAATAAGAAATCACTGGAATATTCACGCTAAAAAAGGACACATGTTGTAATATTTCTGAATAGGTCTTATTCAATGTTGTTTGACAAAGTTTTGTGATATTCTTGAAAGAAAATATTTGAATGAAATGAATTATATTAAACGCTGTTGAGGGCAAAGGCGAGAATTGGCAAGAGATGGCGCAACCTGGCTCACTCGCAACTTTTATTTCAGATTCCCCCTTCGGGTCCCGCGGAGGCCACTTACGTCATAGGTCAATGGACTCAGTACAGACTTTCGCTGCTGTCTGGAAGTAGTTTTTGTTGAATCTTGGATGAGAACAAAGGCGGAGCCCCCCTATGCGCACCGTGTTTAGCTCGAACAACGATATCAAACGGAAACCCGGTTCTTGACTCCTCCCTTTTTACACTCAGTATTTTACCAAACTTATTCCTAAACACGTGTGAGTGGGACTTTTTTATCTTCAACTAAGCTGGCTTGTGTGGACGGACGACGGCCAGTTTTCTGTTTCGTGTTTCGCGCACAAATTTCAGTGAGTTTTCCAATTTTTATACTTTGTTTTTGGAGCCGAAGGATTCAAGGATTATTTTAGCTTTAATAGTCCCTTTTAATTAATGTTGGGCGTTTTATAACACAATATAGCAAAAAAATTCCTGTTTTCGTTTTTCCAATTTTTATTTTTTGAATCGTTCACTTGAAATAAAGAAAAGCAACAAGCGACCGTAATTTAATCAATCAAGATACTGCTCTCCGATATATTTTTTGTTTTGTTTTTCTTTAGATTAGCTTTAGACACCCGTTGTACACCTAAAAAATACTCTTTCTATCTTTTGTTTTTCTTAAAGAATTCTTTAAAATGGAAATTAGGCGCAATGTTTACATACATTATGAGAATTTAAGAAAGCGTCCGTCGCAAGAACCGAATTAATTTTAAGTTGAATATTTTTAGTGTTACTTCAAAATTAATAATTACAAGAATAATTTTCGCATCACCAATAAAAAGAAAGAGCAGGCCAGCTGGCGAAGCGAGCGCCAAAAAACGCGTACTGCGCAGTTTTTACTTGAGGAAGGTCCTGCGACTCCAGCCGCTTGGCCCAGCCACGGCTTCCGCTTCACTGCTGGCTTATCGGTGCCGGCCTTTACCTAACAAAATTTAACTTCAATATGATTTTAAAGCGTGTATTTTTTTTTTAATTTTAAGTTGTTCCGATATCAATTAATTGCGCCTGCAAATCATATATATTATGCAATATATTTAATAAAAATAAATCGAATCCAATATTAAAAATAAAAAATATAATTACAAACTTTTATTAATCTTCATTAAAAGTCTGTTTTGAAAATAATTTATTTAAAATATTCAATAGACACATAATTTGAGATGTTTTAGAGTATAATTTCTTTTGGAACATTTTCATGTTCATATTACTTTTTAAAATCTTAATTTTATTTATTAAATCGTAATTCATTTTGCAATATTATTCATTAAGAAATTAATTTGAAAATTATGTATATTAAAAACTTTCTATGATCATCTCCTCGAGTGTTAACTTCTTCAAACATATATTCGTAATTAACATAAAAAATTGGGATGATTTAATAAGATTTGATTATTTTAGTCAGTTGAATTCGAAAGCACAACATCTACCTTAAAGCAAGTCTTTTAAAATAAAAATCGAACTTATATATCAATAACATACATGGGTGCGCTCAACAATTTTGCGCTCGCGCTCGCGCTCGCGATCACTGGCAACAGTGCGCTCGCGCTCTGCGCTCGCGCTCAATTTTTTAAAAAGTCTTGCGCTCACGCTTTGCGCTCAAAAATATTTTTACCCGAAGAAAAAGTGCGACTTTTTAGACAATTTTTTAATATAAAAAAAATCCATCGGCAATTGAAAATGATAAAATTGAAGTTAAATTACCAAAATTGGGATCAGTTTTGAAGTTTTTGGTATAAAAACACTGTTTTTCGTTACAATTTATGATCAAATTTGGGAGTTTTTACTTTTGGTTTGAGCGCAAAATGAGCGCAATTGAGCGCTGCGCTCAGCGACCAATGCGCTCGCGCTCTGCGCTCGCGCTCACGATTTTGAAAATCGTGCGATCGCGCTCCGCGCTCGCGCTCATGAGCGCAGAGCGCGAGCGCAGATCGCAGAGCGCAAAGTGCGCTCTGCCCATGTATGATCAATAATGATTTGGAAACATCATTAGCTTGATGAAGGACAAAAAAACAATGTTCTTCCTATCATAAAATGCGCATTTGATTTACGAGGAATCTTGTATTTTTCCAGGTTTCCACACTGACCGGCATGTAAAGTTCCAAAGATGGTTGTTTCAATTACGTTGGACGCGATTATCGAGACTGGTGAGTTTGATATATTTGATGTGTAATAATATTTCTATAGAATGTTGCGAAACTATTCGGTAACGGAGAATTTTTTTATTAAAGAGCAAAAATTTATTGTTTTTGTGAAGTACAGAAAATCTACCATAGTTTTGGTCGGGGGTAATGAATGAGCTGTTGAAATTTAATAGGGGAAGTTTGCTGCCTTTCGCAGCCTGAAAAACTAAAAAACTTTGCAGCTTTTTCATTACCAAAAGTTACATTTTTCTCCCCCATTTAATATAAAAATCTTATTTTTAATTTCTCATGTCCCATTGTGAAAAATAACAGAAAAATATATTTTTATCGATTGAACTGTGTTTATTTAAAGCGGAAAGTGGAAGGCTATTCTCCTATTGAGCAACTTTTAAGCACGTGAATTTGCTTCATTTTTACATACGCATATTATATTTCAACCTCAACTTTGATTTTTTTTTAGAGCATTCGTATTATTGATTTTATAGGATGCCAATTATTTGTAAAGATACAATCATGCGCAGTTTTTCACAATTAATAGTCAATTAAACTTATTTCAAAACCCCGGCGTCAGAATCACTGTATTTTTGGTCGCCGCGGTGAGTCATTTGACCTGAAGTTTAGAAAAAAACTCCTCATTTTTTTGTTGGTTTTCTGTGCACCGATTGTGAGAAAGACAGATTTCATCAAAATAAAAAAAAAAATAAATAAAAATTATAATTGGTGGATGAAACATTTGAAAAAGTTATCAATCCCGTGCTTACTTTCAGGACCGACACAAGGATATCCTGAAAAACCGGCAAAATTGGGATGTTTTGAAAATGGAGCAAATGAAGTTGCTGCGGGAAAGTATATGGCCTCAATTTATTCATGCCTCCTATTTAAATTTTTAAAATGCAGCGTTTTCGTTCTGGTCGTGCATTATGACTTCAAGGATGGTCAAGATGATTGGCCAAGACCAGGAAACGAGAAGGACGTTGAAAATTTAAGGAAAACTTTTGCTGAAAACAGAAATTGCGCATTCCGCGAATGTTCGCCGAAAAGGGAGGATCTTCTCGCTCTGCTTCAAGACGAACAAAAACTGAGAAGATTCATCGGCACCTCTGAAGGTAAATTTTGATTTTCTTAATATTATTATAGCAAAACTTTTCAGTTTTAGAACCAGATGTTTTCTTTTTGATCGTTTTGTCGCACGGAGCAGCGGACGGAGTGATTTTCACAGACTTTCTTCGCAGCTCTGATCCGAACGATTACGAAAATTTCACGACAAATGAACTTTTCAAGACGATTGAAATCGTTTTTCCAAAATGCTTGAAAAGTGTTTTCCTTGGGGTAAATATTGCTGTTTATTAAAATATATTTTAATAAATTTTGGGTGCTAATGCAGCCGTGCAGGGGCCAACTAGAGGACCGTGTCTATTGGCCTGACCAAGCCTCAAAACCAGATCCGAAAAATGATCTGACTAAAAACCAAAACTCGAGCAGAGTTTCTTTCGAACCAAAGATGCGCAACCTTCTCATATTATATTCAACTGTTGAGAGTAAAATTAAAATAAATAATAAATTCGATTATTATTCTTCGACTTTTTTGTAGCAACAAAGGCGCGCAGGGGTGAAACAGGAACTTGGCTCGTCAAATTTCTGTGCGCGGAGTTGAACGAGATGAGGCAGAAAACAAATTTAACAAAATTTTTGACCGGAATCCAGAACCGAATTCATCTTGAGTCGACGACGTTTCGGAACGACGGACAGACGCCCGAATTCAAAATGTTCCCTTGTGACAGGAAATTCATTTTCCAACCTCCTGAATCGTAAATTAAGAATTTATTTCATTTAACTTCTTATTAAAAATTAAATTGTGTTCAGAAAAAAGACCGAGGCTGGTCCGTCAACCAGTGGAACTGACGCGAAAGGGAAAGTTGGAACTCCAGTGAAGGAGAAACCAAGGTCGATTGACTTCGATTGGTGGAATCCAAAATCAAAAAAGGTCCTCAGAGGAAGACGGGCAGTGATTTTTCATTACGGGGAAGAAAATGAATTAATTAGAAACCTGGATAATGCTCTGACTTATAATCTTGGTTTTGAAACTATTAATGCAAAAATCGACAAAAATGGACTCAATTATTACTTCAGTCAATCAGGTCCTTAAAAAGAATTGAAAATAAATTTTATTACATTTTAAACTCTTTAATTTTTTTTAGAAAAATCTTGGAGTGATTTCGGATGTTTCGCTGCATTCTTTTTTGCCGAGATTGCAGAGCAAGAGGATGGGCAAGTTTGCATCCGTCTGAATGAAAACGAGAAAGTTCCGATCGGCAAATTGATTCACAGATTGCTGGGGCCAAAAAATGGAGACTGGATTGGGAAACCAAAACTATTCTTTCTCGTTGATACCAAATTCGTGGCTACAGATAGCGCAGGAGTGGTAATTATTTTCTTAAATGTAACTCACGCCTGTTTTTCATCAATATGCAAAGTTAAAACAAGTATAAAGTATTGACAAATATGCGACATCTAATAAAAAAAACTTCTCAAATCGAAATCAGAATCAATTCTAAATATAGGGGAAAATGGTTTTCTGATTGAAAATTGTATAAGAAGCTTGCTTTCGTTCATTTTGTGTCAGCTCTGCCGCATATTTAGGCAAACAAGTTGATATAAAAAATTGATTATGTAAAAGTTTGTCCTTTCATTGATATACAGCAAGGGATTAAATCGTTTAATTTTAAGCCCTATAAAGTATTGTTTAAAAATGTCTCACAAATTTTTTTTAAATATATAGGCAGTTTTTGTTAGCATTTCTAGAATTAAAAATTTCTCAAGATTTCACAAAAATATTATTTTCTAAATCATTTCATCTTTTTGAAACAACACAAGCAAAAATAAAATATCTAAATTTTAATGTACATTTTTTTATTTTTAAATTGCCACTTCAATAAAAAATAAAAGCCAATGGCAGGTCACATAACACCCTTACAGAGAGACGCAATTATATCCTAAAAATGCGCTTGCCATAGTTATGGTTTAAAATTTTTAATTTTTGAATAGCAGCGTCTTATATTATAAAATTGATGGTGAGAAAATACAGCCGCGGCCCGTTAAATCAATTCCTTCCGAGCAGGTCAAAGACATTGGAAATCAACATAACGTAGCAAAAATACAGTAACAAGTTTTAAAAAGTCAAATTCTAATCAAATGTGGCCAAAATATCAAATCTTTTAAAAACAAAAATCTTCATACCCGTATCAATGAAGTGTTCTTTTTAACAAAATCAGTACCTAATTTTCCATTGTATTTTTCATCCACTGTATTTACTCTTATAATTAATGTAATTATTCATTTTCGTTCTAGGCAAAACCATCAAATTTAGATGAATTTCTCCGAGCGACAAACCACTGCGGATGGCTGGTTTTTACTCTTCAAAATGCAAGTGCGTGTTTGACAAATTCTTATTATTTTTCAACCATTATCACTTTCCAATTTTTCCAGATTTACTACAAAACTTCATAGAGGTTTTTGAAAAGCAGGAAATAAAAAACACGATAAGTCTTCAAGAAAGTCTAGCCAATTTACTTTCAGAACATAAAAGGGAAGAAGTAAGAGCATCAGATGCGATGATGGTTTCAACTCTGCCACACCAGTTGTTTTTCCCGATTTTGGAGAGAAATTTTGTTGAGCCAAAATTCCGCGTGGAAGGAAAGGGGTTTAAATCAGGGAAAGAAGTGGAATGGGAAGAATTATTGGAATCAAGAAAAATCAAAGAGAAAAATGGAATTTGGCTTCTGTCTTCGCTTTCAGGATCTGGAAAGTCAACCGTGATGCGCGAGTTGGCTTTCGAACTGCAAAGACAGTTGAAAATCAAAGTCTTCTTTGTCGTCCTTCTCGACATCTGCTGCTACTTTTCCACTGCAAAAAAGGAAAGAAGAAAAGTTCCATCCCTTGCTTCTGTTGTTTCGCACGCGACTGGAACGCGTGAGCTGGAAATTCAGAATCTTATTGATGAGAATAAAGTGATTTTGATGTTTGACGGATTCGACGAAATTTGCCCCTTTTACCGAGATCAAGTTCTCCAAGTTTTTGCCGAAGCATTTCAAGAAAAATTACCCATTTGGATTTCATCACGACCGCACGAGAAAGATGCCATTCTTGCAACGCTAGGAAAGGAAGTTTGCAAGGTTCAAATCAGGCCTTTAGATTGGAGGAGGCAAATCAAATATTTGATGATGATTTCAAATAAATCTCAAGACGACTGCAGACGTCAGATCGATTTCTGCAGAGAAAATGGCTTATTTGATATTCTGGGAAATCCTCTTCACTTGAAAATGATCGCTGAACTCACTCTACATGATTCGGATTACAAAAAAGGGATCAACTTGTACAAAATCTATGAAAAAATTGTGGATACAAAATTGTGTTTTGCGTTGAAAGATTTGAAAGGCATCGCATTAGAAAAGGAATTAAATAGTTGTGAAATGGAATTGAGAATTGCTGCTATCGCATTTTTAAACAATGGCGAAATAAATAATTTGATAAATGCCAACAATGGAATTGTAACAATCAGCGACGGACGCGCCCATTTCGTTCACCAAACGTTTGCCGAATTTCTCGCTGCTGCGCATTTCATCGATTGTTTGTTCTGTGAAGACGAAAGAATTCCCTTCGATATTTCCAGAAAAGAATTTCGTCAAGTGCGCAAGTTTGTTGACTTGAAAATTTCCTCGAGTGGCACAGAAAAATCAAATTTGTCAGCAAAGCTGAAAAAATACTTGGAAAATACAATAACTAAAGCATGTGTCGAAGGCATTTTCCTCGAAGAACGTCTTGTTAATTTTTCCAGCGCTGCAGCGAATCTTGTAACTTTCAATCCTAACAACGCAAATGAACTATTAAATTACATTTTTGCTGACCAAATTTTGGTTTTGGCCAGCGAACGTGTGGAAAACTTTGCGCTTTGCCTTTTGGAAAATGGCGCTTATGAAAAGTTGACAAATCCTGAAGATTGTGCCGTGAAAATGCTCGCAGGTGCGATTGAAAATAATTTTGCGCTGCTCTTTTCAAAAGTAGAAGAAAAATGTGCCAACCTGATGAAGTTGGTGCGGAATGATATAAAATTAAGAGAGACCTTAACACTCGCGGCCTGCAGGAAAAATCATCACCAAGTTTTCAGGCTGGTGCTTGAAAAGGGAATTGTAGATTCAAGTGATCAAGAATATTTACAAAAGGCCATGAAAGTTGGTGTTAGAAATAAAAGCGCCGAGTGCGTTGAGCTTTTGATTGAATACGGCGCACGGACTGCCGACCTTGATGGATTTGAGTTGGGCTATTTAAACATCAAGACGACGGAAGCGCTTCTCAAGACAAAGGACGAGCCGATTTTAAAATTGGCATCAAGAATTTTCGATCGTTCGATCAAAAGAAAAAATGCTCAAGTGGCAAAGTTTTTGATGGCAAAATTCGGTGATGCGGAAAATGCAGAGTTTGAAGTGAGCAGTGAAGCCTTGATTGATGTATTAGAGTGGGATGATCACGACTCTGCGAAAATGTTGAGTCGCTTGCTTGTTGAAAAACGCGATTATTTATTAGGTGAAAAGGACAAATACGGGCGGAACGCTTTCCACTCGGCAGCCTGGAGGGGACATGTGGGGTTGGTCAAATACTTCCTGGAAAAGGACCCTGAGCTCGTCAAAACCTTAACGGAAAAAGGGGAAAACACCATGCATTTAATTTTCACTAGTTATTATGATGATTCAGAACAGAATATTGAAATGTGCAAGATTTTGCATAATCTTGATGCTGAGATGGTTCGGCAAAAAGCTGCGACAAATGAAACAATGCTCCATGTGGCCGCGGAAGCAGGAAAAGTAAATTTGTGCAAATGGCTGGTGGAAGAAATCGGTCTTGAGGTGGACGCCGTGGACGATAAAGGATATAACGCGATGCACTTCGCTGTTTATTTTAATCGGGGAGACGTTGAACTCTTGGAATATTTGCATGGCATGAATGCAGATTTGGTGAAACGAAAAACCAAAACCAATAAAACGATGCTGCATTTGTCCGTGCAAGTAGGAAATCCTCATGTGTGCAAATGGCTGGTGGAAAAAATAGGACTTGAGGTGGACACCGTGGACGACAAAGGATGGAACGCGATGCACTTCGCCGCTTCTAATGATGAAATTGAACTCGAGCTCTTGGAATATCTGCATCGCCTGAATGCAGATCTGGTGAGACAAAAAACGAAAATGGAGGAAACGGTGCTGCATTTGGCTGCGAAGCGAGGAAAACTTGATTTGTGCGAATGGCTGGTGGCAGAAGCGGGCTTTCGTGAGGTGGACGCCGTGGACGTCAATGGATGGAACGCTGTGCACTTCGCTGCTTACAAGTACGTCGAACTCGATCTCTTGGAATATTTGCATGGCCTCAATGCCGATTTGTTCCAACAAAAAACGAAAACGGGTAAATCGGTGTTGCATTTGGCCGCGGGATACGGAAGATTTGACACGTGCAAGTGGCTGGTGGAAGAAGCAGGCGTTGAGGTGGACGCCGTGGACGAAAATGGGTATAACGTGATGCACTTTGCCGCTTTTCGTCAGTTCGTTAAACTCGAACTCTTGGAATATTTGCACGCGAAAAATCCCCAATTGATCGAGAAGAAAACCAAATACAAGGAAACTGCGCTGCATCTTGCGTCAAGCAGGAGCCGGATGGGGAAAGTCGAAATTTACAACTGGTTCGTCAAAAAAAGCATCAATGCTTCAGAGGAAAATTCAGAGGGCGAAACGAATTTGGAGGCGGCTAAAGAAAAGTTTCTTTGAAAATGCAATCAGATTACTACTTAAGAGACACAAATATTTGAATGTTGTAAGGAATGATACGGCACAAGCAATTTTTTTTTTTTGTTTTAGTAGAACTTTTTTACAAAAATATATTGTTAAGTTACTTTGACGAGGTTGCAATTCTTTGTGGCTACAATATAAGATTTTGATTCAAGCGAATTTGTCAAACCATTGAAAAAGTCACGATGGTGCTATAATTCGAAATTGGCTTTTCTTCTCTATGCATTTGTCCTCATTCGTGTTTTATTTTACAAAATCTATTTTTTTAATAAAAATTAAAGATTATATCGAACTTTTAATTTCTAAGTAAACTAAATAAAAAGAAGTGAATTATTTTTAATAAGAATCACATTCTTTGAGTGGTAAAAATTAAATCATAGTTGTTTTATAATAAGCGAGCTTATAAGAACTAAGTTTGTTTCCACTAACCTCGAATTGCTTATATACCGACCTTTTTTAAAGATTGAGCCACAATAATTTGAAGTTGGATTTTAACAATATCATAAAATCAAATTCTAGCTCTAATGCATTTAATTTTTCTTGCTTTGTGAAGTGAAGACAGCAAATAAAAGAAATTATGTAGCTTCGACACTTTGGCATTTTATGAATTCCTCAAAAGAGCGTTTAGTTAAATTTAATTTTCTGAATTTATTCCATTTTCATATTTTTTTTTCAAAGTTAGTTATATGTGAATGCAAGAAACCCAAGACAAGCTTTGTCCAGATCAAAGTTGTTTCTTGATAAAAAAAAAGGCTCAATATGTTTATTTCATAAATTCTGACCGTTTTCTCAGAATTGAAGTTGAACTTGTTAGACTTGTCTTACTGCAAAAACAAACAAATTTAACAGGCGCCTCCGAGAGTTGAAGGTAGGCAACCCGCTCGCTTTGAAAGCCGAGCAGGTTGCATACCAACCTCAAGTTTCTTTCACATCTAATCAATTTCTTTAGCAATGGAATTTTTTCGCACTAAAATAAATTATGCATTTTTTGTTTTATTAAATTAAAGGTTACTTCAAGAACTGTACATTCCCGAAACAAAGATGTGATTGAAAAAAAAAAATGGTAATAATATATTAATATTGTTTGTGTTGCAGACATTGAAACCCGTCAAGATGTGTACTATTGATGGAAAAAATAATTTTTTTTTAACATAGAAAGGCTCCACTAGTTTCGGTGACGGTCTGCGACCTTATTCAATGAGGAAACAAAATAAAAATCTCTATGTGTGAAAAATTATTAAAAGAAAAGAATGGATTGAAAAAAATGAAGAAAAGAACAACACAAAACTTTTAATTAGTATCAAACGTATCAAATAAGATTAAAATGACATTCATTAATAGAGTTGTCGATCAGCTTTCTATTAAGATTATAGAAGTCTGAAAAATTACAGGTTCTGATAAAATCTAAAAAGATATTCATTTAAATTTGAGGTATAAAAATGTAATTAAAATCCAGATTGTTGGCCCCACCAAAATCTAGCCTGCGTTTTTTAAGGCTGACATTTTTTTTAAATAAAACCGAGTAATTTTAATTAATTATGCTGACCACAATGGGGAGTGGCGTTGACGACCTTTACGTAGAAAGTTCCGCGTCCGGCAAACTTGTTGCTTTCAAAGCCCATCGGAATGGCCTCGCACCGTTTCCCGCGACACGTTCCGTTTCCTCTTTAAAAGTTTCGTAATTAAGAGAAATTTCCAAAGGAAATCGGATCTCACCGATTTTGGAGGTCCCAGTGTTTGCCCCAGAAACGACACTTGCTCGAGATGGACTCGGTGAAGTATTCGACGGCCAAGGCGTGGCTGCAAATCGACGAAGCCACCACTGAAAGTTTTTCCAAAAATAAAACTATTTATTTCGAATGGAATAATTTTTCTTGCCGTCAAAAACTTGCTTTGCTTTCAACCAAAGGTTGCTGCGCGAACGAGAGGTTCTTTGGCACGAAGGTTGTTCCTGACCCCCGTTCGGATAAAAATCAACGTCGCCTGAGAAAGATTTAATTTAACTTTTCAAAGAATTTGAAGAAAGCCTGCACGAACCAACAGGGGTCATCAGGCCGAGGCTGTACTTGTCCCTGCCGTTCGTGTGGATGACGTCGACGAACTCGGCGTCCTCAGGGTCCACCCTGAGCTCGTTGCTGACCAGGTTGAAGCACGGACTGGCCGGGTCCAGGGCTGGCTCGTAATTTTAGTTTTTCAATTTTTTAAAATTATTTAAAAAAAACCTGTGAGGCGGCCGACCTTGCCCCGGAGGTGGTGCGACACGTAGGAGGCAACCTGAGCGCCGAGGCTGTGGCCGATCAGGTGGAAGTCGCTCAGGGGAATGCCCAAGTGCTCGTTCAAGTGCCGAACCAACCTGAGAAGACAAATTTAGTTTTTTTCCCTCTGATCCGGCGAAACCTTTTTACTCAGCAACTTGCTTTCCCACGACCTGAGTGTTGGAAACGGCGCTCAGGTAGTTCCAAAACGACGGCGGGGACGCGCCGTTTTGCCAGTCCACGGCGATCACGTTAGAATTCTCCTGATTTTTTTCTCTTTTATTTAAATAATTTCACTTTGGAAAAATACCTTGGCCCGGAGAAGCGCCGAGGCCATTTTGCGGACCCACTCGTCCCTGCCGCTGTTGCGGAAACCGTGGATGATGAAAATCGTCTCCTGTTTGCCCAAAACCTTGCTCAACCCTTTGCGCCACTCGCCACTCTCGCGGTGAAATCCAACCTTGACTTGAACCGGCCAGAACAAGTTTCTGCGACCGGGTTTTTTAAAATTTTGCTTGATTAAAAATGATTGTTGCAACCTTTTGAAGAGGAAAAACCTGGTGTCGATTTTCTCGGCGCTCCACGCTTCTCCGAGCGGCGTTCGAAGCAACTCGTCGCAATTGCCCAAATTGACCGCCCTGGTCTGAATGTTGTGGCTGAAAACCGCGGGCCGACTCGTTTGTCCTGCCGCAGTTGAGCAGATTTAATAAAAGTTAAAAGTGGATTTTGTCCTACCGGAGTGCAAGCAGAGGTTGGCGGAAATCAGGGTCAAAAGCACCAAGCTGGTCAAGCCCATCCTCAACTTTTCACTCGACCAGAGAGAAATGAACACGGCGAAAAATTACTTCCTTGATTTAATCACTTTTCAAATTGGAAAGATATTTTTGGAAACCGCAAACATGCTTGTTTTGTGATAATTTTACATTTTTACGTTATTTCTGCGCTTTCGAAAACCACAAGGCTAAATGAATAATTATTTGATTACTGAGTCAAAATTTGTATCAAAATGAGTTAAAAAGAAAACCACGCAGAAGGACACGATTCAAATATCAAATCCGCACGCCACTTTTTGACGCGATTCACCTCTGAATGTAAAATTCCTGGACGCATTTGCTTATCTTTTTTTTTTGCAAAAAATAATAAAATAAAAAAACGTATATTTTAAATACATAAACTTTCAATGCTATAAAATTAATTTCTAGGATGATATTGTCAATCTTATTTATTAAAGATATTTAAGTATAGTTGACACTTCAGAAGAGAATTTCGTTGCGTTTTTTTTTTTCATTTTGCTTATTTTTCACGTGTTTTTATGATAAAAAACCTAGAAGCTACGCCATTTTAGGAGTGTTTGGGCAATTTATTAAGAGGATTTAGAGATACGTCTGAAGTGACATGGGGGATGAAATGCACAGAGGGTGGCAGGACGGACATCGAAAGGAGCCAATTTCAATGGTAAATCACAAGGTTTGCAAATTAAGGCGCCGCTCGGCTCCAGCTCTGCTCTTCGTTAGTTTTAAGTGATCAACGAGTTGTACGAATTAGCACCTGTCGTGGTGACGCGGCAACGTATATAAAACGAGGCGCGTCCTCAGTGATCAGAGCTAACGTGTCTGGCTGAAACACACCAAAGTCCATCTGTTGCTTCGAGCGCGCGGAAACAACTTGAATTTAACTGAAAGTAGGCCGGATTTCTGCGGTTTGCAATTCTTTCATTTTAAACTAATTTATTTTTAATATTTTACTCAAAAATCCAACAGAACATGTCTTGGTTAAAAAATTTAATTGCAGATTTGTACAAAATTTTAATTAATTCTCAGATGAATAATATTTGTGGAAAGAAACCCTTAATTTTGCACTAACAAGGTATGCTATCGAGATGAGACACCCCGATTTTGATGAAAATTGGTGTACAACTTCTACTGCCCATTGGTACCCCAGAACGGATATTAATTTTTGCCCAATTTTCCCTGTTTAATTTTTGTCATTTAAACTCCATGTAATTTGAATCACATTGGAGAAATCGGATGTAGGCAAATTATATACACAGAGGACGCTTTTGTTGCCTACATTTGATCGTTTTTGACATGCGTTTGAATGGAAACTACCAACCCCTGTGAAATTGGGCAACTTTTGATAGCCATTCCAGAACACCAAAGGGAAGTGCAAGTTGCATACCAACTTTCATCAAAATCGGCGTGTGTCATCTCAATAGCTTACCTTGTAAGAAGAAATCAGCAAAAGCCGTGCCGAGGGCATCAAGTTAGAATTGACGTCATCATAAATTTAATGGGCCAATAATAATAATTTCCAGAAGTAACAATTCCAATTATAAAAATGCGTGTCTTTTTAAGAACTGTGGAAAATGGAGCGTGGATTTTATTGCATTTCACTTTTTCAATGTTTTGTGTAATCTCAGTAAACAGAAAGTCTAAAGTGGGATATATTAATGTGGTTTTTTATGTCGGACCTATTTGCTACCTACAGTATTATGACTTTTTGAAAGCAAGTAAAATCTTTGGATATATGAAAATTATAAATTAAATTTTGTTATCAGTGATTTAATTTTTGTATTATTTGAGTAAAATTTTCAATTATTGTAAAAATACAACATTATAAGTTTAAATTTAATTTATTATTTTGTGACTTCACTGAAATATAAAAACTTGAAAAAATTTGAGGTTCTGTATGCATTAACTTAATAAATTGTGACACCCCGTTGGCTCACAATCACTTTTTGGATCGGTGTCATTTAATGTTGATTTGACAGTGTTTTTGATACTTTCCAATGGAAATATCCGAATGATTTTATAATTGAAATTATATAAACGCTGACTTTTGCAACGACGAGAATTGGCAAGAGATGACGCAGCCGGCTCGCTCGCGGCTATTATTTCACTTTGGGTCTCGCGACCACTTACGTCATAGGTGGCTGTTCAGAAAAAAGCAATTGTTGAATTTTGACTCATAAAACATAATTTTTAGAAAATATCACCAGGTAAATAGATTTTTAGAGTAATTTGAATTTCCGTTACATGCGCAATAATTGTCGTAGGAAAACTAGTATTTAAAAAAAAACGATAATTTTTATGTATTTTAAATCACAAACAATAGTGCCCCTCGCAAGCCTATTAACATGAAACCAAACATGACCACACTTTTAAATGATTCGTGCATATTTGTATTTATATGAGGATTGTAAACTTATTCGCAAATTTAATATTGCTCCATTCGACATCTACAAATAAATAAATACATCCAAATCTCAATCTAAATCACTTCTGATACAAATAACGAAACGAATTCTTGATGCTGAACAGTTTGCCTATTATAAAAAAATCACCATTTGATTCGCAATCTTTTCTTTTTCCAGGTTTCTACGCTGACCAGCATGTAAAGTCCCAAAGATGGTTGTTTCAATTACATTGGACGAGCTTGTCGAGACCGGTTAGTATCATAATTAATAGTAAAAATATTTCTACTGAGGTTCTTGTTGTGAAATTTTTTGGCACTTCATGTTTTGATGTAATTAAATCCGGCCTTCTCGGAGCAGATGAGCAAAACTTGATTGTTTCTATGCATGGTGTAGAAAATAAACAAGTTTCGGTCGGGAATTGCAGCCTTAATTAATGTTGAAAAGCACGGAACGTCGCGTTTCAACGTCTCGAAAATGTGCTGTTTTTGTGCCTGCAAATCCCATGAAAAAGGTCTATTGAACTCTCACCTTTTCTTCATCAACATGCAATGTCAAAACAATTACAAAAGTATTCACAATCTGCGACATGTTATTAAAAAACACGTGCGTAATCGAAATCTGAATAAATTTTTAAGCAATTTACTATGAACTGAAATTATTTTTGATTAATATTGGGAAAAATTAGTTATCGTAGAAAATTTAATGATTCAGACAGCTTCTATTAAATTTTTTGTCATTTTCGTTAAGAGCAGCCGTGAGTGCATAAGACCATAATTGCATCGGTATTGTAAGAGAAAGCTCAAACAGAAAATATAAAAATTATTGAGATATGAAAGCTCCTATCCTTTTGATTAATTTATAAGAAGGAAATGAATCTTTCAATTTTTTCGTCCATAAGTATAAAATGACACAAAATAACTATTATTTATTTTGAACAAGCTTTTTCAAAAAGACAATTTGACTGATCTGTAAACGAAATATCAAATCGTAAACACAAAAACCTTAACCCCTTTCAAGGACGTGAACTGTGCCCTTAAAAAAGAATAGTGTGTGCGCGATCAGCTGGGTACTCAAACAAACACGTTTCTTTCAAACTTTTTGATCTTTCTCTCTTAATTTCTTCAGGACAATCAATCGAAATGCTATGTTTTCACAAGTTTTAGCATAAAAAAGAGTCTATTACAGAGAATAACAGTAATTTTGTGACACTCATAGCCAGCATTATGACAAAAAATACAAGATTTCTAAATTTATTTCATAATTTATATAATAATTTTTTTATGTATTCCAAATCATAAGTAAGAGCGTAAATAACTTTTTTTGTGAATGAAAAAGGTGTCGAAACAATTTTAACGCGTCGAATTAAAATACTGAGAACTTTACCTGACACGTGCAATACCAGTTTCAAAGTTCGCGCTCCACTTGGGGGTGTGATCGCATCCCCCTGATTGGTCCACCCTTATTTTTTTATTTTCTGGCACGCTCATTGGTGAATTCTTAAATTTTTATTTAAGAAAGCTTAGCTCGGCCAAGCAGCTTGGTTTTAAAATAAAAATATTATCTCGAAATCCAAGAACCAATCTCAGTTCACGATTCTTATTTTTAAAAATAAGAAATAGAATAATAAAATAAAAAAGAGCCGCTGTTTTGGGCTTTTATGAATTTAAATTTAGATTTTTACTTATCTAAACAGTTTTTCTGTAATTTTTTCCCAATGAAATATCCTTTCTTATCAAAGGAAGAATTTGAAATTAAAATTAATTAACTGAAAAATGGGTCACATTGATTGAATGGTAATTTTTCAGCACGATAAAGAGAGGTAATTTTTATCTAGAGGTTGATCGAGTGGACCCAAATAAGTACTTGATCGCGACGCGCTGAGTTCATTGTTCATTTTGATAAAAAGCGATCGATGTTTGCGAAGATAAAAAAAGTCTTCCAATTAAAGTCCAAAGCTAAGACGCATAAAACCGCAGGCAAACCAGGCGCGCAGTGCAAATGTGTCTGGCTGGAACGAAAGTGCATCTCTTGCTTTGATTCATTGGAATATTTTCTAGCCACCATCAGAGGAAGAACGGATTTCAGTGGTTTGTAATGATTTTATAATAATTTTTTAATTAAGCGGGTTTTGTTTCAAATTTGAATTAGGAAAAATAAATGTTTTTGTGAAAAGAGATTTTGCATCATACATGGGTGCGGTCAACTCGCGATCACTGGCAACAGTGCGCTCGCGCTCTGCGCTCGCGCTCAAGATTTTGAAAATGTTGCGCTCGCGCTCAAATTTATTAAAAGTCTTGCGCTCACGCGTTGCGCTCAAATATATTTTTATCCGAAGAAAAAGTGCGGCTTTTTAGACAATTTTTTAATATAACAAAAAATACATCGGCAATTGGAAATGATAAAGTTGAAGTTAAATCACCAAAATTGGCATCAGTTTTGAAGTTTTGGTATAAAAACACTTAGGGCGATCCAAAAGCCTAACCTGGCCCAGGCTTATAACTTGAACTTAGCCCCGGGCTAACTTAGCCCACCAGCAAAATTGAATGGCGGGTTAAATTAGCCCAGGCCAGGTTAATTTAGCCTGGGCCAAGTTTGCCTTTTGGATCGCCCTCACTGTTTTTCATTACAATTTTTGATCAAATTCGGGAATTTTTACTTTTGGTTTGAGCGCAAAATGAGCGCAATTGAGCGCTGCGCTCAGCGACCAATGCGCTCGCGCTCACGATTTTGAAAATCGTGCGATCGCGCTCTGCGCTCGCGCTCATGAGCGCAGAGCGCGAGCGCAGATCGCAGAGCGCAAAGTGCGCTCTGCCCATGTATGCTGGAATTTAGTCAGGATAAAATAATTGTGCTTTTAATGTTTGGTTTAAAAAAAAGGTCCTTCTAATAATTTATCACGAAAAAAACGAAATATGAAGGGGGGAAAATGCAAAATATTTCAAATGAAATGTAATTATTCTTTATTTTTCCGACTCAATTGTTACAAAAATTTACATTGCAAATAATTCACGAGGAAAATATTGAATTGTCGGACAAAAAGGCACCACCAGAAGAAAAGATTTTGCCCGCGAAAAAAAACCCTATCCGCCGCTGGCAATGAAAATCAATAACAATATTCTTTGTTGATCGAATATTTTATAAAATTTAGAAACAATACTTTTGAATTTTGTACTTGGTTTTTCTTCAAAAACATGCGCAGTTCTTTCAAAATGCTTTTGTCTTGTTTGAAAAAAAAATTAAAGAATAAAAGAATGGAAAGAGCAATTCGCAGTTCAGTAAAATTTAATTAACTGGGAAAATCCCAGGATTATCAAAATTGATTGATCTGAATCAACAATGAAAAGGCGCTTTTGCCAATAATCGAATAAAGCGCACGTGATTGAGAAAGCACGTGGCGTGGCCGGGGGTGGGGGAAGCCGCAGCAAATTTTCGTTGTTGTCGGGGCCGATCAGCGTGCGTCGCCATGACGACGCCGCCGCCGCCGTTGCCGCCGCCGACCCTCATTGCGCCTCTGGCCGCGCACAGGGCAGCGCCGTGTCAATCAACGCCGGACAAGGTGAGTGGTCGCGAGATCAATGAGTCACTTTTACGCACTTTAATTGCCCCGAAATCAAATCCGGTCTTCGAAATTTCACTTTTTATATAAAAAGATCAACAAGTTTGAATTCGACAAAGGCCAAAAATTATTTTTAAATCTTTTGGGAATCAATTTGATATTTTACTATAATTTTCAAAAGAAAAAACATGAAATATGAAAAAAAAATTAGTAAAAATTAAAAACTCTTAATTACTCTTTAAATCACTTTTTTACCCATTTATGCAGGCAATGATGTCTTTTAATTAATGAAATTATTGATGAGAACGATCGAAAGAAGCCAACGTGGCTCATGTTGGGTTTTTCTTATCATTGATCATCGTTGATGCATTTAATATGAACTTAATGCAAAATTACTTTAATAAGATAAATGATTAATTGATTATATTGAAATAATTTCCAATTTTATGGACAGCAAATAATTTGATATGGCTTAATTAATTGCCAGCTAGGCAAATTCAACAATGAAGCCTAAATTATTATGTTTTTCTCCAATAATAATAATAATGATCAATAACAATATTAATGACAATTTTACTTACATTTTACTTAAATTCTTTTGCTTTCCTATTTTTTGGGCCATTTTTTATTTGATTTTTTAATAATCCCTCCTTGTGTGATCAAATTTGTATCACTAAATTTTTGGATGACTGATTTGGGCAGACGAATCAATAAGAAACACGAAAACTATTCAAAATATGGAAAATTGCAAATTTGAAAATTTTTATTTGGCCCAGAATTTTCTCTACTTTTGAACTTGACTGAGGAAAAGGAAAAAATCGGTCTTACGGTTTTCGATCTTCAGGACGCAAATTTGCAAAGAAATGTGGCCGAGGGGTGGTTGGGGGTGGGGGTCGCGGCTGCACGCACGTCCCTGCAAGGCACGTTCGCCCTCATTAGCATTCGATTTTGGTTTTTATCTGAGGGCGGAGGCCAAGGTCGCTGCCTTGGCAACTCGCCTCGCAAACACTTTCGCGAAAACGATTCGCAGGCGAGAGAAAAAAATAAAAAAGGAAAGGAAGAAAGAATTTTTGTCACGTGGCAATTCCTTCCGAGAAGCCGACGGAAACGGATTCGGTCGCGATCTCACTCACAAATTGCAAAACGGAAACCAAAATATTTGATTCTTTCGATTCCAAACCTTTTGATTATTATATTATAAAAATTACAAAAATTTTTGTAAAAGAAAATTACACAAAATTTTACTGAAAAAAAGCTTTTAGATATAAAAATAATTTGTTAAATTTAAACAATTTTGTACAAATTATAAATTCCAAAAGAAATTTTGATTACTTTAAAAAATAGAACCAATTCCCATTCAAAACATGTTCATTTTATTTTGTATATTTTTGTTATTTAAAATTGAAACATTTCAAATTTCCACCTTTTACTTTGGAAGACACGAGAGAGAAGAAAATCCATTTTGAGTCTCGCTGGTGCATCGATTTGCTGCGAAAGTGCTCGATGTGGCGCGTTTTGATCTGTTTCAATGCACGTGACGCGCCTCGCGCCTCCAATAATTAATTCCTAGCAGAAAAAAAACGCCAGAGCTTTGTGCGCTTCACTTGTAAGGATTTTTTTGCGTTCATAGTTCGAATTCGTCGTTTGAATGAAATTTTATGAATGAGCAGATTTGGTAGAAAGCGCGGCACGATGAGTGGCGAAAATAACAAAATCCTTCCATCCGTGTCGAGAGGCGGAGAAAGCGTTTTGTTGGAAAAAGAGTTTTGTCAAAGCAAACCACTTTTTTTAACTAATTTTTTAAGAAAGAGGGAAAAAAGCTTCCACTTACCACACAAGTCGCCCTAAATTTGATGTTCGAGTCCTGAAATTCAAAAGGAAAATTATTTTGTTTTTTGTCAAAACATGTTTTATATTTAAATTTAACATCAAAAGTCGCTCTCAACGGGTTTTTTCAACATGGCGTGACCAAAAGTTTTCTCAAATCGTCTCTGTTGTTGCGGAGAAGGACACGATCAAACTCACTTATTTAGTGAATAGAATAAATATAATTCTGAAGATGACGTTTGGCTTTTTATTGCGAAAGTGCCACGACCTGTGGGGAATTCGGTCGCAATCAAATATTTGTCCGGCTCCGCGCGACTCACGCGATCCGCTTGATCAACCAAAGAACTTAAAATTGCATTTTATTTCTGTTTTTTTTTTTTTTTTTTTTAAATGTTCATTTTTTTTGCATAAATTTTATGAAAGTTTGTAATCAATTTGCAGAGGGTGGTGGGATGAAAGAGAAGCTGCAGGCGGGTGCAGAGCTGTTGGCGCCGCCGAGCGCCCACGAGCTGGCGCCGCCGTCGGCCGCCGTCACCATCGGCCACAATCGCAAGAAGCCGCACATGTTGCCGCCCATCGCCGACAGACGCGTCGCTTCGGTCAGTGTCGCCGTTGACAAATTTACATTATAAACTTTATTTCCACAAAAATAATAATGTTCAATACCAAATCATTCAATTTATTTGTCAAAAAAGAATGGAATTAATATCCAATTTTTATCTTCTTTATAATGATTATAGTTTCAAAAGTATTGAAGCAGACCAAAAATTTTAAAATCCGCACTATCTATTTTGAAAAAAAAAAACATAATTTTGAGTAAATTGTGAAATTCTGAAGCACACTTTCAAAGCATTCGTGATCATAAGAAACAAAAATTGCGTTAAAAATTATCCTTCTGTTGGTTTTCTCCAAAATAGTTCAGCTTTTGGTCGTTGGTGGCGCTGCGAATGCTGATTTTGCCAAGTTCCCCACGGCGTTCGCAGCGCCACCAACGGCCGAAAATGCAACTTTTGCGAGAAAATTTATGGAGATACCTTATTTTGCCTGATTTTGAAGCAAACGGTTGGAATTTTCACAAGATATTCAGAATAAATATATAATTTCTAACCAAATCTAGTCCGACATCCTTTTAATTCTTTATTCAAAAAGGGAAAGTATTATTTTTGCTTTAACTTTGACACTTTTGATTTGCGCAGATGGAGTTGGCGATGCAGCGCGGAAGTCCGCCGCCGTCGTGGCGTCGTCCGAGCGTCGACGAAATGCTGCAGGGCGGCGCCGACCGGCCGGCCGTGTGCGTCAGTCGGTGTCCCGAGGTGCCGCAGGACGAGGCCAAAAGCACCACCCTCGGCCCCAACAAGTACGCGCCCCTCGACCCCATCAAGAAGAAGACGAAGACTGCCCCCTGAGAAATTAATCAACCCTTTATTCCTTCAACCCTTAAATATGATAAGCACTCCAACCTTTAATCAAAAAATCCTCGTGTTTGGCTGATTTTCGCGTTGGTTGATAAATATATATATATATATATATATATATAAAAAAATGCTTTAAATCATGAAACAGAAAAGGCGACTTATTTCTTTATAATAATATTTAATTGGTTTTCAATATGTCTGTTTTCAAGCATTTTCCTCATTTATAAAAGTATATTTATTAAAAAAAAATCAAAATAACGTAATAAATTAATCATCTTAACGTCCACAAATACTCAACATGAAATAAACATTAAAAATTGTTCACCAGTTTTTGTTCCGCAGATAAAAACAAAATCGATGTAAAAATTGAAAATTCAAAGCATAAATATTGTTGGAAATATTATAATTGATTTATTTAATATTATTATTAACGCTGCAAGACGTAATAAATTAATGTAAATGAAGCTATTTAAAAGTTATATAATTTAAAAAGTTATTCTGTTTCATTGGAACATCGTTAATATTAATATATATGAAACTATATAATATCTATTTATGTTAATCGCGTAATTTACAGGAGAATTAAGTGTGTATAAAATCATTAAGCAACTTTGCTGAGCAATTAACTCGATTAATCCATATTATTACTAATCGACATAAATATTTTCGTGCAATTTATTCAAAGAGTAGATTTGTGTGCAACTCAAGGTAGGAGGAAAATTATTTTCAACGAATCGATCGGTTGTATTTAGAGCTGGAAATAAAACCAATCACACCGTGAATTAAAAAAAAAAAAACAACCACCCTGTGTTTTATTTTTGTCAGAATTTCAATGTTGAATTTAGGATGTCTTTTTTTTCGGTAAATATTGTTTGATTGTCATGGAGACGGCGGCGATGAGAGTGAACGCGAGATAAAAAATACATTCAGAAATAAAAATAAACAATTAAAAAAATGATTTGTCACGGCTGCACTTTCACATTTGAAAGCGGCGGCGGCAAACAAAGGTATGCGTTTTTTGAGGGTCCTCGTCGGTTTCTCCGCAGCACGTCTCAGTCGAGCGGCGGCGATGGAGGCGAACGCGAACCTGCCCTTCGAGATCCGCCAAGTGCCGTCCGAACTCAACGCCCAGCTGCTCAAGGACTTCACCGGAGAACGCACCGGATTCGTCCAGGTTCGGGCCAATTTAGACCCTTTTTTAGCTCTCAGAACCAAAATATGGATCTTTTGTGCGCAGGTGGGCCCGAAAAAGTGGTTCCTGCCGGCAAAGTACCGCGAGTTCGCTGCCCACTTCTACAACTTCCAGCCTCGGCCTGACGACGTCTGGGTCGTCACCTTTCCACGCTCAGGTAAAAAAATTATATATATTTTTTTAAAAACAAATTTGCTCTTTTTGAATGGGAAGTTTTTAAATAAAATTAATGAGGAGAAAAGATTGTTGAAAAGTCAAAGAACCAAAAAGGTCAAGGTCACGTAGGATTTGTGAAAAAAAATATCGATTTAAGTGGATTTTTGAAATGCAGCAATCTCATTGGTTCCAGACTTCCCCCACCACATGATTCAAATTAGCTTTAACACATTCAGTGTGACCCATCTTTGGAAAGATCAGGTCACAAGGAATCGATTGGTGGACAAAAGATCAAGATGACTGTAAAACTAGTAAAGAAAATAACGATTATTGTAAGAAAGCGATTTCATTGGTTAAATAACTTTCCCCACCACAAAATTAAAATTGGCTTCAACACATAAAGTGTGACACATAGTTAGAAAGGTCAGGACACGAGGAGTTGATTGGTGACAAAAATTTTCAAGGTTATCACTTTGATAGAACGAAAAGGTCATCCACCACTTAATTTTGTTTTGGCCAATCAGTGTTCATTTTAATTACTTTATTTTTAAACATATATTTAGGCACGACCTGGACGCAGGAGTTGGTGTGGTTGGTGGCCAACGACCTGGACTACGAGACCGCCAGCCGCGTTCCGCAGGTCGAGCGGTTCCCCTTCTTGGAGTGAGAGTCTCTCAGGTCGCAGGTGCGATCTATTAACCTGAGATTTTCGTCCGCAGGTTCAACATTTTCTTCCACGACGAGGTGAAATCCGAGATTTTGGAGCTGAACCAGGGCGACCCTTTCAAGCAGCAGCTGGTCGAGCTCATCAGCGAGCCGGCGTACCTGAGCCTGCAGGAGCATCAGGGCCGCAGGTTCGTCAAGACGCACCTCCCCTTCAGCCTTCTGCCGCCCAACTTGCTCGACACGTGCAAGGTGCTTAAATTTTTTAATAAGAAAAAACTCAAAATTGGGCGTTCATCAGGTGGTGTACGTGGTGCGCAACCCGAAGGACGTGGCCGTGTCCTTTTACCACCTCAACAGACTGATCAAGACGCAGGGCTACCAGGGCGACTTCCGCAAATACTGGCACTACTTTGAGAAAGACCTCCGTATATAAAATAAATTATAATAATTAAAATTAATTTAAAAAAACGATTCCTGCAGACCCTTGGACGCCGTACTGGGCGCACGTGGAGGAGGGTTGGCGACGGCGGCACCACCCGAACCTGCTCTTCCAGTTCTACGAGGACATGAATAGGGTGCGTGAGTGCAAATCGAGGGTCAACCTGAATTAAGGTGTTTTTTTTCCGTCAGGACCTGAGCAGCACGATTCGCAGGATGGGCAGTTTCCTGGGCAAGACGATGGACGAGGCGCAGGTGGCGCGACTCGCCGACCACCTCGACATCAGGAACTTCCGAGACAACAAGGCGGTCAACTATGACCTCGTCAAGGAGGTCGGACTCTTGAACTCGGGCGAACCGGCCTTCATCAGAAAAGGTTTAAAAAAATCTGGCATTTCTTCCAAATGGGTGTAATTAATTGGCATCGCCAGATGTTGATGAAAATTGGAAGGAATTCTTGTGGAGAATGTGAAAATTTGCCTACTTTACAGGGGTTTTAATAAGTAATTTCCAAAAAATCTGATTCTTGTAGAGATGGAGCAAAATTCTAAACATGAAAACTAATCAGAATGATATGAACTTTGCTTCATTGACCAAAGTCAAAGGTCAAAGTTGAAGGTAACCTGAAAATCCAAAATTTTTCCAAAGTTTGTCGTAGATGAAAAATTTGAATTCCAAAATAGTCAAAAGTTGTTGCTTTTTTTTAAAATAAAATCAGATTTCTAAAGGAGCAGCTTATTTTTTTTTTTTTTTTTATCAATTAGCACGAATCAATGCAAAATTTTTTTTAAATTTTGCCAAAACAACTGAATATTTTTAATATTCTAAAAATAAAACCCATGCCAGAGAAAAGAACCCATTGAAAAAGTGCCACAAACAGTGAATAAAAAAATTTGATTCTGATTTTGCAATCAGGCAAGGTGGGCGCGTGGCATGCCGAGTTTGACGAGGAACTCGACCAGCGAGCAGACAAGTGGATCGAGGAAAATCTACGCAAGACCGACATCGTTTTCCCAATCAGTTTACACAAGTAATTTTCAATAATTTGATATTTGTGCAGAAATAAAATGAACAATTTCATCACTTTGCGATTGGCGTTTTAATTTTAATTTTAGTAGCAGCAGATTAAACATTGGCTGATATGGATTTCCTATTTTTCCGTCCACACCTCTAAAGCTGCATTTGAATCGAGAGTTTACTCTATGAATATATTTTGTGCTTTTTTTAAAATGCTAAACGATAAAATCAAAGAGAGATCAAGAGAGCTATGCTTTGAGTAAATTTAAAAAGGAAGGACCTCCCGGCATCACACTTTCTCATATCACATCGGCTCCGCTTTGGCAGAATTCCAGATCCTTATTTTCTTTCTAAAGAGGAAGATTCGTTTTGAAGATGTTTCCGCCGACGTCCTGCGCGAAGAGCAGCAGCGGCGCCGACTTGCTTTTCTCGGCAATGCTTGACCTGGGCAGGACAAAAAGCAGCCGGCTCGGGCTGAAGCACCACCAGTTGCACACCAGCTGCGTCTCGCCCTCTCGCACCTCCACCACCCGCAGACCCACGCTCGATTTGATCGTCCAGCTTAAAAAAAAATCAAAATCAGTTAAAATTAAATGTAAATATAAAAAAATTATACCTCTCGTTGTCAAAAGAAATGCTGCCGGTCTTGACCAGTTTTTCGTCGTTTATCCACCTGAGAAGTTACGATTTAAAATTAATTGATATTAATTTTAATTATTATTTCGAAAGTATTCGGCACCTGTGGAAGGCAAGGATGGCGGCGCAGCTCTGGGTGAAGTAGATGTGGTCGGTGCAGTCCATGAGGAGGAGGCTGTTGGCGCCGCCGCTGCGCGACTTCTTGAGCTGCGGCTTGACCTCGACCTTGGGCTCGGCCGAGGTCACGCACTCGACCTTGAGGTTGACGGTGAAGTCGACGACCTGGTGGGCGGGCGGCGTGCTCGGCACGTCGGCCGCAGCCTCCGGCCGGAAGATCAGGTCCATGCGGTCGAAGCCGCGCCCCATGATGCCCTTCTTCGTGTGACCCAGGTCAAACGTGTGGCACAGCTCGTGCAGCACCGCCCCCAGGGTAGTCGAGTAGCAGCCGCCGTACGTGCCCCTGCAGAGATAAAAAAAAACACCATTAACAAAAATTTTTCCATATATTTAAAGTGGAAATATAAAAAACCTTTTTTTTTTAAATTTGTTGGCAAAATTATTTATAGGTAATCAGAGGTGATAAATGGATTTTTAGTGACCTGACCTTTCCAACGATGTGTCACACATGGCACGTTGCAGCCAGTATAAATTTAGTGGTGGGGGAAGGTTTTCGACCAATGGGATCACCGTATTTCTAATTTGACCGTTTCTTTATAAATGCAAGGTTACTATGACCTTTTTTAGTCACCAATCGACTTGACCTGACCTTTCCAACGATGTTTCATATTCATGTTGAGAGGGCAAATAAGTTAATTTATTTAGTGGTGGGAGAAATTTTCAGACTGAAATAATAAAAATTGATGTTTTTTTAAAAAATGTTTGGTTGATCACGACCCTAACGATCACCAATTGATTCGGCATGACCTGACCTTTCCAATGATGTGTCACACATGACGAGTTCCATCCAATCTAATTATAGTAGTGGGGGAAGTTTTCCGACCAATGGGATCGCTGGATTCCTAAATTTGCCATTTTTTCAACAAATCTGATGTCAAACTTCCTCCTTTTTGGTCACCAATTGACCCCATATGACCAAATATATCCTACTGCGCAATAATTTTCAGGTTTGCCAACCAAATTTAAATATAAATCATAAATTTTAAAGAAAATTGGGAATTTTTCGAAAAAAAAAAATTAGATTGTGTTTGACCCTGAAGGGGGGGTGGCGTACCTGTATCCGCTGTCGTCCATGAGGATCGTCTGGTCAACAGGGGTGGTGTCTGCGAAGCAAGGGAGGACGTTTTCAAGGGTGGTGGGCCAGGTGTGGAGGCAGGCGGTGCCGAAGAGGGCGAGGCCGCCGCCGCCGAGGGCCGCGTGGCCTTTGGTGAGGGCCAGGATCTGCTCGTGGAGGAGACCTGAAGGGTGGGGGCCGCCCTGGTACCTGGTGCAGGCCAGGAAGGCGACGAACTTGCGGCGCTGGGCCTCCTCGGGGCCCCACTTGGTGACCAGTTCGCGGCCAAAGTGCGCCCAGAGCTCCTCGGGGGCCATTTCCAGGGCCGCCTCCGCGCTCAGGTCGCTGCGGTGCACCTGCGGGTCGCGCTCCAGGCCGAAGGTGCGGCGCCCCACCCCCTCCTCCCACAGCTTCTCGGCCAGCACGCTCTGCAGCAGCTGCGCCCCCAGCTGGATCCGCGCCAGGGCCGCCCCCAGCGAGCAGTCCGCCCCCGCCGCACCCTGAAAATGCCCGTCGTGATCCCTGGAAAATTTAGAAATGAATAAATAAATTGACTTTACCATGAAAACTTTACGAATTGGATCGAGACTTTTAAATTGAACTGATTTTCATTCTTTAATCAACAATTTTTAACTTTTCCGTATTCATAAATGGAGAAAAACATTGATAAGGTAAATATTTCTTTACAAATTTTGAAAATTTGGCAAGTTTTGAATCGAACGGTGTCAAAAAAATAAAATTCGTCCACGCGGTTCAAAAGTTAGGAGGCTTTAAATTCAAAAAACGTTCTCCGAAGAAATCCACCATCCACCTTAATCAAGGCTGGTGATTTTGGAAATTTGCGTACTTGGAGACGATGTAGAGGGGCGTGACGACGAACTTGCGGTCAGGCGGTTCGAAGCAAAGGTTGATCTGCAGCGAGACGGACTCGAACCTGAGCTCGATCTTGTTCTTGCCCTGGTGGAGGCGCAGCAGGATCTTGAAGGCGCCCCCCACCACCGGCCAGTCCTGGTCCGTGCCCTTGGTCTTGACCGATATGAGGCCGCTGACCTTGACCTCCTTGTGACCCGTGACCTGGCCCTTGACCATCACCAGGGGGTACGTCAGGACCTCACCGTGCTGCAGGTTCGACACCTTAATCGACGAGTGCATTTTCCCGATTTGAAAAGTTTTATAATTCCTGCTGAAAATACAAAATCAGTTTTCGAAAAAATGTAAAGGTCAAATTTAAAGACATACTTACTCGGCCTTCGAAGGGTCGTTCAGGACGAAACCAGCCTCGCAGGGTGCGATTTAAAGGATGCAATTAAGGTTCCATTCTTCTCATGCCTCAACGCAAAACACAAACAGCTGCTGCGGATCTTTTCGCCCCACCAACGAGTTGCAACTTTTGCCGCCAGAGGACTCGCCACGACTGTTCCAGCAAATTAATTTAATAATGGATTTTTTCTTCATTTTCCTGACAATTTGCTAGTTCACGGTGTTTTAAAACATTTCGCTTTACACATAAATAACATAAGTTTTTAAATCGTAGTAAAAAAGGTAATTTCATTTGGGAAAAAAATCTATTCGAAATAATTTGAATTGAAGTACATTTTATGGTACTTTTTTATAATAAATCTTTTGTCATTACAATTAAATGCATTAAACTCTTTTTGGTGTAAAACAGATTTTCAAGTATTGAAGAGGTAAAAAAAAATACAAAAAACCAAAAATGTGACAACGTTTCGTTTCTCTCTTTTGTGTATTTTTCTGGATTTTTTTTTTTTTTTATTATTTTAATTATGTGCAGCTTTTTTAGTTGGGATTTTTTGCTATTCGTCAGCAGGAGGATATGATGAAGAAAGAAAAGTGAAACTAAAATTAAACTTCCTCTGAATGAATCATATAAAATTTCGTTTCGCTGCTGAACATCCTTTGCTGCACCTTTGAAAACTTGAACGAGTTCAATGACACAATTGCACAATTTATTCAAACCGAGTAATATTTTAAACGTTTTTTTGTGTGAAATTTTGCTGGCGAAATCATTATCACTGCATTTATTAATTTAACGACCTTTTTTTTAAATTAGGGCTTATTGATGGAACTAGAAATAACTGAAATAAGAATGAAACAATCCGTAAGGTTTAATTTAAATGCAAAATTTAATCAGATTTGATTTTTTTTTTTATCGTAAGATTTAACAAAAACTGTTTCTTCTATGACGAAAAATTTTCGTCGAAAATGAACATAAATATTGAAAATTTTAATTACAATTTTTAAAAACGAGAAAACATCTTCCATTTGATGCTAAAAACTTCACTGAAAATTTTTAAGTCGGGGAACTATTTGCAATATTGATATTTCATTCGTTTTTATTTAAATTATTTTTCATTATTATTATTTTTTCTTATTCTTTACATTATTTTTATTAGGGGATGTAATTTTTGTCCTCACAAAGCAAAGCAAAGTGGCCAGTTGATTTATGTTAGAGAGAAAAATTCCGGCCGAATTGCGGTCATCGAAGGACGTGGGAATGTTTTGAGACTAAAAGTAAAATCTGAGGGGGTGGTTGGGGCGCAACAAGTGCAGCCGCACCCCGTGTGGCCGCTGCAATAAAATCATCACACTCGGGGTTTTGTGGGATTCGAAATTTACGACGGGGCCAATAAAATTCGTTGAAAGAAGGCCAAAGACCCCGCATCGCGAGACACAATAAATATTCATTCCGCACCCTTTCCTTTCCTCCCCTACGCAAGGGATGATTATTTACGAAAAGTAACTTTTGTCAAGAGAAAAATTGTAAAATTTCTGTAATCAATGTGGTGCTGTAAATCAAGCAGAGGTGGGTAAATTTTCGGAGGGGGTTGCAACCCCTAATATGAACTCGCCGTTCGATTATAGCGGGTGGAGGGAAAAAAGGTAAAAAACGCCGAGTTCGCGGAAATTGAGCGTGGGAAGGAAGAGCTCGTTCGAAAGGAAGCACCCTTTTGTTCGGAACATTATCTTGGCTGGCAGGCAGGCTCATTTCTTCAACCCTCCCTCCCTCCCTCCCCTCGGGGGCCATAAACGCGCGCGAGCATTTACGACCTGCAGCAAGTTTTCGCCACTCTCTCTTTCCCACGCACACCTCAATAAAAGAACTTTTGAACTCTTTCCTCCGGTTCAAGGTTTATTATTTTTGAAAAAAAAAACTCGTGAACAACATAAGGGTTGACGCACCCCCGACTATATAATTATACCGACCGCGTGCCAGGTGCTTCACTTTTATTCCGAGGTCAGATTTTTATTATTATTTTCACATTATTTAATATTTGTTATTATAAAAATTAAAAAGCATTGGAAATGCGGAAGTATTTAATTATAATCATATATTATAATTCTCTGCATAGAGCAGAAAGCCACATTTTTCAAACTTTTCAGCTTTTATAACTTTTTTCCCATTTGTTTGGGAAAAACATGTTAAGCACAAAAAGTGTGCAAAATTAAATTTTCTACAAGATTTGTTTGAAACATTTTTCTCTAAATTGATTTCCATAAGAGCTAGAGGGATAAATCCAACACTAAAATGAAAAAAAATTAACCTTTTTCAATGAAACTAAAATTTTTGTCGCCTAAAATTGTCTCAATTAAGTAAAGCTTATGAGATATTAAAACCTTATTAGATTTCCTATCGATTGGAGTTAATCTCATGTTGGTGCGTAAAATAGAAAAACGTCTAGACCTATGTTTAAGCAGAAAACCTAATTTTTCAACCTTTTCGCATTTATAACGTTTTTCGTTTTGAATTTAGAAGAAAAAGTGAAAGACAAAAAGTGTGCCGAATCAAATTTTCTACAAGTTTTAATTGAAACATTTCTCTATAAAATGATTTCCAAAAGAGCTAAGGCCATAAAAACCAATAAAGAAATGAAAAAAAATTTACCTTTTTCAAATAATTTAAATTTGTGGCGCCAAAAATGGTTTAATTTAAACAAACTTGGTAAGGTTTTGAAACCTAATTAAATTTCCTATCAATTGGTGTTTGTTTCATGTTTGCACAAGAAATATAAAAATTACTATAAAAAATCAAACAAAAATTCTAAGGTGAGTTTTTAGCTGCGGAATTAATTCTCTCAAATCCTCATTCAAGAGAGCAATTAAAGTAATTAAATAATTCAGTAGATTCATATAACTTTTGAAACATTTTATAAATTGAGACTGTTGAAAGGTAAAAAATGCTTGGCATTGCGATTGCGTTCTTTGAAGTTCAGCGAACGGCGGAAAAGTTTTATTTTGTATTATTTTTGTTGCAGGCTCGGTCGCGACCCCCGCTCGAGTTGCCACACCGCGGCGATTCCTTTTCCAAGTCGCCTCTGTCTCTGCTCGTTATTGCGACACTCACGCACAATTAAAATGGCAATAATTCCGCTGAACAGAATTCCTTTTGCGAAAATTCAGAAAACACACACGGCGCGCGCTCTCTTGGGAAACTTTTGCGCAATTCTCGCGCAGGAAACACAAGAACAAAAGTGCGTCTTCGTCACTTTTTGAAATTTAATAGAATTAAAAACATATTGCATTTCACGGTGGTGGCGAAGACGCTGCGATCTTGACATTGGAGCGAGCCTCGCAGCTTTTATTTCGCACTCGCCGGCACAAAAATATAATATTTTATGATAAAAAAAAACTTTCATTTCTCTCAAATTTATCTCTCTCAAAGGCGTGAGATCAACTTCCCGCCGCTTCACTTCGATAACAATTTGCAAATCTTGAATAATTTATTCATGGAAAATTTCCAAACGAAATTTGTTTTAAATATAAAACCAAACTTCTAAATTTGTAAAACTTTTCATGATTTACTTCATTAATTAAGAAAGTAAATCTCTTTAAAGAGGGTAAAATTCTTCTCATTAACTAATTGTTTTGACAAAAAGGATCATTTTTATAACCAGAAAATTTAGGGTTATTTTAAAAAGCTTTATTTGAAGGTTAAAATACGTTTTTTTTTCTGGTTTCCGAAAAATTTCGCAAATTTTAATGGATTTGAAAAATTAATTGATTGGAAGAAAAAAATATCATAATAATTTTAATAATTATATTTTGGTTGTTTAGAATTCTCAAGAAATTTAAATTTTGTCCAAAATCCAATATGGCCGCTGGAGATAAATGCGGGTTTACGAAAACTGCTGCCAAATTAATTTGGGTTGAGATTTTAGAATTTTCTCGGTGGGAGGTTCAAGCTAATGAATCAAGGCACCTTTTCTCAAAGGTCACAAGTTTGTCGGTAAAAGGTCATTGACCCTGGCCATAGGTCAACATATTAATTTGTATACCCCTTTAAAATAGGCAAATTAACCAAAAATCCGAGATAGCCAAAAGATTGACCTTGCATTTTTGCTTCAGAATTCTAATTTTCAACTAATTTCAAGAGGCAATTTTAAATAAATCATTGATGTTGAAATAGTCTCAGTTTGGATGAGTTAACAATTAGAAAATGAAACTTTTTTAACATATTTTCTTAAATTTATCAGACTTTTATTGAATTTCATTGAAATAAATCCAAATATTTCGTCTTAGTTTTCATCTCTTCTTGAAATAACAAAAATTGAGCCTTGAATGTTTATTTTGCTGATAGCGCCGCTGCACATATAATGTTCCCCCGCATTTTGAAACCAGGTCAGCGCAGAACCTTTTAATCGCACCAATTGATTGTGCGGCCGCGCGCGTTTATTTTATATAATCGGAGCCACGCGCGCGCGCCTCTCTTTGTCAGTTTCAAATAAAAATCGAATTCCGAAAAGAGCGCGGAAAACGCGAGAGGTGAGGCAAGGTTTTGAAGGCCTTGAATCCAGCGGAGACTTGAAATTTCGAAATCCGTTTTTTTCCTCGTCGCCGGAATTTCGGACCAAGGTCGACCGATTGCGGAAATGCAACGCGCACGGCCGAATGTCTCAGGCCAAGAAAAAATTTTGTTTCAACTCAATCTGGGGAGAAAATTTCTTTAAAATAGGTGAAAATTCGTTTTATTCGGCTCGAAATTATTAAAAATAAAAAAAAACCGTGGCCAGAAGTTGATAATTTTAATTAATATAATTATAGATCAGAGTTTTAAGCGGAAAAATCATAAATTTAATAGAAAAGAATGAAAATGTATTAATTAATATTATTAATTTAGCCAAAATATTCAAATTGTATTTCAAAATTTGATCCTATCGATCAAAACCAGTTGTTGGCGAAAAAATTTACTCCCTTTTAAATTTTGCAACGTGAAATCCCAAGCCGCGCTGAGAGGGAATCCCTGCTCCTGAAAGTTGTCTCTGCGTCTCTTGATTCTATAAAAAGTTAATTTTTTTTCTTTTTTGTGAGGAAACGTCGAAGGCGGCAATAAACCGCTCTTTTGTCTCCTTTTGTGTGTGAAAAAAAAAACGCTTTTAATTTT